AGTACTTCGACGCTTATCCTAAGAATTTCTACGTCGTCCTTACCTTCGTCGTCTAAGTATTCTTCGCTATCGGAACTCTCCGGTATTATATCGTCTATTATATCTAAGTCGTTAATTTCTATAATTGCTTTAAGAGTTCCGTCGTATTACTATATATACGTCTCGATTATATCTAAGATCTCTTAGGAGAGTCCGTCGTCTAGGTTTAATAGTAAGATCGGTTATTCTTCCGATTTATTACTATCGTAGTTACTCTCCTATTAAGGTAACTATAGTGTAATTTCTTATAGGTTAGTAGCCTCCTATCTAAATAGAGATAGGGATCTTCCTTAGGTGTTATTACCGTTATCCCTTTCCTACGTTTCCGTCTAGCTTTCTATAATATTAAACTCGCGCTATAGTTACGTTATTCGGATTCGTACCCTAATTTGCCTTTACTTCTCTAATAGTTTATAGAGTTTCTCTTACTACTCCTAGGCCTATCGGTAGAGGCTATTTATCTAGTTTGCTAGGAAGTATAACGGTATATAGGCTCGTCGGTCTCCTTATTATAGGGTATTCGTTAGATTCTACTACTATAGTTATAGTAGATCTACGGTTTCCTATATACGTTATCGTTCGTTATATAGATTATCTAGTTCGTCCTCGATATCCTCGAGTTAATCTTCTAGATCGATTTGTTCTAGTATATTAATTTCCATTATAGGTCGTTACTTAGAGTTACGTATATTCTTATCGAGTCGTTCGAATTCTTTTCGTTCGTTCTCGCTTATAGGCTATCCTATACTATCCGCTTCTTAGAGCCGTATATAGTCGTCTATAACCTATTCGTTCTAACCTATTCCCGCGTACTACTCGAAGGGTAGATACTAGATAAACCCTAGTCCGTAGATCGGGTCTAGCTCTACTAGGAATAGTTCTAGAAGCTTTAGGTATTAGACTAACTCCCTACTCTAGTTTCCTAGGTCCTTACCTTCCTCGCTAGAAGGTTTATACGTCTTGTCGTTACGAGTCTTATTAGTAGGAGACTCGTTTTCCTTATAGATTATCGCGTTAATCTATTGCTACTACGGTTATACCTTTAATCCGCGGTAGTTACGTACAAAATACCCTATTTTGTAGTAATTATAGTACTCCGGTCCTTCCTTCTTCTTACCCTAGGGCTTCCTTAGTCCCCGAGTTCGACCCCTATTGCCTTTCTTAGGTACTCGTTATATAGCGTCGATTTCTATAGCGTTAGAATCGCGACGTTACCCTCTAGTCTAGCTAGTAGGCGTAAAGCTAGATTGTCCGCGAAACTATCCTATATGTCGTTTCTCTATAGATCGTTCGTATAATCGATCGTCGATACCGATTACCGCCTTAATAATGTTTTCTAGTATCGATTAATTAGCTCTAGTGCGTATAAGTTCGTCTTTAACGGTATTCTTAAGTCCGCAATAGTATATAGTCGTAAGGGTATTATTATTCTACCCTATCTTGCTAGCGAACTCCTTAAACTTAGTAGTATACTATAATACTAAAGTGCGTTAAACTACGTACTAGATATTACGAACCGTAACCTACTTCTCGTTACTTAATCCGTATATTTCTCGGATAGTAACTATAAGGTTTTGGAATAAGGTAAATAATCTATCTAGGTCGTAGTTCTAGAGAAGCTTCTAAGTAAGCCTTAGACGAATCTATTACTCGGCTTCTCCCCGTAAGTACGAGGTAGCGGTTAAGAGCTACTTATCGTCTAAGACCCGTTCTATACGGAAGTAGATAAGGACTTGGTTAAGCTAGTTGTCGAGCTTGTTTCTATCTCTATAAAAGAAGTCTAGCTTGGCGACCTTTATCTTATCGTCTCCGCTAGGTCGTACGCTAGAATCCTAATAGGTCGAACCCCGTTCTAATTATCCCAATTAACTTATCCTAAGGGTATTTAAAGTATTAAAAGTATTACGAATATAGTAGAGAAGTTACGGGATTTTACTATTAGGAGGAGTACGTAAGCTAATTAGACCGGAGGAGTCTAAGCTTAGGGTACTCGACGCTCGATAGCCGTTAAGTAACGAGTACTCGCTATAGCTACTCGAGCGAGTAGGACGAAGACGGGTATATAGGAACTAAGAATACCTCTAGTATTCTTATATTCAACTTATATTATAATCTTACTAAAAGGTCTATAACCAATTAGGCTTAAGTTAGTATTCTTACCCTTATTTAATCGTTACTTAACTCTCTAAAGAAGTACGATTAACCTTAATTATATAAGACTACCTTATAGGATTATAATATCCCTCTTATAACACTTCGCCGCTATATCTCCGGCGGCGTTTCGTATACTACGAGCTACGCTCTCGAGTAATACCTCTCTCCTACCGAAGAAAATATACTTATTAAGTATATTCTTTAACTCGATAGCCTTAGAAACCCTCTCTCGCCGGCGTTTACGCGAAGACTCGCGTACGAAATCCGTCTCTTCTAACCGACGCTTTCTACTTCTACGACTCCTCCCTCCTTCCCTAGTATATATTTTGTTAATAGACTACGCCGACGATACCCTATAATAAGAGGCGTATATACGAGGTAACTCGAGAACGGGAGAGTAGTAGGTACTAGCTATCTAATAATAGCTAGCTACTTCGACGCTCTTATAGCTCTCTTCCTTAAGAATAGCTACCTTCCTAACGATATCTATAACTTCGACGAGTCCGGCTTTTCGCTAGGTACTTCTATATCGACGAGAGTACTTACGAATAAGAATAAGAAGACCCCGAGAAAGAGAATACCCGGTAGGCAAGAGTAGATTACGGCTATCGAGAGTATAAGCGCGACGGGAAGAGCGTTACCTCCGCTTCTTATATATAAGGGAGAGAATACGAATACTAGGTAGATTCCTACGTCTACGCCGTTAGATTATCGATTTACGTCGAGTCGGAGAGGGTAGACTTCTAATTCTATTAGTTACGAGTAGCTTACGACGGTATTTAACCCTAAAACGAAGCCTTTAACCCCCTAACGCCGTCTACTCTTTACCGACGGGTACTCCTCGTATCTTACGGCTAGGTTTATCGCTTTTTGCCTTAAGAATATAATAGATCTCGTTATATTACCGCCGTACTCCTCGTAAATACGTAACCTCTCGACGTCGTAGTCTTTAGCCTACTAAAGACCTATCTTTCTCGAGAGACTAACCGACTCTCCCGCTTCGATCCGGGTCGAATTTTAAAGGTAGAGTAGACTAAGGCGTATATTACCGCCCGCGAAGAGGCTTTCCTATCTTATAATATTCTCTCTAGCTTTCGAAAGACCGGTATCTACCCTCTCTCGCTAATAGAGGTCCTCTCTACGCTCGAAATACCGCCTTCTTCTATCGAACCTACGACGCCGAACTAAACCGAATCCGCTCTCGAAACGACGCTTCTAGTAAGCTCTCCTCCTTCCGAGACCGATATTCGAAAGGTAAACGAAGAACTACTCGAAAAGGTCTAAGACGCGACGAATCTTTTATCTCCGGCGAAGCGGTATATCTCCCGGCTTACCTCCTCCTATAAAAAGTCGAATACCGAACGAACCCTTCTTCGAAACGAGAATACTAAGGTACGGGAGCTTCTACGATATCGTAAGGAACGTACGAAGGGAAAGAGAGTCGCGATAAAAGGAAAGTTTATCTTTAATACGCGCGAGATACTCGAAGTCGTTAAGAAAGCCGAAGCCGAAGCGGCGACGAGAAGGTCGAAAAAGCGACGAAGGAAACGATCCCCGTCGCTCGAGATCGAAGAGGAGGAGGAAGAAGATATTAAGAGTATCCTTAAAGAATCGGAAGGCGAAGAGATAATAGTTACATCTCGAAGATAGCTTTCGAAGTAAGGAGTCTAGATTCGTACGCCACTTCACCGTCTACGCCGCTTTACCGTCAGCTACGTTATTCATAGCCCATCGCCTTTTCGATCAGACATACCCCGGCTCAACAAATTGATCAAGCGACTGCCGAAGCTGCAGGATGTCACCGTATGGCACGAGCAGTCGGGCGAGGCGCGCTTTCACAACGGAGACAAAGCAAAATGGTTGGAAATCGTTGCTGCCTTCAAGGATCGCCCTGTACGTCGCGCGAAAGTGTGCATTTACCGGCCCGAGATACACAGGAATACTCAGCTCAACACACAGGACAGGCCACCTCGTGCGAATCCTGTCAAGTGGAAACCGGTCTGCGAGAAGATGGAGGCGGAGATGATGGGTGTCGAGCGGGAGGCGGGAGAGGATGTGTCTATGCAGGATCAGTGATCTTGAAGTTAACAATTTCATGACAGTAATAGAACAATTCAATAAACTTGATTTGAGGGCACCACTGAACATTCAATCAATCGCAGTGATCAACCCTTGAAGTCCAACACTTGTTTCCGATCGTGGTAAGACATATCTAACATACCTGGAGGCGCCAGTTTTCTCCCTGTCCCGACCGCACCGAAAAGTGTTATGTCATCTTCGTCGGCGGGCTGTTCTTCTCTGTGAGAAAGAACCTCAATTGCTTCCTAAGACCCTCCGCTATCTGTCGACTGCACCATGAGCCTGGTCTCCAGCAGTACCACCTGACTGGCTTCTCCAACTCTCAGATGGACGGTCGTGGTGCTGACCGGAGGTTCGAGACGCCCTTCCAGCGATGGAGAAGAGATCACCTTTTCGAGCCGAATGCCGCCTGAGCTTGCTTCTTCGACCTCGAAATGGGTGACGACGGTGCTGATAGGTGGGTGAGATGCCGTTGCCAAGGTGGAGAGGGTCCCAATGGCTCGAGCTGAGTGCAGCCTCTGTCTGCTTCTCCCGAGTCGAGAGGGATGATAGCGGCGATTACAGGTCGTTGGGTTCCTTTAACGGCGTAGGAGAAGAAACTGTTGCTTCAGCATAAGGCCGCGCTTTCGTCAATCGAGAACTCATTTGAATCTGCGCATGCAGGAACAAGCAGTGACCACTATTGACTCCGAACGCCACGCTCGAAAAGGTCACATGCGCTCCAGAAATCACTCCTCCATCTCATCGTCATCACGTCTGCTCGCTCCTTCAGCGCCACCGAAAGCTTGCACAACAGCCTCAATCCCTTCGACCTCTTCCCTACCAACCCTCCTACCAGTCCCGCCTGCTACGCTCGCATTGTCTGGCTCGACGCCTCTCCGCTGCAGAGCCTTCCGCGACTGCGAGTCGATGTATCTTCTCCGCTTAGCCTCCACAGAGTCCTCATCCTCCTCCTTTCCACGAGCATTCGGCAGCGTCTGAAGCGAGTCCTTGAGCAGTGCAAGATGCTGTCGCAGCGCTGGCAGTTGGCTGATTGCGTACTGCACATTCTGGTTCTGAGTCTGCCCGCTACCAGCTTGTTGCGAAGATGTGAGGAAAGCAAAAGGCGAGTTCGAAAGATCCGGCGTAGAGTCCGTACCCATCAGCGACCGAAGCTGCTCGAGGACTGCAGCATTTCGCGCCTCCTCCGCCTTCAGCATGGTATTCAGCTTTGTCGTCTCATGTAGTTTCCGCCGTTGTAGCTGCACTTGCTCCGGTGTAGGCGCGTCCTCTGCTCTCGACAAGTCCAGGTTCTTGTAGTGATCCAGTTGTACCCACCCCGCCAGCTGCTCCTTGTCATGTCCTACCGCCAGTATATTCCGCAATGTGTAGATCTCAAACTTGTCAAAGTCTTTGTCCACAGTTGCGTTCAGTAAGCTCTCCAGCTTCACGATGCCGTTGTCAATCTCCATCTGCTTGGCCTCCTGCATTGCATCTCGTTGCGATTCTGGCGGAGCATCCGGGCTTGCAGCCTTGAAGCCCAAGCTCTCGGGTGGTGCATTATTCAGACCTTCTTCTACCGCATTCACGGCGCGAAAGACCAGCTCATTTACGGTGTTGATGATGTCGTCTAGTAATGTCTACCCCGCTGTCAGTGGTCTACGTTTGTCGCGTGGGTGCGGGTCAAGCTTACGAGTGGTGTGTATCGGAAGTGCTCTGTAAGAAGTGCAGTCGACATCTGGTTCGTGTTGGCCATTTTTTGGGGCGTAAGTGTGTAGAGTCGGGTTGTTACGTTCGCCGGCGCAAACGAAGCTCACGGTCAAGAGACGCGAAGTCGTAAACAATGCCAAGACCTAAAAGTGGCGCTAGTGAGACAAGATTCTGGTGACGGCAACATCTCTGCCTTCTACAACCTCACCTGCTCCTCCTACGACTCCACCACGACATCCACCACCATGTTCTGGCCATATCCATGAGCTGCACGAGATTGTAGCCTCCTCAGGCTATTGTACATACAATCAACACCCTCTCGGCCCGCTCGAAGGCCGAACAACGAGATGGTATCTACCAGCAGCACAGGCCGGTTTTCGGACGGCCGGAGTACTCCAAGCACGCCTATGAGCGAAGCTGCAGACTCACCAGCCCCTAATAATTCCTCGAAAGGTATGGAGATTGCTCCAGACGGCGACATCGTCCTTGAGATCGAGCACGAAGTTGGCAAGCCTGCAGCGGTTCATTCGTACCGTGTCAGCGCGACAATATTGACGACACACTCCAAGTACTTTGCGAGTCTGCTGCAACCGGGACGATTCAGCGAGGCGGCGAACGTCGAGGCCAAGCACCGGAATCTACGCGAGCAGTATGGCGAGGTCGGAAAGGCTCCTCCACGCGAGCTGCCTGCTCTCAGCATCAAAGACGTAGGTCGGGTAGCAGTGAAGTCGGTGGGTCCACTTCTTGGAGACTTCTTCAATATTCTACACAACAGGGAGATGCAGATACCGCCACCCGTTGCGAATCTTGCCAACCTGGCTGTGGTAGCAGACCGATTCGACGCGTTGGAGGTCGTGAGGACCTACCTTCGTCGCAAGAAGGTCATGAAGATGCTGGATGCGAAAACGACCGCCAAGGCAGACCTGGCTCTGGGTGAGGAGCGAGTACGACAGCGGCTACTCGTTGGCGTTCTACTCGACCACACGCCTTGGGTTGAGAAGTACAGTCTTCGCATGATCTGTAAGGGTTGGGCTAGCAAGGAAGTGTCGGTCTCGGCAGCATTATGGTGGGACCTCCCGGGCAGACTGGAGGATGAACTGGTGTATCGGCGCGAGTGCATGCTCGAGACGATCCAATCGCTGCAGTCGCACTTTCTTGCACTCTACAGTTCCCGCGAAAGGCAATGTAAGCTTGGCTACGATTCGTCAGCGCAGTGCGACTCGTTCCAGCTTGGTGAGATGGTCCGCTTCTTCACACGCATTGGAACTGTCCAGCTTCAAGGAACCCTAATCGACGTCGCCGATCCCCCGGAGCCGCACGCAGGAGACCTCATCAACTTACTGGACACTCTGCGGCAAGTGCCGGAATATCAGATCGATAAGTTCCACTCACATTGCGGCATCCGGACAAGGCTCGTGCCAATGCTTGACTTGCTTCAACGGGCCATACCACATGCTGCGGTTTGTGGCGAGTGCTGGGAAGCCAATCGTACTGACCTTGCTTGGCTTGGAGCGAAACGGCCTTTGCTATGGAGAAAGGGGGACTCAGGGCTCTACGGCACTGGACACAGGCACGCTGGCATCCGTGACTTCTTTACTGCCACGGAACGGCAGTGGAGCTAGACCGAAGATCATGGCAAGAAGACTCAGCAGACGTCTCTGACGATTGCAACGACAGCAAAGAGGTCTCAGAGCGCCATGCAGTCATCGGACCTCGAACGTATCTCGGAGAGCCCTTCACTCATCGGTTTGACCTGCTAACAAGATGACGGGCAGAGGGATCGGCATAAGTCTCCGCAGCCGCGATAAAGGATGAAGAGGTCCTCGAGCGCCGCACAGTCCTCAAAGATTGGACGCCTCTCGGAGAACCCTCCCAGGAGTGGATTTTAAAGGCACCTACGAAGAGCTCGAAGGTATTCACGGAGTTCTCGGAGCCACGCCCTGCGCCGATTTGGCGACTGCATAGCAGACCGCGGCCCAGATTTACCACCCCAGTCCACGAAGAGATTTCAACCGCCCTTGGAAGCGTGTCAAGCAAGATACAGTGGAGGCGGCCAGGCGGGCATATCTAGCAATCTTCTTCAAGGCACTATTAACCCAAAAATCTCATAGCACTCCCGTCAGCGGGCAATTGTCGTACAGGAGACGGCTCACACGGACCTAATGGGTTGCTCTCCTTGTGGACAGCTTCCGTGTACCGTGAATCCGTCGTTAATGCTGTTTTTCAGGGGTTGCAAGCAATCATCTCCGCGGCTGTGGAACCCCGCCGTTCAAATACCACGGTACGTTGACTGCAAAACCATGAACGAGGCGGCTTTTAAGGCAGTGTGGTCGGGCTGTGCTTTATGCCTTGGGAGAGCGCTGATTGGCTTCTGAATGCTGCGCCTTCAAGTCGACCCCACCCATCTCCACGCCTTAGACGCCTGGCCCTCCAACTACATCCTTCCCGTTCGACTTCGCCGTAATTCATGTGCGTGTCTTCACATTCACTTCGTGGTGCCATGTTCCGAAGTTCTCGGTAGGCGAGCGCTTGGGTGGATGGATGAGGATGTCGCTGTTCACTGCCCACTAGCAATGCCCACCCATCGTTCGCGTGACCATTATCCCCAGAGCTCGTGTCAGCGATATAAGCTTATAGACTTTCCCTCAACTGTGGTCGACATTCACGGGCGTCTACCAAGGTAAAAGCTCATCATCATCAAGTGACACTTGGTCGAACCTTCCTGATCAGGCTCAGCCACGTTTCACAAACAAAACAGCAATGACCACAGTGCTTGCTCCTGTCTTGCTCGATACTGATACACCACACCACAACTTACAATCTCACCTTACAGACTCTTCGCTGCAACGAAGGTCCAGCATGTTTCGATCACTCAAGGACAAGCTTTCGCCTGCGAAGAACAACAACGCGCCATTGCTACAGACTTCCAACTCTGACAGCAAAGGCACGAACAATCACCCTCAGCGCAGCGCCTCGCAGGCTACTCGAAGGCCGATGAATCCGCCTACTTCCAGCAATCCTTTCAGGAGCCCCGGAGAAGCCCCGCCACCCTACTCAGAAGGCGCATCCTCCTCGTTGACTGTTCCGGCTTTCACGCAACCAGCGGCTCCGGCGCAACCGTCTGCCAATGCCATCACCCCGCAAGATGACGACCCATACGCCTTCCTCTCCAGCTTCGACACCATCTTCCTGATCGACGACTCCGGCTCCATGGCAGGCGGGCTGTGGCGAGAGACCAAGGAGGCCCTCGAGCACATCACACCCATCTGCACCGCCCACGACGAGGACGGCATCGACATCTACTTTCTCAACGCCAAAGACTCTCCAGAGTATCACAACATCACGAACCCAGCAAAAGTTGACCAGATCTTTGGGAGAGTCCGACCATGGGGCTCCACGCCGACTGGACAGAAGCTAAATAGCATTCTGAAGCCTTATTTGGCGAAGTACAAGGCGAAGCCGGACAGCACTAAGCCCATCAACATCATCTGCATCACTGATGGCGCGCCATCCGACGATGTTGAGAGCCCCTTGATCGCTGCAGCTAAGAAGCTTGACAAGCTTGATGCGCCGCCGTGGCAGATCGGGATCCAGTTCTTCCAAGTTGGCCAGGATGAGCAGGCGAAGAAGCATCTGAAGCAGCTTGATGATGACATGGCGGAGATTGCGGGTGATGACGAGCTGCGGGATATTGTGGATACGGTGCCGTACATGGGTGTGTCGGGTACGAAGCTTTCTGCTGATGGGATCTTGAAGGTGGTGCTCGGAGCAGTCAATCGTAGGTTGGACAGGAAGAAGAGTAAGGATCTTCATCGATGAGACGTGAGCGTGAGACAAGGACATGGCTGTCGAGGCGATAGTCATGACGTGTGGTTTCTCTTCTTTTCTGGGGACGAGGATATCTGGCATGAGACCTCAGCATTACTTACATACCTTGTAGCTACTTAGCTATGACTTGAAATGCAGTCAAAAGTTTATGTGAAGGCGGCCCATCGAGCATGTATGGGAGTCTTCTCCTAGATCCAAATGCATCTAAAACGGCCACATTACTCTTCTCGGGCGGTTGTCTTTGTCTGCGAGAAGTGCACGACAGGGCCCATCCTACCCTACTGGGCCCATACGAGATACGAGCCTATCTCTTGATCTCCCAATGGATCTGGGTCTTTAAGCCTCTTGGCCGAAAGCAGAGACAGCCCAAGCAAGTGACAGCGGAAGAGGCTCCCAGGCATGCCGCGCAGTCTTCTCCCAGACCCAGCCGTCCCAGAGATGGTCTTGTCAACCTCGTCGGCGTCCTCTCTTTGTCTGCGAGAAGGCTGGTAACAAGGCTCGCCCTGACCTGCGGTAGAAGGCCGACTTCAGTGTCAACGGCTTGCCGCTGTAGGTCTCATATCGTAGGCCTGTCGATTCAGTATCCTTGCGATAGAGCGATTGCTTGGGCTCCCAAGAATGCGAGATATACTCATGCTCAGTCCACTGCCGAGCTTATGTCGTTCGGGAGAAATTGGAGAGCAACCTGCGATTGAGCGATATGATTGGCTGTTCTCGCTCAAGTATCTCGCGTTATTTTCGTGTCCTATATCTCGTCTCAGACTCCATTTGAAGAGCTCGTCCTGAACGCAGTCGCGTAAGGAAGTCTTTCGGCCATGGAGATGGAGTCAGATGAGTAGACGTCGCTCGACGCGAGAGCGCCTTCTTCATGCTTTATGGTACCGACCACGTGGGCTTGGCTGTTGAGCCACCCAACGTCCTGCGATGTAGATTGCTTTGTCTGAACGAACGACAGACGACTGAACGAGTAGGCTTCCATCTTTCTCCTCCTTAACCGCCAGCATGAGCCGCTCCGATCCCGACTTGCACCGCGCCATCTCGCTCCGCCCTTCGCCATTCCATCAATATCCGGAGCGCATATCCGAATCGCACGACCGAGCAGAACCTGCGCAGACGACAGCCTTCGACCACAGCAAGAGCACCAACGCACACGACCCCATAGCACGACCAGTCTATTCGCGAAACAGCTCCGAGCAAGAACGAGATGATGTCGAGCAGCAAAGCCTACCCGCGTACAGCGACCTCAACGACCCGTATTCCCTCCGAAGCGGTCTGAAGACGGTGGAGGAGATTGATACTATCAAGGCCAACACCTCCCGGAAGCGGACAGCGGGATGCGCGCCAGTGTCTCAGTCGAAAGATGTGGTGAGGGCGCATAAGATCAAAGGGTTTTACGAGGCGCAGAATGAGCGGATTGAAAAGTTGTTGAGGCCGGTGGACGAGCACGTACGGTTGGCAAAGGAGGAGCAGGGCGCGGATGCGTTGCAGTTCAAGATTGCTGTCAATGCTAGCTTTGCTGCGAACGTCATCCTGGCCATCTTGCAGGTGTACGGGGCCACCAGCTCTGGTTCGCTATCGTTGTTCACGACTATGGCTGATGCTATTTTTGACCCTGCGAGGTACGAATTTACACTTTATATCAACACGACTGCTTGCTAACGCTCTTCAGCAACCTCACGCTCATCCTCTGCAACCGAGCCGTTAAGCGCGTCGACCCCCGCCGCTTTCCCAGTGGCAAAGCCCGCATCGAAACCTCCGGCAACATCGCCTTCTGCTTCCTCATGACCGCCGTCTCCTTCATCCTGATCGTAGAATCTATCCGCTCTCTCGTCGAAGGCAACAACGGCGAGGAGACCGGCCGCTTCCATCTCCCCTCCGTCATTGCAGTGGCCATCGCGTTCGCAACCAAACTGGCTTTGTTCCTCTACTGCTGGGCGCTGCGCCACAAGTACTCCCAGATCCACATCCTCTGGGAAGATCACCGCAACGACCTCTTCATCAATGGTCTCGGACTGCTGACAAGCGTGCTGGGAAGTAAGCTGAAATGGTGGATCGACCCCATGGGCGCCATCATCCTCTCCGCACTCATCGCCTTCCTCTGGACCCGAACGGCTTACTCAGAGTTCCAGCTCCTCATCGGTGTCTCAGCCGACACGAGCTTCCTGCAGCACATCACCTACATCTCCATGACGCACTCGGAACTTATCAAATCCCTAGACACCGTGCGAGCCTGGCACTCCGGACCGCGCAGGATTGTGGAGGTGGATATCGTGATGGACCAGAACATGACGCTCAAGGACACGCATGATGTGGCGGAGGAGCTGCAGATGAAGCTGGAGAGTCTGCCGGATGTGGAGCGGTGTTATGTGCATGTGGATTATGAGACGAGTCATGCGCCGGAGCATTTCTGGAAGAAGGAGCTTTAGCTTTATGCATGAGCAATGAAGATTCTGACAGCTGACCGTGTCCCTTATTTTCATTGTCGCTCGTGCACTCAGAGGCTTCATATTATGCCTGTGACTGCCAATTGTGTTTGACGTGGTCCATGATAGTAGTGTTGTAACGTGCTGAAGCGGATTGGGTCCCCGAGCGTTCCGAATTCGTCAGATCCTTCTTTAGTGCGTGAACGCAAAGCTTGTTTCCACCTTGTGAGAGCCCAGTCGATTGCAGATAGAGGTCAGCCTCCGAGACCTACCAGCGTAAGGAGATTTATGGCCATAAAATTACTTCTCGAGCGCGCTTCTCGAAGTCTTGGAAAAGCTGGCGAAGCGTGTGATGAGGCTATGTGAGATCGGCAGCCAGCAGACGAGATGGCGAGGAATAGAGGATTGTGTAGAATTCACAGTCCTCTGAAGCCACCCTTTCTTCGGGAGAGGCAGCTTTGTATCGTCTCCGGTGCTACTGATGGCATCGACTCAATTCTCAGGCACCGTGAGGACCGGTCCTGTGCGTGAGAAGATGAAAGGGCGGATGACGATGAGAATTTGAGTAGCCTCCAGCACCCAGCACGTCCGTGGACACGCCAGACTCTTATGGCCTACACGAGACTATCAGCATAAAACGACCGCCAGTCCTCCGCTCCTGTTTATCTATGGGATGGGGGAAGGTGCTGAGACAGTCTCGAAGATGCAACACCTCAGCTTCACAGCAAACGTCGAAAGACGACAGCCAAAGTGTAGCGCACTACCGATGACCCCGACAGAAGAGGGCCACAGAGCCTCGAAGACTGGTGATATTTCGATGAGGTGAGGGAGGGGCGGTGGTGGTGGAGTGGCGATGGAGGTGGGGATGGGTGTGATTATGTGGTAATGTGCAGTGCTGGGGCCTCAAGTCATGATGCGCCGTCATCACGTGCCCAGAACGCAGAGCAGCAAGACGCCATACGCAAAGCGCAGACGCCGCCACCCTACGTGTACCGCCGAAAAGAAGCAGCGAGGCTCTTGGGTTGGTTCCATGACACGGCGCACCACAAGCAGGAGGAAGGAGAAGGGAACTTACTCTGCCATCCTTCGGAGGATGGAGCACCGCCTCAGCTTATCAACGACACCATCCCGCAAGCGGGGGTCGTGGCAGTGTCGCAGCAAGAGCTCAACGTGGGCGAAGATCGTCAGTTACCGATACTCTGCAGGTCAACAACCTCCCAACGCGCGGCGAAGGCCTCGATCTTTGAACGACCACGAAGTACGTGGCATTTTCGCAGAGAGAGCACAACGTCCGCGAAGATCATCAGTTACCGATGCTTCCACAGGTCAACAACCTCCCAACGCGCAGCGATGGCCGCAAGCTTTGAATAGCACGAAGAATCGGCAACCTGGGAGACGACGCTTACGCAGAGCGAGCACCACTTCGCGAACGAAGATTCCAAGCATCGCAGAGAAAGACGCGGCGTGGGGGAGGATGATCGATGCCGCTTGTCGACAGCCTCTCCCCCCTGCGATTAACCAAGAGGGGCGACGGTCGGCTGGTCCTCATAGGTCATCGAGCAAGGGGGAGTAGCGGCCTACCTCGTTCCCGCGTGCGCCTCTCGATCGTTGGTAGCTGGTGTCTCTCGCAGGGCGAACGGACGGTGTCGCCCGCTTCGTGGGCAGTGCGAGGTGTCCAGCGTGGACGGCCCTCGATGGTTGGTGACGTCCGGCGTGGACTCGTTCGTATACGGGCCCAGCGTGGGCTGGGGTCCGGCGTGGACTGGAGAGGAGGTGTGCTGGATGATAGATGAAGGGGTGTGGTGATGGCGGAGGCGGCGGCGTGAAGAGGTAGAAGTTGTGGTGGTAGAAGGTGAAGGAAGAGTTCGACAACGCGACCGCGAAGAAGAGCTCGAAACGGCGCGATTGGCCAAGGCCGAGCTTGGCAAACAGAGCGTCAAACGAACGTCACTAACTCGTACGCTAGTCCAATGTGGAAGGAACGATGCATCTTCACATGAAACACGCAAAGATCAAAACATTGGTCGAGGGATCAGAAAAATGGCAAAAAGAAGGTATACAATCTGTATACCGTGTCATATGCCCCCGCCAAGGCATCGAACCTGGGTCTCTATCAAACCCTATCGGGCGAACGCGTGCTAGCCAACTGCACCACGGGGACTGCTTTCGAAGGATGCTCCCGAATACCGCCAAGATACATATGTAGGTAATATTCAGCGTGGCAGGTGTTAGCAGAATTGCAGCTCGTTTGGAGCCTTCTCCGTTGCGCAGATTCACCTACTGAGCTTCACAGACGACTTTACATGAGCATTGGGGTGTCCCTCCCCTTGGAGAACATCGCTCAGCTCCGCCCAGTTCGAGCCTTCTCCGTTGCGCAGATTCACCTGCCGAGCTTCACAGATCACTGCACATGAGCCTTCGGATCCTCTGCCTCTCGGAGGACATCGCACAGCTCAGCCAGGAGTCGGAAGCTTTCTCCAATGCACAAGTCTATTACTGAGCCTCATAAGCGGCTACACATGAGCCTACGGACCTTCTACAACTCAGAGAACATCGCTCAACTCAGCCAGGAGTCGGAAGCCTTTTCGGGCGCGCACATTGCTTCTGAACTTCAAGGACGACTGCACATGAGCATACAGGATATCTTGTTCGCGGAGAAACACCGCCCAACTCAGCCAGGAGTCGCAGTTACTGTCGCAGGCCATCTTCAATGCACAAATCTTCCACTGAGCTTCACGGACGACTGCGCGTGAGCCTACGCATCTTCTATCTCTTGGAGAACACTGCTCATCTCAGCCAGACGTCGGGGGTGTTCCCCAGTCCACATATCTGCCACTGAGCTTCACAGACAGCCACATATGAGCCTACGCATTGTCTACCTCTTGGAGAACATCGTCCGATTGAGCGAGCTTTTGCAGGCCTTCTCAGTCCACATATCTGCCACTGGGTTTCGCAAACGGCTACACATGAGCGTATGGAGTTTCTACTTCGCGGAGACCACCCCCTGATCAGTCGGAAGTCGCAGGCCTTCTCGCAGGCCGGAACACTTGGGAACTACACGAGCAAGACAAGCAGCCTTTGAATCGCCCGCTTGGATCTTGGAGAACGAAACATGGGACGCCACATACGTCAGTAAGACTTCAGCAGTCGCAGACCTTCTCCCAGGTCGGAACACTTCAGAAATGTACGAGCAGGACAAGCAGCCCTTGAACCACACGTTTGATTCTTGGAGAATGGGCCATAGGCTGCCACACGGGCGGCCTTCGTCCCAGCAGCAACCGACGGCGGCAAACAGGTCAGCGATCAGCGCCGGGCCTTCTCACGGCTCGCAATACCGGCGAAGGTTTCAGGAGGCGCCAGCAGCCTTCGGACCGCCCGTTTTGACCTTGGAGAATGGATCATGTGCCACCACACAAGTCAGCCAGCAGTCGCAGACCTTCTCACAGGCTGGAACGATTGAAAAGTCCTCAGATAGTACTAGCAGCATTCTGCCAGGCTGTTCGCATCTGGGAGAGAAATTTTCGATTGCCAAACACATGCCATTGCCATCGCCTATGGCGGCCCACGGAGAACCATGACCAGGTCAGCCGGCAGCTCCAGGAGTTCTCGCAGACCGAGACAATGGCAAACACACAGGCAGGACCATCAGCGTTTGATCCACCTGTTCCTGTCCCCGAGAAGGATTTTCCATCGCCAAACATACGCCCTTCTGCTGCTTAGCAGCTCTCGGAGATCCATCGTCCAGGTCCGCCAGCAAGCGCAGGCGCTCGCCCTTCTCAATGCACCTTCCAAGCACACAGGCAGAACAAGCAGCGTTCGGACCGCCTAGCCGGGTCTCGGAGAAGGACGCTTGGGCTACCGACCGGCACTCCGTCTCCACCTCTCCAGCAATCGGCACTGAGACTTAGAGTCGATGGTTCCACCCCATGCATGCATCTTATTCTTGACCAGGACCAGAGGGCTGGCTCGATGCTGGCTCTTGATCCGCCATGAGGTCGTTGCAAGCGTTCCGCCGGCTGTTTCCCGCGTAAGAGTTGAGAGCACTGCGCCCTGGGCCATGGTGTTCTGGCATGTCCGTACTGCATCCCATTGCACACGGAGCACAATGACACTGCTCTCTGCATCCGGGATCCTTGGAACCGGTCTACCCTCAAGGTTCTTTCTCCGGAAATCTCCATGCAAGGCGGGCACATCTCTGAGTCACCTGCGATGTTGAAGCGAAACCAGAACGTCGCCTTTGTCTTGAGAGTGACTTTGGAAGTTCAAACGCGCGAAATTCCAGCCACCAGCATGAATGACCAGTCGTACGGATGGTCTGTATAGTCGGTAGCTTCGGCTTGACCACCTTGATGCTTGGCACAGCTGTCCCTGCTGTGGATCTGAGCGGTTTCTTCAACATTCTGTGGATGAAACAGATTTGTACTGCTTCTCATCACACCAACATTGCGTGGTCCTAGACTTCGAGCCCGACGACGAAAGACTTTCGGGTTCCCTCTGCACCCGGTCTGCTCGATTCTGATGTCCAACCCGAAGAAAAGGGAACGGACTTATTGGAGCGCAGACGGCGAAAGTTGCGCTGTCTTACATTCGGTCAACCAGCGACAGTCGTCGCAAGTGACTCGGCTCTGGTCCGATCCGCGCAAGTACGAGACAGTGAGATTGGCCACCAGGGCGAATCTGGCAGTCTTCTCTGAGATGAGCTTGCGCTCAAAAAGGCCACACCACTCTTGTCGGCGGGTGGTCAGTGTCTGTGAGAAGATCCGTTTTATTGCCCACTCTGACTTGGTCGACCGCTTTCACTGTCCACCGCTCACCACGCAAACGAGGGGCGTGAGATCAAGGCGACCGTCATGGAGCTTCCGCCGGCGGGCAGTCTCTTGAGAGTCTCATACAGACCTGCCCATGGCACCTTGACACGGGCGGCATCGTGGCCGGTGCATCTCGAGAGCGTTGACTTCCCGAGAATTGACGGCGCTGTATTTTCCACTTCCCAGGAAACGTCGTAAAAAGATTTGGCTGCTACAAGGCGATGAGTGGGAAAATCTTTGTTCCACTGTTACGGTTATCGACAAGGCAGCCTACATCTTGATGGACCTCAGCTCTGTCACCACCCCCTCGTGAAACAGTCGTACTATCTCCGCTGCCACCGCAGGCGACTCCTCGTCGCCAGCTTCATCGACAACACGCGCCACGAGAGAGCCGTCTACGCATCGTTGCATGGCACCACAGAACTTCCGCCCGACGCGGCTCGTGATTCTCGTGAGAATGTCTTCGTTTAACACCAGGCCTTGCACTTGCATCGCTTTCGTCCGGCGGACTTCAATATCGACAATCTCTTCGATTGGTCGCCACAAAGCGATCTCAGCCATCACCAGGCCCAAGCTGTATATATCGTGAGACTTCGTCGACCGATCGACCGCCTGAGACAGAAGATCCGGATGACGATACAAAGCCTGCTTCAGCGTATACACATGCGTCACGGTAGGCTCGTCAGGCACTGAGGGTCGCGAGAATTCAAAGCCCGCCACAATTGGTTTCGTCAGCATCAGGGTCCCGTCGGTGGGTCTCGTGAAGAGGACATTGTCGCTACGGACATCTTTGTGCACCCAGTCCATGACATGAAGATACAGCAAAGAAGCTGCAAGAGCCGATGCCAGTTCTACACGATCGCTCAAGGATGGCACCCTGCCGTCTTCGATGAGCTCACGGAGAGATATCAGGCGCACCTTCCCTGCCGATGGTCTCTCCTTGGGCAAGGTGTGAACCAGTGCATATCGGGTCCGACCGTCTTTCACGACCCTTGTATATCCGTTACAATCCAGCGTCCGGAAAATGGCAGGCTTGCTCCGAGTGCCCAGGACCGCAGCCAGCTGCTGCACGCGAGCGTCGACCTGCCGTGCACGATTGCTGTTGGTCATGAATTCGTCAGCACTTTCCCGCCACTCTAGCCAAACAGGCTTCGAGCTCAGCATGCCTCTTTGGCGACCTGTTAGTGACGGTGGTCCTTTCAAAGTAACCGAGTCAATCGGGATGAGCTGAGATTCTGCGGTGGGCAAAAGCAGCTCCATCCTGAGCCGGTGCATCTTGAACTCCGCCAGAGATATGAGTGCCGCCTTCCCTGTTTCTTCCGGTTCTACGAGCGTCGATGCGCGCGAAAGGTCGTCGGTAGCGTTCCCAGGTTCTTCTCGTCCGACTCTGATCGCATCAACAAGCGTGTGCAGCGCATCGATCTTGTCAGTGACCTGCAGCAGCATAAGGTTCGACCGCACCTGCATTGTACGGACGTCGTCCAGTGACTTGCGATCCAACAATGACTCTATGCGGTCATTATAACTAATCAACGTCGTCACCAGGTCTTCGAATGAGCCTTTCTTCAGCATTGCCCACTCAACCCTCCCTACCACTCGACCGCTGCGCTTCCAAAATGAGATGATCTTTTGCAGAGGGTTTCTTTTCGGTGTTGTGGCATCTTTTGATTCTGCCGATCCTGTTGATTGTACGTACGGATCATACCTGGTGGTGATCTCCAGGCATGAACGAAATGACCTTTGTATCTCGTGCAGTACATCCAACACCAAGTTATGATTCAGACGGAGAAGTTGGTTCGTCTCATCAAGCAGATCCTCTGCCAAGCCAACATTTTGGCCCCAATGCAGACACCTGCTCTGCTCGATGCGCAACCTCGTCCTGAGGTGCTCATAGTCGGCTGGCATGTGTCGGACGTCGATGAACATTTCGTATCCTATATCTGTGAGCTTCCATGTCACAGACCAAGGCATACTCCTTACCGACGATGCAGCCCGAAAATACCTGGAATGCGAGTGAGGTTATACTAATGCCAATTCCTGCAGCTGTGACGGGATCCATCTTTGGCAGAAGAATTCAATCTCCTTGGTCGGTTCTCGGTGGACAATTGATACGTATCCGGCGGACAATTGACATGTATTGTACACGAGCCTTGAGGCGGCAGCTCGTATTAATGGCAGCCCGGCCGTGCCTTGCTGGATGAGCAAGCCTGCAAGGCTGTGCAGCTGAACCAGCGGGGGCGCAATCATGCATACCAACTCCGTACCATCACCTGATGCAGAGAAGGCTGAGGCGACAAGGCTGCCGCTGTCTCGTACTTCAGGCGCGCCCTCTGCTCGACTCGATGGATTCATGCGTCGAGCAGTGAAAAGCTAATAACCTTGTGCTTTAGAGGACCGAGAAACTTCTCACATGAGAGAAAAGCCGCGACCGACCATCTGAAGCCATGGAATCTCCCAGGAATGCAGCTCATAACTGTTGGGCGCATCGCAGGAAAGTGATCAGCGACATTGCTTCACTCGCAGCAACACAGAGCCGAAACCATGCGGCACAATCATTATACCAAAGCTTCAGCCAATTGCTCTCCGACAATGACTTCTACACACACCTGGGCCAGATGCTGCCGGATCCAAGCCGGTACAAAACACCTCCTCGCAAGATGTTCCGGGAGGCCGAATTTGAGCGCATTGCGGAGCTGCTTAAACTACGAGGCAAACCCAAGTGGGCGCTTAGGCCACGGACGTACGTCGTGCTGTATATGACGGGGCTCGAAAGCGCAATGGACTCATTTGTCGCGGAAGAGCGATCCGATATATACTTGCCTTACCAGAAAGGCAACCTCCCGAACGGGCTGACTGGATCTGAACGAGACTTGTTTCTAAGCTATCAGAACAATGTTCTGACAGGCCGCGGAGCCATCCTCGAAAGAAAAGGAGGCGCACACCAGCATTTCGAAGGCGGAAGTGCTGATACTCTGTTCATTTACATTCGAACTCTCGGAACTGGCATGGCAGGCTGTAAGTGCAGACGTCTTCGCTATTCTGCATGCATCTACTGACTACGATTGAATAGTCCAGACACAAGTTGATCATGTCGTTGGCAAACGTACTCTTAGTCACTTTGCGTTGAAAAAGATCGGGCGAAACGCATTCTCCAAAGACGACCAACGAAGCATTGATCTATTTGCCAACGAGCTCGACATCCTCAAACGCTTGACGCACCGCCACATTGTCCAGCTGGTGGGCTCATACACGGATAGAGTCTGTGTCGGCCTGTTGATGTCGCCTGTGGCCGATATGAACCTTGCCGCTTTCCTCAAGCAGCCGCTGGATACCCTCGATGACCGACGTGACCGCAAGATCAAGATTCGATCATTCTTCGGCTGTATTGCCACTGCCATAGATTATTTGCATAACAACAAGGAGGGGAAGGTTCGCCACAAGGACATCAAGCCTGAGAATATCTTAGTGAAAGACTACAAGGTGTACATTGCAGACTTTGGCACCTCATATGCCTGGACCGGTGATGTGTCGGGCATGACCGAAGGCACGCAAAAGTTTTTCACGCTCAAATACCTGGCTCCGGAAGCACAGTACTCACAAGCACGCGGCAAGCCAAGCGACATCTGGTCACTTGGATGTGTCTTCATGGAAATGTGCACTGTCCTCGCTGACCGGAAGTTCGAGGACATCGCCACCTTCTTCAACAGTTCCGGCAAACGCCGAAAGCACTACTACCAAAATCAGCATGCTCTCATGGAATGGCTCAAACAGCTCAAAGACGTCTTCATGGCCTCGGACATTCCTCATGATGGGCGGATCATCGAACTGGTGGAGATGATGTGCCGACCAGAGCCCGACCGTCGACTCGAGGCACAAGATCTTGTTCGTCGGATATATGAGCTGGACGGTGGTCCGAACTATCAGGGACTATGCTGCTATCGTGACCGATGGATACGCGGCTCTCACACCGATCCGGGTCCACCGTCCTATGCAGAGGCGATTGGATACGATGAGGAGGTGACAATCACGGCAGAGAACCTCAACTTTGTTGACGAGCCGGAAGAAGTGATGCATACGCCGTTGCCGGAGAACTACGAACCGCCATCGGTAGAGGAGGATCAGATCACATTGCAAGCCTATGGCAATGTGGCACCGCACGAAGCACGGAATCTGCTCGAGAATGTAACCGTGCCATTGGACTTCAGCGATAGCGAACCTCAATCAGCGCAATGCCCGGTCAAGGTACAAGTTGAGAAGCAGCTCGAGGAGCCTCGAGAACCCAATGCGAGACATCACGAGAGGCATGATACGGTAATGTCCACTGGTATCATCGCTGCAGCAGAAGGAGATACAGACTCGACGCAATTGGTGTCCAGCGAGCCATCCATTGATGCAAGATCAAATCCAGACCATGTGGAGACAGCAAGACCACCAGTACTTCTCAGTGTCAACCCAGGCCCCCGTGGACCACATGTTCAACTACCGAAGCACGATCCAACGTCACTGCCGTGTCCCTGGCCACAGTGTGTCCCCCCGAAAGGTCTCGCAATCCTTCTGTTCAATAGCATTGAGGCGCTGCGGGACCATCTCCGAGAGAGCCATCTTGTTCATGACTTCGGTTGGACAAGGCTATATGAACCACAGCAACAAGATCGTGGGATAACGCACTCTTCTTCAGACCCACAGACCGGTGCAATCATACTAGCTCCCGGCCCCAGAAGATTTGTCGAGCTGCCCGCAGACAGACGTCCAAAACCACAGAATGAGGAGCAGAGCAAGCGTAAGGCGGTACGACCCCAAGGGATCTCATACGGCATCAATGCAGAACCGTTGAATCAAGAGGCCGTGAACGATGCGATGCATACTGTTTCTGGAGGTGGCACAGATGGCATACCACGAGCCAGTGTCGCTCCGTCGTATCTATTAGGTAAGCACCATCGTTCTTGTTACAGTCGTCATGCAGAGACAAGCTGACAACACCTCCAGCATCCAAAAATCGCTTTACACGCTCCGAGATCACCAGCTACGAGCAGAAACATAGGAAGCCACTGTTCGTCTACGGCACTTTGATGTTTCCGTCTGTGTTGACCAGCCGGAGCCGAGCCTTCAACACGATAGAAGGAACATACTCGTCTGAACAAGGCCGACGTCTTCGAACGAATGCTGCTGACTGGGCCAACATCAGTGAGCATGTTCAGTTCGCTGCGGAAGCCATGACGCCAGCTCGACTCGACGGCTACATACGGTCCAGCAATTCCCCTTCATCTCGACTCGCTTGTCTTCGTCCAGCGCACGGCGACGAGTCTGCCAAAAGCACGATCGGATTTCTAGTTTATGGGTTATCTGACGAAGCTTCCGCGTGTCTGACGCATCTGTACGAAAAGGGCGGACCACAGAGCCTATTCCGGACTTCCAGAAGAGAAGAGATGTGGCCGAATACACAGCTAAAGCTGGGGGACGTAAGAGTTGCAATCAATGATGCCGACGGCGATGCTGTTTATGTTGAAGCTGTCACCTTTATGCTAAGCGGGAAGGTCTCCAAAACTGAGTCTATGCCATGGGATGTCAGAGCTCATCCTCCCTGGAACATCGATGAGTTCGTGCGAAGTCGAGCATTCAATCGTTTGACGAACGACATGGAGGACGGCGAGTTGATCAGCCAGGAGGGCACCATCGCATCGGCGATTGGAACAAGCTTGCTGCTTCTTGGTGATAAGCTGGTGGCCAAGGTCTTGCAAAACGATGTCGAGGGGTTCGAGCAGCTGATGGACGAGGGCTACGACGTTGACGCACCATCTGCAGAATACGGCACAGCACTACAAGCAGCTGCAGCAAACGGCAACGTTACCATGGCTCGCACGCTCCTTCGCAATGGAGCGAATGCCAGCGCAAAAGGCGGCCAATACAACGCACCCTTGATCGCTGCCGTTGTTGAACACCAAGCCGGCATGGTGAAGCTTCTACTCCGGGCTGACGCTGACGTCTTTGCTGCTGGAGGTCGCTACATCAGTGCACTCTATCAAGCTGTCGATTTCGGCAATTACGACATGGTGTACATGCTGCTGGAGAAGGGAGCATGGCTGACGGATGACTACATGGAGGTATTGGACTTGGCCACAGAGCGCGGCTATACCGAAATCCGCCGGCTTCTGGAGACTTACGACGCTCGCGGTCTACACCTCGGCCTGGGTAACAAACGAGATCGACCGCGCATTCAGCCCCAACAGGAGAGATCACGTGGCTCACGTGAGAGCGTTCACAAGCGCAGCTCGACCGCCGTGTTAGTCATGTTCGAGGCGATGAAGCTGCAGGGACAAGAGGGCAAATGGACCGGCATCAAAGGCGTCAAGCTCGTGCAAATTGCCCTTGAGAATGGCTTCCACGAGAATCTGCTTGCGTTGCTGCGACCTCAAATCCACTCTTGGCCTTCGATACAGAAAGCTCTCTCGTCGGGTGTCGGAGAAATGACGGGTGGTAAAGTGAAGCCAGTCCAACACACCAATCTGCTCGGCGCGGACGAGAAGGAACGCAGCCGGTCGAGGTCTCGAGATGCACGCCACAAATCACGAGGAAGAAGAGACAACGGCAGTCGTTAGACGTAGTCCATGTCCTCGTCGGTACTGTCCTCTTTGGCCTGGCAACACATCAGCCATCTCATCAATTTTGGCGATCATTCACTGATGTATACGTCAAATCTCAGTTCATCAGCCAGACAACCCAACATACTCGCTGCCAGGAGAAACGGGGAAGAAACCTTCAGATCTCCCAACCCTTCTCTTCGCCAGCTCCGTCGACGTAACAGCAACAAAACGCTCCTGGACCGCTTTCAGCCTCAAGGAGAAGGCCAGCGGAGTGACACGGCCGCGCGGATGAGCTCACGGGGCATCTTCCTTCCCGGCAGTATCCTCAGCAGCACGTACGGCAGCACATCTGGCAGGGCGACAGCATCTCCACGCTCAACCTCCGAGAGAAACAACCACCCCGTACCGAAGCCCCTGAATCTCCAGCCGCCAAAGATCCACCCTTCTCCCGCCCAGTAGGCGGGTGCTCAACCCCCTCTCCAGCACCACCTTACCATCCAAGAACTCCGCTACCCTGAGATTTCCCCGTACTCACAACGTCCTTCTCCTTTCCAGCAACACCGGTAGGAAGCAACAGCAGACCACCCGGCCGCATTCCAGCCCCCAGAGAGACGTGCTGGGTCCCTGAACACCGTAACTGTATAACTCTGCCCCTTTCCCCCTCTCCTTCTCCGCGCCAAACTTGCTCGCGCGGCCGGCTCAACAGCACGTCAACGAGAGACCCTCAGAAAAGGTTTTAGGTCATGGAGAAGCCTCATGACCGACCGCACCCCCGTTTGGATTTCTGAAACCATGGAGTCCCTTCTCCTCGCCCGCCGTGTCTGCAGAGCACATCATCATACCGCTCAGCTGCGCATGGAGGTTGTGGAGAGGTCTCGAGGGCGGCAACGCAGGGGCCGAGTGCTCAGGGTAACAGGGTTTCGCATGTCTTCCCTACGTACATGTACCTTATCCATGTCTTCTCTCTAGGCAAGTAAAGGTAAAGCAAAGTAGAGTAAAAAGCAGAGATGAAAGCGTTATGCATGACATTGTACATACATTACCCTCCCTCCGGTCGCCCTCCCTTCCCTCCCAGCAGCTTACGCAGCCCTCCCCTCGTTCTCCTCCCTTCCAAACGGCACAGGGCATTAGGGTCCCAGCCCCCAGCCCACCCTCCCCTTCTACCCCTTACATACCCATATCTAAGCATCCACAGCAACAGCAGCAACCTTCTCCCCAGCCCCATCCATCCCCCCGGGACTCCCCGGGCCTCCCACCTTGTCCAAAGGCGCCGCATGCAGCGCCGGCTTCGGCGCTTTCCCCATCACGCCGCGCTTCCTGCGGTCCAGGGCGCCGATGACCCATTCGCCTACCTCTTGATCAACCCAATCCTCCTTCTTCTCCGCAGCCTCATCGTCGGCAGCGGCGGCCGGGGCTTCACCTCCAACAGCGCCTTCAGCCTCCGCGGCCTCCTCGTCCTCCTCCATGATAGTTTGAGGCTTAGCCAAGGGAGCGAGCCAGGCGTGCTGCAGCAGCATAGGATACGTCGGCCGCAGCTTGGGGATCTTGTTCAGACAGCCGGCGACGAAGTCGCGGGAGATGTCGGAGAATGAGTCGGCGGGGAGGTCGGGGGGCTCGCCGTCTACGATTGCCTGTGCACACACAAACAAATCAGTACTAGTTCAAAAGGGAGTGGTGGATGGGGGCGGGAAGAAACTCACGCTAAGCTGCGAGAAAATATTATCATAAGTCTCGGGCGGATACGGGTAGCGACCCATCGCGCACTCGATAATCGTCAGCCCCAACGACCAGATATCGCTCTGCACACTGTACGTCCCCGCCGCGGAGCCCGGCTGCGCCGTCCCACCGGACGAAATCCGCTCGGGAGCCATGTAGCTCTGACATCCGATGTTCGTCCGCGCCATCGAAGCGACCAGGTTCCCGCTCACGCCGAAGTCGCAGATCTTCACCTGCCCGCGCGTGTTGACGAGGATGTTGGTGGGCTTGACGTCGCGGTGGATGATGTTGTGCTCTTCCTTGAGACTCTTGAGGCCGAGGACGGTGTTGAGGGTGATTTTGCGCAAAACGCCTTCCGGCACGCCGTCGCCGTATAAGCGGTCCACGGAGCCGCCGTCCATGAATTCCATGCAGATGTATACGCTGCCTTCTTGGAAGAAGGCGCCGTAGAAGTCGACGATGTAGGGGGACATGCAGCGGTGGAGCACGTCGAGTTCCATGATGATGGTGGCGAATTTGGCGTCCTCGAGCTCGAGTCGCATCTCCTTCATCGCCATGACGACGCCGGTGGTGCCGCCTGCTGTTGCGGAGCGAGGTGAGGAGGGGGAGTCGGATTCATCGGAAGCATTGGGACCACGAGATTTATTGCCAGCCAGCCCTTGCCCAGTCCGCCGGAACTTTGGCCTCGAATGTCGTACCTTGTATACCGTGCCGTAGTTGCCCTTTCCGAGCTCGTCCAGCGTATCCACCTCGTCCAGGCTGATGCTGAAGCTGCGTCCAGATGCAAACACCACGCCAGAGCCATCGATCGTCGCCTTGCCCTTGAACTTCAATGCGCCAGTCTTAGTGTCGATGAATTGGGCGTACTTGTCCATCTGGCTCTGCTGTTTCCGCTCATCGCCATTCTGCTGTTCTCCATCTCCATTTGTTTGAGCCTGTCCCGCTCCCATTTGTGATAGTGTCATGCCCGGCGGTTTTCTCCTCCCGCCGCCAGCAGCGGGAGCCGGTGCTGCAGCATTTGAGGCGCCTGGCAGACCACCAGGTAGCTTCATCCCTCTCCTCTCCGCCATGGACATGGGTTTTGCCGCGCCTCCTGCTCCTGCTGCCCCCGCCGCACCCGGTCCTGTGACTGCCGGCGAGCTGTTTGTCGTACTCGGCATCATCGGTCGCTGCATATGAGGTGGCAGTTTGAAGCCAGCGGGAAATCCTCCCATATTTCCACCCGTCTGAGCAGGCCCGGGTGATGCCGCTACGCTGGGACCGGGTGTCCGGCTGGTTGCTGGAGGCGGCTGACCTGATCGTGAGAGGGAGAAGGCCTTCATCTTGGCCATGATATCCGGGTTCGCTGCCGCACCGCCACGGCCGGCTATTGAAGATGCGGACGTGGTGGGCGGCTTACCACGTGCAGCGTTGAGGGTTCCGAGGGGTGTTGAAGAAGGATTCATATTCGCTGTCGTTGCCGCACCGACCGAAGAATTACTTCTGGCTGTTGGAGGCGATGCTGGAGAAGTCTGGCTGTGGACGAGCGGTGGGGGAGAGAGTGGTGGGGGCGATGGTGCTGAGTCGGAGTCGGGTGTCGAGACTTCGGAGAGGGGGGTGGTGAGGTCGGAGGGCGACTCGAAGGGCGACTCGGGTTCGGAGTCGGGGGTTGGAGAGGAGGCCATGGTGGTGGTGTACGAGGATGGTAGGGTGGTGTTGGGCTGATGGTCGGGAAGGCAGCGAGATGTGCAGTTGCGTTGCCCGCGAAGCTGCCAACACTTGGCGGGCGGACAAGAGAGGTGTACGCGTTCGCAGGTGCTGTCAGAGAGGGGTGGAGGAGAGAGAGTGGGTGTTGATGGGCAGAGATGATGTTCTGCAGTGTTTCACATCGGCGATGCGATGGATCGTCGTTGGCTGTGGCTAGTGACGATGAAGTGGATGCGGAGGAGGCGGCGGCGGTGCGTGCGCGCTGCTGCTCTTCCAACTTTTGCTGCCCGTCGTTGTACAGCAGATGGTGAGGGAAATAGGATGGTGGACGTGGACGTGGACGTCGTGACACTGGAATTTATCATGTGCTTCGCCACTGCCGGCACGAGCGGACCGCACAGCGAGAGTCAAGGACTACGACAACGGGAAATTCTTCGTCGCCCTCTCCGTCGTGCCCAGAAGACTCTAGCCCAACGCCTGTCCTTGCGCACACTCGCATAGCACCCGAGCGATGCCCAATGCCTCGTAAGCTGCACAGCATGAGAGCCATTCCGGGATGTTCGACCTGTCTCGAACATGGATTACTACTCTTGAGGGAGATGGTATGCTTGGCAGGTCGTTGCTGCTGTCGTCGCCTTCTGGCGTCATGTCCATGTCAATCGAGATAGACTTTCCACGACGGTTGCTTTTTCCTGCATCCAAGCACGCGCATTGGGCGTAGATATGGCTGGCTCGTCCTTATCAGGCGTGGGTGGAAGAGTTGGCAGCTTGATCGGTCAGACATTGCTATACCAGCAGAGCCTCTTCGTATACCATAGCAGGCCATTCAGACTGCAGTTCTACTGTATCAGCTTCACTGGTCGCATCAGTCAAAGTAGGAGAGACCCCGTCGGTTGGGCCAGAACCTCCGCGACGATCATCGGCGGACGCACGTGTGGCCTGTGGCTTGACGCAGCTCGGAAAAGTTGGACTGCCCAGCGCTTCCAAGGAAGCCGCCGCATCGCATTGAAACCTTCCACCACCGCTCCTCCTCCTCCTCCTCTCAAGCCGCCCGCTCCCTCCTTCCACCTCCTCCCTCTTCTTCTTCTGCTGTAATACCTCGATGTTGCAGAAGCAGTGCACGCTGGCTCGCGATAGCGGCGACGCGACTCTCCCGCGAATGACATAACGAACGAATCCAAAAGCAACAAAAGCATTACCCATTACCTCCAGGAAGCAACGACTCGACCGCTTACCTACCCTTCACTTCGACGCCCCACCACCGCCGACTCTATAAGAGGATACCCCAGAAAGCGCAGTCATGCCTTCCTTCTTCCAATCTCCGGCATCCTTCCGCGTCCGCTCCCTCGCCGACTCCATCACCGACTCCGGCCTCAACTACAACTCCCGCCGATCGATCCCCTCCCCCTCTGCCGGCGACGCCCAACTACCGCTCCTCATGGCGACCGCTCTCACAAACGTGACAATGGCCGCCGCCTCCTCTGCCACCGGCGCCGACTTCAATATCCTCAACGACCACAGCTCTCACCCCAACTTCCTCCACCTCGCCGGATTGGTATGCGAGGCTGTCTTGGAGGTGGTGTTCGTCGCGCTTCCCGGCTACATCGCCGCCGCGGTGGGCATGTTCAACACCGAGAATCAAAAGTTCGTCGCCGAGCTCAACGTCCTCGTCTTCACACCCTGTCTCATCTTCACCAAGCTGGCCAGTCAATTGAACGCGGAGAAGCTGGCGGATCTTGCAGTGATCCCAGTCATCTTCATCACGCAGACTCTCATCTCCTTCGCCTCAGCACACCTCATGGCGATGCTGTTCGGCTTCCGAGGGAAGGCAAAAAGACGGCAGAAGAACTTCATCGTGGCTATGGGTGTGTTTGGCAACTCCAACTCGTTGCCCATCTCGCTGGTCTTGAGTTTGTCGCACACTATCAGTGGGCTGCATTGGGACAAGGTTCCGGGGGACAACGACAACGAGGTGGGCGCGAGGGGCATTCTCTACTTATTGATATTCCAGCAGCTGGGCCAGCTGGTGAGGTGGACCTGGGGGTTTAATGTGCTGCTGAAGCCTAAGAGTGCTTATGAAGAAGAGGACAAGGCGGCTGAAGAGGCGAATGCAGAGGACAGGATTGCCGAGGAAGGGAGGTACACGGACGACTCTGGGAGTCAGGAAGATTTGCTTGTGGGCGCGAAGAAGAACGGCAAGCCGACGGACTCTGGGTTTGGGAGTGGCACTCAAACACCTGCGAGCAGTGCCAGTACCACCTCTTCAGAAGGCGACGACGAGGACACGCCGCTGATGGTCGGCGCAACACCCACGAACGGCAATCTCACGAACGAGCCAGACGACATCAGCCCCTCGAGCTCAAAATCCACCGGCGCCGCACCCGACGGCGCCCTCTACCAACGCGCCCGCTCCCAAAACCACATCACCACCTTCCCCAACTTCTCCCAGACCTCCGGCCCGGCGTCACCGCAAGACCACTCCGCCCAACCCTGGCACAAACGCGCCTACCACAACCTCCTCACCACGCTCAAATCCCTCTCCACGCGCCTGTCCGCCAGCCTGGCGAAATTTGGCCACGCCCTCTTCACCCGCCTCCCCTCACCCTTGCAAACCTTCCTCACCACCCTCCACAACTACAACGCCCGCTTCTGGCGCGGCGTCTGGCGCCAAATGAACCCGCCCCTGTGGGCCATGCTGCTCGCCCTCCTCGTCGCCTCCATCCCCGCCTTACAGCGCCTTTTCTTCACCCCCGGCACCCTCGTCGCCAACTCCGTCACCCGCGCGATCCAGCAATCCGGCTCCGTCGCCGTCCCCTTAATCCTGGTCGTGCTGGGCGCCAACCTCGCGCGCTCCACTCTCCCGCAGGACCAACTCGCCACGAGTCCAGAAGAAAAAGCCGAGGAGCGCAAACTCCTCATCGCCTCCCTGATCTCCCGCATGGTCCTCCCCACCATCATCATGGCGCCCATCCTCGCGCTCATGGCGAAATTCCTCCCGATATCGATCCTGGACGACCCGATCTTCATCATCGTCTGTTTCCTGCTGACTGGCGCCCCGAGCGCGCTGCAGTTGGCGCAGATCTGCCAGATCAACGAGGTTTTCATGGGGGCGATGAGTAGTTTGCTGCTGGCGAGTTATGTCGGGGCGATTTTCCCGAGTACGTTGGTGCTGGTGTTGTTGGCGTTGGAGGTTGTGGAGTGGAGTATGTGAGATACCATTATCAGCTTCGGGAGACGCTGGAGGTTTGCGAGGGGAGATATGTGAAGCTCTGGATGGAGGAAAGGAAAGGGTCGAGGAGCACGTGGGTATGGAGGGGTTTGAGGGAAGGAAGGGGGGTGTACTTGTATCACACGACCGTCACGACACTACCTCCAAGGTGTTCTTCGATCTGCACATTCTGGCGTAGCGTTCACTCGGCGTTTTGAAGGGCAAAGGAAAAGGAAAAGGAAGTGGTCTCCTGCTGAGTTATGCGATGCGGTGCTTTGAACGAAAGTGTACATAGCCAGGGTACGTCAAGCGGCGAGGGCATGCTGAAGAGTCGATACCTTAGAGCTATGAAAGGAATCGAAGGAATTACACCTCAGGCCCTTCTCTTTTCTCGCGGGTTTCCTTTGCTGGTTGCTCTTGCTGGTCTTGTTGCTGTTGGATGTTTGGCCTGCGACTCGAGATGGCTGGAAGTGGCCGGACTTTGAGCTGACGACGGTGAAAATGGTCCACTACCTCAAGTCAGAGTCAGCCGTGTGGTCGAAGGACCTTCTCGCAGAAACCGACAGCTCGCTGACGAGAGTGAGGTGGTTTAAGTGTCCGTTTGGGTACGGGAGAAGACTATGAGAAGTGCTCAACCGACCCATCGACTGGTGAGGCCACAGCTCACAGCCACCCGCCCGTCGAGTCAGATCTTCTCACAGACAACGACAGCTCGCCGACGAGAGTGGTATCGTGGTACGGTCTCTCGGCTGTGCTTGGGTGTTGGGAGAAGACTGCCAGGGGGTACACAATATGCCGCCTGCACTAGTACTTGCTTGGACCTCACCCCTTCGCACGGCAGACTGCTCGAGACGGGAGGCCTTCTCGAGCCGGACTACAAGGGCATGGCTGCCGTGCTGGTTGCATGAAACAGCTATCGGGTCCTGAAGACGGCTGTGGCTTGTTCTTTTCATGAACCGGCCGGCAGCGATCTCTGAGTGTGTAGACTGGACAAAGGACCTTCTCGAGCTTGGGTATAAGGTCACGGCAGCCTCGCCGGCTGTACGAACGGACGATTTGTGTCTCGGAGATGCTTGTGGTGGCCTCTGGCCTCTGCGGCTGTAGCGTTGGATATGGTGCTCGCCGGATCCAACTTCCGCGACGATATTGTACCGGGTCCACTATGGTCAAAGCCAACAAAGACCGATAGCAATGGCTCGACATCTGACTGCATCGACGTGTGGGTTGAATACAACAAAGAACGAGTGGTGAGTGTCTGCTTGAAAAAGCGCCCACATGACTGTCGAACGCCGGAAAATTTACTGACCGACTGGCAGTACCTAGCAAGCCCAATACATCCGCTCGTCAAGTTTGCTTTCTCTCACAACGACCGGCACAGGATAATCAAGATCGAGGATGTCGGCCAGCCCCGACTGGGAACATGACGACGAACAAAATGCCAGTGACCTACTGTTGAACAGCACCTAACCGCCCGTGAACCTTTACCACACTACGCGTTGGGCCGATGTGCTTCGCTATTGGGCCCACCAACTTCGCAAGAGCAATAATGATGCCTTGACTCAAGCGTCGAACAGCATCGAGCCTGAGACGGAACCAGTGGATGCTACCGAGTGGCACTCGTCCTTGGATATTGCCGAATGGGAGCGTATGCCACCGGAGATCAAACTCGAGGTCCTTACTAAGCTGTCGTTCACCGAGCTCCTGGTCCACGCCAACACTGTCTCCCCTTTCCGAGACGTCTTCCGCGAGCATGAGGCGGCTATTGCTCAAAGGGTTCTTATCGAGCCAAAGAAGAAAGACTTCCAGGATGTCCTCGACGGCTTCGACTACTCCAAGTACGAATCACTCCTCGAGGCGTTCGAGCACTGGGCTACCAACAAGACCCTTCTCGGGTACGACGAGGACTCGAAGGGACATCACCAAGGTCCGTCGGACTTCGTACACCACTACGCAGCCTGCTGCGGCATTAGCGACGCCAAAAAAACCCAAGCCATCAGCTCTTACGTGCAAACACTTGTGCTCAAGCACAACTACGCCGTGGTACACAGGAAACTGGGCGACTGGGTACCGATGACGCGCGAAGAAGCGCTGTCCATCGGCACCTCAATCAGTCTGCCACCGTCGGCTAAAGCCAACCAGACCGGTCAGCCCAACGATGTCCAGCGCATGGAGTCCCGCCACCTCATATCGACATTGTACGAAGAACCTCCTCGACGCTTCAACACCCTGACGAAGTTGACTTTCCGAGATATATATCACACTGGACAATCTGCAGAGTGGATCGCCGTCATGCCGTCCGTGCAGCGCCCGGAGTTGAAGGGTGCAGAGGAGACAGCGTTCCTGGAAATGTTCGACCTGCCGCGGATCCTAGAGTGCGGACCTGAGGATAGCCATGGGCCAAGGATAGCGTACTGCGCCGACTTCAAGTATCTGAAGAGGATCGGCGAGACCGTTCGCGAAGTGATGCGTCGCGAAGCTGCAGGAGAGGGACTGCTGAGGCCGCTCGTCGAAGCGAAGACTCTTGAGCACGTCTTTATTTGGTGATCGACCTTCTCTGAGAAGTGAGGAGATCATGAGGCGCGGAAAGCCTTGTTCTGGCCTCAAGGACCCCATCCCCGTCTGTGAGAATTTGGATCTACCGAGATTCTTGAGCACGTATTCACTTGGTAACAGACTGAAGAGCGACGAGAGGAGGTCCGCACCGTTCTCCGAAAAGCGTGAAGATCCTTGAGGAGCTGGAAGCCTTGTTCTGGCCTCAACGACCCTATCGCCGTGTGGGAGAACTGCGGTCTAACGAGAGCGGCATCCATTGAACGTCTGCGTACCACCGAGCCATATGTTTGCCGAAAGGGTTGTACCGTTGCGGAGAGGCGATGTTGTGGTACGCTACTTCAGGAGACTGTGATCAGCCTTGCCATGTCACGGGTTAGGAGGTACAACCACCTGAAGCATACATAGTAGAGTATCATCTCGCTTTCATCTCATGTTCCTCAGCATCACCCTTCGAGCACTTCTTTTCTCTGTTCTCCATTTTCACAACAAGGCTCTAAGAGTATCATGGCTGAAGCGAACACCTTCGGTACTCTCCAGTTCTCGGAAGGGGTGGACGACTGGGCATTGGATGGTGGCACTGAAGCGGCGAAGATGTACTACCACGCATTTGAGTCCAGTCGCAACTCGCCTTTAGCGCTCAGCGAAGCCCAGGAACGCCTCAAGGATCTGCTCGAAGGCCAATTGCAGGCCCTTGTGCCGGTCATTAAGCTTCGGCATCGGCACGTGGCTTTGAGAGAGGTGACCACCATGATCGACGGCATCACCGCCGAGTTGCAGCGCAAGAGCATGGAGCATCATTTTGCTTTCTGGCAGATCGGCTTCGTGAGCAGCATGGTTGGCCTCTTGGTAGCCAGTGGCAATGCAAACGTCGGACGCGACCCGGTCTTGCAGCCAATCCACCTGCGGTTGCATGGCGTGAACCAGCTGTACCCGAGAATAAACATCAGGCCAGACGAAATGTTGGCAGACTTCTGGAAATCTGCCGCACACAATGACGAGAAAAGCTTGAAGGCCGCTCTCCGTAAGGTCTTGAACAGTCTCCAGAGACCACTGACCGTGCTCAGCATGTCGGCGGCTCCATGGAACAAACATTCCGTCAACCTGTGGGAAATCCACCAGAACATCCGGCCGAGGCTGTGGGCGGCAGGATTCCGTTACATACCAATCTGGATCGAGAACTGCAGGCCAGCCTTCCTAGAGGAGAACATAGCTTACTATCGTCCCTCCATCATCCATCTGAGCGGCAATGATTCGTCATCGGGACTCTCCTTTCAAGACGAATCTGGGAAAACTCAAGTCGTGGACCAGGCTCGTCTCACGGATATCCTCCGGGACGCAAAGGTTTCAATGGGGCTCCGGGCTGTGATAATGAATGCTTGTTACAGCGTCGAGGCGGCGCAGGCCATCGCCGACGCAGCGGGCTTCTTGATCGGTACGAAATTCGGTCTCGACTTTGGCAATACAATAGGTTTTACCTCAAACCTCTACCTTGCCTTGGCGCGCGGTTCTTCGGCGAATGATGCTTTCAAGGAGGCGAAGGGCCGGACGTCGTAGGCGGACGAGTTGGAGCTAGAGCTTTACGAGGGATCATAAGGGCCCTGTTCCAGTAGGCGGCGCTCTCGCAATGGTGACAGTATCAAAGACCTAGCTTAGATCAGAACATCCTAAAGAGGTTCTGGGCAATGGATCGTTTGGCGGGAAAGATGGGAACAAGCGTGGCGACCTGATGCTTCACAGACACAGCATGAAGAGTGTAACCCAGCGGCAGGCGTGATGATGGGCATCGGTGTCACGGAGAAGGCAAATTTGACCGGCCTGGTGTCACTCCATTTCGTTTGTGCTTTGTGACTTCTGAAGCCGGCTGCGCTTCCCAGGTCACGAGCGTAGTATGAAGTACCTACATGGATTGAATGAAGTGTGAAGTCCAGAAAGACTCCCTCTCTCTGACAGCTTGCATTCACTTCTTGGCAGCGCTAACCCGATAAGAATCACTGCCACTTTCCAAGCCTCCAGGTCGCTTGTCCTCCTTCTCTCCTGCACTATTCACGACAAAAGGTATAGCATTTCTTTCTCATTCTCTGCCTCAGATCACGGGGGGCAATTATGCCATGTTGCGAACGGCAGCCATGGGCCACATCGATCTCCAACTTGGAAAACTCTTACTACCCCCAGGGTGATCATACATTCATGATTGTCCGAGATGCTGGCTTGTGTTGGGCTGAGTCTCCAGAAATGAGCAGCAAAGAATGATTGACTGGGCTCGCTGGCATGACTCCGCTCCAGCAAACTCCTGAGTACCAACGGTATATAAAGCCATGCAACCTTCCCAGACCTGGGCTATCACGAACCTTGAACTTGATACGACACAGCTCAATCTGATCAAACAGACTCATTCTCCGAAACCCTGATCCAGCCAAGTTCTAACACCACCTAGACGTCCAGCTATTATCACACTACGCTGAACAAGAGACCATCCTCACCAGCTACGTACTCCTTGGGCACTTCAATGGCCGCACTAACTTTCAACTTTGACGAGCACACTGGCGAGGTGACGGTGAACGGACAAAGCTGGCATGAAGTTCCTCAGTCCGAAAAGTCCACTTTACTGAAGACCCTATCCGCATCACAGCTGCTCAAAGCTGTAGCAAGCGACTCAAGAGCAAGCCAGGATATTCAGACCATGGAGGATGACATCGCTTCCTACATTGTGCGAGTCCACAAGCAAGCGCTCGAGGATAGCATGACGTCCTTCGATTATTGGCATCTCTCACTCCTCGACGCTCTCAAGCACTGGCTCGAACACAAGGACCTCTGGATCATCGATGGCTTTTTCCGCGCGGCTGACTTCGTACGATGGTACAACGGATTCCAGGTCTTCCTCGACTACGAGCCAGTCGACCGTTACGTCCAAAACTTGGTCCATATCTACATACAAGCCCACACAGACATCTCTGTTATGGCAGATGATGTGGAGAGATTGACAGAGATGTGCCGTGCGATTGAACTTCCCACGCGTGCTAGAGCAAATCGGTCGCACGACAGCAATAACGACGTTGAGAGGATCAAGAATGGCTACTTGGGAAGCTGAACATCCATGATGTGCTTCTTGACTACGCATGGATTGAAGCAAACTCGATCGTACCTCTTACGCCTACAACTTGGGTGGATGGTCGCCATGCGAAGGGCATCATAGCCGACCCTAGTTCCCCTGAAGTTCTAGCGAAGTTTGGCTTGAAGCCCTTTCGGGCTGTGGGCTTCTCGCTTGGGAACCGTCCACGCATGGCGTACTGCATCCGCAAGGAGGATCAGTCTGAGGTTCTTGAACTGATCGAGAAGGCTCTTAACGATGAGGCTCGACCATTAGAAAAAGCCAGAGTTCTGGAGAGTCTTGTCATCTACTAGATGTTTGAATCTTCTCGACTGAGACCGACTGTGACCACTGGATGAAGAGTCCTAATGGTACTAATGTTTTGTAGATAGTTTACTCGTGCCTGGTTGGATTGTATCTTAACATGCTAGAATGCTTCTCAACATAGATCCATTGAACTACGTATCACGAGTGAGTCGAAGCCAAAATCATGAACATCGATACTGAAAACCTCAGCAGACAGTGACACTTCCCTTCCTGCAGACGTTGGGCGACCTGTGGTCTAGTAGTGCAACAGCGGGATCCTTACACAAAGCTCGCTATCGCCAGCGCACAAGGCTGTGGATGTGGCACCAGACTGGTCTTTCAAAGCTTACCATAGTGCTTGCTGCAAATACTTCTTCTCCGATGTCCCAAGCTCCTCACAGAACAAGAACACCACGATGAATAACCTCAATCCTGATTTCACATCGGAGAAGGCGCCACACACCTATTCCACCGACATGGCTAACGCCTCGAGCAACTGGAGCATCGAGCCGCTGCTACCATTTCCACCAAAAGACTGGGGCAGAATGCTGGACCAGGTGCAATACTGTCTTCTCGAGAATATGACCGCCGCAGAACTACTCCAGCTCCTGCATAACAGCTCACGTGCTGCCACAGCCATCGAGAAACACGAAGCTACGATCGCCGACACAACAAAGAGAAGGGAGCACCAGCGGCTCCTAATTGAGGTTCAAATGTTCGATTACTCCCGTTGCATTTCGATGGCCGACGGGCTGGGGCTTTGGCTGGGGCACAAAGGCCTCTGTGTCGACCAGAGTGGTGTTCCGGTCCTGGATAGCTTTGCGCTCTTTGGATGAGCCTTCGGGGTACTGAAGGGAAGAAGGCGCGGCAGGACGCCGCTGCATATGCTGCAAATCTCATCCGCTTGTCGATGCGATTCAAGGGCCCAAACTCCTTAAGAGACTGAAAGTCGCCTGAGGCAAATGCTTTACGACGCTCAATAGGCCCTTCTCAAAGCTGATGACCCCAGCTATGTCTCCGAGTGGCGGCTATACTCAGACAGCTCAGACTCCGACATCAAAAGACTCAAGCTGGGCCGCGGTCTTGGCCACTATCGCATCCACAAGCATATCGACGCTTACCCGGAAGACGTGCCATTCTTTGACGGCTGCTATCCACTCACTCGCGTCTATGTCGACGCCATACCCAGGACATTCGAAGGTGTTACGAACCAGGATAAACTTCTCAGCTGGCTTGGTCTCCAACCAATGCCTGTCTTCGGTGAAGGGCCAACACAGGCTCCAAGGTTGTGCTACTGCGTCAAGACTATTCAAGATCTCCATACGATCAGCTACCTGATCACGAGGGAGCAAAATTATGGGAAATCAAGGGGTGATAGGAAGATGGGAGAGGGATGCTTGAGGCCCTTGGAGGAGGCGATGGCGTTGGAGTTGGTTCATGTTTATTGATGCACGACCGCCGAGTAGTTGGGAGGCTTACTGGGAAAGAAGGGGGAAGGTGCATCTTCTTGGCTCTAGCTCGGGATGCTGGAAGGTGGCGGAAGAGTTTGGATCGTACGGCGGAGGAGAAGGCTCATGAGAGACTCACGGGGAGGAAGGTCGAGGAGCAATCACTCCGTTAGAAAAGGCGAGCATGCTTGGGAAGGTCTTCGTATAATGATTGATGCAGCTGAGGGTGATGTATGTAGTAGCGTTCAGTAGATAGCCTAAGTCAGGCCTGGTTCGCCAACATTTTGAACCTAGCTATATTCCCAACTACAGGTGACACTATTGGCGTTCATCGTGAGTAACGTTTTGTGCCAGGCTCTTAGCAGCAGCGGACCAGACTTGGAGGTTCAAACCGGATCGATAGACGGGGTCTGAGAAGCCCTCTCGAAAGTGGGATCTTGGGTAGCAATGTCCACCGTAGTAAGGTTCTCCTATTAGTCGATGGAGTTCTGGATTGGAAGAGGTCGTTAGTGGCACCAGCAAGACGGACTGTTGAAGGAGAACAGCGAATGGTCGTTCCAGAGCCTTGTTTGCTGGCAATGACGAGGTCCCCCCGAAGGCCCCTCGGCTGTGCTACACGATGAACCCCGGCAAAAGAGCAATTGGATCGTTCAGATGTCTGGCGGCGAGGCTGAAGCTGAAGGCTCGTTTCGCGAATCGTTTCGAAACGCTGGACGGTGCTGAATATGGGACAAGCCTGGAGGACAATCTGACGTGAAAGGTCGAATTGGTATACGCATCTACGCTCGAACGCTTGTCAATGCAGAAATAGAATCGCCTCACAATCTCAATCGCCTTCATGGGTAACCGCCATGTCCAGCACCTCTGCCCTCGCCCTCCCCTTCGTCTGGGTGCTCACGAACTCTGACAGCGTCTTGTAGCTACCCGGCTCAACGAACCCAACGACTTCCCACTCCTCGCCCATCACATCTTGGCTCTCCACTTGCTCGACAAACGACAATATTTTGTCCTTCACCGTGCCTGTCTGTGCCTCCTCGCCCTCCGCTTTCGGTGCCGACTTGACGCTCTGCTTGAGAATGTTATTCAGACATGTAATTCTCAGCCGCATCCTCGCCCTCGCCACTGGTATTGGTTGATGTGCAATCAGTGCCTTCGTCGCATCCAACGCCTGCGCCTTCGCCGACCGCTTCTTCGCATCCACCACACCCGTCCACACCGGCTTCGCCTTCTCGGCCTTCGCCTCCCCATCTGCCTCGCCGTCTGCCTTCGGCGTGCTCGTCCCCGCGCTCTGCTCCCGACTCTTACTCCTACTCCCCTCGGCCCCCTCCCCTTTACCTGCATGCCTTCCTGCGTGCCCACCCTGACTACTCAACTGATCCAGCGCCTTCTCAATCATCCCCGTCGTATACACCCGCTTACTCTTCGGATCCACCAACTTGCCCGCCACAATATCAATCACCTCCTTATGAACCCTTTCCAGATCCTGCGCCCGCTCCTTCTCGCCCACCTGCACCTCGCCCTTCTTCAGAATCTCCAGCACGATCTCCTCGCGAGTCATGCCGGGGAAGGATTTTTTGAGGTCTTCATTCGGTGCGACGGCGCCTTTGGAGACGTTGAGAAAGACGTTGTTGATTTGGAGCACGTTGTCGAGGTCGGTTTCGTTGCCGTCGCGGTAGGAGTTGACGGTGTTTTTGTAGGCGGGGACTTCGAAGCGCTTTTTGCCTTTTTTGAGACGGACGAGGGAGACGTTGGTAAGGCGGATTTGGTTGGACGGTTGGTTGATTTGTTGGGCCGGCATCTTGTATTTTTGGTTGCTGTGGTGTGGATTGTAGTGGCATCCAGCATTCGGGAGAGAAAGATGGAGACCTGCACTTCGTGAATCATATCCCCGCCAAGATTTCGTCAAGGCGGAGGAACATCGGCCCGGATAAGCTGTGGCTGGAGAGAAGCTTGGGGCATCTCGCTGGTCGTCATCGCGAGTGCCCTCGTTGCCTGCTCCTGCGCGTGAGCTTCTGTCTCTCCTTCCTTCCTCCCACTCCCACTCCCACCCACTTCCATCACTTGCATCGTCGTCTGTTCATCACAACAGCGACACTTCTTGGATCATTGGAATCGACCTGAACACTCGCCCTGACAATCGGTCAGGTCTACTACAGTACATTGCGTGGCTGGAAACACAACCCCATCAACAACGACCATCATGAAGGTCCTCACTTCGGCGCTCCTCATCGGGGCTGCCAGTGCGGCTGTGCCGCAGCAACAGCAACCCCTCATGTCCTCTGAGACTGTCAACGATGTCCTTCAATCGGCCAGCGATAAGGCCTCATCATGGACGAAGCCGCTGGAGAACCTCCAGCACGAGCTCAAGCACCTCACCGAGGAGGCCCGAGCTACTTGGGACGAGGTGGCGCTCATGTTCCCGGAGAGCATGAGCCAGGCATCCTTCTTCAGCATGCCAAAGAAGCACACCAAGAGGCCCGCCAGCCATTGGGACTTCCACACTGTTGGCAAGGATGTCCAGAGCGTGTGGGTCATGAACGAGGATGGCGAGCAACAGCGCGAGATTGATGGAAATCTCGAGTCGTTCAACCTCAGGACGAAGAAGGTAGACCCAGGCAGCTTGGGCGTGGACAAGGTCAAGCAATACTCGGGCTACCTCGACAACGAAGAGGACGACAAGCATCTGTTTTACTGGTTTTTCGAGTCAAGGAATGACCCCGAGAACGATCCTGTGGTGCTTTGGTTGAATGGTGGCCCTGGCTGCTCGTCTTTGACCGGCCTATTCATGGAGCTTGGCCCGTCTTTCATCAACGAGGACCGCGAGGTCAAATTCAACCCCAGCAGCTGGAACGCGAATGCATCCGTGATCTTCCTCGACCAGCCAGTCAACGTTGGCTACTCCTACTCCGGAAGCAGCGTCAGCAACACCGTCGCCGCCGGCAAGGACGTCTACGCTCTCCTCACCCTCTTCTTCAAGCAGTTCCCAGAGTACGCCAAGCAGTCCTTCCACATCTCTGGCGAGTCCTACGCCGGCCACTACATCCCGGTGTTCGCCTCTGAGATTCTTTCCCACAAGAACCGCAACATCAACTTGCAGTCTGTTCTCATCGGCAACGGCTTGACCGACGGCCTCACCCAGTACGAGTACTACCGCCCGATGGCCTGTGGTGATGGTGGCTGGCCAGCTGTTCTCGACGAGTCTGAGTGCACCAGCATGGACAACGCCCTTCCTCGCTGCCAAAGCCTCATCCAATCATGCTACAACAGCGAGAGCGTGTGGTCTTGTGTCCCGGCCTCCATCTACTGTAATAACGCAATGATCGGCCCTTACCAGCGATCTGGCCGCAACCCGTACGATGTCCGCAAGGACTGCAAGGGCAACAGCTTGTGCTACGACGAGCTAGACTGGATTCAGGAATACCTCAACAAGGACGATGTGATGGAGGCGCTTGGTGCCGAGGTCGACAGCTACGACAGCTGCAACTTCGACATCAACCGCAACTTCTTGTTCCAGGGTGACTGGATGCAGCCATTCCACCGTCTGGTACCTGGCATTCTTGAAGAGATCCCCGTCCTTGTCTACGCTGGTGATGCTGACTTTATTGTACGTTCATTCCCCTTTTCTTATCCATGAAAAACATGTACTGACTGATTACAGTGCAACTGGCTCGGTAACCTCGCATGGACCACTGAGCTCGAATGGCCTGGCCAGAAGGCCTACGCCAAGGCTCCTCTCGACGACTTCAAGCTCGAGGAAGACGGCACCAAGCTTGGCTCTGTTAAGTCTTCGGGTAACTTCACCTTTATCCGGGTGCACGCGGGTGGCCACATGGTGCCCTACGACCAGCCCGTGGCGAGTTTGGAGATGCTGAACCGGTGGTTGAGTGGCGAGTGGATGCCGAAGGCGTAAGAACGGTGTTAAGGATGGAGAGCGGAGTGTGTATCGAGCAGGCGACTGCTCCGATGAGGCTTGTATGGTTATACTACTAAATATCTGATGTGACGATCATGCCTCAACAAGCTTTCAACACGAGTCTGCCATGCCTCAAGTTCAACTTCATCCGTATTCAGTCTCCCGTCCTTCGTTTTTCATTCTACTGTCACCGAGAGCATATGTGCAAAACCGCAACATTGATGAACAATTACGAAAACATGCGAGTCCGAATGCGTACAACAGTGGCCCCATGGCTCCGAAGTAGAGCTCCACCACCCGATGTTGCCCCGCCGCCGTCAACTTCAGCCCTTTGACAAGAGGCTCCTCAATGTAAAAATCTTCAATATAAGACAATTCCAACACATCCACGACCAGGTTCTACAGCGGGATATACGCATCTCCCAGGGACCGGACCATCGTCACTGTCACCCAGTCGTCGAATCCATCTCCAGCACCACAACCATGGCCTCCGCGATCCCCATCCCCAACGAAGACATCTCCTTCGTGGGCATCAAATCCGGCGAAACCTTCAAACTCGGCCCCATGACCTGCCGCATCCTCGAAGACGGCTCCCACACCTCCCAGCGCCTGGGAGTCGCCGAGCTAACGATGCCGCCGCACACGCCCGGGCCGCCACCGCATTGGCATGAAATGCACGATGAGACGTTTTTGATCCAGGCTGGGACGGTGCGGTTTCATGTGCCGGATCCGGAGAGCGAGGGGAAGGATAGGGTGGTGAGGGATGCGGGGGTGGGGGATTATGTTGTTGTGAGTATTTTCTTCTTCGGAGGCCAATGGAAGGGTGGGGAGGGGGTGAGGTTTGAGGGGGTTGGTTTGCTGACGAAGGGTCAAAGGTGCCGATTAGAGCGCCGCATACTTTTAGCAATCCAGGGGATGAGGAGGCGACGATTATTTTCACTAGTAAGTTTTTCTTGCCCCTTTTCTCTTTGTCTTGGGTAGGGGGTCGTTATGCTGATGTTGAGATTGCAGGCACGCCGAGTTTCTATATCAACTACTTCAAGCTGTTAAGTTCACTGAGCAAGCCGGATGAGCCGTTGCCGGGGGAGGTGACGATGAAGGCGATGAGCATGTTTGCTACCATCCAGGTGGATGGGAAACCGAGGCTGGCGAAGTAGGAGAATGAAGGATGGCCTTCGGTGCAAAGAGGCCGGTACAGGAGTTGAAGGTAGGCTGGTGGCGGAGGTCGATTGGAATGAGGCACTTCAATCAAATGGTAAAGGCACGTTTGATACAACTCTTCTGGCCCGTGGACCCGTATGGTCATCCGGGCTTCAGCTTGAGGATCAAGTAGCATCGCCACATCTCTCTCAATATCTTACACATCGCTCTGCCGTACCTTTCCTCATCCCTCAGTGTCCCATATCTGTCGATCGCTGTACCTGCGTTGCTGTATTCACGCATATGCCTCTGAATCCCTCGCAAAAGCGCTAGAACTCCGCCTGACACCCCCCATATGAAACGCCTGAGACCCCAGCTTCGTCAATCGCTTGATCTTACATGATATCCTGAATACTGATCCGCCCGCTCCCGCCGTTTCCGCCGCTATGGCTGCTATTACCCGGCGACAGCGACGAATGCTGCGACGTGATCGACGGCTGTGGCGCGAGATGGTGCATCCCGGGTGTTTGTGGCGGAGGTGGGTACGTCCATGGTGGTGGTGGGTATGTCGGTGAATGTTGTGGGTAAGGCGCTGGCTGCTGTTGCGGTGGTGGTTGCTGCTGCTGCTGTTGTTGATGCTGGGTCTGCGGCGGAGGTCCCATCGAAGCTTGCTGGTCCTGAAGCAGTTGATTGAGCGTCCTCTGTACGTGATCCCACCCTCCCCACTCGTGTGTCTCGCGTTCTGTGAGCGAAGTGCTGTTCGGAGACTCGTTCGGGAAGGCGTTGCGATGAGCTTTGCTGAGCGCTGCACCGGTGTCGCTTCCAATCCAGACCCAGCTCTCTTCACCGCAGCCCTGGAGGTCACCGCTGGTGTACGCGAGCATCTCTTCGTCTTGCTCCAGTGTGTCTCGGTTCGCACCTGATCGTAGTCGGCCGATGAGTTTGTCGAGGAAGAATGCAAGGTTTCGCCCGCAAGCTGTGTTACTCTTGCGCAGGTCACCGATGCTTGCTGATGCTTGTACGATTGTCAAGGCTTGAGCAAACTCCAGTCGTAGACAGAGCACCAGAGCGCAACGCCAGAGGTGGGAGCAGAAGAATGCCGGCGCCATGGTCCTTAATCGTGCTGCCCAATTCGCCATGTGTGCTGTTGAGTAGAAACTCTGGCTGGGTGAAAGCGAGCCCTGCTGCATCGAGCGCTGTACGTAGTGTGCTGTGTCGATGCCGACGCGGACGCATCGGTCGAGCGCGTCGCGTCTATCCGGGGCACGACAAGCGGGTGAGAGGTTGTGGCGGTAGAGGAAAAAGCGCGCAGTTTGCAGACTGCATGCTGCCATGAGGTGTCGTGGGTCGAGATAGGACTGTGTATGGATCGAGAACGGTTCCGGGTAGGTGTCCATGATGGATCGGAAGTGGTCATCGTAAAGAGTCAGTGTTGCTACTGCGATGGTGCGGGACTTGAGCGTCTTCTTGAGTTGTGCAATGAGGCGTACGACCGGGATGACAGGTATTAGCCCGTTCGTGGACGTAGTTCCTGGAGGTGGGAAGCTGATGCCAGTAGGGCGGATGAACTCGTCGTCGACGGGCGTAGGCTCAGTGACATCGCAGTCGTCGTCATCTATCGTCAGGGGCCTGCCGACTTCTAGTGAAAGGAGGCTGTCACTTGTCAGCTAAACCTCTGGCACAAGGACCAAACGAAACTCACCGATCCCAGTTGTAGATGCTCCACCAGACGCGCCTCCTCATTTCTGCCTCCACAGGCGGATACGGTCCTCGATCTGTATGCAGCCCAATGTCCTGTGCAGTCCTAATAGCACCTCCCAGCCACATCCACCCTGCCGACCTCATATTCGTTTCGATGAAGTAGATGCTAATGAGCAGCGCCGCTCGTACGGTGTCCAGCGTGAGCTCATCGCTCCATGTGTTGATACACCTCACGCAGGTATCCAGGTACCCTGCACCTTCTCCTTCTTGCGCAGGCGCGTTTGGCTGTGGATCCATCAGAGTCCCGCAAGCCAGAACGCCGTAGAATACAGACACCCAGATATGGGGGGACTGTTGGAAGCTGCCCAGTCGGTACACCTGTTCATACTCTTGTATGAAGGTCGGCCAATGCAGGTGCGGTGCATACACGTGCACTGAGCCGTGGTAGTGCGAGAGCAATCTGTCGGCGACATGTTTGGGCGGGAGTTGATGTGTTGCGTGAGGGTAATTCGGCTGAGAGCCAAATGTCCGGTAAGGTGGTGGTGGTACAAAGATGCCTCTGGAGAAGTTTCGGATGTTCTGCCTCGTCTCGTCAAGTCCGTCGATGGCTGGTGGTCCTGGCCTTCGCTCCTTCACACTGGCATCAGGAAGATTCAGAGTCGGAATGTTGCTGGTGCCCGCCTCAAGGTCGGTGGCGCCTCTGTCTCGTAGTTGCGCATTTAACGAGTCGATATGAGCTTTCGCGTTCGCCAGCTGCTTCTCCAAATCCTGCACCTGCTTGATCGAGGACATCCGCCGGTTGGTCTCCTTGGTGAACTGGCACTTCACGCCTCGACTTGAGCATTCCGAGCAGCTGGTCATGTCGGTTGCATCGCATTTGACCTTCCGTTCCCGGCAGGCGTCGCAGCTTGGATCCTTTCGACGTTGGCGGTAGGCTCTCTTTGCCGCATTCTGTTGTGTGGGTGAGATGCCAGGTGTAGACATGCTCGGATCGTGGTTCATGTACTGGTCCTGCATCATGGTAGGAAGCGCTGCTGCTTGTCCAGGCAATGTAGGATATGGGTAGCCTTGGGATAGGCCATTCATGTGGGGATGAGCCTGTCCTGCAGGTGCGGGCGATGCTGGATTGTCTGTGGGTTGTTGTGCTCCAGGTGTCGTGAACACGGCCGAAGTCGATGCCAGAGGGGCTGCTGGCGCAGCTTGTGAGGTCGAAGGTGTACCGTAGGGCATGTGATGCGGTTGAGCTGAAGACCGGCCGTTGGGCATGTTGTCGCTGAGGCCGTCCATGTCCATGGCGGGTGGATGTCGAGTATAGACGCTGTTACGAGGAGCCCGCCAGAATGGACAGTCTATAGCATAAATTCCCACTGGAGCCACGTGGAAAGCGAAGACGTTGGTTTGAATGCAAAGGAAGTGCTTTGAAGATCATTCCACGCGAACGTCGTGCGGCAGATATGCATCCAATGAGGTCGGCTCCGGTGCTAGGACAGCGACGGCGGCGTTGCGAATGGCATTACTGCAACGGCACGGGGCAAAGGAAGACAGGATGCAACGTCAGGGTCGAAGCAGCGTGGTGATGCGAAGGAGTGTATGTTGTAGATCACCGGCGGGCAGGGAGAGAGCAGGGCCAGAGACCGGAGCGTGGTTCGGGTGGCTGTTTGGAGAGAGTTGAAGTGCACCTGCGGAAAGAAGAGAAAGATGTGCAAGCCACAGGCTTTGGCTAAAAGCGGCGTAGAGCGTAAGAATGCTCCCTGTTCAACCCAGGCATTGGATGGACTTCGTGGGAACAACGTGCAAGGGCAACAAGCGAGATGCCTAGGCACGACGACGCCCACTCGACGGCATTTGTGGCGGCGGCGCACGTGCGAGAAGTATCACTCTGCGCCTTGAACGTGACACGACGGCATGTGAATGACATCTACAGTGTCCTATGACACTCTCTGAAGACTCCACGAACATCTTGTGCAACAAACATGTCCATCTCTTCGAGAAGTTATTAGGGAATAACAGTATACTACTCCACGCCTTTTCCAAAGCTACCCACGCTACCGGTACGCCCGCCGAGGATGTCCAAGGATGTCATCACCGGCAAGACAACTTGGACCATCCAGCAGTAGTTGCATTGCACGGCAGACCACAGTACCAGACTTTGATCCCCTGGTTCCTCCTAATGCGCCCCGCCAATCGCCGGCCCCTGGCGACCTATCCGCAAGCACAAAGCACGAATGATAGCATTGCGGTATAGCCGACTTGTGTGTTGTCGGCAAGGATGGGGCGCTAGGGACCGGGAGAAGGCTCGCGTGCGTGCTTCGAGAACGTTGTGATCTAGATTCGGAACCAGGTGTCTGTGCCCTAGATCGAGGCTGACTCTCGGAAGCCACCCTCGGCATCCTCTGTCGTCGGTGCACCTGCTGTAGCGATGCTGCTGTGAGGCTGTCAAGCGAGCTGTGAGCGAGACAACACTCACGCCGCGGAAATACAAGATGAAAGCTGAGAAGTCCTTCGAAACTCTCTCATGACGATCCGGATAGTGCCTTGGAACGATATGCACCAAGCCTTCCTGAAGAGGCAGGTCGCTATCCCATACACGCTTGTCGGGAACTGATGGCGCACCTGCAGCACTCCCGGCTCACCATTCCGAAGCGTTCAGCATCAGCGGCGTTGGAGACTTTCCGAGTGGACGACGGGTCGTGCCTCAAGCCTCTCGTAACACACCGAGAGTCACGTTCTGCAGACACGTTTTCTGTGCTGTCCACATGTACTGTGCAGCCACTCGTGTTCAGCTGGGAGCTGGAGTACCGCCGCGAGAGAGTGACAGAGCCGCTGTGGCGCCGCCACGTCGCTGTATGACGGCTTCTGTGCCTGCATCGCTAAGCGAGTGCAAACAGACACCAAACACCCACGCTTAGCTCCTTCTCAACGTCCAGGATGACTAAAGGATTACACTGGCACCATCGCGAGTAATGCGCTTTTCTCGAACTCCCGGATATTGTCGTTTCAGGTGCCACACAAGGCTGACGAGATCTGCGCAAGATCGTCCCGTTGCATCGGCTAAGAGTACACCCAAGCAGATCGACTCCTTCTCCCGTCTTCCGCCGCCAAAGTTACCTTGTCGGTGGGAATTTCAAATCCTTCCCTGTGGACACCGGCAGATTGTTCGCCCTGGCAATTCGACACGCCATCGGTCCGATAGCCCCCCCAAGCCGCTCAACAGGGGAGTCGTCGTGCTGCCGGACTCGCAAGCGGGCCACGTTGCCAGACCGGTCTGTCAACCACCGACCCTGGCGTCTGATCTCCGCCTGTTCCCACACCTCGGAATCGTCTGCCGGTCAGTGCGGGCTCTCGCAACGTTTCGTGCTAGGAGAGTACCCCGTGCACGCGGCAGACGCGGGTCCAGCGTGGAGGTCGGCCATTTTGCCGGCAATTGAGCAATGAGAATCCTTCGTCTTTTGAGACTTCGGAGCCAGCAGGAGCGACTTCCTAATGGAGCAGGCCGAGCCTGCGTGTCAAGGGTGGACACGTGAAGAACAACACCTCCTTCACAGTCCCAGAATTCTCGCTGCCATACAGTCCATCGGCAGCACCTGGCTCCTTCGAGAGTCAACGCAGTGTACTTCGTCAACAACTGGGCCTATCTACAGCAGCAGACTCTTGTGGGCACATGGTGTGAGCAACCGCCAGCGAGAGACATCGGATCTGGCCGATACGGTAAGCAGAGTTTTTACAGGTATCAGTTATCTCTAGTCCTACTCCCCTTCAATTGAACGTGTCCAAACAGCAGCAAGCAGTCCATTCTCTCCGTTGGCAGTCGCATTCTGTTGCTATTATTTCATATATTGAAAAGTTGAAGAGAAAGCCTACACCAGCTCGAGCAGCATTCAATTCCTGCAGCGAACAGCCTTTGGCAGTGGGAGACGGCGCAATGTGCCAATCACCGCTCCACGGCTTCGTCCATGCGCTGCCGAAGTGTAGGTCTCTCATTGAAGCGAATGGCGGCCGATGCTTATTCATGGCCAGGTGAACACCACATACACATTGAAGGAGCTCTAACGCCAGAACTGCTCTTCCAACTGGCGTCAAGCAACGGTGTAACATTACCCACAGATGACCATGCTTTTCAATCCGTCAGCACGTTATACGAACGATACCAGCATTTTGAAAGCCTGGACGACTTTCTCCATTACTACTACATCGGCATGAGTGTACTAGTTACCGAATCTGACTTTGAGGCGCTCGCTTGGGACTACTTCCAACACGCCGCTCGAGATGGTGTGGTTCATGCGGAGGTGTTCTTCGATCCGCAAGCTCATCTATCGCGTGGTATTTCGTACGAAACGATACTTTCAGGCTTCAAAACGGCCCAGACCAGGGCACTCGAGGAGTTTGGCATCACAAGCGAATTGATGTAAGCACCCACCCCTTTCTCCTGGAAGAGTTCCAACGATCAGGTGCTTACAACAACACTGTAAACATTAGCTGCTGCTTCCTCCGCCACCTTCCCGTCCCGGACTCCCTCGCAGCGTTCAATATTCCAGAGTTGCAAGCAAGCCTTACCAACGGCTCGGTCGCAGGCATTGGCCTCGACTCCAGCGAATCTGGCTTCCCACCCTTACTCTTCAAAGACCTCTATCAGCAAGCCGCCGCCTTCGGAATCCGCCGCACAGCGCACGCAGGCGAGGAAGGTCCGGCGTCGTATATCCGCGACGCCCTCGACACGCTGGGAGTTAGCCGTGTCGATCATGGGGTCGCGCTCGTGCAGGACCGGGAGCTCATGGCGCGGGTTGCGGAGCAAGGCACTTTACTGACAGTATGCCCTTGGAGCAACGTCTTTCTCAAAGGCGTCAGATCGGTCTCTGAGCTACCGATCCGGGAGTTCCTGGATGCTGGTGTGCAGTTCTCGATCAATAGCGACGATCCGGCGTATTTTGGGAACCACTATATTCTGGATAATTTTTGCGCAGTGCAGGAAGCTTTCAACTTGTCTGTGGATGAGTGGAGAAGAGTGTGTGAGGCGGGGATTCGGGGGAGTTGGTGCAGTGAGCAGAGGAAGGCGGAGATGTTGGAGAGGCTGGAAAGGGTAGTTGCAAAGTACGAACAGGCGTGAGGCGAAGGTCTGTCGGGTGAAGGGATGTTGTATTCAATGTTGCTTCCGCATCTCTGAGTGGTGCGCGAGTATATTGTACTCACCTAGATAGAAGCATTGCGCGGCAACCGCTTGCTGCAGAGCGGGTCGTTTCGAGGAGGTGGCGGAGCCGTTAGCGTGGCAAGGTGTACGAGGCCTTACACTGTACCCACGAGCGCTGGGTCTGAGACATCGTGAGAATGGCCTGTCGAGCCTGTCTGCATCGAACCGACCTCAGCTGAGACATCGTGAGAATGGCCTGTCGAGCCTGTCTGCATCGAACCGACCTCAGCAGATTCATCGTTCAGCAGTGGGCTATCTTGATCAGCTGAAGAGAAGGCTTCTCGCAATGACTGCCTGATCAAGCAATTGCAGCTTTCACGCAGTTCCTGAACAAAGATGAAGGGCATGCGGAAACAGCAGCTGGGCGCTACGCCAGGTGGGAGTTGTGTATGCAGAGTGGATGTTGAACTCGATGCATTTCGGTCGTGGCAATGCCTCTATTGTAATGCTTATGCTCTGGAGCTATCTATCGTACAGGTTACTCGAGCGTGTCGCTCTCGCATCTCCCACATTCCTTCACCTTCCATGCTCTTTCAATGGGTATGCATCACCACACGCATTGTCCACACCCACGATACTTGTATATTCGAACTCATCAAACATGCCGTCTCCATGTAGAGTTCCTCCGTGAAGCCTGCCCCCGGTCTGTCGTCTGGTCTCGTCGTTGAAATCAAGGAGAGTCGTAGCAGCCCCATGCCGGAGCCGCTGTGTCGTATGCAATCGAATGCCATGTAAACTCGTCATCAAGAATGTATGAAGTCGGCCCAGATGCATGAACCGACGTCTTCCCATCTGCGTCCAATCCCGCCCGCCTCGTGTATCGTAGCCTCCCATTGCAGTATTTGTCGTCATGGCCCGAAGTAATTCGACGGCCCACCCTCAGGAGTCCTAGTAACCCGCTTAGCCCGGAATTCCTCTCCTCAAACCCAGATCGAAGGCGATACGAACCCTCCTGCGAAATTGCTCGACGGCAAGTATCCGTACATCTGCTGCTCGTCCTGCGGCTGGTAGTTCTGCGCCGGCAAGCCGGGAGACGGCACCGCGCCCCATGCTTGTGTGCCCCAGCTGAAACCGGGCTGTGCTGATGACGGGACTTCGAGGAAAGGTGATTGCGCTGCTGAGGAGGATTGGGAGGTGGAGTAGTGGAGGGCGGGTGGTGCGAAGGCGGGGCTCATGTTGCCGATGGACGCAGGGCCCATGGTTTCGGGGCTCATGGTTGTGAAGTGGTGGTCTTGTGCGGTCGCCATATGCTGGAATTGCGCTGCGCGGGTTCGGTATTGGAGGGCGACTTGTTGCGGGTATTGCATGACGGTTGCAATCTCCAGTAGTGCTGGGCTCATCACCTGCTCGGTCTGCATCGAATCCGTCACGCCGATAATGGCCTCCAGCGGGGGCAGCGCAATTGCACCGCAGAACGATGAGCCCAGATCCGGGAATAAGGGCTCAAGTGCCAACGCTGTCGCGTAGAATTGCGCCAGTGTCAACATGGCCGGGCCCTGACTTTGCGTGCGTTGAAGCAACGCAACCGGAAGCCACATGAGCCATTTCCGTAGGTGGTAGAACTGGCTGAATTGGTCCGGAGCTGACTGTGCAGGAGGCATGCCTTGCAGCCGTTGGATGTAGGTAAGCAACTGGGAGATCCAGTGAAGTTCGCAATCTTGCCCCGCCAGAGCCATCTGCGCTCGCTGCACGGCTTGCGCGGCCTGCTGAAGTATCGCGCTCCTTTCGCTGAACGGCACAGACGAGCGCCTGCGATGCGTGCGGTATGAATTGGCGATGATGTCTCCTTCCACCAGGTATTCGGCAAAGTTCGACTCGTGCGGCCAGGATCGCATCGTATTCAGGATCTGTGACATGTCAGTATTTGTGTGAGAGACTTCTATGCGAGTTTACCAACCGATTGAATGCCGGCTCGAAGCGAGGACCAACTCCGCCTGCGCCTGTTAGTCTAGATCTGTGGTGGTATGGTGCGCGCGACTCACCAATCCGTGGCCTGCCAAAGCATCAGGACAGACCCAGCCAGTACAGCGTCTGCATTCTCACGCGAGAAGCTTCCAATGGCCTCGTGTAGCCCTCGCAAAGCAATGCTGCCATGATGGATATGCAGCGTCCGCGCTTCATTCGATCGATGAGTCCATGCCAGATGGTTGGCGGAGAAGGAAAGCAGAGCGTGCATCACAAAAGGGTAGGAGGAGGCTATGCTTAGGAATCTTGGATGACATGTCAGCAAGTAATCATGCCGTAAAACCGATCAGCGCGTGACCGGGCAACCATCGTCTTACTTGGGTATCTGTTGTGTGAACACAGTGAGCTTTGAAGAGCCGTTGCGACGAAGGTCGTTGGAGAGCGATGACAAGTGGTGAATTAGACGTAATTCGTTCTTCGAATATTCGTGGGTTGAAGGTGGTGGGAAGACCTGGAGATCCGGATATGGGAAGCTTCCAGTTGCCTGCCATATGTCCACCAGGTTCTCAGACGTGGGAGTGAGAGCGACGACAGGCTGTTCTGGGCTGGACTGAAGGTCTGAGTCTGACAAATTCTCCATGTAATCGCATCGTACTTGGTGCTTCGTGCAGTTACGGCTTGCTGAGAGTTAGTATTGAAGAGAAGTCGATATGGACAGCCATGACTGACCATTGCGGGAAGGTCTCATCGCAGCGAATGTGCCGGCGTTTGCAAGTCTTGCAACCTTTGCGGCTCTTCGTGTGAGACCTTCGAGAAGGGCCGGCGGCACCTGGGCCTCCTGCCATTGAACGAGATATCAATGTCGGTGGACAGGAATAAAAGTCTCGTATTTGCTTCCCCGCGTCGGTGATCTTCTTCCAGGACTTGTAGACTTCTCACAGCTGGGCGAAGATGTTGACGAGGTTAGGCGTCCAGAAGATATGACGATCTCCTCCAGCAGGACAAGGGTGAGAGCGACAGTGTAATGCCTTCCTGCACTATTAGGATAGCAACGAACGGAATAGCGGGAAGGGATGGATAGACAAGTATAACGAATGTAGTCAACCCAACTTCAAGCGAGTGTGTAGCCTGCTGATGAGAGTCTCATCCGGTGGAGGCCGGCATGCGATATGTAGTCACAGAGAGCCATTTCCCTCATGGAGTAGCTTAGATCGAGGTGGTATAATACTGACAGAGCTGCATCGAATCTTAGAATAGCCTGCGTCGAAGCTAGCTGGATGGGAGATGGTTCGCCTGGACCCCGGAGCGCATCAGCAGCCCGAGCAGGAGAGTGGAAGCCGGTATGAGATCACGGCGTGGACAGCTGCACGTCAAGGCGAGGGCCCGTTGCGACCCATGCCTCGCATCGTGTCAATAGAGTTGCCTCTGGTCAGCAGAGGGAGGCAAAGAGAGCAGGTTGAGCCTTGATTGGGCGACGAATTGCCAAAAACACCACCCGAGCCGACGGTATGGCCCAAGAGAGTAACAACCCACCTTGCCAGGAAGAGCTAGAGAATCGACGCGGGCAACGGGCATGCTTGTCTGCTGTCAGGAACGCGCCCGAGGCGGATGGGAGGGCCTGGCACTTGCGATGGTTTGGACTCAGCCTCTCCTGTACGACGCCCCACGGACGCTCACCCCTCCAGTCGGTCAGACTCTCAGCAGCGATGACGCCGGCCGGCGAAGGATGAGGTCGGCGACGCGGTCAGTGAAGACGGTCCAAGCGGGTGAGGCCTGTTCACAGTTCGCCAAAAGGTTGTGTAGGTAGTTTTTGCTGAAGACCAAAAATAGGACGAACAAGAACAGCCAATCAGGGCCCTTCCAAGAAGGCAAAAGCTTCAACGTCTACCGAGACCCTGAGCTGATCGCGCAGACCTCACTGCTGTTTGGACCGCACTGGTCAGGCAAATGGCATTCGCTTGCGTCGGTGTCCTGACTACTCCCTAGCCCCGTCGTGAATACGAGCATATGAAACCCCATTCTTCCCGTCTTGAAGGATGGCCTTCGGTCGACAAGCAGTACGCGGCCGAAGCGCCTCTCCATCATCAAGGTCTTCCCTCGAGCCGGAGAGTCGCACGCACAAGCACTCGACTCGCTTGGAGCGCCTACTTTTGGGTTGGCCGTTCTGGGGGCTTGCAGAAGTGTCAATTGTCTTGTGACACATACAACTATTGCCATGCGGGCAGCGAAAGCCAATCTCTAGCACCATGTGGATATAGATCGACGACGTGCTACCACCCTCCGGGATGCAACAGCGTTCTGTCCTCGTGTAAAGTAGCATTGCGAGGTCTCGTCCCGGCGTAGGTTTGGATCGGCGAAGCCGTCCGATCTCAAAGTCTCGAAGGTGACGTATCGCCAGCTGCAGCTTGTGGACATGGCTTGCGTGAGGATGCATTCGAGGTGGAATGCACGCGGCAAAATCCTCCTGTTTCGCAAAGCTCAACGACGACTTCTTCTCGTCTCTTGCAGACCTCTCACAGTCGAGAGAAAGAAGATGCCTGGAGACGAGCCGTTTGCACAGCCACGCTAGGTCAAAAGCTTAGCACCTGGTTCTCCGCAGGATCAAAAAGCTGTGGACTCAACTGAGACCCCTGGCTATCTTTAGCTCGCCTGACATCAGGCTTCACCACCGACTGCACTTTATGGGTACTCCGTATGTCCTGACCACTTGCCAACGGGACGACGGGACTGTCGTGAATGTTGCCAGCGGAGATGCGGGAGTCGACAGAACTCGAGAGCATCCGAGAAAGGGAGCATCAGATCTGACTGATACACCCAGGACGCTGAAGTTTCTCGGAGCCGCTGCTGTCCAACACCATACCGCGGCCATGTTCCGCTCTCACTACTCGGCGCCGCCATGCTGCATCTGCTGTATGCGCTGACACAGCGTGAAGGCGCATTCTGCACCCGAGGGCGCCGTCAAAGATAGCAGCTGGCATGCACCCTGTCCGGTTCAGAGCACACAGGTCACCTACGCCATAAGCTGAACATATGGGAACTTCGCGACCAACCGGTTGACCCTATACCTGCGCAATGGCAGGATGCTGCAAGGTGAATCGCTTATCGCGTGCTTACCTGTTCCCATTCAATGGGCTGTAGGGCTGGCTATCCAGGTACGGCCGGACCCAAGCTGAGTAATAACCAAAGTGCTGTTGCAACTTCAGCTGTTCAGTGTTTGTTTTTCACGGCAGTCACACGGTTCTGTCGCCAGTCATCCCCGGCGAAGGGAAGCTGGAAGATGATGGATGACACGATACCGTCAAGGCCAGCTCACAGTCTAGTTACACAGACGCTCCTAATCTACGATACCTTCACTGGACAAGGCTGCGTACACAGTTGCTTGCCAAAGACTTGGCCTGCTCACGCAGAAGACGCAAGTTAGGTTGTTACTGTTGGCCTGCAAGCCATTCCACAGTCTGGGCCTCGACAAAACCATCATGAAACAGAACAAGCTGTCATCGATACGATAATCTGCTCAGACTCGACTCAACCTGCCATTAGGGACACAAGGTCGCAAGTCAAAAGATACCTCGATGGCGCAGAACCTTACCAAAGACATCCAACCTACGCAGATATCTCGGGCTCCGGTTGACAAGGCAGAGCGCCGAGTCCTTTCTTGGCCAGCATCGTACCTAGGCACCGGCGCTTTGGAAACGACACCACCCACCGGCCTTGGGCTTCGCTTGTGTTGACTTCATTGACTCTTGGAGGTCGCCGTGGTGCTCTCAACAAAGATGGCAACTCGTATTGGGCACCAGATCATGGGAGACGCATTAGCAATTGTCCAGACGATCGGAGGTATCCCTGTTTCAAAATGCCAACAACTGGATAGTCATCACCTCGTACCTCCTGTCGATATTCTCCTTCACCAATAAAAGTTGCTGGAAGAAGTTCAGCCTTCATTCATCGTATTGGAGCAAGGCGAAGTTGATCTTCGACACGACCATGACAGATCATTCCCGTCAGTTGCCGTCGTAGAAGTCGAGATGGCCGCTTGGACCCCATCAATCGAGTTGAGACATGTCGGATGTTGCATTGACAACTCCGCGCTTCTGTGCTCAATGGCCCCCGCAGGTCGACATAGAGCTCCGTAAGCACACGTGTTACGAGGTCACCCGATTCGTGCGGTCAGACAACAAACGTTCGCAAAAACGTATGCAGATACCTGGAGCTGGTTGATGGTAACCGGCGCAGGTATTGCGAACTCGCAGCGTCGGCGCTGATCGCGACCTCAACAATCCTCCTAGACAGATGCTCAAGACCAGAGATATATTTCGCTACGCCCAGCCATTTGCGATCTTCGTCTGTGAGTAGCTCGAGTGTCTCTCGCCAGAGGCCTCGCCACTTATCCAAAGCATGTAGCAATTTCTCTGCTTGTTGCTCCAGAGCCATGGAGACGTGTAAGTTGAATATTATCGGCTGGATAGCTGTCAATCTCTATGTCAGCGACGACTATAGTAAAGCTGTTCACACGACTTACCACATAGCATAACATGCACGTGAAAAACCGGTAAGTGCTCCAGCTCGCAATCAGATGGTCGGCCGTCAGCGAGCAGCTGTGACATGAGCTCAACCAGGGACTTGGACGAGCTTGGCCTCGGATACCGCCGTATTACCTCCGCATACGGCGCGCCAGTCTCCCACAGCGCAGGATCGCATGGAAGGTCCCCAGTCATCTCGGTCAAGGAGAAACACGGCGGCTTGTTGTAGCACAACGTTGCGAGACAGTCTGCGCAATAGGTCCAGGCGACCAGTCGAGTAATCTGTTCGCGGCACAGGAAGAGGTGCGGGTCTTCATCATCGCTGTGTCGGCAGCCAGTGAAGTTCAATCGGCGTAATGCAGACACGAGATTCGGCAGTCGGGTGAAGACCGTAGTAGATATTGCGGTCGCGTCGCTCACGAGAAGATCTTTCAATGCATACATGAGCAGCCCGGCTTGGCAGGCCTGTATAGCTGTGGTGATGTCAGCTTCAGTTGGACGTTCTTCGAGCACTCTGTCCAGCTGGTCAAAGACAAAGGAATCGGCCAATCTATAGAAACTTCTTGCGACGGTGATGTTTTCTTTGCCATGTTCTTCGTGGATCGAGTAGGCGGCTCCTGTCAAAGAGATTGCCAGGAGCAGGGGAAGCGAAATGTCTTCAAGGACGAGTGTCGGCCAATGTATTATTGGGTATTGGTAGTGTCGTTTGCGGCAGAGCGTCGTAGCGAACACCGCTACGTTCGATGCGGTGAAGAAGTGGCGGAAGATCATTCGATCGAAATCGTCACTGAGACTGTGGTTGGAGTCGATGTAGGAGGCGAGTTGTGATCCTAGAAGCTCGAGACGAGTAGAGAGTGGGTCGTCCTGGGGGTGGAAAGAACTCGACGCTCCAAAAATGTTTCCATCGTCCTCCATGTCGAGCCCATCTAGGTCCAGGGAAGATAGCCATACCTCAGAGGGCAGGGAAAGTGAGGGGTCAACAAAATCCCGCGACTCATCGTGCCCAGCTTGAGACGGTGACGAGAAGATTGAGCCCAGCGGTGCAGCCAGCGGCTCAGTTCCCAGAACGTTCCCTGTGACGAAGTCTTGGTCGTCATCGGTAGCATCGAGTAAGAAGGCGATTGTGAGACGCCAGTCACTGCGTGCACTTGCCCGGATTGGCGTCCAAGGCACGCTCCCTCGAGGGTGATCATAACTGCTACGGGTGAAGGTGCATTGTAGCCTCCGAGATGCGCATCGTTTACAACCAGGTCCACTCTCGACGAGACAATGGACTTTGAGCCTCGAGCACTGGTCGCAAGACTTCAGTCGACGCCCTCGTTGTCTATTAGGCAAGACATGACCTTGCCTCGCCGGGCATCGCTTGGCGTGTCTTCGAGCCGCGTCCACTCGGGAGAATTTAGCAGAGCAGAAGGGGCATTGTCGGCTGTCATCAGGGAGTCCTGTCATCACGCGACAGCTGATCTGCTGCCATGTGATGATGATACCAAGAAGGAGATGATGACGGAGGAAACTGGAAAGTGTATGGCGCTTGTGAGGGTGCGTGCATAGAGGTGTTGATTTTCCGAGGCCGAAATCTTCTCTAGCTCCTTCTTCACACACCCTTGTTCAAGATCAGATCGGACCAAGTGGCTACGGCAGACACCTGATCGGAACAGATGGTAGACAGAGGAAAAAATAGCTGGATCGGTCCAAAATGACACCTGTCACGAATGCTGGAACCCGGTCCGAAAGAAGCAAGACCATGTCGACTGGCAGCATGATGGCACACCAGGATTGCCTGCTTCTTCGCCAATTTCCCACCCACAAGGGCTGTCACTTGTTGTCATAAAGGCCTACTGGCTAGGAGCACGCCTACGTATCTACAAAAATAGTCACTCCGTCCTCTTGCTGGTGAAGCTCGTCCGTGTATCTGCAGGGGTGGAGTCTCTTGGTCAAGAGACCAGAGGTGTGAATTTCCCGACGCCAGATCCGGCGACGACCACTTTAAAAGGTGAAGCAGCATGTCGCTTTCCTCCGGGTACTGGCTGTTTCCCGTTGCTCGGAAGACTTCATTGAGAGACCTTAGCAATGAGTGTTACTCGACTGGCAAGATGTTCGTCTCCTCCTGACTCTGCCGAAGTGATACATTGGCTGACAAACAACAAAGTTCCAGCTAGCCTTTCAAGACGTTGCCTCATTACTTCGTCCCAGAACGTCGGCACACCCAACCCCGATGTCTCGACACGATGCATGACCAATGTGCCAAATCGCCAGCAAAGCGGAGATCAGCGACAACACGCGTCCCCTGGCTACGCAGTATCCAAAGATATGAAACGGACTGCTGTTGCCGAATACACAGTGTAGGCAATTGCGAGCTACCCAATCAAAAAAGCCAGACCATCCTCGGAGACTGACCGAGCTCACGATTGATCAGAACGACGATTGACAAGCTCATCGCCTGAGCACGCAACGGATCGGTATGGCCACTGACCTTCGCGCTCGCGTGCTGCGGGATCGAAATGATGCACGCATCTATGCCTCGCTACGACCAGGACCGCCTTGGGATCATCTTCCGCGCCTCCCCACGTCAAGCCGATGTCATGATCGTTGCCGGGACTGTTTGCAACAAGATGGGTCCCGCTGTGCGGCAGCTATACGACCAGATGCCGGATCCCAAGTGGGTGATTAGCATGGGCAGCTGTGCGAATGGCGGTGGCTACTACCACTACAGCTACAGTGTTGTACGAGGAGTGGATCGGCTCATCCCGGTGGATATCTATGTTCCAGGCTGTCCGCCGACGGCAGAAGCGCTGCTCTATGGAGTATTTCAGTTGCAAGCCAAGATCAGGAGGACGAAGGTCACGAGGATGTGGTATCGGAAGTAGGAAAGTCCCGAGTTCATGTTGGCGATGAATACGCATACACCAACAGAGTATTGGAGCTTCGTCGATCAGTTGAATACCATGGTCAAAACATGTCCGACAGTCACATCTTCTTTACCCCAAATTTGAAGGATCTTATATATCGGACAAGGTGAAGCCGTTCTCTAATATAAACATCGAAGACGAGCGTTAGTCAGTTGCCATCAGAGAAGTCGAGACGGTTAGTCCAGGTGCAAGTTGCGAATGACCATTCGTTACCTTTGACCATTTTGAATCATTGTGTCGTTCACACATTTGCTTATAGCGCCCACTTTGTCAACAGAACTAACAGCACCTTTCAGTCAAGCTTCGTTTACAAGACATTCTTCCCAGCTACGCTGAAGCACTCGACTAGCCCTACCGGCTTGACACATATTCTTCGTCAAACAGCAAATGTTCCTCGACAAATAACAACACATATCCCTTAACGACTATCAACATGAAGTCGTTGATGTAACATGCTATAGCAGAAGCTCTATTGGGTATAGTATAGCTTTGCATATGTTCATCATGCCAGATGTCTATAGATCAAGGTGTGACTTGGACCTCGGCTTCTCGACCACAGCTGATCGACATCACCGATGTTGACTCCAGTCTTCACTCGATACTCATCCGTATAATCAGCTTAGTAGTGTGAGTTCATCAGAGTCAATCAACGGCAGAATCACTATGACGGACACCTGGCAAGAGATAGCAGAACGCAAGCGACAAGAGCGTGACTCCCGCATCCCCAAAGAATGGCGCCTCCGCCGTGCCATCCCCTCCGACCGTTTCAATCTCAAAGATGTCCCACGAGAGTCTGGCATCTTGACCCAGCGAGAACTTGATCTCACAGAGAACTTCGATGCTACAGCTCACCTCTCCGGCCTCTTGACAGGCCTCCTCAAATCTGTAGATGTCACGACGGCATTCTGCAAACGCGCCGCCATCGCCCAACAAGCTACGAACTGCCTGACCGAAATCCTTTTCACGGACGCCATCACCCGTGCAAAGGAACTCGATGCCCACTACGCACGGACCGGGAAACCCATCGGACCTCTACACGGCCTCCCCATCTCGCTCAAAGACACCTTCAAAATCAAAGGCTACGACTCCTCCGTCGGCGTAGCAGCCTTCTGCTTCCAGCCCGCTACCACCAACTCCGCGCTCGTGGACCTCCTGCTCGAGCTTGGCGCAGTGCTATACTGTAAGACCAATGTGCCGCAGACGATGGCAGCGCTGGATAGCCATAACAACGTCTTTGGCCGGACCTTAAACCCGGCGAATCGCTTGCTTACAGCCGGTGGCAGTAGTGGTGGCGAGGGCGCTTTAATTGCGATGCGCGGGAGTGTGTTGGGTGTGGGGACGGATATTGGGGGCAGTATCCGTGTGCCGGCCTTTGTGAATGGGCTGTATGGTGTAAAGCCTTCGCATGGCAGGGTGCCGTATGCTGGGCAGGAAGGCGGAGCGCTGCCGGGAGCGAACAAGGTGGGGATGGAGGCCACGGCGGGACCGATTGCGGTGAGTCAGAGGGACTGCGAGATGTTTTTGAGGGTGGTTTGTGATGCAAAGCCGACGGGGCTGGATCCTGAGGTGCTTGAGCAGACGTGGGGGCAGCAGGCATCGCTTCCCGTGGGGAGTGGGAGGAAACTGAGGATCGGAGTCGCAAGAACGGATGGGCATGTGACGCCTTTGCCGCCGGTTCAGAGGCTGATGGATGATGTGGCGAAGACGTTGGCCGCAGTGGGTGGTATTGAGGTGGTAGAGATGGATTTGTCGAGCTTTGGGCCGCAGATTGTGAAGACGTTCAATGGGATCATGTCGATTGATGGAGCGAATACCTGGTTTGATCATCTGGAGAAGACGGGAGAGCCACTGTCGCCTTGGCTATCAACTCGGTTGAAGCGCCGACCGCAGAAGAAGATAGACGACGTTCGAAAGCTGCAAGCCCAACGGACGGATATACAGACCAGATTCCTCTCCGTCTGGAAAGAGAGCGGCGGCTACTGGCGATCCTCCACCCCATCCACAGCTGGAGAAGACAAACACCTCGACCTCCTCATCTGCCCTCCAGCTCCGCATCCTGTCGCAGCGATCGATAGATGGAACGATACAAACTACCATTCGATGTTCAACATCCTTGACGTCAGTACTGGCATCCTCCCTGTGCGGACGTTCTCCGAGAAAGACATGCAGAGCGAGGTCACGGCCACGAAGCCGCTGAATGGATGGGACAAGGTCAATCGAGAAATGTGGACGGGTTTCGACCGCAAGACGTATCTAGGAAGCGCTCTGAGCATTCAGGTGGTGGCGCCGAGGTTGCAGGAGAGGAGATTGGTGGAGGGGATGGGGTTGTTGGACGAGGCGTTGAGGGGGTTGAGAGAGGAGAGTGCCAGGAGGAGTAAGCTGTAGATCCGGTGACATACTTCGTCGTGCAGGCTGCGGAGGTTCTCCTCACCACAAGTGGGTTTCATGGCCACCTTGTAAATGTTGTATAAGCCAGTTCTTGGTCGCTTTCTCGAGACATTCGCATGCCTGACTAAGGATTGCGCATAAAGCTTGAGTCTGTTCGTGTCCTGTCCCAACGAACAGTCAAGCATCCCCGGGGCTTCTTCGTTCGAGCTTGAGTATGTTCGATCACATACGTGTGCGCTGATGGCCATGCAGGAAACAGGTTGATGGGGATGTTGAAGTCTGGTAAAACAGACGATCAAGAAAAGCAAGCTCAGACACAAGCGTTTGCTAAGACCGCTGGCGCAAACCTTGGCTTGATTATCCGCGGTCACCAACGTCACCTCCTCGGCGAGCTGCATTCAAAGTGGAACGTGGTGGTCTGGACTGGCAAGGACGAGGGACGCTGCATCGTGCCTGCATGCTCGAAATCAAGCTTGGTGTTGCTGCTTCTTGCTTTTCCTTCCTCTTCTTCTCCCGTCTGTCCTCACCACCTCTCGCATCCCTCTCGAGAAGCTTTAGAGTGGTATACTGAAGCTTCGTCTCTACCGTCACTTCTCGTAGCACATCCATTGGCCCTCACTTTCCTTACTCCTATTCCATTCACTCAAACCAACACTCAAGCGTAGCCGGCACTATGGTACCAAATCCACGAGCAAAATCCTCCCAACATGTCTGAGACACTTGCTAACCATATTGCCTTACTGTTTGTAGGTCCACCTGGCTGCCGTTGCCAATGATGCCGACGCAGGCCAGGCGTTCGACGAGAAGTTCGAGGAGCTCACCATCGGCCTCCCCGACGACAATGACTTCACGGCGAGTGTCTACGGCAGCAAGTTCGCAGCCGTGGACATCCCCAAGCATAAGATGCCGGACGATGAGATGCCGAGGGACATTGCTTACCGCCTTATCAAGTGAGTTGGCTGCACAGCAGCTCAAATGATGGTTGCCGGCTGACATGAACCAGGGATGACTTGACTCTTGACGGCACTCCTACTCTCAAGTAAGTCTTACTGGAGTCACTGATCCTACTGAAGCTGACAGACCCCCAGCCTCGCCTCCTTCGTGACAACCTACATGGAAGAAGAAGCCGAAAAGCTCATGGTCGACTCCTTCTCCAAGAACTTCATCGACTACGAACAGTACCCCGTCAGTGCGGACATCCAGAACCGCTGCGTCAGCATGATTGCCCGTCTCTTCAACATCCCCGCCCACGACGACAAGACCAACGCCATGGGCACCTCCACTATCGGCTCCTCAGAAGCCATCATGCTGGCCACCTTGGCCATGAAGAAGCGCTGGCAGAACAAGCGGAAGGCGGCTGGGAAACATTACAGCAGGCCGAACATTGTCATGAACTCTGCTGTGCAGGTGTGCTGGGAGAAAGCGGCGAGGTACTTTGACGTTGAGGAGAAATTCGTCTACTGTACCAAGGACAGATACGTGATCGACCCAGAAGAGGCGGTGAACTTGGTGGATGAGAATACGATTGGTATTTGCTCGATCTTGGGTACGACTTACACTGGCGAGTATGAGGACACCAAGGCCATCAACGATCTTCTAATCGAGAAGAACATTGACTGCCCGATTCACGTGGATGCAGCATCCGGTGGCTTCGTCGCACCTTTCGTCAACCCGAACTTGGTATGGGACTTCCGCCTGGAGAAGGTTGTCTCGATCAACGTCTCTGGCCACAAGTATGGTCTTGTCTACCCTGGTGTGGGTTGGGTGGTCTGGCGTGACCCCGAGTTCCTTCCGAAGGGTAAGGATCACTTCATCCAGTCTAAGTCGTCTGGTCGAGACTGATACTCATGCAGAGCTCATCTTCAATGTCAACTATCTGGGCGCCGACCAAGCCTCCTTCACCCTCAACTTCTCCCGCGGCGCCAGCCAAGTCATCGGCCAATACTACCAGCTCATACGCCTGGGCAAGAAAGGCTATCGTAGCATCATGTCCAACTTGACCCGCACGGCGGACTACCTTGCCCTCTCCGTGCAGAAGATGGGCTTCATCCTCATGTCCAAGACCCGTGGCCAAGGCCTTCCCCTTGTCGCCTTCCGCCTCAACCCCGAGGATGGACACAAGTTCGACGAGTTCGCCATCGCTCACCAGCTCCGCGAGCGCGGCTGGGTCGTGCCAGCGTATACGATGGCGCCGCATAGCGAGACCATGAAGATGATGCGTATCGTGGTGCGGGAGGACTTCTCGCGGAGCAGGTGTGATGCGCTGGTGGCGGATCTGCAGATGGCGGTACACGAGTTGACAAAGATGGATGACAAGAAGCTGGAGCAGCATGCGGAGCACATGAAGGGGCATGGGTTGAAGAATGGGCGGAGGAAGGGCATGAATCAGCATTACACTGATGAGAAGCACAGCTTGCAGGGGAAGCATGGGAAGTCGCATGCGGTGTGCTGATCGAGTCGTGCTTTGACGAAGACCTACGATATTTGTGTCGACCTGAGGGTACGATTAGTGGCATGAGATACTAGAGACACCTCAAGGATACGGCCTAAGAAACGCGCGATGCACCTCTGTGAATGAGATTTTCAACTCTTGACTTCGCTCTTCTCAATGTCGCTTTGACCCCACCAGCGCCGACGCTAAAAGCTACATTTACAGCCACAGACCTCTTGCTCGCGATTGTGCTCACGGTCCAGATCAGCAAAACCCCTGCCCATGTCTTCCACTCCTTGAGCTCCACCCAGGCGATACCTAGTCGTCTGGCAGCTTGCGCTCGTCGCCTCTTATACGCCCATCGCTTATCCCAGCACCAGCATACTCGGGCACAGGGACCGCAGTAGCAGTGGAGGCGCTCCTACCGTCCTCCTAGTACGGTCTTCGTTCTCCACCGCCCCGATATCCACCGCCTCTGTATCCACCTCCTCCATATCCGCCCCCGTAACCTCCTCCACCAAACGGAGCCACAGGAGGCGGCGGCCTCTCTCCCCTCCGCCAGTCACCCATCGGCGGCGCCGCACCTCCCCTCCCACCATACGACCCTCGATAGCTGCCTCCTCTAGGAGGCCCATACCCGTTCTCCCTTCCCCTCGGCGCAGCATACACATCCCTCCCACCCCGTCCCGACATCGCCGGCGGCGGCATCGGCGCGACTCTCCCATCAGCTCCAGGCGGCATGATGGTGCAAGCCACATAATCCCCAATCACGAATCGCGCGTCCGAGAGCGTCTTCTCTGCATCCCCTTCTAGCACAGTGCTCTCCTTCGCATCGCCCATTACTTCGTCCTCATCCTCCGTCCGATCAGCCGGAGCTGAAGCGCCAATGACCACGGAGCCGAGATGCTTGTCCATCCACCTCCCTCTCCCTCGTTCATCGACCATGCCTCGGGTGTCCGGGAAGATTAGTTTGAAGACCAGCCTTGTCCCTGCACTTGGGCGTGGTAGTAGGCTTTCCGGTAAAACGCTTGTAAGCAGCCCTGTAAGTTCGCTGAGAGTGCATGTTGGCCAGGTGTAGATCTGTACGCTGTTTTGGCGGATCGAAGGTGGGAGGAGGGATGTGTAGTCGGGGATGTTTGAGGTGTCTGCTGGTGGTGCGATGGAGAACTCGTGTGGGAGGAGCGGTTGCGAGGGTCGGTAGAAGAGGCGGAGGAGGAAGGGTGGGGTGGTTGTGCGGTCGATGGGGAGGTTGGTTGGTTGGAGGGACATCTTGAAGAGCGCCGGGTCGGCGCGAGGATGGATGCTGTTATTGCGGTGATTGCATTTGGTAGGCCGTCGGTGAGGCGTTCCAAAGTTGTATACGAAACAGTTTGTCGTCGTATGTTTTTGAAGGTACATGAGTACATGAGTGAATAACAAGAAGTGAAGCTCTTCTTGCAACTTCGGAAGAACTGTTTCTCCGGCGCAAACCTTAAATACTGCTGTGTCAGAACACTCCACTTCCTTGTCTTCGCCGTATCCCTCCAAGCCCAAGCTCAAAGGACAATTCCGCCAAAATGGACTTCGCTTCCTTGATGAAGTCGCAGATCTCTGCTTCCAAGCCTGCCAGCAAAGCAGATGAAGGTGGAAAGAAATATCTCAAGCGGAGTGAAGTCGAGGCCCAGCGTGAAGCAGACTATCTCCGCGAGCAGGAGGAATCGGAGAAGGCACGGGTGGAGCGCGTAGAGAAGAAACGGAAACGAGACGAGGAGGAAGCGGAGAGGAACCGAGAGCGGGAGCAGAAGAAGCGACGGCTAGCAGAGGAGAGCAAGAAGCGGGCGGAGGATGAAGCGGAGGCTGAGGAAGCGGCACGGAGGCAGCGATTAGGTCTTCCCCCGCTGGTGAAAGAGGACAAAGAGGGGATACCGCTGAAGGAGGGTGAAGAGGACATCGATGAAGAAGAGCTGCTTTCCAAACTGCGCGAGCTCGATGAGCCCGGCCGCCTCTTCGGAGAGACACATGCACAACGACTTCGCCGCTACCGCAAACTCCAGGCCCTTGCCCTCGCGCCCAAACTCAGTGATGGACCCATTCCAACCACCATAGAGTTGGTGCCTGGAAAGGACATGCGGGTACCAGACACAGTTCCCACAGACGAAGCAGGCAAAGCCCTCCTGCTCCGCCAAATCGCCTCCTACTTCAACATGCTCCTCACCGAATGGGCCCTCGCCCTCTCCCGGCGGCCTGCAGAAGTCAAAACTTCCGCCACTGGCAAGCAAGCTTATCAAAATTACACACTCGCCGTCTCCAACCTTACACCACTATTCCGGCAGATCGAATCGAGCTCAGTGAAACCATCGCTACTACCGCCAATCCACGAGATCGTACATCTAGCGCAGATGAAGCAGTACGTAAACGCGAACGATGCGTACTTGCGGCTCAGTATCGGGAAGGCGGCGTGGCCGATTGGAGTCACGATGGTGGGTATCCACGAGCGTTCGGCAAGAGAGAAGTTGCATGAGAGTGAGAAGGGAGGAGGCAAGGAGGCACATATTCTGGCAGACGAGGTTACGAGGAAGATGGTGCAGGGTATTAAGCGGTGTTTGAGTTTTGCGCAGACGAGATGGCCGCCAGAAGATTTGGGGCAGTTGATGGGTTGATAAGTCAAGGCGACATCAAGACGTGTATTATCTACGATCAAGGCAGCTGCAGTCTATTAAGCCCTTGCCAACGTCAACGGGAGGTAGAAACAATTGGATTCCACCGGTGTCAACGTTGTACAGCTAATGCCGAGATACATGCTCATCAGCGTTTACTCGCTCCCACACCATAGCTTCTATCCATCTTCGATCCAGCATGTGACAGTCAGCAGAGATCTATGTTAACCCCGTGATTCGTCCAAGCTCGGATCAGCTCAACTTTCAGCCCTACCAAGAGGCTTCCTGCCTTCCTTCTCACCACCTTCTCACACCATCACCCAAGAAATCGGTGAATGACCTGACCAACACTTCAAGATGGCATCCCATCAGCAGACTCGCAAGCCACCGCATCCGCCGACGCGGCTGCATATCTTTTCATCCTGGCCCCCATTCGTCTGATCGTTCAAACGCCTGCCCAAGCTGGCATCGCGGATTTTCAGCCAACAGAACAACCACGGCTGCGCCCGATTCTAGGACATGCGCCTCATCCCCTATTGGCCCGTTAAATTAAGAAAGAAGGCTGCTAAAGAAGACGATCTTGAACGTGATCCTTTGGTCTCCGAAGTTTGGGGTCAGATGTCCTCGACTACACTCAAGTATAAGTAAGGTATGGTGCTACCACTTCTCCTCATGTCGGCTGAATCACTTTGATCGCGCGCGGTTCTCTATCTGGCTTGTATATTGCTTTCGTCTTGGAAACACTTGGCTCAAGCCGCAGCGGTCAGATACCACACCAAGGCAACGCTCGAATCACTTGCACCTCATCTTCAACTGTGTTGACCACCATGCCCTCCCGCGACTTCGCTCCGCCGACTCCCCATAACCGCCATAGTTCGGCATCAGACTTCAACAACTTTACGCGACCAAAGAAGCTCATCGTCTGTTGCGATGGTGAGTTAATCGGACATTTCGTGCGGTACAGGGCTAATCGACGGCAGGAACATGGATGGACAGCGACAATGGCTACGTCAAAGGCAGCTGGGGTCAGCCCGGCCGGATGCAGACCCCATCGAATGTCACTCGGATTGCGAGAGCAATCAGCGCCGAGGATGACTCGAAACACGCGCAGATAGTGTACTATCAATCTGGCATAGGCACCGGTATTGGACTCACCAACCATGTCCTGGGTGGTGGCACGGGAAGTACGTAAACACAGAGGCCAGTATCGACGCGCATGCTGACTGTTCTGCCCCAGTTGGACTAGAGGAGAATATCCGGGAAGCCTACTCTTTCCTCGCAAGCAACTACCGTGAGAAAGACCATGACATGCCCGGCGTGCCACCAGATTCCATCTTCTTGGTGGGCTTTTCACGGGGAGCGTACACCGCCAGAAGCATAGGTGGACTGCTGGGAGCCATCGGCTTGTTGAAGAAGCCAGCAATGTCGCACTTCTACGAGATCTTCTCGGACTGGATGCATGCCGGTGACAGCAGTTACACGCCCTTGTTCTTCGACAGCTACTTCCGGACGCACAAGGATGTCAAGGCATGCGGACCGGCTGTCGAACTAGCCCGAGACAAGCACAGAATCGACGACTACTTGGACGAATACCTCAAGGTGCTGCTCGCTATGGACCTCACCCAGGAAGTGCAGATAAGGTGCATCGGAGTATGGGATACTGTGGGTGCTTTGGGTGTCCCCGTCAATCCTCTGGTGCAGCAACTTGTCCCCTTCTTACCAGGATTTCTCCGGGGCTACAGGTGGTTTGATACTAGATTGGACAAGCACATCGACAACGCTTTCCAGGCGCTAGCGTTGGATGAGCGAAGATTCCCGTTCACGCCAACGCTGTGGGAAAAGCGAAGCGGATCGCGAACTAACCTCAAGCAAGTTTGGTTCCCGGGATCTCATTCCAACGTCGGCGGCTCATACTCGGACACGGGCATCGCAGACATCACCCTCGCTTGGATGATGGATCAGCTGTCCGGCAACACAAGCAAGCATCCTCATGGATACGTCGCACGAGACTGGATCAAGTTCGACGACGACTACCTCTGGACCTCTGTCGGCTCCGAAGATCCCGACACCAGTCCAGCTCATGGCCCGTATCGCGGCTGGAGCAAAGGCAAGGTCTACGATACTGTGTACTTTCCAATGTCCTTGACGGGCACCACGGTCCGCGCACCGGCTCGCTACCACGGCACATTCTGGGAGACTGGTAAACCAGACGGCAAGCGCCTGCTCGAAAGCACACAAGAACATGTCCATTCCTCCGTCCGCGCACGCATCGATCTTGGCGGCCGCGGGATCGAGCCAGACTGGAACCAAGTCTTCCCCAACGGCCTGGGCATCACGCCCTGGCTGGTGCTCGCCTGGCGCAAGCTCACCGGGCGGCCTCCGAAGCCTTACCAACCGCAGCGGAAAGGTGGCCCGCTGCACGGCTGGCGGTTGGAAGATGGCCATGTGTCGCACAGAGAGCCGAATTGGGACATCGACATGAGTCCCGTGGAGTCGAGGAAAATTAGCTGGGTATATGAGGGCGAGGACCAGAGTTGCACGCGGACGATGCTGGAGGATAAGTTGGGGCCGTATGAGTTGAAGCTTTTGCAGAGGGATCAGAAGTTTGCGGAGCAGATTATGGTGAGCAATGATGAATGGCGATGGACGGTCAAGGAGACCGGGAGGCCGCCGAAGCGTGGGCATACTTTCTGAGGTGGTGGGATGGGTTTGGATTTAGCAAGGTGTTTAGGTGTTGATACTCGGCGCATGTTCAGATTGTCAAACAATGTCATGTTAATGCTTAAGCTCGCCCTCGTGGATGCAGGAGCTTGCCTCGTACATAAGGCAGTCTTCAGCACTTCCCATGTACCATTCTGATCCTCCGGCTTTCTCATGATCTCTTTGCATCTTCAGTTGATCCGTACCCAACAGGCAGTGCAGTCCTGTTGTGCTTCTTTTACAAGCGTTGTTTGATGTAGGGTGTCCCAGGTAGCCTTCCATAGTGATGGTGATTGGGCGTAGATCCCGGGAGAAGTCTTAGCCACGTCGTGGTTTCTTCGCGTGTTCAGTGTGATTCGAGCTACGATCGCATCCGCTTGGCCCTGCAACGACGTTGTGTCATATTCGACAAGATCCACGGCGCAAAGATGGCAACGCCTACCGGCAGTTCTGACTCCGGCTGTCTGATATTACGAGCAGGCGTCTTCCTTGCAAGAAAAAACGAAGAACTGGCTTCTGGAAGGGCTGATGAGGAGGGTCAGGCATGATGAGTCGCGGTATGGGCATCAATGCTTTGGGCAGCAATTGTTCCTTGCCGCTGAGTTTTGGGCATGATGGAGCCCAGTCTGAGACCAAAATACACCCTTCCTTCCCACGGCGTCTCAATCATCACGGCGCTGTTGGAGTTGTAATAAGACGAAGGATCTGACGCGTAATCGGTCTCGCCGTCGTCCCGAGTCACGGACATTGACACATCAGCCCTACCCAACGGCGGCGTCCTTTAACCCGGTAATCGCAACCCGTGTGTCCGTTTAGCCTCGCCTTCTGACGCCCTGCGCATATGTCGTGTAACGTGGCGGCTGACTTCCATCGATTCTCGCCTGTGAAGCGTCCTTCCTTGCGTCGCAGGAGCTGCGGTGGTCCTGGAGATGTTCGGTTCGAATGCCTGCCCAGAATGATCCTAGCACCGCCTCTCGCCTCACCTCAACGATCGTCTGTCGATCTTGCGCCCATTTTCGGAACAACCATTGACGACAAGACGTCAGGCCGGGCAGCAATGCGAGAGCTGTCTACCTCTCTGCCTACTGCTTCTGGCCATTCGAACGCACAATACACTCGTACTGTATCTGATGTCGTGGCCGGGGGGAAAGAGAAGGCTGCTAATGTCCGAGGCCCGTCTCGCGTTTCAAGTCACCACCCGAGATGAAAGGTCCCGTTGCAACGCAGCTGCTTGCTGATGATGCGACTTGTCAGCAGCCGCGTCGGCCGCCGAGCATCTCCTCTCAAGACTCGGTGTTGTGGTACGCGCGGGTGAAGTAGACGGAAAATCGGCCATCAGGCGATCCTGGCTAGCTGCACAGCTGCAGGTCAGAGGCGACGGGCAACCAGTCGCAGGAGTGGACTCGTGCTTTGGGCGCCATCTGATATGCAGGTACCGAAGGATCTTGGGATCTAGAGCCTGCCTTGCATGCCATGCGACGGGCGGAAGAGGATCCTTACTTTGACCACACAGCAGTTCGCAGACAGGGACTGCAGTGGGCTCCACCGCGACACGGCACGCCACTTCCACACCACCTGTCGTGGCTGTATTGAAGCTTAGAAGATTCAACGGACAGAACTCTGTGCTCGCAACCGCGGGCCGTTTCATGCTCAAACTTAGCCAGACTTTCGCCACATGGCCCCTTGGAGCAAAGTCAATCCAACCTTGACATCCGAGGCTGCCCGCACAACACGGCTGAGGTCGATGAGAGCACGTCGAATGCTGGGGAGCAGAACAAGACTGTCGTCAAACAAACTCTCAACTGCGGACAGTGGAGATTGTTAGCGTTAACTAATTCCTGACCCGCTGCAGGCCATTCTGTCTTGCTTTTCGCTGGCTTCGATTCCGCCTGGCCAATCACGACCTCAATGCTCACTTGGACTTCAGCAATAAAACGGGGACTATTGGGCTGTCATTCCTTCCTTGGGCCTCTCCTCGGTCCCTACGGCCATCGGACTGTCTCATCAACAACCCTCGACTCCCTTTGCCTACCTTCAAGGACACGACCAAAGCCCGCGGCAGGATCCAGCCTCTTCTCATTAACCTCACGCAACAACAACGTTCAAGCCTCACTTTATCCTTTTGCGGGATACACCCTTTGGTTACACCAGCAGGACCCGTCGTCACCCCGTCATATACCTGCCCCAGAAGGCCAGCGCCTTGCATTTCCACTGCCGTGCAAGGGCGTGTCCAAGGCCTCTACTCGGCCACTTTTCCTTGCTGCTGCCGATGGCAGCGACTCAGCGACCCCGCGCTAATCCACCTTACCAACCTCCGACCAAAACATCCCACCAACAAGTGGAGCATTGTCTTTTTTGCTCGCCTTTCTAATCCGACTACGTCTTTCATTTCGCTTGTCGAGAGCACATTCACTCGTTCAGACCGCGATTGGGAACTGACCAAGTCACTCGTTTGATCATATCGGCGTCCATTCACCTGTTCTTCTGGCGGCCTTCTGGACCTCACCTTCCATTAGCGCAGCGCAGTGTACGATACATCTCACCTGGACCTACATCCGGTAGCCTGTCACGCGTCACACCACTCCTCCACATCGGACTGCCTTTACAGAAGCCAAACGACATCCTCCTCGACTTTCACACGTCGATTCCAATCGCCGGACACCCTCGCTCGCATTCAACCACGAGGACTGGGCGCTCTACATTGTTCGCGCCAACTCCAGTCAGTCATCGTCCAGATATCACCAGCCGTCAAACTGGCTGCGTTCTATGCAACTCCACCTATATCGCCGCTGGCACAGCGATCCAATACCGACGCCGACCTCGAACTTCTAGACTCCTGGTCGGCCTACTGTCCTGTGATGGAACAGCATGATCCACCACGGAGACAGTATGCGACCCAAGCCTTCACGGCGCAGCAACCTCAACCAGCCCTCGCTCCGACGTCCGGGCAATACGCCGCACCGGGCGGTACTGAGCGATTCCGACAGTCAGCCTACTTGCAAGAATCTCCCAGTACACCACCTTCTGCCATCCGAGGAGGTAGCGATGCGCAGACAGCATATGGATACGCGCCGGTTGCGCAATACGGTGCGGCGAGTGCAATGCAACCCACCGCTCTGCAGTACGGCCAGGAGATGCAAACGCCTGAGTCGCAGAGACAGCAGTCACAACCGTACCCACATTATGGGTCGCACACGATGTACGGCATGGCGCAGCCACATGGCGCGCAGTCGCCGTACGATCCAATCACACAATATCGATCGCGTACGAATACGGCCTCCGAAACACTCGGCTCACAGTTCGGAGTTCCACAGAATGCCCAATACTATCTTGCAGGACAGCCGTCGCAGCCAAATACGTCAGCACCGCAGATGCCCTCTCATCATCTTCCATCACAATACGAGCAGCCGGAGACCTACCCTCAGCCAGGTTCGTCAAACACGCAGCCTTACGGTGCCGCGATGATAGACCCTTCTCACGGAGCTCAATACCAGAATTACGTTCAACAACAACCTCAACCTCAATACCAGCAAATACAGCAGCAACCAACACTCGACCAGGGATTCGACCGCTACAACGATCAGATCAGGACGATATTCATTCTCGCTCGCGACGGAGCATTGCGGGACGTTGGGGGCCATTTGCTGGATGTTTCGAGTTACTTGATCGGAAACGCCGAGCAGCTTGGCCTCACCAGGGATGATGAGAACCTCCACGGCGACAGGCTGAGACTGTGGGAGGAGTTCAATCGCGCATGGTTGGTGGCGCTTCAGCGGCAGTTCGACATGACCGAGGAGATGGTTCAGACGAGTTATCAGCCTCGGGAACCACAGTCGCTGATGAGTGCGGCGAGCCTGACGCGGCTTGGTGATGAGCTTGCTCGACTCTGTGACAGCGTGGAAAAGCATGGGCTTGTTGATTATCAACTCGGCGTTGCTGAGGATGAGATTATGGATTGTAAGCGTCACCATCAGCATTTCATTCACTGTTGACTGACACTCTTCTTCAGTGCTTATCCGCTGCCTTATTTCGCTTGAGCCCACGGACCCCCTGTACGCCCAAGGTGGACCCTACAATCTACCCTCCGCAAGCAGCACCACGAGAAGACGATGACCGATGCAGAACGCCTGCTAGCCAGAACGTCTGCGTTTTCCCAATCCATAACACCACGCGCCGTGTGCGCCTACCAGCACCCGACCTATCGGACCTGCTCCGAAACTTGCATGCACTATCGAATGCAAGGCTCGATTTCGTGCATGCTCCGCTCTGCTGCAGCGCACCGAAGACCCCGTCTCGAAGCAGGATTCACCTGCAGCAGCGCATCCGGACACAGTATCATACGAAACCGCACTTCCAGCCGTGCACGCGCATGGCATGTACGAATATGACGAGTAATCCTAACCACGTCTCACTATCTTGAGGCGTTCGAGCGGTATCAGCCGCACGATCGATACGCTCTTCGCTGGTCGAAGACGTGACCGTATGATGGATGGACCGCTCGACATTAGAGCAATGATTTTATGCCGCGTTTACGAATGTTACTTTGCTACTACAATACAAGTACATAATTGTCGATTTATCTCCACGTGGCGTGGTGGCACGCTGTGTAATGATGGGGTGTTCAGCCATGTCCGATAATCCGAATACTGTCAGCCATCTTCAGCAGCCATCTCCGTTTAGCATACCACCCGTGTAGACTTGTCTTGAGACGACAGACGTACTGATGAAGCAGCGCTTGAAGGTGATATCAACATTATACATCGAACAATATGATACAATCAAGGCCGTAAAATCGTCACACATGTCCCATCTTTCAGCGTCGAGCGACTCCCCATCGCATCATCTCCATCCATTATCCATATTCCCGTAACCCTCACCCCCTTCTCTTCAACACCGCCTCACTGATCAACCCACCCTTCGACTCCCCCCAACACTCCTCTGACTCCCCACGCTCCTCCTCCTCTCCTCCTCCCGCGCCCCAACCACGTCCTCATAACTCGGCGGCTTCACCCCCTCCCCAACACCCTCACTCCCACTCCCCTCCCCCTCGCCCTCATCCCCCGTATACGGCTCCGTCACCTCCAGCGTCGCGGAATCCTGGCGCGCGAGCCGCTTATTCGTCTCGACTTGTAACTGCTTGTATCGGACTTCGTCGCGTTCCTTTTTGAGGCGCTTGGCTTCTTTCTTCTTCTCGACTTTTTCCGCGATGGCGAGGCCGGCTACTATGAAGATTGCTGCCATTCTTTCTTCTTTTCCTGTTGTGCTGGTTGTTTGGAGAGTGTTTTTGGAGGTGTTGGAGGTGGTGGTGGTGTGCTTAAGTACGTGAAGAGAGAGGCTGAGAGAGGTTGTGCGCTTCGCCTCCTAGCGATGGATGTAGTACTTCATGCTGCGAACGAGAACGACGATGATGAGCTCATCGACGCCGATCACCCGAGGCCGGGGAAGCTTGGCTTACTTTCACGTGCGTGGCTGTGTTGGCCTGTGGTGGCGTTGGGGATGGCTCGCGACTTGGACGCCAAATGCATGGGGCAGGATGCTGATGATGAGTGTTGTTTCCGACGGACTGAAAGGGCAAATACACTGATGCCTCCGTATCCTTGCCGAGTCAGAGGCAGACGGACAGAATTCACGTGCTCACGATGATTGACCTTCAGCACGTGCAAAAGAACAGTGATCGATGTGTACACCCTACCAAAAATCAATCAGGGAGCAAGACGCATTCAACTCTCCAACACATTAGTCCCTCTGCATTCATCCCCTCCCGTACCCAACCAAGCGAGCGAGCGAGGAAATGAAAGAAGAGAAGAGACAAGCAGTCAATAAGTCAAGAAGCGCGACATTACAGCCAATGCCCAATTCCCAACCCCCGATGCGCCCAATGCGCACTCCTCTTCTCTCTCCTCTTCTTCAATATAAAAGGGCACACACACAGCCCAACACACAAAATGCAATCGCTAATCCAGGCAACGGTAATTCAAGACTCAAGGAGAGTGCTTCCCACCTCTCCTCCCCACCCATCCCAAATCTCTCATGTGCGCCCTGTGAACGCCTGCCTCCCTTTCATACCCCCAGAGGCCGAAGGAAGAGGTATCGATGGATCTGATGCTGATCATCTAGTGGTGTGTCGTATGTGTGTGTGTGCTTGCTTTTGGATGTTCTCTTCGTAGACAAGTGTGCCGCCTGGTCGAGTGTCTCTATGGAGGTGTAGATGGTCGGGGCGTGGTATCGTTAGAAGAAGTGGGTGTGGGGCTTGCTCATCTCGTGGACTTCCATTTCCTGTTTGGCATGTCAGTATCTGTTGCAAGCAGCAGGTGGAATGGTTGGCGTACCATCTTGAAAGTGTTGAGCTCCTCCTTGATCTGCTGCGCCAGCATCGGCGTCAGGCGGTTGCAAGTAGCGACCTCGCCTCGTCGATCGTACTCGGAGCTGGACCAGACATCGTGGAACTGGATCCGAGGGCTGAAAGAGATGTTGCGTGCGCTCCCGTTAGGAGTGTTCGGCATACTCTTGGTGACAGTCACGCGTGTAGCGAAGTAGTCGCCGTTCACGGTCGGCGTCGATACGCTGCGGCCTTGTTGACCCTGCGGTGCCTCGCGGGGTGTGCTGGGCAAGCTGGAGTTCGGGCTCTCGGTGATATGTGGGACTGGCGTCAGGCCCGCCTCGTTCGGCTTCACAACTGGTGAACCATTTGGCGAGCTCGTCCCAGAACGTTTGAGAATGCCTTTCTTCACAGCCGCAAGGACTTCTGCACGATCCTTGTCGCTGCCAACAATGCTGCGTCTCGTGTCTGACCCATCGGCAGAGCCTCGCTGCTTTTCTGCGGTGGCAGCTGCACTGGCGACATCCATGGAGTTCCTCTCCAGCTTTGGGAAACCAGTAGCGCCATCTGACTGTTCGGCTGCGTGTGCGTTGACGTTCACATTCAGCCGCTCCGCCTCGACAGTGACCATAGACACCTGAGCCACAGTGGGTCCAACAGTCGTCTCCAGTGGTCCATCGGCAGCCGGCACTCCAATCACGGACTTCGGCCGGAAGAGGCCTTTAACACTTCGCGCGCTCTTCTTCGCTCCGCGACCCATCTTTCGGAGCATCATTGACGCCGACGAGGCCGTCGAGGAGATAGACAGGTTGTCCGTAGATCCACTGAAGCCACCCTGTCCCGAGTAGATGCCCGCACCAATCCCGGCCGCTTCTTGTCGTCGTGCAATCTCCAACTGCTCTGCGTCCATCTCATCATCGATCTGCTGCCGGTGTTGCTGTTGCATCTGCTGGGCCTGGTTGTTCTGTGCTTGGTTGTTCTCGCCAGCAGCTCTTCTAAGCTCCTGTGCGCTGCCAAAGGAGAAGGCTCGCCGCAAGCGAGACTTCATACCCTTGTTCAGGTCCTTGTCGGATACCGCAGCGAGCTGTGCTGCAGCTGGCGATGGTGTTTGGACAGCAGATTGCGCGACAGCGGCATATGTCCTTGGCTTGGTTGGTGAAGCGGTCACCGAAGGTTGCTGGCCCTCTGCATCACTTGCCTGCCGAGATAGAGGTGACGGAGCGGCAAGACGCTTGCTGGCCTCGGAGGATCCTCTGGGAGGCACATTGAGCTTCTGCTGAGCGCCGGCGGCCGCAGCTTTTGCCGACTCCGTCTTCCCAGCATTGGAGACATTGTCGCCGCTTGCTGTCTGCGTTGGTACAGGCCGAATGGTCGTTGGTGTCGAAGTTGCACTCGGTCCATGGCCGGAAGAAGGCCGCTGCGCACCCGGTCCAGCTTGAGCAGGAGGCGTAGCGAGATTCTGAGTCTCCAGTTGGTTCAGGCTTCGCCGTCGGTATCTCGACTTGGCCAACTCGCTTTGGCCTGACTTTGACAGCGCCATGTCATCAACGCTTGTCTGTCGCTGCACGGGCTCTGGCTGCTCGGTGATGTTGGTAATCGGCGCTGCAGCGGAAGTGCCCAGTTGTGGCGAGACGGCTCGAACACCGGAAGCAGAGGAATCGTTGCGTTTCTGCCCGGGTCGCCTATACCGGTCTGGAGATGCCTTCACGGGCTGGTCAAAGCCCAGCGATAGGTCGGGGATGCTCGACGATAGGTTGATGAACGACGTCGGTCTTCCGCCCATCACGGAATCATCCTTCGCAGATGGCTGTGATGAGGAAGCGTCCGAGGATGAGGTCGAGGTAGAAGCCGTTGCTCGATGGCTGCCAATCGGCCCGTGTGAGGTCGTGGGTGCCGATGTTGTCCTCATATCCTGCCGCAGCGTCGGCGTAGATTGAAAGGCGTATGGCTGTATCGGCGCCGAAGCTCCTCTGTACGACGTGTTGTTCTGCCCATGATACATGCTCCTTGGCGCTTGCCCTGGCCGATGAGGCTGAGCGTACTGTTGTGATGCCCCTTGGAACGCGTCGGCGGAGGAGGGGCGAGAATGCAGCAGACTGATGGTATTCGAGGTTTGCATAGGAGGTGGCAGTACCTCAGCCATCTGGGTCTGGCGTTTATCGAAGGCGTGTGGCGGTGGGAGGAGAAGGGAGAGGGTCTTGGCGGTGTTGATTAAGGTATGCTATCTGATTCGAGGTGCAGTCAGTATCGTATACCACTCTCAGCGATGGTGATGACGGCGGCAGAGATGGTGGAGTAAACGATGGTGAAGGGCGAGTGATGGCAATGGCCTCGCCGTCTCGGCCCCCTATCACGCTGATGCGGGCAGATCAAGGTCTGCTGATGCACATGGCAGCGAGTATGTGATGGACCACCACCGAATCTCCTCTGCTGGGTGAAGGGGCAATGCAATGCAGCTGTCGGTCGTGATGTACGTACCTCTTGAAAATTCTAGGGAGTAGTGAGCAAGTCAAGTGCGTCCCAGCCGCAGCGGCTGCAGTGGGCTTTACGCCGACATGGACTCCGGGCAGGTACAGCCTAGAGTCGGTCCGGATGGGCGTGTCGTGTCGGAGCAGTCGTCAGTCGTGGACGGTCGTGATGGAGAGAGAGGAGTATCGGTGGAGGTGGAGGTGGAAGTGGTGAAGCGTTCTGCAGATTGTAGGGGCTTCGGCAGGCGTGCGGAAGCGTGAAGGAATGCCAGCCAGAAATGCGCGTCTCACTGGAAGGTAGAACAGATGCCCCGAACGCCAACTATCAGCTACAAGCAGAAGAAAGCATACGAGCAAGAAGGTACTGGTAGTTGCTGCTGCTCGAGGCGGAAGAGCACAGCAGTCGGATGGAAGACGACTTCACACGACGCTCAGAAATCGGGCCAACGAGGGAGAAGACGGCTACAGCACAATCTGGTTAGGCCCCGAAGGATGATCTACTTGCTGGCCCCTGCGGAACACCACCACCCCTTCCACCTCGTGAATCTTCACCCTTTCTCCTGCAACACAATGCTGTCTCATAGCGCTGGCCGAGTGCTGCTACCGGTATTCAGCTGTTGCGAGAGATGGTATCCAGCATACGAGGCAGCGACAGCATCATCCTATCAATGCGTAGGATGCGGATGCTGCGCCAAGCTGCAACTGCAACAAATACGAGAGCCAGATCGCCCGTTCATCTATCTGCCCTTCTCCAGCAACTGCCTCTACTATACAGATCTGCCCGTCTCCCTCCTGCAATGTTCTCAACACCAGTAGAGGGGACATGCTGCTCATATATCTTCAACACCATCTCATTCTGCACAGCTGACGCCATCCGGAAGCAATAAACTTTCCCATCCTATCCGGCCTACACGTTTCACATCTGCAGCCAGCCCCAAATCATAAACCTCCGTTCGGCGTACAGAACCTGACCTCATCCTCTTCATCTTCCTCGCGTGGAGATTGTGATCACTGCTGACATCCGAACACCGTCTCACCCTGTGCACTTCCATCTCCGCTCACCGTCTCCTCGTTGTCGTCGTTCGTTTCCCTTGTCTCACGCTCGAGCTGCGAACCCCTTCGAAAATAGCACTTGCATGATCCAGCACACCCCTCGGCCGGCGAATGGCAGCACCAGAGTCAAGCGCCTCCCGACCCGCTTGAGACCGCAAGCGTCGACCTGGTGCTTTTCTGGCTTGCGCGTTCGGCGCGACGAAACCGACGACCTTCGGGTGGCTTGCGATGCTCGATGTTCTGTCAGCGAATCATTCAAGCATCTCCTGTTGCTTTCCAAGTCTTTGCAGCAACACATGTACTATTCTACGCAGTTGTCGTCTCGTATCTCTTCCGCTACAGCATCAAGATTATCCCACAGCCTTCATCCTGCTCAGTGGATAAGGGAGCTCTCCCCACGCTCAACGCTGCAGTCTTGGTCAGGATATGCCGGTCATCACAATCAAAAGATCTACGTCGTGCAGCACGCCGACCCTGCACGCCTGCAGACCAACTCCCTCCCTCTATCCTCGAAACGCCTTGGTGTCCTTCGCAAGCTTATTAACTTGGCCGTCTCCGGGCAATCTATATCTTCACATTTGTTCGCCACCTGTTCACAATCTCCATCGGCACGAGCACAAACCATCCGGCTCCATCTCAGCCCCGCGAGCTGACCTGCCGTGCAGCAGCGCATCACTCACATCCCGCTCCGCACTGTGGAAGATCCAGCCCAGACCGACACCCGCAAGCTATGTAAGTTCCGACTTCATCAAGCTCTTCATGCACCTCAATCTACTCCATCTACACCTTCCCTGCACTAGCTCGCCTCCTCGTCAAAGGAAAAATTCATTCACGTTCCCCTCACCGACAACCGATTCAACTCTCCGCAGACCCCACGCGCTCCAGCCGCCCCGGACACAACAGCAGCATCCCCAAGCTCCAGCTCCAAAGCGGCAGGTCATATCGCCATCGCGGTGGCGAAAAAACACAAGCATTTGGTAGGTAGGCAAGCGGCAGCGGCATCTTCAATGGCAATACACAGTCCAGCCGAGAAGCAAGGCAAGGCAAGTTCTCGGTGGCGTTTGCTGCCCCTCCCCACCATCTCTCCCTCTTCCCCATCCCTACCTCCAAACGCTGAGGCGTCGTCCGATTCGTGCAGAATCTAGCGGCAAGGTTCCGACTATCTCAGGCTCATCATGCTCATGCACGAATGACTGCGTTGCATCGCATGATGTAGGACTTGCAGGCTGCAGAGACGCCTTCCAAGGTTTTCTTTCCCTTGGACTGCGCCTCATGAGCGGGGTACATCCTGCCCTGCGGACAATTCGCAGTGGATACATCGTCACGGCAGGACTGTGGATAAGCCTGGCGTTGCGGGAGGCTGGGGACATCGGCAGCATGCACGGCGTGATGACTACAGGCTAAGTTCCCTGAGCCCCATCGTGCCATGCAAAGTAATTTAGATGTTCCGAGATCTCGTGGTGCTGCGCGCTGCTTGTCTGCTGGAGTGCAGGTCCGATGGGGCGAGCAGGTCGAACTACCAAGAACCCCATCGACTTCACTTCGTTCTGGAAACTGCTCTTCTGCTGTAAGAGTGGACGAAGTATTCGTGTTCGATGCGCTGGAGTGCGGAGGTCATGTCAATCTAGTAGGTATCAGATCCACACCGTAATCTTCATCAACAGACCCATTCATCCTCGTCAAACCGCTCCCATGCCATTCATGTACCGTACCTATAACTCCTCGCTCCCATCTCCACCCAACCCACGCAAAACACACCATCTAGCCTCCCAAGCGGACCAATACCTCCCAAAAGCCCAACACCCTCCGGCCTCAAAACCAATAATTCTCCCCACTCCGCGCAACGACAAACTCACACCCCAGCCCCTGTCCTTCCCTCTCCAGCACCTCCTCATAATCCCTCAGCTGCGCGAGCACGTTGTCCCTTACGTGCGGGCCATCCTTCATCGTGTCCTTGATGTGGATGATCACGACTTTGATGCCCGTGAGCGGGGGATCTGCTACCCCTCCACCTCCGCCGTCGCCTCGTCCAACTCCAGCGTCGCCTGCACCCGTACCGCCTTGCTTCGAAGGGATACCAGCAGCAGGATGCGGAAGCGGTTTCGCCTGCACCGCTTTCGGCGACACGGGCTCCAAATGCGCCAGCTGCACTTGATCCAGACTCTCCGACGACGTCTCCGTCTCCAACCGACTCGGCGGCATTGCACCCGCGTCCGGCATACTCTGATCCGGCACACTCCCCCTCCTCTGATCCCTCGCCAAAACCCCTCGACTGGCTAAACTGCGACTCCGCTTCCGATCACTCTCACTGATGGCATGCCGGGCGACATCACTCCCGTTCGGCCCCGAGCGCTTCCGCTTCTTCGCCCCCTTTTCCTGCAGAACCGTGTGTTTCGCCTGCTGGACCAGGTACGCGAGCGTCTGCAGCTCCGCGATCAAATGGCGCGGGTTCAGATGGCCGAATAAGAAAGCATCGGCCTGCGAGTCGTCGTAGCTGCACTCGATGAAGATGCCTCCTAATAACCCATGCGCGATCTTGTGCGCGGCTTCCTTCCACACGGCGAGCGTGCGCGGGGAGAGGGAGATGGAGTCCGGTTCCACGTCGCCGAACATCAGGACTTCGCGGTGGGATTCCGTGTCGCGGACGAAGAAGGCCGTACTGTCCACAACGCAGGAGTTGGCGTCTGCGGCTGCCATGCGCGGGGAAGGTTGTTGCGGGGTGTAGAAGGACTGACGGGGCGTGAGACCCGGCGTGCCCGGCGCGGAGTAGACACTATTCTGCGACATCGAGACCGTCCGGGTCATGCTGGCGGGCTCACCATGAAAAGAGCCGTTGTGCGGGGGTTGGAGGTCGGAGATGCCCGCGATGCTGCCGCGGTGGTGATGGCTGGGCGGGCTCTTGGTGCAGACGCCGTGGGAGATTTTGAAGGCGCGGACACCCAAGCCGTCGGAGACGTCGATGTAGCCTCGTCCTTCGCCTTCGCCGACCATGGCGTCGCCGCCTTCTTTGAGGCGTTGGAAGGTGACGAAGCCGACGCCGCCATCTTCGTCTGAGAGATTCGGCCAGATGACATCGTTGAAGATGTGCTGTTTCACAGCGTCCACGGTCGAAGGCAAGGCCGCCAGCGTCTTCGGTCGTGAAGTAGCATGGAACGCCGCCGTATTGATCGCAAACCCCGACAGATGATCCAGATGCGGATGCGTGATCAGATACGTATTCACATAGTTCCGAATCACATGCAGCGCATTCGCCCTTGCCGACTCATTCGGGAACTTCAACCCGGCAAAAGGCCCCTTCGCCAACACCGTAGGTTCCGGTTTCACAATCTCCTCGTCCTCCGGACTAGGCGACAGCGACGCCCGTGCAAGACTCTGTCTCAGCTCCGGCGTACTCCCATTCACCCCCTTCCCATTCCCCAGTCCACCCCCGCTCACGCTCGGAAAGTCTCGTTCCAATATCCGGGTAATCGGCGCCAAATGCGACCCAGCATCGACAGCCAACAGACTGCCTTTCGCCCAGTCACTAGCTATCGAGCGCACCAAGAAGCCGGTGACGTCCTCCTCGCTGGGCCCGCCGCCGGAGCCGAGACAGATGACTTGGAGCGCCGGGCGGTGGCCGTGCAGCCCCGTGTTTGCGTCGGCCGTCTCATCTTGCTTGTCTTTCATTGGGGACGCATGTAGCCGTGTTTTCGCTCCCGCTCGGGTGGGCCTAGGTGGTTGTTCTTTGTTCGCGGTGCAGAGTCATGCAGGGACGTAGGTGTCTTATACGAGGGCGTGCTGGCTGTGCGATGTTCGAGAAGTGAAGTGCTTGCTCGAGTCCTTGTTTGCTTCTGTGTCGGTCGGTCGATCGAGGGTGTCGCAATGTGCGTCCTTCGAGGCGGCCACGTGCGCTTCTTCGTCCCAATTGTCCCGCACCGTCCCGCCCAACCGTGCTCCGTCTGATGCAGTCTTCCGCGTCACGCTTCGATTCGTCCTCGTGCTTTCGGGATCACAGTCTTCGGGCACGACGACACCACGCACGCTACAACGTGGCTGGCTGGCTGGTCCAAGAAGGCGGGCTGAAAGAGCTCCCGGTCGGTTTATGTATAGTAGGAGTCGTAGGAGTAGACGTTTAACTTCGCCGGAGCATTCTTGTACCCTGGCTCTGGGAAGAAACGTGGAGTGGAGAGGAGAGTTCACACGAGCGCATCCTCCGGAGTCTGAGGCGCTGGCAGCTACGCCCCGCCAAGACCGTCATGCGGCGGGCCACCTGACATGGCGTCGTTACACTTACCTCTATTGATCTGTAGGGCGCAGAAAGCGGGCTGGCCTTTCTCGAGCACACTTTCGGACCTACTACGGGTCTACTACCACCTCCTACAGTACCAGAAACAGTACCATCCCGCTCCGCTGGGTCCAGTGGGAGGGATCGCCGCTGCTTCCCCACAATCTGCAGCCCTTCCACGCGTGTTCTGGAACCAGATGCGGCTGAAGAAGACCGCTCCAGACTTTGGGAAGTTGAGTGTACGGCGAAGTTGAGTGTACGGCGGATATTGTATTTTTGGTGAGCTACAGCAACAGATAAACGCAGCAATAAAGCATTCGTACTTGTTATCATACTTTGGTCAAACGAGGGTGTTGGCTGACATCAAACGTCAAGCCCAAATACAGCGCAGGAAGCATAGAAAGTCAATCAAGCATCCACCACAGTCTGAACCCTCCTCCTCCCTATCCTTCTCCTTCAATTTCGTTCTCGCTGTACTCCGTGATGGGTAGACGGTCGCAATCGCAGCCGCTCATGCAGGGTACAAGCGACGACATCGCACCGTAGCATCGTCATACGAGCGTGGACACCACAGCAGCAGTCGCGCAGCGCTTGAGCAGGTAGCATCGCCCGTAATGACCGTACTTCGTGGCAATTGTTCCATCAGTCACTGGCAGTGATCTTTGCTCCAATCATCCATCCTTTCAGCTCGTTCACTCGGCATAGTTCTTCAAAAGTATTCCTCGCGCCAACAGCGCCTCCAACCATCCTCAACCCGCCTGCCCGAAACTCGGCGGCGACACCTGCCTAAACGTCGGCTCGGCCCCAGTGCTCCACACACTATCCCCAGCACCAAAGAGCAGCGGACTCGTCACCGTCGAACTCTCCATCGCGAAACCAGGCGCAAGCCCGTTCGGGAGAGGCGCAGCAGGCGACAGTTGCGGTGTGAGGGACGCGACGGACCTCGAGCCCTCGCGATCATGGACGGTGTACTCGGGCTCCTGGTAGCGGCGCGGCGCTCCGAGACGCTGGTTCGCGGAAGTCTTCTTAAAAGTCTCCTTGATCGTGGTCTCGTCGCGCACCGGCGGCACGTTGGGGCCAGCGTTGCGGCGCCAGTTCGTCTCCGCCGCGGCAGCGCTCGCACGGTACTGTTGCGGCATGTTCTGGGATGCTCTCTTCCAAGCGGACAGCTTGTCTTCAGGGCGTGGCGTAGAGTCGGAAGAGAACCACGAATCTGCGAGGCCGGAGTTGGCAGCCTGGGTCGTCTGCGAAGTCCTGCTGCGAATGCTACTCGCAGAGTTGACGCGGGAGTGACCACGGCTGTTGAAGTGGGCTGGTGAGCCTAGTGTGCCTGTTGGAAGGCCGGATGGGAACGGCGACGAGTGGGGGGCAGGGTTGTCGTTCCACAGGCTTGCGACAGATTGCATGGGGTCGGTGGGCCTGGACATCGTGGCATCCCTGGGAGTGCGAATGTTGGGCGGCGTGATATCCATACCAGGACCGGCTCCGATGGGCTTCTGCTTCGCGGTGTAGGCGTAGGTAGGCATCTGACCCAGGCCTCCGTTGCCATGCATTGCCGAATACGACACATCACCTCCATTGACAACAGCTGGATTGCTAGTATGCTGCTGTGGTGGCGTAGTAGGGGTGTTGCCGTCATCATCGTCGCCAACCAGATCGTCCACCATGCGGCTCAGCTGGGCGTGTCGTGAGACTTTTGGGCCGGGATGATCACCGCTTGATTGAGCATTGCGAGCAGTGGCCTTGACTGGCCGGTTGGAGGAGGCGGCAGCAGCGTAAGAGATTGGCTTGGTGGGAGCTGGGCTTTTGGAAGTGACTCCATTGTTGGTGGCCGGCGCAGGCGCAGCCTTCTTCGGGAACACGGGCATTGGCGTCTCGACATCTTGGGCATCGTTGTGCAGAATCCGCGACTGCCGCAGCTTGATGGGAGCCTGGTCGTTATCGTTTGCCAGATACAGCCCATCCACGAGGAAACCTTTGACCCGGGCGAGCATCTCTCCGTCGACTGAGGCTCGATGCACACCCAAGCTGGAGAAGCGCATCTTCTCCTCACCAGTATTCTTGTCGTACCAGATGCCGTTCGTCGGCTCATCCATCAGTGGCTTGAAGCCTCGCGTCTCAGCATCTTCCTCAAGCATGTAAGTGATCTCAGGCAAGTCGTCGAAGTCCCAGATAGGAAAGACGTTGGCAACCAGGTCGACAGCTTTGGCGTAGATGGACCAGAACTGCTCGATGACGTCCTTGAGCTCGTCAGAAGAGAGGCCGTCGAGAAGATTTACCATAGGTAGAAGCCAAGCGCTGTAGAGGCGCAGCATCGGCAAGATGCGTCGTGCGGTCTTGGTCAGTCTGCTCATCAGGTGAGCGGCATTATCGTCGTCCTCGTCAATGTTCATGTTGTTCAGGTCAATGGCTCGGAGGTCGTCGTAGAATACACGTAGCAATGTCGTGAAAGTCTTGATATTCAGGCGGAAGAAACGAAGGAAAGCATTCTGGTTTTGCTGGATCGGGTTCTCTGGCGCACGCGTTAGCAGCATAATAGTCACACGGGCAATACACACATACCCTGAAACTGCTCCGCAGCATTGTACTGCGCAGCGAAGTTCGTCATGACCATGCGTAAGAGGGTAGCATCAAGCGGGCGTTGCTTGATCTCAGCCGCAAGTTGACCCAGCACCTCGCGCTCCAGCTCGTCGTATCCACGGACAGGCTCGCCCTTGAAGCACATGCTGTGCAGGCGCACGAACCATCCAATCAAGGTGTTCTTGGCCGACTCCGGGTCTTTGGGCCTGGTCTTCTTGATGAGCTCGCCACGGTCCCAAGCAGCATTGGTGCGGTCGAACTCTCGCTTGAGGTTCTGCGCAGCGTTCGGGTGTGGCTCCTCCACAACAATCGCACGGTACAGATGGTAGATCGCGCGTAAATGATGCTGCTGTTCGAGGGCAATGACGGCTTGCTGATGTTGTCCCATACCCGAGGACGGAACAATCGTGCAAGCCAAGCCATAGTAGCCGACTGCTGGCCCAAAATCCGGGTCTCTATCCAGCTTTTCAGACGCGCGGTAGCGCGAAAGGTCGCCCAGGCAGATCAGCGCTCTGTGGCAAGACGCGAGGACGACCTTCTGCAGATCTGGGGAGAGCGACGACTGCGAGCTTTCACCCGAGTCGTCTTTCTTCACGTGATGCGCCACCAATTCCAACTCCCGAATGCCGCCGAAAATCCTGTTGAGGTACTGAATGTGCTGTCGGTAGAAGCTCTGGCCCTCCTTCAAGAACTGGAGATACAGCTTGATAAGCTGTCGAATCGCCACCGGCTGCTGATCCGCCTGCTTTCGCAGTGGGCTCAGAGCTTTGTGGAAGTACTTCTTCCCCTCGGTGTGCGCTTGCCATAGCTTCGCCTCCCGCGGTGCCGCCCCATGTTCGAAGTCGGTGAAGATACACTTCTCGATGATGTTGCGGTAGTCTCCGAAAGCTTTCAGCAAGCTCACAATGGGCTCATCGGGCCTCTTCAACAGGTAGTAGACAAGTTGTTCAGCAGCCTGCTCTTGCGCGAGCAGGTCCTCCATGCTTCTTCTCTAGGTACAGACGTCTCATGGACGTCTCAAAAGTTTGGCAAATGACCACGGCGTGGCCAGCTCCGCGGTGGTTATGTGTAGAAGTGATGCGCGCTGGTGAAGTGACCGATGCGATCCATTGGGGTCTGCGTCGGTGGTGTGTAGGAGCGGAGTGGCGGCGACAAAATTTTGTCTGTCGCACGAAGAATGTGAGTCAGTGTGCTGAATATCGGGGTGCGAAGCAGTGAGTGATCAAGCAATGTAAGGCGCGCTGTGTTGTGAGGTGAACTCGAGCGAGGTCGCGGGTCGACGAAGGTTGGAGGTGCTGGCTGACCTCGAAGATCGGCGGAAGCTCGGACCACTCGCTCCAGACTCCGAGATCCCTGCCAGATCTATACAACAACTTCAGACGGATGGTAAAAAATATGAAGTAGGAGTACTTGCCTTGTTCGACCAGCTTTCCAGAGGGAATTTCACACCCAAACCAGCACGTGTTCTCGAAACGCCTCCTGAGCGTGAAACCCAATTCACTCGAGGCGGAGAAGCTTAGCTTGACATGCGCCTCTAGCTGCAGTGTCGGAACAGCTACACCGCCCTCACCATGGCTAAAAGAGAGCGCGAGGCCTCCGTATCCTCCCATGCAGACGGCGCCGAAGACTTGCACGAGATCCGGCGATCTCAAAGTGCTGATGCACCAACACACACCACGAAGTATGCTTCAGTAGAGCCTTCAGACCAACAACCATCAATCATGCGTTGCGCCCTTCCGCCGCACAAGCTATTAAGCTTCAAGACGTACGCAGAGTACGAGACGCATTACCAACAGTCTCACACCAACAGGTGCGCTGATTGCAAGGCCAACTTCCCAACCAGCCGCTTCCTGGAGCTGCACATCGCGGAGAACCATGATCCCATCGTGGCCGGCAAACGGGATGCCGGCGAGAAGACGTATGCTTGTTTCGTCGAGGGTTGCGACAAAGTCTGCGGCGAGTGGCAGAAGCGCCGGTCCCATCTGGTCGACAAGCACGCTTTTCCTAAGAATTACGATTTTCTCGTTGTAGATCACGGCATCGACCGTCAGCGAAGCCTCCTACGGCCTGGAGTGGACGAGCATGGCCACCGTAAGAGTAGCCGTGAGAGAGCGAGGAGCAGCTCGAATGCCACGGAAGCCACGCAGAGCACGGAGGCGACTTCGGTGGATCAGCCAGACGATGTTGGATCGCAGGAGAAGATGAGTGTGGATGCGAGGCCTTCCGACACGACTGACAAAGGTCGCGAGGCCAAGCAGTCTTCTTCTGCTACACAGCCCGACGTGGACGCGCTCGCCTCTTCGCTCTCTTCGTTGAGTATGGTGCCGCGGAGCGTCACCTTTGGTCGGCGAAAAGGGCGGTCGGGACTGGCACGAAGCTGATTTCATCCTGCTGCGAGCTACCAGCCAAATTCACAACCTGGTAACAACAATTGTATGCTGGGGTTCTGGATTTCAGCATGAAACACTACAAGCGCTACTCGCTCGCCGTTCCACAATGTGACCTGGATCGAGGGCGCTAAGCTAATGTGTATACCATTCTTGTGCCTGCGCAAATTAACAAGATCTAAGTGTGTGCCTGTTGGTGCGAAGAAAAGGACGTGAAGATGTAGCTCATAAGTCAGCGGAGACACGAAAGGGTGCTCTCGCAGACAGCTGAGAAGGACTGCCGGTATTTTTTTAGGAGGTCTACACCTTCCCCTAACTTTTGTGTAAAACATCGTGGAGGATGTCTTTTGGGTATCATCATTGCCACCGTGGGCGTTTCGGACCTATACCATGCCATGGAGCGTCTTGGTTGTTGAAACACCATCACTCCTCAAACGCCAACGCTCGCAGCCACCGCCACCGCTATCGCATTTACGACGACGCGGTATAGGTCTTCTTCGGGAATGGGTACCTGCAAGATTCAATGTCAGCATGAAATGTCCATGACACAGTTCAGTGTTCTAGAAGACACGTACGAAGGACCAAGCTCCCGCAAGCTAAGCGCCGCCAACCAAGATCCCATGTCGACGCATCGCTCCAGCGACTCGCCCTTCACCACACCGGCCATGAAACCGCCAGCGAAGGCATCACCAGCGCCAGTGGTGTCGGTGATCTCCTTCGAACCGATCGGGTGGACAGGGAAGCTGCGGACGTTGTCCTCGCCTTGGATGGCGATGATAGTTGGATCGGTGCCTTGAGTCACGATGGCCGTTCGCTTGCGCTTGCTGTTGGCCTTGGGCAGGTTGGCGAGGTGCTTTGCGATGGCTGGGATGTCCTTGGGGTCGAGGTCGTGCGATTCGGCGTAGGCGGCTGCTTCGCTTTCGTTGCCGACGACGTAGTCCCAGTATTGTGAGGTTTGGTCGAGCGGGTCCTTGAAGAACTGTGGGATGAAGGGTGCGGACAGGGAGAGGGCGAAGATCTAATCATCAATTAGCCAATTTCGAGGGATGTTTTGAACATATGCCATACCTTGTTCTCCTTCGCCGCCTCTTCAGCCAACGCCATCACAGCCGGCACGCACACCGTTAAGTGGAATCCGCCAACAAAGTACGCTTTGCTGTTCTTCACCGTATCCCAGTTCTCCTTCAAATGCTCAATCTTGTAGCAGTTCGCCGCCGCAAGATCCGTGCACATGCTGCGGTTGTGTCCAGTGATGACCACACCACACTTCCCCGTCGGCTGCTCCTCGTCATACCGGTACCGGACCTGCAGACCGGCCTCCTTGTTCGCCGCCATCAGTGTCTCTGCATTCTTGTCCTTGCCCACGCAGCCGAAGAAGACCACGGAGTCTGCGGGTAGCATGTACTGGGCGCCTCGCGCGGTGTTCTGGGCAGCGCCTCCAGCGAGCAGTTTGGCTTCGCGGTTGTTCATCAGTTCGGGGTAGAGCGACATGTGCTTCTCCTCGGCGAGGATGGCGTCGTTGGCCTTGAGGCCGTATTGCTGGAGGAGTGCATCGTCACTAATGAGAGTCAGTAATGGTCTCGACAATATCAAGCGCTCGCGGGCCATTGAACGTACCCTTGGGCTTGGATGTCGAGCAATGGGTTCTCCAAGCACAGGAGCTCAAATTGTTGCGATGCCATGATTTCGGTGTTCTGACCAATGCTGGGTTCAGGTTTGAAAGAAGTCTTGTTCGAGACAGTATTTTTCGATCCTTGCTTGATCTCGAATGAAGACCCCTCCATCGAGACTTTCATGTACCGGCCCCACGTCTGACGTTGACCTCATCACACTCTCCATCCGGCAGATTTGCATCGTCAGAGGCAGTGGCATGAAGGGTTCAAGGAAAACCAGCAAATTCCAGATACTCGTGCTTTCTTGACGACGTCTAGATTTATATCGCATCAACTCATGCTACTCTCAGGTCTAGCCCGCCAACATCAAAACAAGCCACACCAGGGGTATTCCCATCACCAAACGCCAGCCGCACATGCTGATAGCTCTTTCCAATGACCCTTCAAATGCACAAATCGCGCGCTCGCTGATGCATAAACCACTCAAAGCACGATCAAGTCCACATTGCTGAAGTCCGGTGGACTGCGTCTAAACACCACCTTGCCCTTCCCGTTCAACGCAACACCCTCATTGCTGATCCAGATATTCGTCTTCTCCACCGCACCACCCTTCTCACCGTCAGTGATAGTGACAGTACTCATCTTCTTTGCACGCTTGATCTCGTCGTCGCTGACGCCCAGCTTGTCGCGTGGTATCCAGACGACAGGTCGCTTGGCCCGCAGCGCGGAGTGCTGGAAGGCGTAGCGAACGAGCAGGTCACGCTCGTCGGGTGTCAGATCCTCTATCTCATCCGCGAAGCCAGAGAAGAGGACGTCGCCGATAGAGCGCTGGGCTTCGACGTCTTGAGTTTTGGCGGTTTGTGGATCTACCTTCCTGCCATTAGCGGCCGGCTTCTCCTTGTTCTCTGAATTCGCGAGATGGCGAAGGCGAGTAACGGCTTGTGGCGCCGCTGCTCGCCATCGGTCCGTCTTCCACGTCTGCTTCGGGCTCTGACCATGATCAAGGTGCCAAGACGGAGGATGGCTGTTATTCGTTCTCCGCGTCGTCGCTGTGCCGTGAAGACTGCTCTCTCGTTGGCTCCTCCTATGTTCCGCGATGTCCTTCATTTCCTGGTCTTCAGCGCGAGCTTCGGCGTCTTCCTCCTTCTGCTCCCGCTCTTCGAGCACATCCTGGATGTCCCTATCATCCTCAGGCTCGCGCTCCTGCATGAGGGGGGCAAACTTGCTCGCTTGTGCACGGGCAAACTCCTCGTCTCGTATGACCGCTTCGTCCTCGAGCGTGATAGGCAGATACTGGAAGAGCGGCTTGAACGCAGAGTTCAGAAGCAACTGGAACGCAATGGTGAAAATTCCTGCGACGACCATAATGATGCCCTGAGGGTAACACACGACATTGTCGTTCTCGTCGCGCTGGATGAAGAAGAAGCCGATCAGGCACAGCTCCATCATGTATAGGCCAGTGAAAAGCTGATTGACCGCCGTGGGAAAGAGCAATCCGCCCGTGTCGTTGCGGAACTGATAAACGTAGAGTACGTTGTACCGGTAGACGAGCCAGAAGAGGGAGAAGATGATAAGCATGAAGACCAGAATAAGCGGTGCCAGGATCGAGTAGATGATGCCGATGACTGCGAAGTTGGTGAATGGCGGGAAGAAAGAGCCCCATTGCACATACGGCAGCGTGGTCTGTCGTCGCCATTTCGCTCTCGCGGTGCTGTCAAGCAGGGGAGCGATGATGAACCAGCCAAGCAGTGCGCCAACTTGCAAGAGTGCCGACGCCGAGTTGGACAGTGCCTGGATGGTAAGGTACGAGAAGAAGTAGTTGCTTGCCCGTGGTAGGGAGTTTCCCAGGGTGTTAAGAATGCTGTTCGGGTTGTTCGCGAGCGCCGAGACGAGGTTCGTGAGCCCGCCCGTAATCGACACAACCAGGAACACCTGGATGAACAGGAAAGCAAAGTACCATTGCTGCACGCCCAGCTCCTGACCGTTGCCTGTAGCCACGCCTTGCTGCTTGACAAGCGCTCGGAAGATGACGGGAACCAATGCCAGAATGATTGCGAGGATCAGCGGCGGCAAGACACCCTGAATAATACTGATAATAGTGTCAGGGATCTCCGCCAGCCACGTAAATCCATCGAATTGCTGCAGTGTGGAGATTTTGCTCAACAAACTGCTGAAGGTGACAGGAATGGCATAAAGGACGATCAATCCGGCGGAGATGAGGAGGACCACTCCGGTACGGAGGTATCGTTCCCACCATTTGATGGACATATTGTCCCAGAGGATATCATCAGGGCTGATCTCAACGAGGCGAGGCGCCATGTGCTGGGGTACGTGATGTGAGAGCGACTGACAGGCCATGTGAGCCGCGACTTGGTGGTTGAACTGAATGAAGGCCGAGTTCATGAATGGAAACTTCTCGACGTCGTTCTGGTCTATCTCGATCTCGAGATTCATTCGTGCCAGTTCCCGCCGGAGATAATAGATCTTGTCGACTTTCTGTCCCATCAGAGGCAAACTGGGACACCACGTTGGCGAGAAGACTGGCACTCGCATGCTCTCGCGCTCCTTGGGCTCGAGATACCGACGCCAGTACGGCTCACCGTCTTGGTCTTCGTCCCACTCCTTGATGATTGCCTCGGGGTATTCGTCCTTGATCTCATCGTCGCTCGGCTTTTTGTGCTTCCAAAAAGCGATCTGCTCAAAGAACTTGCTCCCACTGAGTTTGGGTCCAGCCTTATCCGATGCATTGGCAGCGGCGGTGTCTTTGGTCTCCCAAGAATATTCATCCTCATCAGCGGTGTGGGGCTGAGGAGACGGCAGCGCAAGACTACGGTCGCTGTTCTTCCAGACCTTCCATTTGCTGTGCTGGACTTGATGTTCTGCTGGTTCCACAATCTGCATCTGTGATCTTGGCTTCGATTCGATGGAGGGGCCTGCCATACGAATGCCAGGTGTTCCTTGAGCTCCATCGCTGGAAGGGCTGGCATCAGGCTGACCGTTTGGAACACGTACAATCGTTGCAAGTGGGTGCGATTGAGCAGGTGGGCCTTGCTGCTCGCGGGATAACCCACCACCTGCGCCGTCAACCTGTCTGCTAAATGAGGTTGTCTGCCGTGGCATCGGTGACTTTGGAGGTGGCGTAGGTGGCACACTGCCATGGCTGTAGTGTGAATTCCGGTAAAGGTCGTCATCCATAACAAATCCAGACCCAAGGTTTGCGACGTTATCGACTCTCTGATCCACACCTTCGGCTGCTCTGTGGAAACCGTTGTCGACATCGCCAACGAGATTCCGACCAAAATTTCCGACCCCTTTCCCAATGTTGGCAAAGCCCTGCCCGATAGTACCGAAGCCGTCCCCTATGAGTCCCAGAGGGTTCGCTGGCTTGTGCTTAACATGGTCGTGCGCTTCTCGTCGCTCCTCTGCTTCTTCCGCCTCGTGTAAAGCTTCTTGCAGCCCGTGAGGTGTACTGTGCTGATCACCGGCGCTCAGTCCTACGCCTTGTGCCATGTTGTCTGCCTCTGCATCGTCTGCCTTCTCATCTGCTTGCCTCTCCTTCTTGGATTTCCTAGCCTTGCCCTCCGCTTTCCTCCTCTTCTCTTCTGTCTTGTCGTGCTTCGCGCGACAGTTCTTGACCAGTTTCGTCTCCGCATCCTCCAAGCTCTTAGCTAGTTTGTTGCGGTACTTAACCTTGTCAGCGAGAGCGTCGAAGTTTCGATTGATCCAGATATTCCGGATGCCGCCGGGAAACACGTCGTAGAGGCCGTTCAGGGCTTCAACAGTCAGCCACTTGCGAGGGATACCAGTGACCAGGACAGTCGTTGCCGATGCTCTCAGTCGGTGCTGGGGGCTGGTGAGGAAGGCTTGACGGACACGAATGTAGCCACGCAGCTCACTGTAGACCACGTAGCAAATCCATAGAATGACTGCCACAGCCAAGATCAGATGTGCCCAGAGCCTCGTTGCAACATACCTAGGTCCAACGTTGGATATTGACAGCCTGTCCAGAGACTTGTTCGTGCCAGAGTAGCGATTGATCGGAAGCAGAATTGGCAGTACCACCAAAGCTACTGGCAAGAAGATCTTGAGGAGCATGCGGAGGTAGCGAAGGAAGAAATACGCGTCCAGCCCGCATTTCTGGATGAAGGCAAGGTTGGTGGTTGTGAACAGCGGCTTGATCCAACCTACAATGCCCTGTGGTGGCGCCGCTACACGTTCCTTCTCCGGGACAAGATAGCTTCGAGGGCGGTAAATGCGCGAGAGCTTCATCCGCAGGAGCATAAACAGGAGTGTTTGTGCGCCGAAAGAAGCGAAGGCGGTGGCAATGGCGGCAAGCAGCGTGCCCAGTGTCTCGCCCTCGCTGTCAGTACCAGAACCAGTGCCGCAACTGAGCAGTGCCAGGAAGCCGCCATTGGTGTTGCAGTTCGAAGGGTCAGGGATATCCGTATCGGCCGACATGATCGCGGTGTAATATGGCGGCCCGGCGGTGTGCTCGTTGGGGTGTCGATGACCCTTCGTTCGCCAGCGTCCGAAGGAGTCGTCAGGTGCTAGACATTACGCAGAGTCTGCAACAAAGGAGACCGGGAAGGACAATATTAGGGAAGAGGTGAAGCGGGATAAACAGATTGATGGCTTGAATAGCTGCAGGAGAGCACATGGGTCAAACTTGAATAACCCAGCAAGCGCTTGACGATTGTGGCGCGCTTGTGCATTTTTAGCCGAGGTGGTTTCGCGTCGCCGGAATGGACGCGACCTCATCCTATCATCATGCCGTGAAAAGGCGCTACACCGGACACACCACGTGGAGGCGGTTGGACCTAATCGTGGAGACCGACTTGTACTGACCGTTGGGAAAGCATAACCTGAGCCGTGATCCGACCTGTATCGACTGAGGCCGCCCTTGAAGAACGGTAGGTCATATTCACTGCAGCACTGCTACAGTACAGCCACCTGGATCACTCAACAGCCAGGTAAGTCAGATGGGGAACATGTATGATGCGGAGCTGCTCACGCCGACCGGCACAAATATCTCGGCTCTGGCAAGCAAACCTGTGGTATGGTCATCGGGCCATTTGACACATCGACGAGTTATGTAGGTCAAGCACCAGGGCATAATGCTATATCTTTTCACTCGACCCCGTCATAGCCGTTCCATACAACGGCATTGCTCTAGGATCCGCCCAGACGCTTGATCAAAGACCATGAATTACGGGGTTCACCGCGCGGGCCCAAAGTTCCAGCCATACTTCGTGCTCCTGGCAGTCGAGGACACTGACTACTTTGAAGCATGGCTGCGGGAGTTCAAGTACGGCATCGCCACCATTGAGCTCTGCCATCGCTATATAGTGGCAGGCTACGAACATGACGCGACAGAGCTGTCGGTGGAGATGCAGGCCACAGTCAGCAAAGCGCAAGTACTCACAGCTTTCCTGCTGTACGTTGCTTCGCGGCCGCGCGAGGTGCCACTGACGTCTGCTCACCTATACGCTCGGCGGGCAGAAGTGGTTTGGCTATCTTCACGGAGGGATGACCTGCGCCTCCATTGCCAGCGCTTCGCCGCTGTGGTCTCTCGCATCGCTGCGATTCTGGAGTGGAGATCGTTTACCAGACAATTCGCAACGATGGGAGGCCTGGAATGTAGCAATGGCGAGTCGTCCACCGGTGTCGAGTGTACGCCTTCTAGCACATTTTCGGCTTCGGGCACTACAATTCCCGAGCCTTCTCCCGCCTGCTCGATGTGTGCCGCGAATTGCTGGAGCCGACCGTGCAGTGGTCTCGCATGATCGTACTGCTACACGCCAGGCATTGATGACACTGGACAGCAGGAGTAGCTTATCATCGAGACACTGCAGCAAGTACCTATTCCCGACACCGACCTCAAGGCTGGCTCGGAGCTTTCATTGGAGAGACGGTAAGCACTGGTGATAGGCACGGCCCTGGAATTGTGTGATGCTCTGTGCCGAAACACATTCGAGCGCAGTACATGTACAATACATCTTGTGGACTGTAATAGCAGGACTACCCGGCCAGCGGGTGGCGGCCAAATTGACTTCTCTCCCCAAGATTGACCCCATGCTTCTGCGTCTCTCGCGCGTACTGCTTCACCCTTGCCCCATACTCCTGCTGATCGATCTCCCCACCCATCCACAGCCCTAGTGTCAGAGCATCGAACGCTGCCTGGCTGGTCGACGCGGCTGTGTGCGGCCGAAAACCTGCCAAAGCATCGCCGACCATCAGTACCTTCCCAGCAAGGAAGCTGTTTTGAGGAGCGATGTTGTCTGTGATAGCTTGCACGAACGGCTGCTGTGTCTTGCCAACAGCTTCAGCGAACTGTGGCGGAAGCAGTTCTTTCGCGTGGTCCTTCTGCTGCTCCCAGACTTGAGGCTTCATCGTTCCCACGGGGAGCGTGATGGCATGCCGTTTGCCGTCGGTGCCAGTCATGAGCTCCTCCAGCTCGGCCGAGCCGTCATTATAGTTGCAATACCAGACCCAGTTGAACAGCCGTTGGCCTGCCTCAAGCGTGCCGCTTCTGCCGGGTATGAGATAGCCTAGGATCTGAGTGCCAGTCTGATGGAAGAACGTGAACTTCTCAACAAACGCATCTTTCGCCGCATCCGAAAGCTCAGTCTCTGGCACAGTCCCTCGCCATGCCACATATCCAGCATACTTCCTCTCCACCTCCGGCATCAACATTCGTCTTATCGACGACGAAGCTCCATCCGCCGCAACAACCAGATCAGCCGTCGCCGTCTGCCCTTCTCCCCGATCTTTGTGCGTCCACGTCAGTTTCACACCCTCAGACCCTGCATCCTCCACATTCGTCACAATACACCCGTTCTCATAATCCGCCTTCGGCCGCTCATCCCGCTCCAGTCCCTCGACGTACTCACTCTCCAACCCCTCCACCCGCCACCGCAGCAAATGATACAGCAAATCCCAAGATGTCATCCTCTGCGTTCTATGTTCGACACTCTCCGGCATCTCCTCGCCCTTGCGGTCCAGATAATGCCGCATTGGGCTACAAACGGAGATCTCGCGGCCTGGACGGACGTACTGCTCGAAGAAATGTAGCGTATCACCGCCCGCTACTACGCCGGCTCCTTGGTTGTGTAAAAGGGCTGTAGGCGAACGCTCCAGGATCCGTACCTTGGGTGGGTTGGGGAGGGAGAGGAAGGTCAAGGCGTGCATGAGTCCGGCGAGGGAGCCGCCGACTATGATGACCGATTTTGGTTGTGTTAAAGCCATCGTGATAGTCCTGGTGTATTTTGGGATGGTTGGAGTCGAAGTCTCAAGGCATGAGTTCGCCACACATGTATATTCTGTACACAATCCTTCTAAGAGCGCATCTTTTGCAACCTTAAATCCGGCGGGTTCTTAAAAAGGTGTTTGGTAGGTTAGAAATAAAGGCAGGTGGAAGTATGTACGACGCAGTATTGCTTAGCAATCGATGATAGAAGATCTACAGTATGACATGTGAAGATTCACATCGGGAAGGTACGTCGGCATTCCAAGTCCGGAAGTTGCCAGTTGGGAAGCTGCGACTTTACGAACGCACATGCTGGTCAGAGCAATCTCTGTGAGCCTTCTAGAGTACAATTGAATATATCACTACAGCATCTCACTCGGCCTCCCCATATTCCCAACCATAAGCTGATTCGGCTCCGTAATTCCCTCATGCCTATAAATCCCCGTCGAGATCACAAAGGCCCAGAAATCATGCTGCCCCGTCGTCGTCCCTCCCACGCCACTCTCCTGCAACCGCCTCCGTACCGTATCCGCGATCTGCACCAGACGATCCCACTCCTCGCGCTTGGCCAGCGCTCGCGCCACGCATTCGAGAGCGCGCCAGGAAGGCCGCTTGCCTTGTGCTTCCATCTGCGAGAGGAAGGAGAGCATTGGCGCGGTGCCGACGGCGGCGTGGTTCATGGCGTAGCCTTCGACCATGCGGTTGTAGAAGGGTGGGCCGAGAGCGGTGCCGTAGCCGGTTTTGCCGGTTTTGATGCGATTCCAAAGGCTTTCGACGGCGGCTAGATCGGGCGGGTCATGCTCGAAGTAGAATTGCATGAGGGTGGTATAATGGTACGAGGTTGGCTCGACTCCGCGCTTCATCATGTGGTTCAGCACGGTCTGGAAGGCCTTGGGGTTGTTATAGATTCTGGCCATTCGATCGATGACAACCCCGTAGCCCTTCTCGGCAATTGGCGCTGCATTCGCTTCTTCGAGCGATGTGATGAGCTGCATGACTTTCTCCTCCTGCTGCTTCGGTTCTAGGTTCTCGACCACTCCGCTTTCGAACAGGGCGTTGAACAGGATGTTCCAGGTGTTGCCGTCGGCCTCCATGTTCAGTGACCTCATGCGTCGGAGCAGATTCATAGCTTCCGCCGGTTGGCCGTTGCGCATACTGACGTTGATCAGCGTGTTGTAAGTGACGCTGTCCGGCTCGATGCCGAAGCTGCGACCCCAGCCTAGGATCTTTGGGATCAGTTCGCTGTGATTTATGGACAGCCCGGTGATGGCCGAGTTCATTGTGTACACTGTCGGCTTGGGTACACCGTTGATATCGCCCTGTACCATATGCACCACTTGATCAGAACTTGCAGACGAGCTTGATGGCTTGCCCTTCTTTGCCTTCCCCAAGGAGTGTGGTGCCTGCGCGGCCTTTGCAGTAGCAAGCCACTCCTGCCCCATGTCTGTGAGAGCCCGGAGCCCAGCGTCTACTCTGCCATGAGTGAAGAGGCCGTAGATACAGGCGGTCCACGCATGTACGTCTGGCTGGACCCGCTCTTGCCTCATCTTAGCCCAAAAATGGTTCATCGCATCCAGACTCTTAAGGCGTTGACTGTACCGAATAGCAATGGTGTATGTTTTGGCTGTTGCTTGATGGCCAGCCCGCAACATATTACCCCAGCATTCCGTTGCGCCCTTGAAGTTCCTCAAGGCAAGATATGTGAGGATCAGATGCTCGTAAAGCTGCAGAGGAAGCTGTACGCCAGGGTTGTCTTTGACAAACTTGTATACGTCTCCACGAACTCTGTCGGTGGCTTTGAGATCCTGCTGTTCGGCAGCACGACCAAGTCTTTTGATGGACAGCCAGGTAAATCGTTTCTTTAGATTGGCCTCAGTGGATGATGGTGACTGCTCTTCTGATGGCATGGCTCCTGCGTCGTCCATCGCGGCTCTCTTTTCACTTCCGATGTGGCTCTCAACTGGATCTTGCGCGTTTTTGGGTGACTCGCTTAGCTGGTCCGTTGTAGAACTGTGTGCATCTATTCGATTGCCGCTACGTGGCGCCTGGACAGCCCCCACAGACCGGCTTGGAGGTATTGAGGCGGCATCCAAATCCAGCTCGAGCTCTTCGAACAGGGCTTTATACTTATCTGCGATAGCCTGGTCTGTAACGGTGGTTGCTCGTTCTGCGAGTGCATCAGGCACACGCCTGTCCGGCACTTTTTGGATCGTGGCGCCCATCAGCTCCATCCAGGGTTCAAAATCCTTCAGGCTTGGATCTGGAAGTTCTCGCCTGTGTTTGGTGAAGCAGGACATCGTGAGGATCGCCGCAGAAGCAGAGTCATGGTGGTATTGACCGCTGAATGCAGGCAGGCGTTTTGAGTCCAAAGGCTTATTGATCTGGCCGCAAAGGACAGACATGGAGCGAGCGATCGAACTTGAAGTGGACCCTATGGCCGTCGGTTGTTGGACAAGCACATCGATATCTTCGGGTTTAGGCAAAAAGTCCCAGGTCAAGGCAGACCGGTCGGCGATCAGACTTCTGAAATAGGGAAACTTCGACCTGCGCATGAGGTCCCCCCTCCACAGCTGGTTCGCCATGCATAGGTTCCAGACCTCTACAACGTCGCGGAGGACGCTTTTCTCCGAAGATGAATCCTCACTGGTCGTACTGCGAAGCTCCCACAAATCTCTAGAAGCGTACCATAGGACTTTTGCCGCCTTTGATCTGAACCCAACGCTAAAGAGCGCGCACAGCTCAATAGCTTGCAATGCAGTGGGCTGAGACTGCATCTCAGTATCTGCTCGAGCACCCGAGCTCAGCCATGAGGGAAGACGCAACAGCCATGCGTCACAGATTCTGATTGTCCACGAGTGGATGGCGGCCCGAAAGTCGCCGTCGCGATTGGCGCTGTTGAAAGACTGCAAGTCCAGATTTCCTCCCGATGACAAGATCTCCACCAGCAGCGGCCACACTTCCTGGTCCAGAGAGTTCTCCTCGCCAGCATCAGAAGCGTGAATGAGAGTCTCGCGTAACTTCCAAAGCCGGGAGGTTACGTCTCCCTCATGCATCAACGAAGGCTGGCGAGGAGTTGCTGTATCCCTGGGCGGACGCTTGTTGGCTCGATAGCGTGGACCAGTGTTTTCATGTTGGGGCGGTCGGCTGTCGACTTGTTGCTGTGAGGAAACATGGTCACGTTGCGCCGGCTTGTCCAGCTGTTCCAAGAGTTGCTGAGGCCGGAGAGCACGAGCAGAGTATCTTCCTAGAGGCCTTTCAGGATCATCCTTTAGACCCGCGCGTCCTCGGGGCCGGCTAGCCTCCTCGAATAAGTCGTCGACGGAATCTTGCTTCCGCCGAGCACTTTGTGAGAGTTGTTGGCCACGATAGAGTCCAGCGTACAGGCGACGTTTGACTGCGGCTTGCAGTCGACAGTTCCTGCACACGTAGCCGTTCATCTTGCCATGTCGTTTGAAAGTTGAGGCAGCATTGCTTCCAATGCTTCTGGAAGTCGTGAAGACACCCCCGTGTTCGCCGCACCTTCCTCGCCCACGCCCACGTGGAAACCTTAAGACGCTAGCGGCATTTCCACTTTTAGCTTTCACCGCGTTTGCTTTCACGACACATCTGACTCAATGCAGATATACGGTGCCAAATAACACCTCACGCCATGATACGAACGTTTCTGTGACCTTGAGCTTGCAAGGTCACCAACATCATGACGACCCTCCAGCCGCGATCGCCATACTCGCCGGAAGAGCTGGCCAAACTCTACCCAAAGGATCTCGAACTTGCACAAGTGCAGATACTTTTACGACATGGAGAACGTACGCCGGTCAACGCGCGGTTCAAGGATACCGGGCTCCCTGCCTACTGGCCGTACTGCTCGGTTGCGAAAGGAATGAGATCAGCAGTGATCAATGCGGACGGCTCGCCGGACACCCTACAATGGCGGCGGAGGATCGAGTCTTTGGGACAGAACAATTCGCCGACGCTGAACGCAGGTCCAAAGGGCGAGGTGGATGCTATATGTCAGCCAGGAGAGTTGACCGACCGAGGGAGGGAGACTACACTGGCTTTGGGGCAAAGGATACGAAGGCTGTACGTTGATCAACTGGGCTTTCTTTCCAGCGGCCTGGATGCTGCATCCGCGTCTCAGGTCACTCTCAGAGCAACACCAATTCCACGTGCGCTGGAGAGTGTACAGCAAGCGTACGTTGGTCTATATCCAGCAACTACAAGAGCACCCGGCCTTCCTCCACCGACAGTCGTAACCCGGTCAATGCAGGAGGAGACTCTGTTCCCAAATGAGGGTGCCTGCAAGCGCTTCGCGGAACTAGCCCACGCCTTCGCCGACAGGACTGCGCAGCTCTACAATTCCAGTCCAGAACTTTCGTACCTCAACAAGAAACTTGGCAAGTACATGCCCGAAGCATCTCCGTTAGTGAAGGTCGACAGTCATCCTCGGCTGAGTGGTATCATGGACTCAGTCAATGCCACGCTCGCCCACGGTCCCGATACGAAGCTTCCAAAGGACTTTTACGATCAGAAAGTTCGTGATGACATTGACAAGGTTTGCGTCGAGGAGTGGTTCGTTGGGTACCAGGAGAGCAATGATTAGTGAGTACTTCAATTGACTCGACACCCAAAACATGCTGACTCCCATGGACTAGTCGTAAGCTTGGCGTTGGAGCAATGGTTGGCGACCTGACACAGCGCATGGTCGAGCACGCAACAGCGGGCGGCAAGGCATCAGCAGCGCCCTTCAAGATAGGCCTTGCTGGCTGCCATGACACGACTCTTGCCGGTACTTTGACAGCGCTAGGAGCCATGGACGCCACGAAGGACAAATGGCCCAATTTCACCAGCAACATTGCCTTCGAGCTTCTCAAGCGCAAGCCAACTTCTTCAGACAGTACGAGCGGCGCCATCTGGCCGAGTGAGAAAAGGACGTGGTGGTCTTCTCTGTTCGGCGGAGCGACAAGCTCCAAGCCTGTCTCTGCGCGTACGCCGTTGGCAGAGTGGTCCGACTCGGAGAAGGCTGGTCTTGACGAATACTACGTGCGACTGAGATTCAACGACAAGCCGATGACTGTTCCGTATTGCAAGCCCGCGGGCAGGCATTTCGAGGGCGATGAGACGTTCTGCACGCTCAGCGCGTTCAAGGAGGCTGTTGATTCGTTCACGCCGAAGGACTGGAAGGCTGAGTGTGGCATGAACCTGGGAAAACCGGCGATGAATGGCCAGATCGAGCGGCCGCCGGGCTTATAGACTCATACAGATAGATGGGTAGGGAATTGCAGTCCATTTTCCGCCCATGCAATGGCTACCCCTTCCTCTTAACCTTCAAATACTGATCAAGTCTCTCTTTGAAGCTCTCGTCAAACTCCTCAAACCTCTCAACCCCATCCTCAGGAATCTGATGCCATGCCGGCACATGCCTACACCAAATATGACAGCCCACCTTCGGCGTCTCAAAATCATTCTTCACAATCGTACTAGCAGCCACATGCGTTTTCTCCGGGTATAGATAATACTGCAGCATGATATTACACCCATCGCTCCCACAGCACGTCCGCTCCGAGACGACTTCTCCTGTATCTCCAAGAGTAGGATGGTATTTGAACGGTTTCGACTTGAAACTCCAATCTAACGAAGCCTTGGGCACGCCCATCCAGGCCATGAATGGTGCCCCCGAGACTTTTTGGCAGGTCAGGCAGTAGCAGTAGTCCAGGTGCTCGGGCGGGGAGGTGGAGGTCCAGGTTATGTTGCCGCAGCCGCAGCTGCCTGAGACGGTTTTGGTGGTCATGGCCCTGGGAACGGAATTCAAGAGCGAAATCCTGCTTGCTTACGAGACTCAGGTGCTGGGCACTTTCTATGACGGCTTCTGAACTGGACCAGTACGTGCGTAGCATTCAAGGCGCGGGTCTTCTGCAATTCAATGGATGCAGGCGATTGTCTCTGTGCTTATGGACCGCAAGCTGAGGCCGAGAGTTGCATCGGTGGTCGGCAAGAAAGAAGGCCAATGTGTACGAATCGAGGTTAGCTCTAACGCTAAATCTCACGCTCGACCAGGATTGGCGAGCCGCGCATTTGAAAGCAGAACGACTCCAGGAAGTGATCAACAACACTCTCCGTCTCGTTTGATCCATCCTATGGGTTTGGAGCACCTTCACCGCACACAAGGTGCTCTCGGGAACACAGCCGTAAAGGCTGCGATGTGGTTAATCTCCGAAGGCATGACATCGACGGGCTATGATGCGAGGACCATCGAGCGATGAGCCAGCCAGTATATAAGAACATTACTGCGGCGGTAGTAGGTCTTCTCTATCTTCACTCCATCTCTTTGTGCTCTTTCAAAATGCAACTCTCGTACGTCTTCAAGATTATCTCCTTCCTGGCGCTCGCTACTGCCAGCACCGCTGCGCCAACAACCACCTCCACTCTATTACCGCCCTCAAAAGACCCCTGGTACACCGCGCCAGACGGCTTCGAGCATGCCGCGCCTGGTGACGTGCTGCGCTTTCGCAAGGCGCCTGGCAATCTGACCACCACCACTTTCGGCAACGCGAGTTGTGTATACAACATCCTCTACAGAACCACTAACGCTCGCTACCATCCTTCCTGGGCCGTGACGACCCTCTTCGTGCCAAAAGAAACAAACGGAAGCGCACTGCTATCCTATCAGATCCCATACAACAGCGTCGACGTGGACTCCAGCCCGAGCTTTACCCTCCATGGCCCTGTCTCCTCTCTTGGACTGATCCAAAGCGACATCCAAACAGCTCTCAGCCTTGGACGGTACGTCAGTGTACCTGATTTTGAGGGACCGACGGCGTCCTTTTTTGCTGGTGTTCAAGAGGGCCATGCTACGATTGACAACGTTCGTGCGGTGCTCAATCATGGCTTTGGTCTCAAGGAGGACGCGAGATATGCGGTGAGTGCGATATCGAGAGAAACAGTTAACACTTGGTAATATCGTTGTCATGCAGATGTGGGGCTACTCCGGAGGCAGCGTCGCCACCGAATGGGCAGCTGAACTCCAAGTCCAATACGCACCCGAGATGCACTTCGCAGGAGCCGCAATGGGAGGCGTTGTCTCCAACGTCACGAGTGGCCTCCACGCAGCCGATGGTACCAGATGGGCTGGCCTTGTCCCAGGAGGTTTGCTCGGCATCACAGATCAGTATCCACAGGCCCGCGAGTACCTGCTCTCCCAGCTCAAGACTGAAGGACCGTACAACAAGACGGGCTTCCTGGCGACGGAGAAACTATCGATCGCAGACGCCTTCACACTCTATTTCAATCAGACCGTCTTCAACTACTTCAAGAACGGCAAAGCTGTGCTGATATCGCCCTTGATACAGCGAGCGATCAACGATCAAGGCTACATGGGTTACCATGGCGTTCCGATTATGCCTATGCTCATGTACAAGGCGGTTGCAGATGAGATTACTGCGATTGAGGACACGGACGTCATGGTTGATGAGTATTGCAAGGTTGGAGCGAACATCGTTTACGAGCGCAATACAATTGGCGGTCATCTGGCGGAGGAAACGAACGGTGACCAGCGGGCGCTAGAATGGTTGACGCAGGTGCTTAGTGGGACCTACCATCACAAGGGCTGCACAGTCAAGAATGTTGCACTCAACGTGACGGACTCGCCGCTTTGATGGGCATGTAGCTTGAAGTCGACAGCAGATCGAAGGTTGGTGAAGCATAGCCTGGTAGCATAATTGAAGCCAGCTGCATAATTAACTCTATGCTATACGTGATGCCATCATGCATGATCAACAGGCGAAGGGCCGACCCCAATGTCCATACTAAACACATGCAACGGCGGTTCCACCAAATTCTTCCCACCGTTAAACGGCGTCCCTCGATTGAGCTGCGCCGCCGGCATCCACAGCCTCTGCTGCGAATCAACCCACATCGCATCCACCCACAACAATCTCGGATCTTGCACGAGCAAAGTCATCGTAGAGTTGGGGAAGATTTTGATGATTCGCTGGCTGTCCGTGTCGCTGACGTAGATGTTGCCCTGCGCATCGATCGCTGTGCCGCCTGTTGATGGGGTGTTGGCGTAGGGCTCGACGTAGGGACCGAGGATTGAGTTGGAGTTTAGGGAGGAGTTATAGGTGGCTTGGTCCAGCAACTTGGTTTCGACCCGGAACATGCCACCGTTGGCGGGCTGGTAATACAGGTATTTGGTGTCAGGGCTTACTTCCAGTTGATCGGCGTAGATGAACGCTGGCTTGGAGCCAATGTGCAATGCTGTTCCTTCGGCGGACACAGGTATTGTAGCGTCTGTAGTCGGGTCGCCATCGAGAACTCGTGAAGTACTGCTAGTGGCGAGATCCAGCACGATCAAGCCGGGGCTACCAGCGTCGGTCAAGTAGGCTTTTCCAGTGGCGATGTTGAAGCGGACGTCGTCGAGAAGGCTGTTGTATCTAGTAGCGTTGCCCATGAAATACACCTTGCTGACCTCATTCGTCTTGGTATCGATGACGACCAGCTTCGGTCCGTACGGCAGTAGAACAGTGCCACCAAGTGCCGCAGCGCCTTTGTCGATGACCCAGAGGTTGCCGTCGGGCCCTATCCGCTGCCCGTTGACGCCGACGAAATGCGTTGCTGGATCTGCACCCTCGGTGTAGTTGTTCCATTTCTCGTTTGGGTAGGCGCTCGTTGTGTTGGTGCTTTGGTCATATTCAGCGACTTGAGGTCCTTTGGAGCCGTCGACACGGGCGTATACGACGAACAAGCGGCCGTCTGGAGTTGTGCTTACGCCATTAATTGGGTGTTTTGTCGTGAGTTGAGTGACAAGCCGTGGATCTTCTGGACCGTAGAATCGTTGCGCTGTCGCGTATGGGATGGCAGCTACAAGAGCTATCGCTAGCGCGCGGCATGTGTTGAAAAGCATGGTGACTACTACACTGGTCGACAGCAAGACAAGACAAGAGCGAGCATGGATTGCATACGTCTGCAGGCTATATGTACCGAATACTCTCCTTGATATCATGATCGCAATGACGTCCGTCAAAGCGCGGGGCGATACAAGGATTAACGTCGATCCCTGGCCTTGATCGGTGTGAAGATCAGGACGGATCCAGGAACAAGCATGATTTTCAGCCACTGCCGACGCTGTCCAACCAAGAAAAAAGTGCTGCAAGCATGTTTGAAGAGTTGGTCAGCAGGAAAGTAAATCAAGCGCGAGAATCAATACCTAGGTAAACTTGCAACTAGTGCTTTGCTTCGATTATTGCAGGGTCGAGCGATCAGTCCATCTTTGGGTAAAAGCATTTGGGTACTCGTTCGTCTGTCGAATGCCGGATAGAATATGAACGCTTTCGAATCGATCGTAAAGTCTTCTTAATCATCATACGCCCACTCGCCAACCCTCAAGTCGGGCACGAGGTCGTCGACCATTCTGCACCACTCACTATACGTGCGGCTCTCCGTGCCCGGCAGCCTTCTCAAGTCATCCCAGTTGTTGACACTCTTCTCGCTTCCAGACCCTTTCCAGCTTCGGATCTCATTCTGTAGTTCTGCATAAGCCGCTGGTATGACCACTTGTTTTTCTGCTTGCACTCGCTCGTCACGGGTCTGGGAAGGGTTGAGTCCAAGGTCCAGGGAGCCCAGGATAGCGAGGTACCATACGTGCCGAGTAGTGGCGCCTTGCATTGTCGAAGGCATATCAAAATGCGACAGCATCCTTTCGGTGATGAGGGCTATAGGCGGTTCGCGAATGTCGAGTTTGAGGGCAGTCAGAGCCGCGTGGATGAAGATGGCACTGTCCTCTTGGCGTTCGTCATTCAAAGTGCGTATCTCACGAAGCTCAGTCAAGCCGATGCGTAAGACATTCAGATAAAGGCCAGCAGAGCTCATAGAGTAGTCGGCGTTCATATCAGCTGTTGTGAGGCCCAGCAGACTGAAGATGCCGTCGCGCTGCATGCCGCAGTCACGGGCTCCGAAGCGTGTCAAAGCTTCATGCAGTGGTCGTCTTTGGTAATCGCCAGACTTGTGGTAGCATTCGTGTCTCAGTAGCAAGAGCTCTGAGCAGGCGGCAATCATTCGAGTAGTTTGCGGCCGTTCAGGACCGGATGGGGTTAGATTATTGCCGTCGCGAAGCCAGGTGAACATTGCGGTAATACCATCGCGCCCATGTTTGCCTAGTCCGACATAGTTCGGGACGCGCTGAGTGTATTGCAGGATCACCTCCCAGTCGAAATTGAACGACTCGATCTGGAATGACAGCTCCTTGGCTAGAAGAACTTCCTGGACAATCCACTGTCGAGACCAGAATGCGGATGTGAGAACGAGCCTCAGCGCTGCGAAAATGGCACCGGACTCGTCTAGACGGCTGTGGTGCGTCATCAAGCATGGCAGTCCCCTCCGTCCCTGGAGGCATCGTTGAGCGCCATCATCATCGCTCATTGCTTGCAAAGCACTTAGATCTTCTTCCTGGGGTATCAACGGCACGATCCATGCGATAACCTCTGCAGCTCCGGCATACACATCACCCATAATCGACACTTGATGGCGTTTCTCAAGTTCTTTGCGCTGGTCGATGCAGATCTGGTCCACAAAGAACAAACGCCCCTTCAGTTTCGTCGGAACGGCATTCTGGAGAAACTCGAACAACGACCTAGTGACTTCGAAATGTTCACCAGCGACTGAGACGTGTTCGGTAGATTCCTGTTGGACTGGGTTAAGGGTTGTTGGCCGCCAGATGTCGAGTGTGTACCGCTCCCAAGTGTAAGACACGGCGACGAAGGAAGCCTCCTTCAAATCATGACACTCGAGAGAAAAGGACAGAAGCCCAGCCTGGTCCACTTCCAGGAACTTGAGTAGTCGGATCTGTTTCTTCGTGAGGCCAAGCTTTGGGTACGGAAACCCCTCGTTTGGTCCGGCGGTAGTACTCATGGTCGGTGAGATTCGTCGTAGTGCCTGCGGGAGAGTGGTTTGTCGAAGTTGGGACAAGGTCGAAAACTAAATACCGTGAGCCAGGGATGAGGCGGAGTAAGGCTGAGGCTAAGCTCTGGTAGCTAGAGCATCACGTGAAGTCGTCCTGAGGTGCTCTTGCCTCGGTGCAAGAAGCAGTTCAAAAGATGGCAGACCGGCTCGAGGCGAAGCAAGGCTGAGGCTGAGCTTGGGTACCTCGAGGTACTTGTGGTGGGGTGGGGTGTCCTGAGGTACTCTCGACGACCATTCTGCCATAGGTGATCTGGCCTCCCCAACCTCGATCGTCCACTACGACACTGGTTACTCACGCCTCTCAGCAAGTTATGCGCCCGTCTCATTCCTTTCTACCACCAGACGTCATCACAAGTCCCCAACTCCCACATCTCCCGCCTCATCCACCCTCCCCAACTTCTTCCGTCACAACAGTCGGTCCCCACCCCCCAATCTTCTCCCCCACCTCCACCCCCTTCCTCAAATTCTGCTGCCCGCTCAACGCCCTTACTACCCCCGTCGCCCTTCTCTCCACCACCAGCCTCCGCAACCCCTGCACCAAAAACCCACTGACGACCTCCACGCTCCAGTCCGTGGGAATCATCTCCAACACCTCGCCCACGTCGAACCACGCGCCGAACCGCTCGAGCAGCTCCGCCGTCCGCTCGAGGCGGGAGGAGAGGTCGGGGATGCTGAAGAATTCGCGCAGGAGGGTGGAGAAGAGGTGGGATTGCTGTTCTTTACTCGGGAGGTCGTGTTGGGAGGCTACGCCGAGGGAGGAGGAAGGGTGGAAGATGGAAGAGCCGCCGAGCAGGCAGTAGCGGATCGCGGTGTCGTAGTCGCCGAGGCCGAGGGTGAGGAGGTGCAGGGCTTCTTCGTGCTTGCCCTCGCGGCCGTTGAGGATTATCATCTCGGGTACGAGGGCGTCGCTGTAGGGTGCGAGGCGTTCGCGGAGGGCGTGGACGTCGTATTCGGATGCTGCGCCGTGGCTGCCGCCGATGAGCTGGAGGAGACGCAGGCGGTTGTGCTGCCATTCTTCGTTGGTGGCGTTGTCGGTGATGAAGTGGCGGTAGGTTGGTTTCGGGGGCTGGAGGGCGCGGTAGGTGGTGTAGGTTTCGAGTAGCGAGGTCTTGGCATCTGGAGAGGTGGAGAGGGCTGTGAGAACGGTATCGAGATAGAAGGCGATGAGGTCGTTGACGTATTGAGGGTGGTTCTTGCCGAAGACGAGATGCTCCAGATAGTCCTTGACCGCGCCAGGAGCCTTCTCTTTCAGGATGGCAACGGCTTCGGAGGGCTGGAACTTGACCCGGGCGCTTTCGTCTGCGAAGATTTGCACACCGAGCTTGGGGTTGCGGGTCGCAAGCCATGCACCATAATCTTGAACGAGCGACTGGTCACGGATCTTGGCAAGGTACCGGCGGAGGTCGTGCTCACCTTCGATGAGCTCGCCGCCAGCATCAGTCTCGCCTTCGAGAATGCGCTTCCAGGTCGACAAAACTTCTGCTACCATCTTGCGGCTCTGATACAGGCGACTGAGCAAGTACAAACGATGGAACTGCTCAAACAGCTCTACAGCACGGCCGAAGCAGTCGACGCCTCTGTCGACCACATCGTTCATCTCCGCCCGGACAGATCCCGGTGTCGCTGGTCCACGTGGGGTGTTCTGGTCGAGCAGTAGCAAGACGTGGACGAGCGCAGCATCAACGGTTCGGAAGACGTGTGCTTCGTCCGCAACACTTCCAAATCCCTTCTTTTTCCGCCAGCTCAGTAGGTACCGCTTCAGGATCGCGAGCAAGTTGTCGCCGTACGCACCCTTCGGATCCTGTACCAGCTTTTCGGGACTGAAGCTCTCTCGTAACATCGTGATGGTGTCTCTCAGAGCTTGTGGGATCCAGATACCCTCTTCGCCACCATCGACCTCTTGCTGCAAGGGCGGCACAAGTGACAGGACGATGCGCGGGTCGAGCTCGCCAGTCACGAGTGCTTCTTCGGCCAGCCGCTTGCCGCTCTCGTAGGCTATAACGCCATTGGCGGTTTGTAGGAGGAGATTGCCAAAAAGCAGCACTGAAGCTTTCTGCCGGATGTAGGTCAACGTTCGGAACTCAAGCTCGTCTCTGGCTTCTTGCCCACGAAGGTCGTTGAGGACGTGTTGGACATAACCAATATCAATCGACAGCTCGCCGGCCTCTTTCTGCTGGACTGCCAAGGTCAAACGCTGGTCCAGTTGGACGATGAGCGGGTTCCGAGTGAGCCACTGCACCTTGTCGGGCGTGTAGAGAAGTACGCGTGCCTGTATTTGCGCGAAACGCGCCGCGAATGCATCCTCTTCCGCCTCTCGCTTCGTATCAGCTTTGCTGGCTTCACCTGACAGCTGCAAGCACCGCAATCGAAGACTAGTGCTAATCTCTGGGACGGACAATTCGGCGGCTGTCGTGGCAGTTCTTAGCCCGAAGTAAGCCTCTTCGTCAACATCACTCGGCGTGTCCAGCATGAGCCATTCTTTCGACCCGCGCTGTTCGCTAGGATCAACGTCCCACCGCTGAACCTCGATGACCTTCCTTGTCTCTCCGTCGACTTTTCTCTGCACGACAGCAAGCACGTAGCCCTCAGACACATCGCTTTCGGAAGAGGCAAACCCGCCGCTTTCGCCAGAACCATCCAGTACAAGCGATTCGGGATAGCTGGAAAACTCGAGCGGGCCTCGAGAAGGGTCACCTTCCAGATTGATAAACATGCCAATTCCTGGCTCGTCTGCCTTGGTTCCTGTTGTGAGCAGAAACTCGTTCGGGGTGGGCGTCACGATGTTCGGAGGCAGCGATCTCGGAACAGTTTGCTGCGGCTTGCTCTGCACCTCTGTCGAAGTGCGAGGCGAAGCACCGTCGCTCTTTGCTGGGCTCGATTCTCGACTTGAAGGTTCGCCCGGAGATGACACTTGTCGGGAAGATGTTCTCGACGGCCAAGGAGACGCAGAATCCGGTCTAAGGCGGCTGTTATCGCGTGGTTCGCCTCCAACGCTGACGTTCCGATCGTGTCCTCGCGGTTCTGGCGAAGGGCTGGCGGCAGAAACACTCCTCGACTGACCATGTCCGCGCTGAGGGAGAGGCGGAAGCGGTCTCTCCTCTTCCTGTGGCGCTTGTGAGGCTATTGGGAACAGCTCGTGCTTCTGATGGTTGAAGATATCCAGCAAGCTGTATGCGTTTCCTTCGGCTACACAAGCCAGATCTGCTCGTCGTGATATAGCTCCGACTCCGCCTAGCTCAATGTCTCGTATCTTCCTCGCCTCCTTCCCAATCCTGATCACCCGTAGCCTCTGCTTTAAGCAGATGACCACCACCGTGCTGTCCGAGTCCTCTCCATTCTGATTTGAGTCCAGTCCTCCAATCCATGTGCACCCAGCCTGTTTGATTCTTTCCCCATACGCCGGGCTGAGCTCAGGCAGCGAGTAGAAGGTCAAGGTGCCATTGCATAGTATGCACGCCTTCCCCGCGTCTGGCAGGACGAGGATCTGCTTGACGCCAGCATCGCGACCTTCCTGCTTAGTGGTGTATTGCGGCTCGAGCTTGGTCGCGAAGATATAACTGGGCTGGCCTTGGGGATCTGAAGGGTCGGGCGGTATGGAGACGTAATGCAAGACGTCCCCGGTGGAGGTCCCAATGTAAATGTTGCTGTTCCAGGCGTCTACGCAGGTTATCCGCGCTCCTTCTTCGAGTGCAAGATCTGTGATCAGGTCTCGAAGGGCATATGTTCCTAAGGTCTGGTCGGATCCAGTACTGGCTGCATGGGAGCCATCTTGCGCTTGCATTGCAGCCGAGCTGTGGATGTCATTGTACCATTATCGACCTCCAACACTCCCAAGTCATCCAACGGGTCAAGTAGTGTGGTCGAAGTCGAGGTCGAAGTCGAGGTCGTCGTCGCGGTTGCGCGAGTCAAGAGTGAATATCGCTGCCTCGAAGCTCACCTCCGCCTCCGCCGCAGCAGCTGGATGAACGTTGTCCTTTAATTAGCTGGTTGGCAAACACGTATATCTCACTGCTTCACGCGGCTATTGAGAGGCCTGCAAGGCGCATGACAGAAGGCTGTATGAGTTACGGCAACTCTCCGAAGATCTGAGTGTTACAAAATACCAACGGAGCCGAAGGAACAGTCACCCCCCTCAATGCGTTTCTAGCGATCATGGCCGACACAATGGAGGACACTCAGGCCGGCGCAACAGAGGCGAAAGGCCTAGGCATAGCAGGAGACACCACCGCCAGCGACCCGACCCAGGAGACCAGCGACAGCGACAGCAGCAACAAGTTCCAACACGCCATCTCAGCATGGCGCTCCCTCGACCTGACCTCCCTCCTCCGCAGCCTCGACACCGCCGCCTCCGACCTCGTCACCCACCAGAAAGACGCCCTGGTCCAGCGCAAAGAGCTCGCGCAGAAGACGAAGGACTTCCGCAAACTCGACGACCCAGCCAAGTTGGCCGAGATCAAGGACCTCCTCAAAGCCTACCAGGGCTATGTCGACGTGCTTACGAACCACAACAAGACGATCAACTCGGCATTTATGCAGGCGTACTCGCCGTTGTCTGAGGCGCCGGATCCTTACCCTTTGCTTGAAGCGAGCGTGGATTCTTTGGTGACGGCTGAGGAGGTGACGCCGAAGCTGGAGGCGGAGAATGAGCGGTTGCAGAAGCAGGTGGCTAAGTTGAATGGGCAGCTGGAAGAGTCGGAGCAGCAGTTGGAGGCGGAGCGGACCAAGAGGCAGTCGTTTGAGGGGTCGCAGGATAGCAGGATCAAGGAGGTGGAGGAGAGTTGGGCGGCGGTGGTGAAGGAGAAGGAGGATAATTGGGCGGCGAAGGAGAAAGGCTTGGAGGAGAAAGTCGAGAATCAAGAAAGGTTACTGAGGGAGATTAAGGCGAGCTATGAGGTGTCGCAGCGTTTGGAGAGGTCTGGGGAGGAGAGTCAAGCGACAACAGCAAATAGTGCAACTGCTGCGGAGCTCGAGCTGGTCAACTCTGAGCTGGAGAGGACCAACGTGCGGCTGGCTGAAGTAGAGGCAAGGAATGAGCAGATGAGGGTGGAGTTGGCACAAAATGCGTCCCAGTCGCACAGCTCTGGACGAAGCACGGCTGTGGAAGATGAGCCTGCGTACTTGAGGCTGAGATCAGAGAACTCTTCACTGATACGGCGGCTTGAATCAGCCCGACACGACAAGGACGCTGAGAGAAGTGGCATGGAGTCGAAACTACGTGGCGTTGAGCGAGAGATCGGAGCCGTAAAAGCAGACCGAGATGCATTGCAGAACAAAGTGCACAAGTGGAGCAATTATGAGGAGGTGAAGCGAGAACTGGAAATGCTACGAGCCATCGAGTTTGCCACTGTCGACGACACAGATCTTCCGGACGGTGACGACATGGGCCACACAAATGGCAGCGCCGACAAGGCAGCGGGTGAGACCCTAGAACAACTCCTTCTCGCCCGCAACAAAAAGCTCAGCAATGAGCTCACTGAGCTGCGCGTCTCTCACAACGAGATCCAGCAGCGCCTTGAGAACCTTCAAGAAGACCTCTCCATCGCGAACATGGACCTCGAGAAATCCCGCAACCTGAACGCAACCCTCGAGAACGACCTGCAGAAGACGCAACAAGAAGCATCCAACGCATTCGAAACCATGTCCGTCGCCGGGACCTACACCTCCCGCTACCCCAAGTCCGCTTATGGCAGCCGAAGAGGCGGCGGCGGCGCGTCACCTACCTCCTCCATCATCGGTGGCTTCGACCCTGGGTCCCACTCTCCACGAGGCCTCGACAGCCTCCGGGCCAACGAACCGTCCGGTGGCGGCTCCGGCATCCTCCCAATGGTGACAGCACAACGCGACCGCTTTAAGAAGAAGATCGCCGAGCTGGAGCAAGAACTACAAAAACAATACCAACAAGTCTCCTCCCTGCGCTCAGAGGTCGCTTCCCTACAAAAAGACAACCTCAACCTCTACGAGAAAACCCGCTACGTCTCCTCCTACTCCCGCCCCACAGCCTCCGGAGCAAGCTACGGCGCCAATCCCAACCCCTCCACCATTCCCATCACCCCCGGCGGAGGGGGCGGCAACGACACCCCCATCGACCGCTACCGCACCGCCTACGAGTCGAACATCAGCCCTTTCGCCGCCTTCCGCGGGCGCGAGAGCGCGCGGGCTTTGAAAAGGATGTCCTTGCCTGAGAGAGCGGTGTGGCAGGTCACGAGGATGGTGCTGGCGACGCGGACGAGTCGGAATCTGTTCGCGGTGTATTGTTTGGGGTTGCATTTGATGGTGCTGGGGATGCTGTTTTATGCGGGGACGACGGAGGTGGAGGCGCATGCTAGTAATTTGAGTGCCGGGGTGAGCGATGTTGTGGGGGGGCATGGGGAGTGGGTTGCTGAGGGGGTTGAGGGGGCGACGTGAGGGTGGAAGAGAGTCACTCACGGTGTCGACGGAGTGCGTTGTTGCAACGCTGAGTGGGAACGACGGTCGACTCTGACAGGCCACGCTGTGGGTCGGCTCATCGCGACCACCATCATGTCTCCGCCGGAGAGTCGACATTGATATCCCAGCCGCAGTATATGGCTGCATCACCAGGATTCTTCGTCCGACTCGATCATCGGATTCGTCGCCACCACCAACGGACACGCAAGACAGCGATGTGGCGAGCAAAATGCAACACCCCGCCCAAAAAAACTCAATGCGACGCACCTGCAAGCGCTCTTGTCCCACAAGACCCAGCCATCATCTGCTGTGTATCCCCACCAGAGCTCCGGCGCCAACTGCCCGGGAACCGCTGCAGAATCCAGCTCATCGCGACGAAACCTACAACGCGGCCGTCTGGCCGACGACTCGCCATTGACCACGCGACACCTCCATCCTGATGATCTGCCTACTCGGCCAGTCGCCGGTGTCATATAGAAGGGTACACGGCTACCGACGTAGGGCGCTTACTCGGATCCAGATATATGAACAAGGCAAACACACCTCCCTCGTCCCTCATTGGCCGCTGCTAGCCTCATGCACGTAATTGCGCGGAAGTGGGCAAGGTGGTGCCAGAGTTCGCGGTCTGAAACTCGGTGCTGAGGTCGGGAGAAGCTCTCGACCAGCCGTTGTGGGATTTAAGCGCCCTCGTGGGGCAGGTCGAGAATGACTACTAATTGCATGGAAGTGGTAGATTATGCTGCTATTTTGAATGGGAGCTAATATCCTTGATCAGATGCGCTGCAGATCTGGACTGAGAGGGCGTTTTGCAGGCAATTGCTGGCGTTGGTTGGCTTGTTTTGGTGGTTGACAACGGTCGGGATCGATGGTTTGGCGACGACGAACAACGCTCGAAAAGCTGCACAGCAATGCAACAACGCTTCCGCACCACACGGCAGCACGAGAGACGTTCCACGCAACCCGCTCTCGACGAAAAGTTTAACGAGGAAGAACAACCATCAAACGGTCAATCTTCGAAGGCGCGTGGAGAGGTTGGAGCCAAGGCCAGCCACACCCGCCTGTCCACCCAATCAGCACAACCACCGGCCTCGAGAGCTTTTGGCAGTTCTAAAAAAATATAGCCGCCGGTGTACACCGAAGAAAAGATCAATGAGCATGGTGGTACATGACAGCCATGTATATAGAATCAGCAAGCGCCGTCAATGGAACCACCATTCCTTCCTCTGACCCTCCACCATTACATCTACGCCTTTGCGGTCGGCTTGCAGGACGTTCGACATTACTCTCTTTTGACCGTCGATACAATCTGAGCGTTGTTGAGACGAACATCGACACAACGATTGACGATTAACGACTGACGACTACTACTACACAACTTCCAACACGATGTCGTTCTCAAGGGCAACGCTTGTCGTTGCATCGATACTAGCCATCACAGTCTCTGCTCGTCCTGCCGAGAAGCGATGGGGCGGATGGGGAGGTAGCTGGAGCGGAGGAAGCCATCACTGGTGGAACTCAGCACCGGCACCGTCCTCTGGAGACTTTGGCAAGCGATGGGGTCTGCAGGCCGGAAGTTGTGATATGGCCGCTGCCGTCCAGAACATGAACCTCGCAGCTGGTGAGTTTGAACCCACACTATCAACAATCAATCATAGTCCTAACAATCTCCCAGCCGACCCACCACTCCCACCACCACACCCCAGCCTCTCCCTCTTCCAAGTAGTCGTCGGCCGGGGCACGCAAAACTACACCTGCGACCTCTCCAACAGCACCGCGGTCCCCATCCCCGTCGGCGCCCTCGCCACCCTCTTCGACATCAGCTGCGTGGCCGCGACCGCCAAAGAACTCCTCCCTGCCCTCTCGATCGTCGCGCTCGACCTCCCCGTCCCCGACTCCGACGACACCGACTCCCCCATCATGCAAGACATGAGCGGCCACCACTACTTCCTCGACGACACCACGCCCTTCTTCAACATGGACACCGAGCTGCACCAATACGGCATGGGCGCGTTGCAAAAAGCCAACGCCTCCGACGCGCCCAACGACGCTTACGCCGGCCCCGGCGGCACCGGCAACGGCGCCGTACAGTGGTTGAAACTGGACGTCAAGCCCGCGGCGCAGGACTCGTGGAAGCAGGTCTACCGGCTCGACACGGCGGGCGGTGTGCCGCCGGAGACGTGCGAGGAGGCGACGCCGACGATCGAGGTGCCGTATGCGGCGGTTTATTGGTTGTTCAAGTAGATGGAGGATGATATGGTTTGTAATTAGAGAGACTTTTTCTTCTATTCTTTTGATCGAGTTGAAGTAGGGCTTAGCGGCATCGGGCGGCGAGAAAAGGCGTTGTGGGCGTGTTGGGAGGTCGATCTAGATACCAACGGCCGCTTTCTGGCCGACTGCTTGTCTGTTTTGCTGGGAATATGAGATATGAATGATCAATCAATCAACTTCTTCAACCAATCTGAGTGCGTTCAAGGTGCTTTCCTTCTCCGGTAGCTGAACGATACAAGTATCGTCTAACCGCGCGACTGTGAGTTTCAAAGCGGTCCACATGATCGATAGATCCGAAACTGTACAAGTGTTGATACGCGCTGCCAATGCTCTGTCGCTCATCATCGCAATCAATATGACTCTTCAATCACCGTCGTCGCTCTTGCCATCTAGCTGTACATGATCAACACCTTCCCAAGCCCGGGTGCTAATCAAGAATACCTCCCTCCACAACCTACAATCATCATCGACCAATGTTCATCTCCCGCAGCATCTCCTGCTCCCAATCCGAAATCCCATCACTGCTACTGATGTTCGCCACTCGCAAACCGCTACCCGACCCCTCCATCTCGCGCGGGCCGTCGGGGTCGTTGTAAGGATCGTATGGGTCGAGCGGGGCGTTATAGCTCGCTTGCATGCGATATTGATAGTCATCCTGAGGCTGTCCGCGTGACAGCTGCTCCGGCGAGTCGAACTTCAGCGACTCCACTGGCGAGTACTCGACCGTGGTGTTGAGGTCGAAGGGGTGAGGGTTCTCGTTGGTAGGCGTGGCGTCGTTGCGCGATTGGCTGCGCTCTGAGGGTCGTCGGTCGTCGTTCGAGTGGACAGCGAGCTGGCCATCTTCTCCCTCCTCTGCCAATGGCATGTTGGTCAAGCTCTCGACGTGCCGTAATGAGCTGCCGGGGGCTCCCTGCATGATACTGCCAGCGCCTGCTCGACCGCTTTGGCCGCTGCCTCTTCTGCCCATCATGTCCGCTGGTCCGACGGTGGCCACGCTGCCCTCTGCGTCCGGATCGCGGATGCTGAATTGGGCTATCGTCTGCATCTTCTTGCTTCCGCTTACCCAGTTGGCGAGCACTTTGCCCCTCTGCTTCTCTCCCAGTCTTGACCGTGGGAAGTCTCCTAGAGCAACGAAAGAGACGATATCGAGCACCAGTTGGTGTTCATTGAGGACGTTGTTGACGATGACCGGCACAATCGAAGCCAAGAACGCACGTGTACGCACCTCAGCGACCAGCACAAGCAGTCCGCCAGCGTGGAAGATGGCACTATGAAGCTGTTAGCGTTGTCAACGACCGGAGGTGAAGACCGTATACATACCACCCGCCCCTAACGAGCGCCCGATGACACCTCTCCACGCTATTCTCAATATCCATCGGGAAGTGACTCAGCCCATTAACCTCAATCGTCTCACCAATCTCGCCCAGGATGAACAGCACCTGCATCTCCACCATATTGCCGCCCGGACCGATAGGCCGGTTGACAGTATGCAAAAAACCCAGGTTACCCGTCCGCACATACCGCACCTGCGGGTCGCCATCGACGGTGTGGCCGTTGAAGCGCTCGGCGTCGAGGGGGTCTTGTTTGCCGTAAAAGCTGTGCGCGTTTGCTTCGGATTGCACCCAGATCTCGCCGTATTCGCCGACGAGACACAGGCGTAAAGTTTCGGGGTTGACGATGGAGATCTGTGTGCTAACCGGTACCATGCCAGAATCCTGTACGAGCATCGAGAAAGGTTCCTGGTCCGGATCGACTGGGTTGATCAAGCCTCGCCGGAGCGCTTGCACGTCCAAGTAAAGCTCAATGGGCTCGATGCACATGTAGCTGCGACTTGCCACCATTGGGTTGAGGACGTGGCTGAAGATGGTGTTGATGGCTGTTCTCTCCAAGCCAGACTGTGCGAAGGCGGTCTTGACTCGTGAGTAGACGTCTACTCTTGGGCGCTGGTCGACGGAGATCATCAGGTTCTTAAGCTCGTGCAGACTCGTAGTCTTCCCAGCTCCATGCCCAATGGCGTGGTCCAGCATCTGTGCGGTCGCGTACGTATCCTTGATCTTGTACCGTGACAGTGTCTGGAACAAGATGTTAGGGTTACCTGCGAAGTCTACAGGCGAAACAAGGTAGGTCGGGCAGGCCAGGAAGATGCCCATCATGCACGTGTGCATAAATCCGAGACCCATTGTGCTCCTCACACAGCCAAGCAGAGGTCTCGTTGAAGTCATCTGGCAAGTCTCCTTCTGGATCTTGCAGAGTGCCATGAGCGTATTGTGGCCGAGCTGCACAGCCACTCTTCGTTGATCCGGCGTCCAGTAAGTCCAGATGATGACCGGGTATCCCGCCTGCACCCAGGCTGGCCGAATGGTGAGTCCCAGCTCTCTGCACCCATGAGACTGCTTCGGCGGCTTAGTAGTATTATACTGAGGCGGAAGGTGTATCTTCAAAATCAGCGCTGATTGCTTCAAGTGCTGGCTGACGGCCTTTTGCTTGAGCAGAGAGTCAACGTCCGCATTGGTAAGAATGGCTCGTATCCGGAAGTCAGCAATCATATGCAGCAGCGCAGGCACGTCCTCACTAAGACGATTCTGGTCGATCGGAGCCATCGGTATCGCAGTCGCGCCCAAACATATACACGCATGCACGGCATACACGAAGTCTTCGGAATGTGTGTACATCAAGAGCAAGTGATCGCCAGGCTGGATCTTGACCTTGTTCTTGAGGTACATGGCCACGCCGGCAACCTTAGTGTCGAACTTCTTCCAGTTGACGCCTTTGCCTTCCCTGCCTCGGCCGTCGATGGTGCAGTAGCTGAGCTCTTCCGCTTGTCGCGATACTCGCCATTGCATGAGATCGTGGATGTTGCTGAACTGGTTAAGGGGAGTGCTTGTCCGGTCATCGATCACCACCTCCCGATGATCGACGCCGGAGTACTGCTTGTCTGAGTGTAAGGGCAGGATGTCTTGCCGGACTTGACTCGCAAGTGGCGACCAGATGCCACCAACAGGGTCATCACCAAGGGGCAGGTTTTGGACTGCTCTTTCAACTCCAAACTTGACATGCACGCACGGCAGGTTGCCATTGTCAAACTCCTTCCGGCACAGCATATTCCCGATCTCCCTTCGACCGTTCTTCACTATCCGCGGTAGAGTGTTGGGTGCAGTCATCATCACGCAGTAGACCCTCAGATGGTGCTCCTGATACAGTACTTCCATGACCCGCTCACTAAGCGAGTCCAGAAACGGTATGTTAAGCTGATTCGGGGGTCCGCCGGTCGTCGTCGGTGCTGTGCTCGCCGCTTGACTTTCGATAAGAATGATGGGTAGGTACTCGCCATTCACCTGAGCATCGAACGCACTGCAGTCGTAGATCTTCGGCACGGCCTTCATGACGCTCACGACCAGGTGCTGCACGAAGAAGTACCTATGCTCGATCTCGTGCTGTTGCTGGCCGTGCTCTACCCACTCCACCCGCTGTCGTATCCGATCTTCGTAGAGGCCTAGGACAAACAGCTTGCCTTCGATGACGCAGCCAAGCAGTCCAGTTCGAAGGAACTCGCATTCGACCAGCACAGGTGTTGGGGAGCCCTCAACGAAGCGGAACGGCCTCGCGTGGAAGATGTTTTCGGTGTGCTTTGGTAGTGCCCAGAAGCCGCCGGACAGGCTAGGCGAATCGACCCATATCTCGCCGATAGTAAAGGGAGGGCAGAGTAGATTCGTCTCCGGGTCGACCAGCGCCAGCGTCGCATCTGGTATCGGATAGCCAAAAGCTCCAACGCGGATGGTGTTGGGCTCGCTGGCTCGCTTTCTTGCTTCGTCGCCCATAGCCAGCACCACCACCTCGTTCGTCTTTAAGCTCTCCTTATCCAGCAACACTTCACTCAATTCTGTCCGATTGCGTTTCCGCTTCGAATGCTTCCTCTCGCTGTTCGTCCCATCCAGCAAACTCGTAAACCCATTCGTGCCAGGCGCAGCAGCAGGAGGTGCTCCATCATCACTGTCGTCATCGTTCTCATCCTCAATGGAGAGCGGACAGCCCATCCGCTCTTCCCCTCCCAGCCAGTCGCGAACGCTGATAATCATACCGCCATGCTCCGGCAAACACAGCATCGGTGCCACAAGATCTCGAGCTCGCTGGTTGCGCATTGGCTTCAGCCACCGATCTGCCAGGACCTCGTGGAACTCGGCATCCACGGTCAGACTGTCGATCAGGCAGATCTTGACACTGCTGAAGTTGGGATCCATGTTCTTCTTGAAATTCCGGGTGGCCATGGGATCTTGCTGGTAATTGTACGCTGCTCGCTTCAAGCCGGGGTAGTCTGCTGCCATGATCGTGGCTCGGTATTTGGTGATCAGATGCGCGTACATGCCAGGCGTGTCGACTGTCTTGCTCTCAAACCAGACGGTGGTATGACCGCCGTAGACGCCAAGCAGCACACCCATGATCAAACCGCAGCCTTCTCTCGGATCGAGATACGACAATATCGTCTCGCTCTTGCCAGGCCTAGGCACAACATACGAGCCATCGGCGCCTCGTAAGTTGTTAGAGAAGGTGTCCACGTTCTCAGATGATGGTATCGCCGAGACCATCGCGCTAAGACAGGCCATCTGATGCATCATCGTACGATGTGAAAGCACAACTCCTCTCAAATCGCCGGTCGGCGCTCTCGAGAACTCAATGTAGGCAAGGTCTGGCACCTGTAGTGCCTGGCCTTCATCCTTCTTCTTGTAGTTGTACGTGCTGAACTCGTTCGTCTTCCACCACTCGACTCCTGTAGGATACTTAAGCCCCTTTGCTGCAATGTCCCGCGAAAAAGCTTTCAGGTTGTTGTCTGTCGTCAAGGCCAGATGTGTTTGTGTGGTTGTCAAGAGAAGGGACAGCTTCTGGATGTCGTCGATATTGTTGATCGGCACAGCGACCACTCCTGCGATGAAGCATCCCATCAGCGCAATGGCGAAGTCAATCACCTCGATCTCCTTGTACACCAGCGCCACGCGGTCTCCTCGATATAGATTGCTCTTGTCCCGAATCACCTGCGCAACCTTCTCAGCTCTTGAAGCCAGCTTCTCCCAAGTGATCGAACTGAGCTCCTTGCCCTTCGAATCCACCACCCAGTATGCCGGTTGTCTAGCCTGCATCTTCCCTCTGTGCCGTAACACGGCTCCGAGATTGTCGAACTTCGACATCGGTATCTTGCTGTTGTGTGGATCGTACACGGCGAAGGGCACATCTCGCGGCTCCAGAGGCATCATGTGCTGCGGCACCTGCAAGAACTGCCCACCTCCAATGAGCGGTGGTGGTATCACCGCCGAGGGAGATAGAGCTTCACTCTGGCTGTATCTCTGCGGCCCTCCATAGCTCTCGCGCGGCCGCATATCATCGTCCGGGTTCTGTTGCTGCGTGAAATCCGAGAAGTAGCCCTGCTGTGCCGAGTCCAACATGGTGCTCTGCCTGCTCCCCTCCGGCGACCACGTCGCCTGCTGCCCACCATTCGGATTGAACGCGTAGCTGCCAGGTCCGCTGTTCCCTCCCACGACCGTGTTCTCCGGCGAACTGTACATGCTCCCTCGACTGACCGGCCTATCGAGACTGCCATAGGAGTTCTGTCTCGGCGGCGCCTGTCCCCGCATCCCCAGCTGCTGCGCTTGAAACCGCTGCGCGTGACTCGGTGGCCCGGGTGTATGCGCGCCGCCCCCGTTGGCAGGCTCGTAGCTCATGGCGTTGTACTCGCCGGCCCATGGTCCCGCGGTGATACTGCCGTAGCTGTCCGTCTTCGCGTGACCAGCACCACCGCCATCACCCGCACTGCCGATACTCTGCGATGGCGAGTGGAAGCTGAAGGCTCCCAAGTCACTACTCTCGCCGCGCAAGTCGCCCAGTTGTTGCGATGAGAAGTACTCGGAGAGAATGGCTGTGCGCCGCTTCTCGTACCCTTTCCGCGTGATGTCGCCATCCTCCAACTCGCCGTCCAGCTCTTGCAGCCGCCGTTGCAGCTCCGGATTCTCCTCAGCCATGGTCTGCTCGTGAAATCAAAATCATGCCAGGATCAAGGATGTGTATCGAATGTCAAGGTCGCCCGACCCCTCGACGCATGTGCGGTATCGTAGGAGGGGCGTCTCGTGTCGCGTCGATTAACAAATTCCGTCGGTCATCGCACGATCATGTCGGATGGCAAAGACGTGCAGGATACAGAGCTTTCGACACTTTCCATCCAAACGCGCATCCGTCGAGACACACCCGCTCTCGCCTATCGCCTATTCGGTTCCTGGCAAAATGCGGGCGGGCAGGGACGGCATCGGAGAAATGATGAGGTAGCACCCTGAAAGCTTCTTCTTCTTCCTCTACAGGTGTCTAGACGTCCGATTCAAGGGCGACTATCCATTTCGATATTGAAGCGAGAGAAGACAATCAAGGTATCGAAGAAGCAAGAGGGGACAACACACAACTCTCCAGCAGTGAGCGGAGCCGCAAATACCAGCTCTCGATGAAGCAGATGAATTTCTTCTATACACAAACCCCTCGCTATGCATCAAACGATTCTCTCTTCAATTACCACCACAGCATCTCCTAATACGTAAAAGCCTCCTCGACAAAATCCACATTCCCCTCCTCCACCACATCCCTTACCGCACTCCTCACCGCGTCCGCAAACGCCCCCGGTCCGCACACCGTAACCCCCATCGCTCCAATCCGCTCCTGCATCTCCTTCTGTATAACGGTCTGCGGGTTGCAGCGGCCGGGGAACATCTGCACCGACCCCGTGTTCGAGATCACCTCGCCTCGGTGCCGGGGCTTGGTGACGAAGAGTTGGATGCGGAGGACGTCGCGGCGGCCTTCCATCTTGAGGATCTTGTCCATCCAGATGCGGACCCATTCCAGCGCTTCGGTGTTGGGGACGGACCAGACGAGCAGGATTTTCTGCGCGGAGGTGATGCCGGCTTGGTATTGGAGCATCAGGTGGTGGACGTAGCCGACGCAGTGGGTGATGCCTACGCCGCCGGCGAAGAGGATGACGGTGCCGTAGGAGGACATGCTCTCGTGGCCGCCGTAGGGACCTTCAATCGCTCCCCAGGTCGAGAATGTTCTGTAAGGAGATGCAGCGGCTTTCTCGTAGAGCTTCCTGGTCATGCCCGTGCGAGCGCGCATTACCAGGGAGACGGAGGTGACGGCTGAGTCTCGTGGGAGGGCGATGTTCTTGCTCTCTGGCTGGTGGGTCCTTTCTGCTGTTGTTCCAGGATTCGTCCTGGACAGGTTCGATGCCCAGGTTGACGTTCGGTTCGGCGGATCTGGTCGTCTGTTGTTGACGCTGAGGCCGGAAGACTTTGACTGTGCGTCCATGGCCTTGGTCGGGGGTGGTGGATAGATTGCCTTCTCCTGCATCTCGATCTCGAGTGCGGGCTCTCGGGACCTATTTTCCGCCCATGCTATCGAGAACGGATGGCTGGACCACAGTGCAATTGCTGGCAGGTATGCATGCACGTGGCATCCTGGCTTCCACACCCATGGCCGGGAGAGGTCGAAAGTCACTCTGCAGGCTTCTGCGGGTAGAGCCTCCACAGTGACCTTCGTCACGCCATGCTTCCTGCTGAAGTTATGGTATGCGATCCGGAAGAATCGCCACACCAGCTCCGCCACCCAGAATGAGATGCATAGCTTGATGAACGGCAGCTGAGGTAGGTTGGCCTTCTCAAGATGGACCCAAACTCCCGCCAGCGCCACCATGGCGAGGACACGGTGGACGTTCAGGAAGACCTCGTAGAAGGCGTGTCGTAGTGGCCCGACTGCCAGAACGAACATGGCGCTGAAAGCGCAGGTTCCAACCATTCCCCAGCAGTAGCTTGTACTTGTCGAGAGTGACAGCCGGACCTGCGCTTGTCCACCAGACTGAATGGCGTTGGATGCCCAGCATAGGGTGTGGATGAGCGATTCCAGCACGACCACCCGAGCACACCATCGGTGGAGAAGGTTGAAGGTGTCGTAGGACACTCCCAGCAGCGGTGAAAGAGGGTTGTTGCGCATCGCAAAGAGAAACGTAGGGATCATGTTCAGCGCGGCCAATGTTCCAGATCGTCCTCGCAACTCCGCGACGACCGAAAAGCTCTCGCCTCTACCCCAGCTCAAGGCGAGGGTGTAGGCGACATTGCTCGCGAGGTATAGCACGAGTATAATCATGTGATATCTTGAAGGAAGAGTTCCAATGGCGACGGCTCTCGACAGCTGGAGCTCGCGATTGTGCCGCTGTCGACCGAGCGGCGCATAGATCAACTGCTTCTTTATCCGTGGCCAAAAATGCGAGTGATTGATCATCCAGTATCGTTGATCCTCACACCTTCCCATCGTAAACATCCGCCGGAAGTGTGCATTGACGACTTGAATGCATCGGTAAACAATCGTCACCGCCAGTATCGCAAAGAATGATATGAGGATAACGTTCGAAAAGGTGTAGTTCGCGCCCTGGTTGACTCCATCGAGCCCATGGCTGAATGGTGTTGCGTCGGCCGTCCAGTTCAAAATCATTCCGAAATCCCCAACGTGTTCCTCTCTTGTGAAAATGTCGCCACTTCCGCGTGCAATAGGGTCATGGCCAGCGTGAGTGTGTATTGCAGAACGCAGAGTGTGACGATGGAGGTGGTGTTGGTGTAAGGGTATGCGGCCCAAAGTGTTAGTGTCCATTTTGGTTTTGGGCGGTGGGCCAGTTGTAATGTGTATCCGAAGAATGCGGCTGCCGCGCGGGTAACGAGGGCCAATAGATCGCGCTCAACGCGATGAGTCGGTAATTAGGGAATACACTTCAAGTGTATACTGGCTGCTGTCCAGAAAACGTGATCTGCTTTCGCTGTGGGTTTCGCGACGTGACTCGACTGCTGGGTGATTGCCCTCACGTGTCGTGGCGGCCTTCTTTGTCCTATTGTCGTGGGCCAGACAATGGTGAATCGTGTCCACTTGTTCTCAAGACAAAGCACGCCGTCTCTTGAATTTCTTGTCAGCTACTGCAAGGCACTGTGTCGACTGGTCGAGATCGTGATAGCTGGAAGCATAAGCGGTGCTGGAAGGGTGGTACTGGTATAGGCTCGAATAGGAGTATGTAATAAGCAGCACGCCCACAGTCTCCGTCAAGGAGAATGAAGAAGAGCAAGTTAGACGATAACGACAGACTGTCTGAGCAAAGCGCAGATGATGAGCAAGGAGTCGGAGTCCAGGGCATCAAAAGGTGAAGTGAAGTCTCTACTGAATCCTACCGTGCTACTCCGTAAAGCCCCATGGCAACGTCCCCACCGCCAACGCCCTTATCGCAGCTGTAGTTTGACGTCGCCTCCAGCCTGGAGATCTCGGTCCAAGCGAGTAGCAAATATAAATTGCCATGTGCGACTGTGAGATGAAACCGGTCTCGAACTGTGAGCAGGAGAAGGAGATTCGGGAGAGCGTTTGCGCCACAGGGTGGGTTACAGATCTTGGTACACGCGCTAGAGGGTCGCTCCGAAGATGCCAGGAGAGCCAACCGACTCGCGGGGATAGGAAGAACCGCTGGCTGTTTCGGTTTCAGAGAGGTGGGACACGCTCGAGATCCAAGCGCCTTGTGCCACGAACAGGAGGCTCATGTCCAGAACGACATCTTCATATGTCGGGAACGGTGGCTCTCTAGGCGCCAAGGGGAAGCCTTCGAAGGGGACGGGATGATGAGTCGTCTCGTGGACAGGAAATGTTGAGAACGAGAGGTTCTCGGGGAGGGTATACATGTAATTCTGTATCGACAAATAATTACGAGAGCAACTGTAGAGGTTCAAGTGCTCTCGTACTCAAAAGATTGCCGAAGATGAAGTCGATCTTGTCTCACGCATCTGATGAAAGATGGACCAGCTCAAGATCTATGTGATAGAATGCAAGACCGAGCGCGGTAAGAGACTGCCTACAAATTGTTGTCGAAAGCGCCTCATCGTGGTCTTTTGCCAGCCGTAGCACTGTTGTAGCATCCGCTTTTGCAGAGAACGATATACTGCGTCTGGACTCCTTGTCGGTGAATGCTAGTCTGCATCGTTCTGAGTTCAAATGGTGGAAATGTTTTCGAGGGAGAAGAAAACGCGCGAGAAACTCGCCTGCCAAGCCCGAGATAGCTCCATGCCTGGCCTTCAGGCTCACCGACCTCCACCATGCTCAAGACACTGTGATCAATTGACAGTACCCAGGCTTACACACGGACACAAGAGCATCTGGATTTCGACTGCTAGCGGCCAGTAGGTCTTTCATCATGTCGGCGTCTCTGCCCGGCAACAGAGACGTACCGCCGTCGCGCCACGACCTAAACACGTATTGGGGCAGAGTAAAGCACTCTGCAGACATAGCAGATCCGAGGTGAGATATATGCGATTGCAGTCTTGTGCGATCCGAATGGGTCAGTATACACTGCTTGTTACATTCGCCCTGTCTCCGTTCTCTTCCCTTAGGAGCATTCGCTGACTGTGGTATAGGACATTGCTCACATCGAGCGCTGGTCTCGAACATGCCAAAACACTCATCTCCCAATACAAGCGAGGCGAGATACAGGCGATGACTCCGGAGCTATGGCAGGCGAAGAAGATTGTGGACTCTACGCTCCATCCTGGTGAGTATAGCACATACTCCCCTACTTACCACACTACTGACATGTGCTAGACACCGGCCAGCCAGTCGTCCTACCCTTCCGCATGTCCTGTTTCGTCATCTCCAACCTCGTTGTCACAGCCGGCATGCTCAGCCCAAACCTCAGCACTACCGGCACAGTAGCGTGGCAATGGGCCAATCAGTCCCTCAATGTGGCCATCAACAACGCCAACTCCAACAAGTCCACCCCTCTATCGACCTCCCAAATGGTGCAGTCCTACTTTCTGGCCGTTGGAGCCAGCTGTGGTGTAGCCGTTGGTTTGAATTCCCTCATCCCGCGCATGAAGCGCTTGAGTCCTGCTGCTCGAGTCACTATGACCCGACTGGTCCCCTTCGCAGCCGTCGCAAGCGCAGGTGCACTGAACGTCTTCCTCATGCGCGGCGAAGAGATCCGGAAAGGCATCGACGTCTACCCGCACGAATCAGACGCAGCACGCCGGAAGCGCGAGGAAGCAGACCAACAGCTCGAGCCCATCGGCAAGAGCAAGAAGGCTGCTACGCTGGCTGTAGGAGAGACTGCGCTGTCACGAGTGCTCAATGCAACGCCCATCATGGTCATCCCACCACTCGTACTTGTCCGGCTTCAGCGAACTGCATGGCTCAGCCAGCGGCCGCGGATGGTGCTGCCGGTCAACCTTGGGTTGATCTTGACGACGAGTCTGTTTGCTTTACCGCTGGCTTTGGCTGCGTTCCCGCAGAGGCAGGCTGTCAGGGCGTCGACTTTGGAGCCGGAATTCCATGGTCATAGAGGGGAGGATGGGATGCTCGAGTTCAATAGAGGGCTGTGACGTCCTATGGGATTGTGGATACTTTCGATAGATGGGACGTACATATCAGTCGTTCAGCAGAGGTATAGCTTGGCTTGGCTGATGTTATCTTGCTGACGGGATATTGCGTTATGAGAGTCGTTGGTCGTTCTCCGTACCTATCGTTACATCGGTATCCCGGCTCCACGAACAGCAGCCGTTGAGCTTTCGGGCAAGATTAACATCAGCTTGCAGACACGGACCTGGTTGGAAAGAACGTTGGCTAGTGGAAAGTATGTTGTGTATCAGTTCTTGTTCTCCGATGCCTCGACCTTTCCCAGCATGAAGACGTGCCATTGAACATTCTTTTATCATGAGCGACGGCGAAAAGGCCCCCACGTAAGTCGAGCATTCAATTGAAGACATTAGCCGAACGAGGCGCATGTCGTGCGTGCCACCGACGCAGTGTCCAGATTACCTGCATTGCCCCTCACTGACCACCTCTCTCCCACGCGCAGGCAGCACAAGCGATCAAAGTCCAGCGCCGTCACACGAGCACTGTCGAGAATATCGACTCGAGGCGATGTCCCTACCATAAACACCACCAACACCGCGCAGAACGAAGGCGAGATGTCGTCCACCAGCCCCGCGGCGGACTCGAATGGCCTGTTGAGCCCGGCAGCTTCACGACCGAGCATGGCAAGCAGTACACGACCGCATCTGAGCACGACAATGAGCACCGTCGGCAGCCTGCCGAAGTTCAGCGAGACGAGCCCCATCTCGGCCACGCCAGGCAGCGCGACACAGGGCGCCACAATCGAGCAGAGCGTGAAGCTGTTCAAGGTCTTTGAGGCGTTGAGGAATGGTGACACTGCCGCGATTGCGAAAGCGACAAAGGATGACAGCGACGGCAAGCTCGAGCGCACTTCGACGCTACATTTGGCGATCCAGTGCGCGGAGCAGCCGGTAATTGAGTATGTGCTGTCGCAGCCCGGTACGGATGTGAACGCGCGGGATAAGGATGGCAATACGCCGTTGCATGTTGCTGCGAACTTGGGCAGGGCGCCGGTGGTGAAGCTGTTGCTTGAGCAGACGGAGATCAATGATTCTTCTGCCAACTTGCAAGGGAAGACGGCGTTGGACCTGGCGCGCAATCCGGAGATATTTCAGCAGCTGCAGTTCGCGCGGTCGGTGTTCATCGATCAGAATGTGCGGAAGGTGCATCAGCTTGTGGGCGCTGGGGACTACGATGGCTTGGAGCAGCTATTGGGCGATAGTCGAGTGCGCGCTGCCGTGGATGTCAACGGCCCTGAACTTGCGACTGACCCTGCGACGACCGAGCATGGCGGGAGCTTGCTGCATGAGGCGGCGCGGAAGAAGGATCTCAAGCTGGCGCAGATGCTATTGTTGAACGGCGCGGATCCATTCAGACGAGACAGGAAGGGCAAGCTGCCGCAGGATGTTACGAAAGACGACCGGACGCGTGCTATCCTCAAGCGATCTCCGGCTGCTCAGGCGGCTCAGCGAAGCATACAAGAGAAGACGATACTCGGAGATACCGCACAAGCTGGTGGTCCTGCTGGCACGGAAGCCGGACCTGGCGGGAAAGAGAGTAGGGAGATGAAGGGCTACCTGCGCAAGTGGACGAACTACACCTCTGGGTACAAGCTGCGATGGTTCGTGCTGGAGGATGGAGTGCTGTCTTACTACAAGCATCAGGACGATGCTGGGAGCGCGTGTCGTGGTGCGATCAATATGCGGATCGCGAAGCTGCATATGGACCCCAAGGACAAGCTGCTGTTTGAGATCCATGGCAAGAGCAGTGTCAAGTATAATCTGAAGGCCAATCACCAAGTCGAAGCGAAGAGATGGTATTGGGCGCTGAACAACGCAATTCAATGGGCTAAAGACGAGGCCAAGGAAGAACAAAAGAGGCAGCAACAGGAGTCGTTGGCACTGCGAGAGGCGAGACACGAGCAGCTGGAGAGGGTGCGTACTCGAGAAGCTGAGGTTGCGCACACCGGCGGTGGTCTTGTGCCAGCGACAGCTGTTGGTTTGACTACTGGCAGCTCTACACCTTGGGGCGGAAGCACGGTCGGCGACCAGACGAGTGCTTATGAGGCAAGCGATGCTGGTCACGACATGATCTCGAACAGGGGACTCAGCCGGACCAACACTGCCACCAACATCGAAGGCGACCTTGACGAAGACGAGGAGTACGGCGATGATGCCAGCAGCCACGAGATGCGACCGGCGAACAAGGATGCCTTCTCGATCACTGCTCAAAGCGCCAAACTCCAGTTGGACCTTATCGAGCAGGTTTCGACGGCTCTGCAGACGCAGAAGAAGGAGAACCCAGATATGTCTATATCTCATCCAACGGTGTCGCAGGCTCTCGGCTCCTATGACATGGCTGTCGGGAATCTCAAAGGCCTGCTCATCGACCTCCTGCGCATCAGTAGAGACCACGAAGCATACTGGCAGTACCGCCTCGACCGGGAGCAGAACATCCGTAGATTATGGGAAGACAGCATGGCACGCGTTGCGCAAGAGCACGAAGAGCTGGAGACCCGTATCGGCGAAAGCGAGGACAAACGTAAGCGGACAAAGCGCGCGCTCAAAGACGCTCTTGAAGGTGGCGTCACTCCTGGTGCTACGCCGGGCACTTTCACGCACGCTGAGGAGGAGGAATCCAAAGACTTCTTGAGCGTCGACAAGCGCCGACCTACCATTGCCGACTTCACGAATCACGAGGTGTCTGACGACGAGACGGAGGATGAAGAGGAGTTCTTCGATGCTGTAGATGCGGGTGAGGTGGAAGTGGTGGAGTCGTTGCCTCCGACCAGCCCGCCTGCTGTGGCCGAGAAGATGGCAGATCCTACTGCTGCGGCAGTGAGCGATACCCCGGCTGCTAGGGAAGGCGAGCAGGAGAAAGCTCAGGAGATTTCCCGATCATTCAAGGGCTACGAAGATGGCCTGCGAAAGCGACTGAAGCTGGACGCAGACAACAGGCCCAAGGTCGGGCTTTGGGGCATCTTGAAGTCTATGATTGGCAAGGACATGACACGCATGACGCTGCCGGTGTCCTTCAACGAGCCGACATCGCTGCTCTACCGCGTGGTGGAAGACATGGAGTACGCTGATCTCCTGAACATCGCTGCTGACCGCAACGACTCGATGGAGCGCATGGTCTACGTGGCAGGGTTTGCGGCCAGTATCTACGCCAGCACCATTGGACGTGTTGCGAAGCCGTTCAACCCGCTTCTGGGTGAGACGTACGAGTACTGCCGGCCAGACCTGGGATACCGCTTCTTCATTGAGCAAGTCTCGCATCATCCGCCAGTCGGCGCCGCGCACGCGCAGAGCCCGAAGTGGGAGTACTACGGCGAAAGTGCAGTAAAGTCAAAGTTTTACGGCAAGAGCTTCGAGTTCAATCCATTAGGAACCTGGTTCCTGCACCTCCGCACCCCCGACGGCGGCGAGGAGATGTACACCTGGAAGAAAGTCACCTCCAGCGTCGTAGGCATCATCACCGGCAACCCAACCGTCGACAACTACGGCCCCATGGAAGTCAAGAACTGGACGACCGGCGAAGTCTGCACCCTCGACTTCAAAGCCAAGGGCTGGAAAGCCAACTCCGCCTACCAAGTCGCCGGCAAAGTCGTCGACGCCAAAGGCACCACGCGCTGGTCCATCGGCGGCCGCTGGAACGACAAGATCTACGCCCGTCTGACGCCCGGTTACGAAGCGCCGCTCGAGCAGCTCTCCGGCGGCGGCAAAGCGAACGATAAAGCTTTCCTCGTCTGGGAAGCCCATGAACGACCCACCGGTATCCCGTTCAACCTCACTCCCTACGTCGTCACGCTCAACGCTCTGCCCGAGTCGCTGAAGCCCTGGCTCGCGCCCACGGACTCCCGTCTGCGGCCCGATCAGCGCGCGATGGAGGAAGGCGAGTACGACTTCGCCGCTACGGAGAAGAATCGCGTGGAAGACGGCCAGCGGGCGCGGAGGAGGGAGCGGGAGGCGAAGGGCCAGGAGTTCGAGCCGAGGTGGTTCAAGAAGGGACGGCACCCGGTTACCGGGGAGGAGTATTGGGTTTTCAACCATGAGTATTGGGATGTGAGGGATGCGGTGGGTGAGGGGAGGAGGGGGTGGTTGGATGAGGGGCTGGAGGAGATTTGGTAGGGGCGGGGGTGTGAGGTAGTCTAGTCTAGTCTCCCTGTGTGTGTACCTAGGCTTCAACGGCTGAGTGCTGTGAGCGTTATGAGTAGTGTGAGGAATGAAGACTTTGAAAATTCTTCTTAGGGCATTTTGCTCCATAATATCGATCGTAACTCTGATCTCTCTTAGCCTTGAACGCTTAGAAGCAGTTGCATAGATGCCGTGCAAATGCTGCGTCTTCTGTTCCGAACAACATGAAGATTTGTTGTTGAGCTCTCTAAGGCGACGTCATGACGAACGTACGAGCAATCAAGACACTACACCAGGTCCTCCTACCTCCAACATTGCAGCTTCTTTCAAACTCCACGACTGAAACATGCCGGGCCTGGCGTGGAAACTTTTGATGTAGGCCTCTGCGCTTTCCAAGAAGAATTTTTGTGAGGGATGATTCAACTGACCAGTGTCGCAGAGCTGCCACAGAGGGTGGTGTGGTTGTCCGACCTACGGGGAGCCACAGTCATAGCAGCAAAGATGTACAAGTTCACTACCAGACCAGCAAGATAACGAGCGTATCTCGCAATGAAGACGATGGGACATTCTCGACGCCTTTGGAAGCCCATGGACTCGTTGGTACTTCGTACTGACCGGTCTGTTGCTCCTGGTTCTGGAAACTGATCTTAAGTAGGCATACTCGACCTTGTCACATCGTCTCACCTCATTGTGATTACACGGAGAGAGCACGTCGCTTCCATCCGTGGCAAAGCCATCTACGGCGTTCGAGATGTCACCTTGATACCACTGACATCCCAGGCGGAAGCTCAGGTGAGTATTGATACAGCAAAGAAGAGTCTTGCCAAGGCAGCCGGCACTGCTGCCAGTGTTGAGACTGATGAGAGCGATGTTGGAGACGATGCTGAGACGGCTTCGGTAGTCTCTGTTGAGGATGAGGGCCCAGAGGAGGATGCCGCTGAGCTGCCTAAGGGAGGACTGAAGAAGAGTGCTACGTTCGCTAAGCGGTGGTTTAGCAGGAATGCTCCAAAAGGTAGAAAGCAATCGACGAGCAAGGACAGTTCAGTTGAAGGAGAAACCGTGGCAGAGGAAGGCAATGATCAGAATGCTTCCGTCACTAGCAACGAACAAAACGAGCAAACTCCCCAGTCTCCGCCAAGAGACCGCTCGAGCGAGGGCAATGATAAGCCCACGGAGCCTTCGCAGGGGAAAAGCACCATCGAGAGCCTCACGCCTCGTATCCTCAGGACTGCCAAAATGATGTTCAGCACGAGCGGCTTCTACTTCTCCTATGATCATGACTTGTCCGGAACGTTGACGCAGAAGAGTACAATGGTCTCAGGGATGCCGCTGTGGAAGCGATTCGATGGTCTTGTATGTTTCCTTCTCTCATTCCCGAATAATGTCGGCTGACAGCGTGGCAGTACTTCTGGAATAGACATTTGATCGATCCTTTTATGAAGACGAACCACGATGAGCTTGTGCTACCCCTGATGCAAGGTTTCGTGGGCCAGCGTGCATTCTCCATCGCGAAGAGCGAAGACGAAGAGGAACACTCCGTCGCTGGAGCAAGTCAAGCCCCTGAAGATGTGGTCGCAGCTCAGGAGACGCCTTCGAAGACGGAACTCACAGATGAGGGCACCCAAGCACAAGAGTTCCTGCTAACACTGATATCCCGACGTTCCGTCAAGCGAGCAGGCCTGCGTTTCATGCGGCGAGGCGTTGACGATGATGGATACGTGGCGAATACGGTCGAGACGGAGCAGATCCTCTCGCCGATGACCTGGAGTATGTCCGACAAGACCTATTCGCTTGTTCAGCTCCGAGGGTCGATACCACTGCACTTTACGCAAACACCTGGCCGGCTCAAACCTACGCCCGTGATGTTTGGATCGGAGGCGACGAACCAGGCGGCGTTCAAGAAGCATCTCTCATCTGTTGGCTCGAGATATGGCAAGATCCAGGTGGTCTCACTGATCGACAAGCACAATAGCCCCGAAGTGCCTATTGGCGAAGCTTTCGAAACGCACACCACACTCCTTAACGATGCTGGCGGCATCAGTGGGAAACCAATCGGCTTCGAATGGTTCGACTTCCACACCATCTGCAGGGGCATGAAGTTTGAGAACGTCTCGATCCTCATGGACGCCATCGAACCCACGCTCAAGTCCTTCGGCTGGATCGTCAAGCAAGACGACCGTAACATCGGCCAGCAGACGGGCGTTGTGAGAACGAACTGCATGGACTGCCTCGATCGAACCAACATCGTCCAGTCTTCCATCGCAGGCTGGGCATTGGAGCAGCAGCTCAAAGACCGTGGTTTACACATCGACCTCAAAACCGACCCAACAACACAATGGTTCAACACTCTCTGGGCAGATAACGGCGACGCCTGCTCCATGCAGTACGCCGGCACCGCAGCGATGAAGGGCGATTTCACGCGCACCCGAAAGCGAAACTGGGCGGGCGCGCTGTCGGATTTCAGCATCACGTTGACGAGGTATTACAATAACATGATTGGGGATTACTTCCTACAAACCTGCATCGATTTCTTCCTGGGTAATGAAGGGCAAGGTGTGTTTGAGGAGTTTGAAACGGAGATGGTTAGTAAAGACTACTCTTTGGACATGAGAAGGGTTAGGGAGAGCGCGATCGAGACATGTGTGAAGATCGTGCTTGAGGATCCAAGTGAAAAGTTGCTTGCGGGATGGACAATGGGTTGTCCGAAGCAATCGAACACGTTGAGGAGTCTGCCGTTTGAGGAGTGTGTTGTGTTGCTTACGAGTGCGGCTTTCTATTTGTGTCGGTTTGACTGGGATACGGAGAAGGTCGGGGCGTTTGAGAGGGTGGATCTGTGCGATGTGACGGAGGTCTGGCGAGGGGCGTATATCACCTCCGCGCTTGGGGAGACGCATCTTGACGAAGCGAAGAATTATGGCTTTGCGCTGCGGTATAGTACGAAGGGCAACTCGATTGTGAGGAGGAATACTCGCACTCTGCAGAATAAAGGCGAGACGAGCAGTGAGAATGCAGGCAAGGATGAGCTGCAGAAGCAGGCCGAGCCCGAAAAGGATGAGAGCAGGATGCTTGCGTTTAAGGCGCTGCCACCGAGCTCTACTGCTGCTAAGGGGGATGTTGAAGCGACGGAGAAAATGAACGAAGTCCGGCTGGTGACGCACGTCTGTGATCGACTGCGGGATACCGCGAGGACGGCAAAAGCCAGAATGTATCCAATACATGCGGACGACGACATACAGGTCGAAGAGAAACCCATCATCTCAGCGGCAGATGCGAAAAAGAGCACAGGCTATATGGAATCTATCGGATACTCGCTGAAACGAATGGTCTGGTCGTGACCGACGAAGGGATCCCTGTTCCTCCGCCATGTCGTTCCAACAGCTTCGCCGACACGCCTCCTGACGGCGAGGGTAGCGCCTAAAATCAACCCTGAACTCCAAACCAATCGCTTTCTGAGTGATTCAAGCTCCAGCAGAGTCGCAGCACGCCGAACTCAGTAATGTACCCACTGACCGCAATCCACCGTCCCACCCCAACGACGATGATGAGGCGGAGATTATCCGTACATCAGACCCAACTCGCGCCGAGACCCATAGCTATTAGAGAATCTGAGGTTCGGCCAACGTCCCACTGGCTCACGCTTCTGCTCGAATTCTCCGCTCGACTCGGGCTCGGGAAACCGTGTACGCCAGTCCGGCAGCAGTGCGAAAGGCCTCAGTGTCTTGGGATCTGTCGGTGTCCGATCGCGAGGCTGGATCCTATCAGCTATGGGCACGAAGACCACTGGATCATATCCGTTGCTTGGTCTCGTCTTCTCGTCCGCTGTCTTTGGCGCGGCCGCTGACACATATCCCTCAAATGTGCTGTACTGGCCCCCTTCGCGGGTAGTGTCTGGATGTGGTTCTGGCGTGCTGGGGCTGGATCCGCAGTCGCTATCGCTGCTCGATCCTGAGTTGCAGCTATCCAGACCGGCGTCGATCATGGCTTGGGCGGCTTTGCTGTTCATCGATTAGTACAACAGTCGCAAAATCTCGAGATGAGACGACATACCTCCAAGCATCTGGCCTATTCGCCTTCGAAGTCGTCACCGTCACCGTCGACTATGGACTCGGAGAGGCGTTCGCCTCCTTCAACCCGAGGACTTCATCCCGGCGCTCCATGGTTGGATAGATATCCGGCCTGCCAATCGTATTCTTGTAGTACACGAGGTGGTCGATTGAGCAGACGTTGTCATACTTGTCGGACTTGTGGGCTGGGCAGAAGAAATGGTTGCAGAGCACGCAGCCTCGGCTGGGTCCTTTAGTGACCAGGTTGGCGTGATCCTTGTGGATGTTGTAGCGTTTATTGCTAAAACGCATGCGCTCGCAGACCATGCAGCTGCTGCGGATGGGTGCGGCCACAGCCATGCATGGGGCGAGGGAGGCCATGGTGAGGTGGTTGGGTAGCGCTGTCGGGGTGTGCTTTTTGGATGAAAGTAGTGTTGGAAAATGACGGGATTCTTGAGAGATGATGGTATTTTGGAGACACTTACTGCAGGGAGGGAGACCATACTTATACTTCTTCGACTATTCTTGAAGGGCTTGCAGGCGTGGGTGTTGTTCATGAGAGTTCAGAAGCATATACGTTCTGGTCATTAGAGTTCCAGGACCATTTGCCTTCACCAATATCGAAATTTGAACCGTGGTTCACACAAATCCTTGAACATCCGGGTCTTCCGCATCCAGTATACGGGTTTTCTGATTGTCCCAACCCGCCATACCATGTACACTGTGAAGTGCTGCACAGCAACGTCGTACAAAGATCGTGTTCCGTCTTGCGGTACTCGGCCTGAGCCGACGTCTTGCCTGAGACGAGATCTGTGAGATGGAGCACAAACTTCGTCAGGCCGATTGGCTTCCAGTGACGGCCGTGCGACCGGGTTTCTCTGACCACAGCTACACAAGAACCCTTCAACCTGTTACAATCTTCTTCAGCTTCCTTGATGATGCCGGTAAGACGTATCCGTACGTTTGTCGACACTTTTACAAGGCCACGATGTCGGAAGTGGTCCCCTTATCATCAGAACACCCGCTAGCGCGGATCCATGAAATTGGTGTCGGCGGCGGCGTGTCGGAGGGATCCAAAGGAATGAGGGGAGGTGCCATGGACGCGCAGCACAGGCAGGTCGGGTTTCTTCTCTTTTCCACTTCACCACCTCGAGTCCTTCACCACAGTCGCTTCTTGAACCTCGCGCGAATGTATTGTCGTCTGAGAAGCACGCAAGACAGCACTTGCCGCCGACGTGAGTGATCTGCGCCGGAGGCGATTGCGCGCAATGTTGCTTGCGCCATCGACGGGTAATGGATCGCAGGGTGAGTATACCCTTCCTACATTGTATTGCTGAAAGACATGGCTCGTCGTCGAAATGAAGACGCTGACAGTTCGCGCAGTAAGTCGCAAACACCCGAGACAGCTCCAAACGCAATAGAAGACAAGCTCACACTCGAGACCCACCAGGTCCGCAATATCGCCCTCGGGACGATCCTAGTAGTGACCTTCTATATCCTACTGCAATCGCTCAATGTCGGACCGCACCAACTCGAAAGGACAACTCGGCAGTCGCTGCAGGCTATCAGCCACCTGACGCCCGAGTCGTTGTGGAAGAGCCATGGCTCGAAGATCGTCAAGGTGACCTCGGTGTTTGGGCAGGACAATGAGTTGTACGAGGGCGCGTTGCGAAGTCATAAAGAGCACAATCGGATTCATGAGTATGATATGAAGGTGCTGAGGGAGAAGATTGTGAGCAAGTACTGGAGCACGCCAACCTATTTGCTTTCGCTGGTTGTCGAAGAGCTGGCGAAACCAAAGGAACTGCGGTCGGAATGGCTGATGTGGGTATGCCTCGATTAGACGGTGTAGTTGTCGCTGACCGAGGGCACAGGTGGTCTGGACCTGACGTGATCATCCTGAACCCTCATGTCCCACTCGAGTCGTTTCTCCCTCCTGCCGATTTCAGCCGAACACATCTGCTGGGCACACACGATAGCAAAGGCTTCAACAGCGGCGTCTTCTTCCTCCGAGTCCACGACTGGAGTGTGCAGATGCTAGTCGAAGTCCTGTACGCAGGGAACTTCCACCCCGAGATCGAACGCGCGGAGGACAAGACACAAGCAGCCTTCGACGAGGTGCTGCGCTCTGACCGCTTCCGCGGCCAAGTGGTATACCAGCCGCGAACATGGTATAATGCATACCAACTGAATGCAACTCAGTTTGAAGGCCACCGTGGCGATTTACTAGTCCACTTCCACGACATCGGCGGCGACAAATGGACAGCTATGGCCGATACTCTCGCACGGACAGCGAAGGCGAAGAAGAAGTGGGCTGTCCCTTTCGAGGAGACGACCTACGAGAGCGAGATCTCCGATTATTGGGAGCGGATACGCAAGGCGCGTCAGCTCCTGAGCGTGGCGCGGAGCCGGCAGGAAGATAATGCTGTTTGGGAAGCCGTGAGGCGACTGTCGTACGCTTTGACCTACGAAGTTGATGATAAGGAGAAGATGCGAGGGGGCATGATCGCGGTGCAGAATGCTCTGCGGCTGCCGGATAGCGAAAGGCTTGTGGAGTGAGAGGAGTGGGTTGGTGATGCATAGCGCTGGCGTTCCGGAACAGTGAGCAGTCTTTGGGGTTCACGCTCACTTGTTGTTTTTATATTAAGATACCCAACCGTGCGTGTACTTTTAAAGAACACCTTCACCATCATCCGTTCTGAGGCAACCCTGTCTCGAGGTTTCACAATGATCCTTACTTCCTCAGGGAGGCATCTGAAAATCATAGACAGCTGGAGCGGCAGATACTGGCTACGCTGAATTTGCTGCTTTAAAGAATGTAGACAGTCTAGGTCCAAGGCTCTGACAGCGTTTGTGTATCGCTGTGCCTTTGGCTTCAAATCATATATCCTGTGTCGTGGTTGTTCGCGATCGGCTTCCGCTCTTTCTTCTTAAGAGTAGCGCCAAAGCCAATCGTCTTCAAGCTCAGAGCCCTTGTTGACCTTAAATATCGAGCCTCGGCACAGTCTGGCGGAGAACAACGGCGCTGCTCTGAGAAGACCACGTTACCGTGCTTCAGCTGCAGGCCGAGTGCTCCTATAACCATAGCGCTCTGGTACGAAACGCTCAACACGAGCTACGCTCTTCTGTCGCTGTAGCAGTCGGGCGCGGAATCACTCAAAAGGAAGGACACCAGCAGAGCCATTGGCCAGGAAGACCGGAGAACAAGAGCGGTAGGGGGCGAGACGGAGGCTCATCATGGCAGACGCGAACGGAGGTCTGAGAGAGCGAAAAGGCGCAAAGGACACCAGCGGCCCCAATGCGACGGTTCACACAAGCAGCAAGGGCACATTGGCCTCTGACAAGACCGGCTGGAGCGTCCTGGACATCCTGCGTATCCTCGGTGGCCTTTTGCTCCTCAACTCCCTCGGGTCATATTTCATCACCAATGACAGCTTCCTCTGGGGCTACCGGCCTTGGTTCGCGCGACCTAGACTTGTCGCACGCTGGTTCCAGGGACCCGTCATGCTGACTGACGCCGAGTTGAGCCTGTACAATGGAAGTGATCCTGATCTGCCTGTATACCTCGCTCTAAACGGGACGATCTACGACGTGACGGCTGGACGACGAGTGTATGGGCCAGGCGGCTCCTACAATGTCTTCGCCGGGAAAGACGCAGCGCGCGGTTTCATCACGGGTTGCTTCGCGGAAGACTCGACGCCAGACTTGCGAGGGGCGGAGTGGACGTATGTCCCGATCGATGTGCCGGGTTTCGACGAGAAGGTGCAGGCGGAGCAGAAGGTTTATCGCGAACAAGAGCTACGGAAAGCGCGGAAGAAGGTCAAGGAGACGCTGGATGGATGGGCGAGCATGTTTCAGGGCGATGGTGGCAAGGATTACTTTGAGGTTGGCAAGGTGGTAAGGGAGGAGGGTTGGTTGGAAAAGGAGCCACGGAAGGCTTTGTGTGAGCGCGCGGAGAAGGGTAGGCCCAAGCCGAAGCAGGGTGCTAAGGATGCTGGCGCGGCGTACCGGCCGTCGTAAGAGTAATGGATCTGTAATGGTTTGATGTGGCATATACCCGTATTGGAGGCGTAGAATGTCTCATAGCACCTTGGCCGAGTTCATTCTCTTGTGCAGCGGACAGATTGCTGAACTATCGGAGCGCTATGGGTTGCTGCTCATTCCCAGATCCTCCGCATCTCGACCCGATGTCCTCATGTCCGTCATCCACACATACGCCGAGAAATGCACAGCAGACCATGGCCATCTCATTCATCGTTTAGTCGCCGCCACCAACCGCTCTCGCTGTGAATGCATCGTCAGTACATGCGCACTAATACAATACCATCTCAAAAGCCTCAACATACTGTAGATGTTCCCCCTGCTGTGCGCCACAACCTTCTTGATCGTACCCTTCTCCTCAAGATCCTTCAGCGCCGCGCGCGCAAGCGATCCATTGATCTTCAGCCTATCGACCAGCACGGCGACGGTAACGAGGCGGTACGATTGCACATCCTTCTGCAGTTTCTCGGCGGTGGCCTTGTCGAGGATGACGGCGTGGTTGGACTTGTCCTTGACCTTTCCTGTACAGTGATCGCTCCGTTAGTTTTTGCTCGGATTTGTTGGTGGGTTTGTTGACGCACCCTTCGACCACTTCTTCTTCGCTTTCCCTTTGGTTGCTGGGGCCATGACCGCTGATGTTGATGTGGTATGGAGAAGTAATGGTGTCGTCGGCGGTGCTTCGCAAGTCGGATTTGGTGGGATGGAGTCTGCGCTGTGTGGTCTTGGCGCGGCATGGCCCGCTTTAGCACGTGACGGAGGACAACTTCACTTTGCTCAGCTGTCGTGAACCGGAGAAGAACACGTCGATCTAACCTCCGGCGATTCCTCCAGATGTGATTATGAATAGGGGTCTCTTGGAAGTGTAGCACTGCGCTTAAAGGGTTTCGATCAGCTTCAGCACCTAACAGTCGGCCACTACTTCCACGGAGCCAAGAGGACAGAAGACAAGTTGACCTTCGATGCACAATGTATCACCTAGTCAAGAGCCTCTACTACCGCGTCACTAGTAAAGAAGAATACTCCATTCTCCTGCTCGGGCTGGACAATGCCGGCAAGACCACTCTTTTGGAGCAGATCAAATCCATCTTCGCCTCCCACCACGCGCCTCACGAGCCCAACCTTCGCACTGTGCCCACGGTAGGCCAGAACGTCAGCTTGATAGACCTACCGGATCTCTACCTCCGCATCTGGGACGTTGGTGGCCAGCACAGCCTTCGTGGTTTGTGGCAAAGCTACTACAGCAGCGCTCACGCGATCGTGTTTGTGGTTGACAGCACGGACATTGGAGATGGCGATGCAGCGCACCTATCTTCTTCTATGGACCCTCCAGCTACACCGAATCCGGCGACATCATCTGAACGGGAGGGCCGATTGGACGAGTGCAAACTGGTGCTGGAGGACGTACTGCAGCATTCTGACACCTCTGGCATCCCCGTGCTCGTGCTGGCCAACAAGCAAGATCGTGAGGACTGCGTGGAAGTTGTGCGTATTAAGGAGGGACTTGTGAGGAAAGTGTTTGAGGGTGAGAAGGGGCAGAATGTACGTGACTCAAGAGTGCTGCCGCTGAGTGCATTGACGGGCACAGGCGTGAAGGAAGCCGTGGAATGGATCTGTTCACGGGTGAAATGGAACAAAGAGGGCCGACCGCCAGTGATGAGATGAGATGTCTTAAGGTCTCAGGATAAAACATCGTTACGCAAGAGGGAAATGTTCTGCTCGGCCTGCTACTCCGCCGAATGATTGACAGTTCAAATTGAACATTCACGGATCATGGCCACTGAGGAGACGACATCGCCCTAGCCGACAGCGCCATCCGGCTTCTGCGCCCAAACAATGTCTATCGAAACGTAGGCATGCATCTTCGCCATCGCCATCTCTCCCTCGACTTCCTTCCACAGCTCCCGAACAGCTTCCGGCTCCCAGCCGAGCGCCTTGGTGAAGAGGCCAATACTTACGCCTTCTAGGACAACTGACAGGTCCTGCGACAATAACGATCAGCAAGCCACACCTTCGCATTCGGCAGACGCAGGGAAGACTAACCGCTCGAAACATCCGCCCAACCTCCTTCATCCTGTCGTCCTTTGGCCAAGGCCCAACCGGCCACTTCAGCGCTTTCCGTCCCATACCTGCAAAACCAGCACCTTGAAGCAGGCGAGGAACTTCAGCGAACCCTCCATCCAGTTTCACACCTACCTTCCCACTCGCTTCGACCAGCAACTGATTCCACCGCTCAAAAGCCGTCCCAGCCATCGAGTCGTCATCACACCGCATTGGCAGATGGAACTCCTGGAATTCCAACCACCCACCCGGGCGGAGATGTTCCCAGCATTTGGAGATGAGAGCGGGCCAGGATTTGATGCCGGATGACATGCTGCGGGAGTGGATGAGGTCGTATTGTTGCGCTGCGGCCGAAGGACTGGCCCAGGCGGAGTCGTACGTGATGTCGTCCACCAGGAATTCGACGTTTGAAGGGTGGGAGGTCGGCTGCAGAGGCTTGAGGTCGACGCCGCGGACATGTACGCTGGGATATGCAGCTGCGAACTCGAGGGCCCATGCGCCGGTGCCTGGTCACAGAACTGTGGTCAGGTTCATCTGACAGTTTCGTAATGGCCATTTCGGAGATGTACCACAGCCGAGATCGATGACATCTCTCACTTTCCCGGCTTCAGACGCTGGAATAGGTGCGAGAGTAATGCGGTCGGGCAGTGTCCGCTGCCAGATACGGTGCTGCAGCTCTGTAAACGCTTGCTGTTAGATTCTGGCTGCGAACGGACTGTCGCAGTCGAGCGTGTAGTCTTCGAGCTTGAGCGGCAAGCAGACGTACGCAATCTCGTAATAGCAGGATCTCCGTCGAGCAGCCCGTATCGCTTTCTCTCCTCGCCCATGTCCGCGGTTGGAATGTTGTCATCGGCCTGAGTACATAGCGAGCTTCAGTGCCGGTTTTGTTAAGGGTTGAGTCAGAGAGAAGCGGCTCACATCAACCTCCAGCATCACTTCTTGGTTTGACATGACGGTCTTGAGTCCTTCAGAGTCCAGTTATAGGCGCCCTTCAATGCTCTGCAGTAGACTTTTCTACCAAAGATTGAAGATGAATTTGTAGTGCGAAGTAGTTGTCCTTTGTAACGCTCTCGCACGCGAAACACGAAAGCGAAGCGGAAGCAGCTGGACATTATTAGCTCGTCAGGATGTCGATCGAGCTGTTGAATGGTACCGGCTACGGACTGTTATATGTCCGGGCGCCCGATGAGGCTCGTTGGACGCATATCCAACTAACATCCACTGCCATCTCCACAATCGAGTCTGCGCCAACATTTCGACGACGACGACGGCTTCTTCATTCCCAGCTCACGTGGAGCATGTCGCTTTCATAGCTGCGCTGCTCTATCGCCAATCACTCCTTCTCCGACGCCTCCAAGACATCTCTCATCCTCTTTGTTAAACCTTGAAGACCTTTTGCAGCGCACCGTTCAGAATCTCGACATTGTAGTCGAGTACTGGTCGCATGTTGGGCCCGCTGCCCTGGCCCATCAGACAGATGAGCGAGAGATTACTATAATAGCGTTAGTTTCCTGAACAGCACAATGTCAAAGCAAGCAACACTCACTTGCTGATCTCCCTCGTGTAGATATACGTATCCCCGCTCTTGTCGAACGAAACCATGCTCTCTTCAATCGAGTTCTGATCACCCTGCTTGCCCTCATCTCGCCAGCCGTACAACTGCTTGATGTCCACGATCACATCCACGTAGTCCGAGCATACTTCGTAGTCCTTCAAGAAAGTCGGACTCGTGTCGGTGGCAATGTAGATCTTGCTGAGGGTATCGAACAGATATGCCTTCTGGATTCGGCATGTTGAGCAGAGTTTAGTCAGGAGAGTCTCCATGGACGGGAGGGCTGGAAGAAGTTTCATGATGACCTTGCTCATCGCCTCGAAGATGGAGTGGTCGAAGATACTCGTTTGGTAATAGCTGACCGGTCGATCGCCGTAGCCATAGTCAGTCAGCTCATCTTGTACCCGCTGGCGGACCTCGCGGAAGGTGTCGTATTTGTATTCCTCGCTCAGGCCGTCAGTCTTGTGGATGAAGACTTCTAGGTTAATACGTGGGTAGTTCTCGGCCAGGAAGACTGCGAGGCGGAGAAGTTCGGAGATGCTGGTGAGGTATTCGTCTTGGCTGTCGATGATCCAGATCACTGAGCCGATGTTGGTGAAAATGGAGGCGTGGTCGTAGTCCGGCGATTGAACGGGGAGGGAGGTAGGGAGTTCGGCGCTGTCGAACGTCATGAAGGATCTGGATAGGATGGTTAGCAAGGCTGTGTTGAATTCGCAAAACGGACAGTGGCCTACTGCATCGAGGCTCTCTCAATCTTAGTGGTAGCCTCGAGGTATAGTGTTTCTGCAGGTGGCAGCTTTTCGAAGACCACCTTCTGCACAGATGACTTGCCACATCTGAGAATATTAGCAACCTGGTGGTCTTGACAAGGTTAACATGATACCTCACCTTCTCAAGCCCATGAACAGCAACCTGGGATTGCCTTTTCGCCTAGGTGGAGGTCCTGACTGCTCGCCATGGGAGTATGAGGTCGCTCCGTCGACTACGGACAAGTTCTGTACATGCTGTGTCAACCAATCGTTCTGCTGCAACGAACTTCCACCGGATGCATCTGAGGTAGCTGGTGGGTTGGAGTTGAAGGCGAGGTCGAACGGATTGGTTGAAGCTTGCTCCTCCTCTTGAGGCGGTGGGCTGAGTATGTTCTCGCCGAAGAGAGTGTGCATGGCTCTCGACTCAGGGATGATTGTCGTTGCGTACGCAGCGTCTGATCGATTTCTTCAACTGGTGCAGACCAACCTCAAGCACTCCTTCCTACGCCCACCTGCCTTATCAACGCCCCAAACAAGCAGGGCAAGAGGTCTCGACGGCTTCCAGCAAGCGTAGCACGACCTCTTCAACCACGTGCAACAATGATCAAACCGTTTCAGCCATGTGCACTCGTAGCACACATCATCATCACACACAATCCTTCACAACGATCGGAATTCACTCATCCAACCCAACCATCCCACGCTACCCTTCCGAGAATAAAAGGAAATAAAAAGATTTCAACTCACCTCCATCCCCTTCGTCGTCATCGTCGCCAGTCAACTCTCATACCGCCACTCCTCAGATCCCAGTCGACGATTGTACCTTGCGTTGCCCTACAACCCGGGGAGGGCGGCCCAGCAGCACACCGCCTATCGAGATTTTCGTGGAACCGATCTCGCGCATCCAGTCAGACGATGGAACCAGTTTTGGAGGTCCTGATAAGAATGTTTCGGATGTTGGAGGCCGTAGCGAGGCGTCGCGTGCTGCGATCCGGCTGGTCGGGGATGTGAGATCGATATGTCGAGATTGCTGCCCGATGAGACAGATCAGGTTGCAGTTGAGGGCGATGCCTGTAGCGTGTTCCTGGTCGCACACCGACAAGGACTCCCGGAGTATTCGAGGAGCGGCGCTACATGTGCTCGAGGACCGACACAATTGGTATATGCAAAGTTGCATGTGCGTGCGCACTCGATTCGGAAAGAGCAATGCACGAGCTTGGCACGAAAAGCATGATCAGACTTCATCTCACTCATCACCTCTTCCGCACAAGGAGCCCAAATAACAATATATGCCTCCATTATCAACAGATGCTACCAAAGGTATCTACCCCGAACCCACCTCGCGCCGAGCTATCTACGCCGTACTCTCAAGCTTGAGAAAAGCAAATACAAAAAGTCCTCTGCTTTCCAGCACAGCCATGGCATCACTCCCGACCTGCCTTCCCCTTCTCCGATCGTGATTAGACGTCCTCGTAAGCCATGCCCTGCTATCCAGGCCCCTCGTGCGGCACAGTACATCCGCCATGCCTCCCCGAATACCACTTTTACTAGATCCAAGTGCTGTGCTCCCCCATTACCCATGTCCACTTCGTTTGCCCTCGCAAGCACTTGCTGCTTGCCTCCATCACGAAGCTCTTTTTGAGCGACGTCTCCGCTTATCTGAATCTGGCAGAGCATCTTCCCATGACCTCTCCCTGGCACACCAGCTCGGCGTTGAACTCGGAACCGTCCAGCGTCAGGTAGATGTCGAAGTACACGCGGTAGAAGGTGCCCTGCGGGGTGTCCATGCGCTCAAAGTCCTTCTCGAGGTTCTTGCGGCTGAGATCCGAGGTGAGGGTGACGATCTCCTTTATACCTGCGAGACTATCAGCATGTTCCAGCGTAAGCTCAGTAGTGCTTCAACTTACGAGGATCCTTTGTATACTCCGGGCAGACGTCCTCGTCACAAGCATACAGCACATCCTCGTACATCAGCGTCGCGCCTGGCGCCACCTGCCGGAAGAACGAAACCTTGACCGGCTCGCCAATCTTCACTCGCTGTCCTTTCTGCACGAAGATCTGTCTCGTGTACTTGCATCGGTCCTTGCCGTCCAGCGAAGGTACGCGGTATTGCTCCGGGTGGTGACCCTCCTTGAATGGCTGCAGGGTGGCCATGAGGTAGTGCCGACGGGCCACACGCGAGGTAACAACCCGCTCGGTAATACCGGCGGTGACAGCTCCCTTGACTATGGCGGCGACGGAGTCCATGGGTCGGACCACCTTGTTCTGGAACTGCGGCGGGACGTGCAGCTTGATCTGCTGGAAGAGGTATTCTGATGCGCCGAATCCACCGACCACAAGGACGTTCTGCAGGAAGTTAGTCTTGTCTCCCAAAGATGCAAACCATGATCACACTCACCTGCAGCAGCCTGTTCTGAGCCTGAATGGCAATGATCTGGTTCCTAACCAGCTCCAATATTCGGTTCACGACCGGCTCGAAGCACTGCAGAATCTCCTCGTTCGTAAAGGTCATGTAGCCCTCTTCAATACCAGCCTCCGGGAACTCCGCCTCGATACCCACATCCACAGCCCATTTCTGGCCATTGTTGCGGAAGTCTGCCTTGATCCTGTTCTCGAAATCCATGATACACTTGGCGTAAACCTTGCCAGCCGTCTTCGAGCCATCAGGAAGCTTCATCTTACGAATCTTTGCACGCAGGATGTTGGAGAAATTGCGGTTGAGCGCTGTCGAACCACAAGAATCTCCGGAGCCTGCTGTGCACTCGGCGACGGTGAAAGGTTGTTCTTCTTCGACCTCGTATGCGATCAAATCCACTGTACCACCGCCGCAATCCACGATCAATATCGCATCGTGTACTTTGAGGTTGAGGAGGCCGGTCTTGGCACAGAACATGGCGGCTGCTTCGGGCTCGGTGATAAGGGTCAGGCGGTTGTCGTTCTCGTCGCGGAGGAAGCCAGCCTGGATGGCGGCTGCTCTTGTCGCAGCCTTGCCAGCATCGTTCCAGATGGCAGGCACTGTGAGGAAGTATCGGATGTTGCGCTCTTCACGGTTGAACACCTCGCCCAGCGACTTCTGTAGCTGGTTGCGCATTGCTTGCCGAAGCTTGAAGAGATAGTCTGCGGCAACGTCGACTTCCGACTTGCCCGGTGGGAGCGGAGGAAGGTTGATCGGGTCAATGTATGTGTTGCCGCTCATCATCAGCTGCAGCTTGAACCATTCCACCTTTTGTACGCCGGGCTTTGGGTAGCCGGTGGGCGCCAGTGCTTCTGCGATGTCTGGACCCCATCCAACGACTTGCTGGTGTTGGTCGTAGTACAGAACAGTCGGGATCTGAGAAGATTAAGTCAGTAAGCTGTGCGGCTGAAGGAAGCATGTCGTCGAGTGCAAGGCGCACCTTCTGTTTGGTCTGAGTACCTGCGCCTGGCCATTCGACAATGATGTCTTCTTTCGCCTCGGTGTTGGTCGCGAACGCGAATGCCACACCTGAGAATGTTGTACCCTGCGATCACATTGTCAGCTCATCGTGCCAAGCATATCAAGGCTCGATGTCCGTACAAAGTCGATGCCCACGATAAGCTGCGCCCTGTTTCGCTGGTTGCCTTCTACTTCTGCCAGACTTCTCTGGCCATATTGCTGGCCGGGCGGGGCGGGATAGCCATAGCCTTGGTGCTGAGGTGCTTGGCCGCCATACATGGGTGGATTCGCGCCGTACATCGGATTCGTGTTTGCGGGGTGGCCTCCGTAGCCACCGCCGGTGTTGATGGGAGGAGGCATGGGAGAGGTCGGCCTGCCCTGAGCGTTAGGGTTGGGGGCGCCCAAAGCGGTATTCGCGTACTGGTATGACCTGTCGCACAAGGTTAAAACCTGTCAGCACATGCCCTGGACGATGTATCGAATGAGGGTGTCGAGAGCTCACTTACGGAGGTCGCCCAAGAGGCTGCTGGCCGCTCATGGCAAGAGTTGGTGCTGACGCGGCGGGTGCGGTCTGGTTTGTGGAGTTGGCGGGCGGGGTGTTGCTCGTCGTGTGCTGTAGGGTGGGGATAGACGAGGTCTGAGATGAGCTGCGCTCAGAGGGAGCGGAGTTGCCGTTGGTGAGCGAGGGAGGGTGCGTCGGCTGGGGAGAGGCGGCGGAGGGAGCGGGTGCGGGCGAGGCGACGGAGGTGGAGGAGTGGTTGGGCCCGTTGGAGATGTTGCTCGATTTGCGAGTAGAACCTAAGAACCGTTCCCTGAAGCGTCTCGACGACATGGACAGCGCAGATGGGTGAGCAGGAGCGAGTGGTCGGCAGAACTAACAGCCACGCTAGACCATGGTTTGCGGAGCGGAAGGCTGTACCAGCTTCGCGCAATTGCTTGGGGTCGCTGCTGAGGGCTGCGGTGCAAGGTGCAGGTGCAGCGAGGCAGGTGGTGGAGATGGATGGGCCAAGAATCCGGAAGTTCAAAGCCACTCGTCAGCTCGACTGGACTGGGCCAGGATGCACACCGGGCGATATGCACGATAGAGTGCTGTACAATTACCAGACTGCAACCTGATGGAAAAGCATACATAAACTACATGCACACCCACGCTACGGAGTACTCGACGGCGCCGACACAACTTCTCGCCCGTTTGTCCGCCCACCGCCCCCATTCACGTCGCACAGCCGACCCCATCTTCCCGCCCGCCGCCAGCAACAGGACGCCAAGCGAGAGCCCCAAATTGGACTGCCGTTGCTGACAGCCCTGCTTGCCCTGCTGGTGGATCCGAGCTGAAAGCCTTTCAGTTGACTAGCCTGGCCTGGCTGCATACTGCTATTGATTTGTGCGCCGCCAATCGCATCGCCTGAGCGATGGATTTCAATTCCAACCAACGCGGAGCTTGCCCTGCCGACCGTCAGACAAGGCGGTTCAGCGCAATGACTTCGGCTTGACACGAGCCGTTGCGCGTAACACATGTCCGTTTGCAAGCAGAAGGATGGCAGGATCGTCCTTCATTTGATCCATGAATATCTCCACGTGCTGAAAAAGCGGCCAACTCGAGCCTTTCCAATGGGTGGCGTAAGGCGCCTCGGCGTAGACCGGCAAGAAGCGCTTGGGCGCTGCAGATCAAGGACCTGAAGAGGCTGACTGTTTTGATAAAGCCCACCTCACCTTCCTCTCAGCGGGTCGAAAGGTCGCTTCTCGTCTTCGCTCTCCATCATGGCCGAAGCTGGATCACAGTCAACCTTTTCGAACGTGTCGAGAGAACACTGCTCCTGCATTCCGGCCAGCTGCTTTCTCCTCAATGCCATGCTAATGCCCGGTGAGACCGTGAGACGCGCTTAGCCGCTGGATCGCACAGATCCTCCCGCAAGGATTTCACATCCTGCCTGGACGTCCAGGCCTTCCAACATATTTCGAACAGATCTGGATAACGCAACATCTCGATGCCCGAGGCTACTCGCACCGGAAAATGAGTTCATGCCATGGAACGAGGGACAGCCGGGTTTGTAGAGACTGCCGTTTCACCCTCACGTGTTTGCCGCGAGCGCCGCCTTCTCCATATCTCTCGCCTCGCACATCATGGATGCCTGGCTTTGAGAGTTAAACTTCTGATTTTTCGGTCTGCTGATTTCCTGCTCTAGGTGTATGCCATCTTGCCAGATTCCCGCTCCTTGTCGGCGATCGTTCTGTTCGACAGCGGCTGTGACGACTCGATAGTTGTTGACTTGTCTTCTGCCTTAGTACACAAGAAATTGTGCCAGGCGCGAGTAATAACAGTGTGACTTTCGCAATGGCCAAAGAAAAGGTGTCTCCAAATACACAGCTGAGGAAGGTACGACCCACAGCGCTCCTTCCCCTGACTTCTCTCCTCTTCAACCTTGTGTTGACCTCACTTCATTGCTCACTCATGACGACTTTACCCAGTCCTTTGCAAGTGTCCTTCTACTCTACTCACGACCTCAGAGGAGACTGATTACCGACAGCTTTTGATTCAACACTACCTTATGGAATGTGCTGAGTGCTATTGGCTATTCGACGTGACACCTCCAGCTGCCAGCGAACATCATCTTCCCTATTCAGTCCTGGCACCCATCCAAAGCCACCAAAACTGCCTGCGTCGACGGAATCTGCAGGTTGACAACACCTCTCCGGGCTTGGACCCTCTCAACCTTGTGCTTGCCCGACTGCGCAAGCCTTCCATCGGTGTAATTCCAGCTCAACCCCGCCCATTGGACGCCTTCATCAGCATCGGCGCCAGCAGCCGTCAGCCTTTCGATTCCAACATGGCGGACGTGCTTGGGAACGGTAAGACGGACTCGTTGTTCCGGGCGCGCATACGAGGCGGTGCTGTTGTACTCGTCCAAGTTGATCACGGCGTACTTGGCAAGCTTGCCAGCCTGGTAGATGCCGTACGCGGAGAGGTTCCAAACCGATGTTGGGATCGGGTAGACCTGCGCTTTAGGATGGCGTCCGAGGGCATCCGCAGCGAAGATGTATCCGTACAGGGGTGGCCTTGTGTACGGCTGTCGTCCCTCGAGCGGGACTGGAACCCATTGAGTGTAACCAAAGGTGGTGCCCTGGATAAAGTTCTGACGTTGCATGTTCTAGAAACGCAAAGATTGGTCAGTCACTCAGCCTTCGACAAGAACTGCGGGATCGAAACTCACAGCAGCCATGCTAAGGAAGGTCCGATCAATCGTCCACAGTGCCGAGCCAAATACTCCAATGAACTGCGACATGTTCAAGTTGGAAGAATCTGAGTTTGTCTCGCCGAGGATGAAGGGCAGCGACGGTTTGTAGTTGTGAGAGGCCGCAATATCGTCGTCGTACAGCGACACGTTCGCTGCGATATTCGTGTGGTTCATGAAAGAGTTCTGCAATCGGACCCAAGGCTCTCCATTACTGTCGTAATGGTGCATCGACATGGACTTCAGGTGGTTGTGTTTGTCGAGACCGGAATTAAGGACGTTGTCACTGCTTGCTATCAGAACATTGAGCAGTCTGGGAACACCAACCATCATACGTACGCCGACCACTCCTGCTCCCCCGACGCAGTTGTCAAACCCTGGAAGAACCTGGTCTCCGCAAGCCCGTATGGGTTTCCCTTCAACACTTGCGAGCTACAGGCGTCCGCATATTCGTTCCACTGTCGGACGTAGTCGGCCAACGTGTAGTTCTTAGGTCGATGGCCAACAAGATAGAATATGTCCGGTTCATTCCCGATCTCAAAGGAGTCCAGTCGCCCGCCGACGGTATGCATGACGTGTCGCGCAACTTCGAGAGCATTCTCGAGCCCGCCCGGCGTGCCGTAGGTATTGCCCATGTTCATCTGCCAGGAGAAGCTGGTGTCGGGAAAGTTGCGGAAACCTTCAAAGAATGCAGGACCGATCTCGACACGGTCTGGAATGCCAATGTTCGACGTGAGAGATCCGGTATTCTCGAAGACATTGCGGGAAGCGACTTGCTGGGAAGCATTGTACCAGATTCGGTCACTGTCGAAATCAGCTTGGTGCCGAAGTAAGGACTGCAGGAATAGACCTACGTTGACGTTCCGCCAATTCGAACGAACGGTTGGGCTCCCGTCTTCGACGCAAGTAGGTCTAGAATGTCTTTCGAGAAAAGGTTTGGATACGTTGCATTGCCTTGGAAACGTCAGATTAATTCACCAGAAAAAGGGGTGCAGAACTGACCAGCGAAGTCCGTAAACCAGTGCCCCGGCCAGGAGTAGGAGGCGAAGTCTTTGGGTACGATTCCAGATGCGCCCTTGGGCACCTTGTTGGGCGAGGAGAAGCTGAAAGTCTCACTGGTAGCGATGGTGGCTTGCATGGTGAGCAAGCTCAACGCGGTCGTGCAGCGAATGCTAGGCGCCATGGCTTTACAAACTGCAACGATTCGGCTCGAGCAAGGGTTGGGTATGACAGGAATGAGAGCATCGTGTACGGAATCGTGTCTTTATGTTGTCTTGCCTTCGTCTGTGCCCCGCGCATGACGGGGTAGTATGGAGTGATGATCTTGGATGGAGAAGTGTGTCTCGGCTCTCGCACGGCTCTCGCAAATTTTCTCGGTTGGGGACACTGACAGGGTCTGGAGTACATACACAGTACATATTCGAGCGAGAACACTCTGGCTTGCCAACTCGTTAGAAGGAATACACGAATCATGCTCAGACCCACGGGCGTAGACCTGGACGATGGCGTGCGGGGTGCGCGTGTCAGTGCTGGGAAAGGCAAACGTCTCCCCTCCGGCTCTCGCACTCTGCCCCTGTCGCTTCCTCCAACACCAACTGATCGCTTCTGCCGTTAAGGCACTGGGGATGAGTGAAGCAGATGCAGCCACGGAAGATGCCGTAGCTCGCGAGAACCGCGATGATGGAGACTCGAGCACAGCGTCATGCCGGGGTGTCGTAAAAGCGACACGCAGGGCAAACAGCTCCTTGGGCTGCTTGTTATGCCGCGCCCGCAAGGTACGCCGCAGCCATATCGCCGACGGCGCGAAGCACTCGCATTATCCGTACAATAGCTCACTGAATTTCAGTAGATCCGATGCGACCTTGCACGGCCACATTGCCAGCGCTGTCAACAGTCAGCGCTTCAGTGCCCCGGCTACGCGAACGAGGAGATTTCCAGAAGGGAGATAGACAAGGTGGCAGAGCATGTCTACCGCAGTTCGAACAAGGAACGACGAAGCGTTGGCGCATGCAAAGCTTGCCGTAGCTCGAAGAGCCGCTGCAGTCGCAGTACCCCATGTACAAGATGCAATGCTCGTGGCATCGACTGTGTCTACGACGTCGATACGACTCCAGGGAGCCCAACCAGTGGTCCCGCAGGGCTTCAACTAAGGTCAGCAAGCAACACTACTAACACTCTCTGCAGAAGACAGTCACTAATACTCGATGCAGCCTTACTACCCGTTCAAGACTGGAAAGCCTTGAAAGCAGCGTGCAACAGCAGCTACTCCACTCTTATTTCGACCGCATACATCCCTTACGATGCTATTCATTTCTTCACAAGCCGTCTTTCATGCATTCATTCGACCATGGCCGACTCGAAGCGGATTACGAGAAGCCTTTGATCGATATCATTCTCGCTCTAGGCGCCTGGTAAGCTTTCCTTTACGATCAACGTGACCAGCAGGGGCGACGTCTCGTGACAAGAAGCTGATCCTATATCTAGGCAGATTAGACGCGACGAGATTCTAGCACCTTCAACGTCAACCAATGTGAACATTCCACCAGGAGCAGATCATGTTTGGGCGGAGGGTGCCCAAGCCAATATTTTCTCTTCCTTCAAAGTACCGACGAACCAACAGTTGATGGTATTTTGCATTGCTGCCGGCCGCTCCAGGAGACGTACACTAATGATTGATAGGCTCTATTGCTTTTGTGCGAGTATGCACACCGAACTGAGCATTTCTCCTGGGCTTTCGGGATGGCTGGCTGTGTCTTCCGGCACATCAGGATCTTGGGCCTGGATGTTCCGCGCGGAGACTCTTCGAGCCTGTCCCTCGTGACACCAGAAAGAGAAATCGAACACCGAATCGTTTGGGCCTCCTACAGCATTGACGTCCTGCTCGGCTCGGGGGTGGATAAGCATTCGTCCTGGGGCAATGACTTTCCTCGCATCCCATTGCCCTGCTCCAACGAGTCCGTTCTTTCTCAAGAGGCGTCGCAGCCGTTGTTCCTGGCATCGATAGAGGAGTTGGGTACCTCATCTATCGTGCCTGTTCTAGATCTACCTGCGTTGAACGTGGTGCTAATACACCTGCGCACGAGAGTCTTGCGGTTAGTCGATCTTTCTGAGGACCAAAGCACGGAATACTGACACTGCTTAGCTGTATACGTACCGCTCAGATGTACGATACCATTGAAACCCCGACCTCGCCGTTCGTCAGCCTCCTGGCACAGCTGGAGCGCTTTCGGACTCAACTCCCGTCCAAATGGGAATTGACCGAACTGAACATCTATGTGCACAAGGACCACCGCGTCTTGGGGGGCGTAGTCTTCTTGCACATGCTCTACCATGCCGCACTTTGCGACCTGACACGCATCTCCCTTCCCGGCTTCGACTTCCCTCTTGCGGATGCGGTTCGGAGGTCTCCCTCGCAAATGGTGCGGTCATGTCAGCAGCGTTGCTGTTTCCATGCGGAGGAGATCTCGAACATTATACGGCGCATTCAATTGGCAGGCGATACGGCGTTCGACGATCCATTTGTTGCTGATGCTACAATGGAGTCAACTAAGATCCAGATCATCTATTCAGCAATCATCTCACAGCACGTCAATTTTCGGGCAACGAGAAACAACATAATGCTCAACATGGATCTGCTGCACAGACTAAGACTCGATAGGTCCAAACCTAGCCCACACGTAATCTTCACTTTGTTTTGCTCTGTTGGTGAATGCAAAGGCTAACGGTTGTAGGTGCAAGCACTCTTACCAATCTGCAACGCTTTTGGCTTTCACGATATCGCCGGCGAATACGGGGCGGAGAGCATGTGAGTCTTCCTTGGATCCTTCCGATCGTCCACATGTACTAATGATTGCGCAGTGAAAGGCTTGTCGAGGTTACCGGTCCTGCCGACCTGGACCATCTGTCGAATATCTCTCATTTCCGGAGAGCACGCCACGAGGCTGCAGATGGACAGCAGATAGCGAGTGCTGCATGCGCACCTTCTTCTGCCTCGGGTACCTCTCCTGGAACACTCGATAGCAGGGTCCCGCCCGAAATAACCAATGGCGCCCGATATGCGGACAATGAACCGGCAACGGCACGAAACCTGGGCCAACCAGACACCTATACCTGGCTGCCGCACCCAGCTGCAGCTCCAGTACCAGAAATTCCACTTCACGATGGTTCAAATCTGCCACACACAACATGGTCAGCGTCGTCCTTGGAACCGGCGGCCGCGGAGGACTACACTCGAGTGGCCGAAGAAATGTCTCAATACCTGACTCGCACCGGAGCGGATCTCTCCACGTTGTGGGACTTTGACATGATGTATCAGGAGCCGTAGTGCCGACGCACGACTGTATGCAATACATAATATAATTTACTGAACGAAACGCTTCTGAAGACTGCTTTACCTGCAAGAAGGTATCGTCGCTTTGAGTCGCTCCGGTGTCATCTCTGGTCGCCCAATGTACTTGATCCACGTATAAGGATCCTCGAACTCGTCCGCAACTGTCGTGTTGGGGTCGCCTTGGACATAAGAAGGATATTCACCTGCAACGCCGACAGAGCCAACTTCCTCCTTGTACTCCTTCCACAGCGCCAGCATTTCTGCCATCCTCGCGGGATCTTTATCTGCTAGATCGTCGGTTTCGCCTGGGTCGGTCTTGATGTTGAAGAGCTCCCATTTCTGGGGCCCTTTGGGCGCCGGCACGAATGTGATCTTCCAGTCTCCGCGCCTCAGTGCTCCTGACCCAGCGATCTCGAACCCGACCACATAGTCTGAGTCGTGAATGGTCTTCTTCGACGAGACGATAGATCCATTGCAGACAGGGCGAGTGAAAAAGTCAACCCAGCTGCGACCTTTCAGTGGCGCGATCTTGCGCCCCCGATACTGCGCACCAGGATGTTTCAGCTGGGCGTATTCCAACACCGTCGGCACAATATCCATCACCGTGCAAAAAGCGTCTGTCATGTAAGCTGGATTTGAGCCGCCAGACATTTGCTTCTGGCGAGGCGGTTTCACGATCAACGGCACCCGACAGCCCCCCTCGGTGGAGTGCATTTTATACAGCCGCGAAGGTGCCGTGGCTGCCTGAGCCCTGCGAAAGCAATCAGCAAGGCTCCAGTACTACACCGCAGACAATATACTCACCATCGACAGCCGTACCACACAAATGAGTTCGCACGACCAATGTTGTCGAGGCTGTTGTCGTAGTACTTGTCAATGTGCTCAACAATGCTTTGACCCACCAGCGGCTGAGCCTCGTAGCTTGCACCTTCTGCGCCGTTGTCGCTCATGAACAATACAAAGGTATTATCATATTCACCGGTTTCTTTCAGGTAGTCTACCACCCGGCCAATGTTGTGGTCCATACGGTCGACCATGCCCGCATACACCTCCATAGCTCGAGATGAGCTTTGCCGGATCTCAGGTGGGAGGTCAGACCAGTTCTCCGGCTTGCCGTCTATAATTACTACGGGGTGGGCTTTCACATCTGGGTCGACCATGCCGAGTTCGACCAAACGAGCAAGACGTCGCTGACGTAACGCCTCAGGTCCGTCATCGTAGAGCCCGCGGTATTTGTCGCAGCTTTCTTTGGGCGCTTGCAGAGGCCAGTGGGGAGCGCTGAAAGGGAGATAGGCGAAGAATGGTTGGTCCTTCTCAGCCTCGCTTCGCTCGCTCAGATAGCTGATCATTTTATCGGCGTAGGCGTCACTGCTGTAGAAGTCCTCCGTCAACTCCTTGATGAAGTGGTCATCTTCTGCGTGGAGAGCCCTGGTGGCAGTCTCGAAGAACTTGGTCGGTTCATGGAGAGGATCCTCGTATTGAGGTTCGTAGGCTTCAAGATCGGTCATTTCAGCACAATCATAACGTGGGCAAAGAAGGGGCATGCTTACCGTAGTGATTGGCACATCCTGGAAGCAAGGCAAATGACTTCTTGAATCCACGTTGGATTGGATGGTGCTCCGGCCGCATACCCAAATGCCACTTGCCACTCATGCAGGTGAAATATCCGCCTTCGGAGAGCAACTCTGGAAGAGCGACAACACGGTCATTCAGGTAGCCTTCATGGCCGGGTTGTCCACGATGGGCCGGGGATGCTCGTGTCATCTCGTGGAGCTGACCAAGTCCTGCAATGTGATGGTCGGTTCCTATGAAGTCGGCTTGGTCAATATGCTGTATTTCAAGGGTAGACGGGGTAGAACTATACCAGTCATCAACATCGAACGGGTAGGAGAGCACGCCGCCGCAACATGGTAGTTGGTAAATCGAGCCGCGTCCGATTCCTTCGCAAGCCTGTCCACGTTCGGAGTCTGGATCTCTGAGCCAAAGCAACCGCAGTCACTGAATCCCAGATCGTCGGCCACGATGACGAGGAAATTAGGCCTTTTGCTAGACATGTTGGCGGTGGAGATTGTTTGTCGATTCTCCCTGCAAGCCAAATGACTGGAGTTGGACTTCTATTACAGACAGAGTATCCAGAACCTCGGACGATGCGGTTTGCTCATCGAAAGCCGAGAATACCTACTGGAGAGAATCTTGAGAGTGAATAAATCATGACTCGGTCTGGCACATCAACTAGAGATCCACCAGTAAGCGGATGGAGACGGAGAGCCGCGTGGTAGTGCCCCCTCGGAAGCACTGGTGTTGTTGAACACTGCCGTGCAATAGCAGACATGGAACCAGATCAGGAGTGGAGGTGAGGGTGCGGGAACCAGATCTTCTGCGAGAGCCGCCGCGAGAGCCGACAACAGCAATGCGCAAGCCGCTGTCGCCACGAGGATGCTGCAGTCCGGACTTCACGGACCACTCTCTTTCTCGCGGCCAGATATCGACATGCATTGCTCCAAGAGTCCCCGCAATAGGCCATATGGTGTACCGCGGAGTGTATATTATGCACGGCTCGTCTGCTCATCTTGATACATGCACCCTTGCTCACCTCCCCCAGAATCACCATCTCGTGTCTCCCACGTACCCAAGCAAGAATGGCGCCCCCAAACACGACCAAAGACAAACAGGACCAGATATCCTTCCTTGAGCGCTTCCAATACTTCAATGGCATTCTAGTCTTCATCATGGTGTACGTGGACAGATACGTTTGCTTGAAGGACTTGTTACTGACCTGCTTACAAGCTACATGGCCTTCTGCGCCTTCAATTTCGGTTTCGATGTCGGAACGTTTAGCGGCGTACAGGCTATGGCGCCATTCGTGCAGAAGTTCGGTCACTACGATGCACAGAGCGACGAGTATGTGCTGGCTGGCTGGTTGCGCTCCATCATGACGGCGACACCATTCATTGGCAAGGCCTTGGTACGAAGCATTGTCCCTGGGATCCGCAGCGTTCGTCAAAAAGACTGACTGATTAGGGTGCCATATCCTGCGGCATGATTGCAGAACGCTGGGGTCGTCGCGCTGCCATCTTGGGTCTCTGCATTGTCTCGTTCATGTACGTCCATGGCCTTTGAGATACACGGATCGAGATGCTGACGAAAAACACAGTGGTGTAGCGTTGCAAACCTCAGCGGTCGAGTCCGCGCAGTTTACTATTGGACGCATCATTACCTACGCTATGACGGGTAAGTAGCACGGCAGCTGAGTTGTACTGCATTATCGCTCTGCTCGTTTTAACACCAACGCTGACTTCGGGTTCAATGGTCACAGGCATGGCCGTCGTTGTCGTCCCAATCTACCAGTCTGAAGTCGCTCCCCCTCAGCTGCGCGGAATGTTCGCCTCCACGATTCAAGGCATGATCGTTCTCGGGCAAGTCATTGCGGCTGTCATCTCATACGGCACCCAGCGCCTCTCGACCGATGCAGCTTGGCAGATTCCGATCGGCCTCCAGCTCGTGATGCCCGGTCTGATCTTTGTGCTGCTGCCGATCTTGCCGGAATCTCCCCGATGGTTGTTGAGCCAGGATCGATATGATGACGCTGCCAAAAACATGCGAAAGCTGAGAAAGAAGGCGACGGAAGAGGAAGTCAGCTTCGAACTCGAGAGCCTCCGACATGTCGATGCCAATTCCCACAAGGGCAGCTGGGCAGAAGTGTTCGACAGTAAGAATAGGGTAAGTCGGATACACTGGCGGTGGTTGTGCATGTCCTATCGCTGACTGATTCTCCAGCTCCGTACCGGTATTGCAGTGTTCGCAATGTTTGGGCAACAGGTAAGCCCAGCCCAATGCACATCTATTTTGTCGGCGGCATAGGCTGACATACATTAGATCACGGGCCAAGCATTCCCCTCGCAGTATGGCGTTGTTTTCTACCAGTCGCAGGGCTACGCGAGCGAATCCTTCCTTTTCAACATCGTGCAGAACATCGTCTCACTGGTGGCCGTCCTACTGGCCTTGCTCGTTGTCGACAGCATGGGACGTCGAACGATGCTCCTCTGCGGTGGCTCGCTAATGGGCGTCTTCATGCTCATCCTCGGTGGCTTGGGCACCAACCCCAACACACTCTCGCAATCCGGGAAAGATACAATGGTGGCGTCATTGATGTTGTTCCAATTCTTCTTCAACATTTCGTGGGCGCCAGTGTAAGTTGATAATTGTGAGCATGAAACACTTCATCACACTGACACCGTTGGTCCCTGCAGAGCCTACGTCGTTGTATCCGAAGCGGCTGCCTCGCGAGTCAAGGAGAAGACCAACCTTTTGGCCATCGTCGTGTCCGTGCTCACCACGTTCGTCACCTCCTTCACGGTGCCATACCTGATCAACGAAGAGTATGCCAACCTCGGCGGCAAGCTGGGCTACATCTACGGCGGCATCAACGTCCTGATGGTCATTGGAGTCTTCTTTATCATTCCGGAGTTGAAGAACCGGAGTCTGGAAGAGGTCGATCAGCTCTTCGCCAGTGGAGCTCCGTTGAGGACGTTTTCCAAGATCACTACTCAGAACGCGGAGCAGCTGTATGAGAAAGATGCTTTGTCTAAACCGCATGGCGTTGTTGAGCTTAGGGAGGACTCGGATGGGACGGGAAAGAACTAGTCGACTGTTTGCAAAACGGTTGTGGGAAGATGAGCGGTTCTTCATTAAGAATACGACTGAAGTCAACATGGAGGTCGTCTTGCTCAAATTGCCAAGCTTGCATCACACTTGCTCTTGTGCGTTCATTCTTTGAGTCTTGCAATCATCCCTCGAACCTGGTTCAATCCCCATCATTCGTCTAGCCTGGCGACTTTGAAAGCAAAGACTTGCTGTCTGCACAATGCCGTGTTACGGCACTTCAAGAGGCACATTCCGGCAATTCATCAAGGACTGAGAGGAGCCTCCCGTGGGCTATCGCACCGGTCTGCATAGGCTGTTTGACCCAGTATCGTTAGCCTATCCTCTTTATTACGCTCAAGCCTCGGCGACAACCACCGCAGGTAACAGGTTGACGTCGAACTCTGTTTGCACTGGAAACAAGAAATGCCAATGTCTCCGTGGCTGTACGGCGACACGATGTTTGGCTGGTTAAAAGGCGTAATAGAAGCAAGAAAACGAGCCACTGAGTTTCTCCGTCTTGTCATGGACTAACACTGCCTTGGCCTGCATCACAACCCCGATCTCCCCTCAATCTCTTACCCTAAACGGACTGCGATTTATCCTCGAATGCCATGAGAGCTCGTGGAGCCCAGATCGGCGTGATGTATAAGGTGGCTGTAGCTCGTTCGACCGCGATGGAGACTGGATCTGTAGATTGCCAGTGCACGCTCTTTGCGCCGCCGAAATCGACATGGTCGCCATTAAATATGCCTTCGCAGCAGCAGCTTGCGTAGCTTCTACCGCTGCCATTGAGGTCTCTGTCAGCTCTTCTGGAGGCAATGCAACCGGCTATGGACAGACTAGGTATGTTGTCGAATCTTACTGGTATCGAGGCTTTCTCTGACGGCACTCCTCGATAGGTACGGCTTCTTGCACGAAGACATCAACAACTCTGGTGATGGTGGCATCTATGCCGAACTCGTGAGGAACCGAGCATTCCAATATTCCAGGAAGTATCCAGTCAGCACGGATGGCTACTACAGCATCAATGGCGCAAAGCTCAGCATCCAAATGCTTGACGAGCCGCTCTCCGAGGCGTTGCCGGCTTCCATGCGTGTCAAGGCTCCTAAAGGCGGAGGTGTTGTTGGCTTCGAGAACGAGGGCTACTGGGGCATGGATGTCAAGCAGCAGCCGTACTCCGGAACTTTCTGGGTCAAGGGCGAATATCACGGCCACTTTACCGCCTCGCTGCAGTCGAACCTGACGGACGCTGTCTTCGGGTCTACGAAGGTTAAGTCCAAGTGCAAGACCGGCGACGAGTGGGTTGAGCACACCTACGAGCTGGTGCCAACGAAGGATGCCCCGAATAGTAACAACACCCTGGCCATCACATTTGATGCTGCTGTGAGTGCCGATTTGGCTTCACCCAATTTGGTTGGATTTATGCTGATGTTATGCAGGGTGCTCCTTCTGGCCACCTTGACTTCAACTTTATCTCACTCTTCCCGCCAACTTTTAAAGACCGCAAGAACGGTCTGCGTGTGGATGTGGCCGAGACGCTGTATGGATGGAGTTCCGTCATTCGCTTCCCGGGTGGCAATATGCTTGAGGGCAACACCAACCGATCCTATTGGAATTGGAAAGACTCGATTGGGCCACTCATTGAGCGACCTGGATTCGCTGGCGTCTGGGGCTATCAGCAGACTCATGGACTGGGTTTGCTCGAGTATCTCGAGTGGGCAGAAGACTTTGAGGTGGAGTTTGGTACGTTGTCGAATGTCCTCTCACTCAGAGAAGACATGACGCCGTTTCAATGCTAACAGGTTATCTCATTATAGTACTTGCGGTATACGCCGGCCTGTCACTCAACGGAGACATCACCCCTGAGGACAAATTGCAGCGATTCATCGATGAAGCTCTGGAAGAGATCGAATTCGTCCGCGGTCCTGCCGACTCTACCTGGGGCTCCCGCCGTGCTGAGCTGGGACACCCAGAGCCTTTCACCCTCGAGTATGTCGAAGTGGGCAACGAAGACTGGCTCGCCGGCGGGGATAAGGGGTGGAATGCTTACTTCAGATACCGCTTCCCGCTGTTCCAGCAAGCAATCAATGAGGTGTACCCAGACATCGAGATCTTGTACTCCGGTTCGGCGTACGATACCAGCAGCCCAGGCAACTATCACCCACCGCAGAACCCTGCCATTGGCGACTATCATCCGTATCGTGAACCTGACGATTTAGTTGATGAGTTCGACCTCTTTGACAATCAGACCGTGAGACATATCGTCGGAGAGGTGGCAGCCACCTTCGTGAACAACGGCACAGGTTTCGACGGAGACCTCCACCCCTTCCCATGGTGGATCGGCACTGTTGGCGAAGCCGTCAGCATGATCGGTTACGAGCGCAACGCTGACCGTGTACTCGGGACGTTCTATGCACCTGTTCTCCGCAACATGAATCGCTGGCAGTGGTCTATCACCTTGGTCCAGTTCGCAGCCGACCCAGCTCTTACTACGAGAAGCACCAGCTGGTATGTCTGGGACCTATTCGCTCTTCATCCGATCACGCATGTCTTGCCTGTTGAAAGCCCAGCGGGCTACGGCCCTCTCTACTACGGAGCGGGTACAGACGAGGAACGAGACGGAGCAATGGTCTGGAAGGGCGCAGTCTACAACTCCACCAACAAAGCCGACGTCCCCATCTCCGTGGCATTTGACGGCGTCAAAGCTGGTACGAAGGCTGTTTTGGACATGCGCACGCAAGCTGAGGGTAATCCCTGGGCTTACAACGACCCCTTTACTGGAGTCAACGTGGTATCAACCACCACCGAGGTCATCACGGCGAATGCGGACGGTGTGTTCGAGTTCAGCATGCCGAATTTAAGCGTTGCTGTGCTTGATACTGATGTGTCGTCTGCTGGCTCGTCGTCGCCTTCTGGTGGTAAGAAGCACGGCGGGCCGGGTCATAAGGGGCATGGTCGTCCAGGCAAGCCGCCAGGGTTCAGGCCAAAGTTGTAAAGCTGCTGTTGAGACAGGATACTAGGCATTGCTGAATAAAATGATCTCTGTGCTTCTGCTCACCTTCTCTTACTCAACCCTCAAACAGCTGTTGGGTAGCTCTTGAGACAAGGTTTGTTCATAACAACATTGATGGAGACCGGCACCTTGATGGGAATTACCTCATTGCCACAACTAAACATTGAAGCAGTCAAGGACCGAGACATCTAGGACCACTGCGATAACAGCGTACTGATTCCAGAGCACAACATGGGTACCGCTTCCTTCAGTCTCGATGGAAGCCTCTTTCCCTTATATGCCAGCTACAAGGAAGCCACCAACTATGTCATCAAATGGCTCACGAAGAATACTGGCGCTGGGATCTCCAGGGCATGCCTTCACTCCGTCAAGGAAATGAGGTACTTGACAGACTGCATTCTCTCGTGCGGCGTGGACATCCCGGAAGAGCTTTTGAAGAAGTTCCGACAAGCAATCAATGCTCGCCGACGCTTGACGACCTTCTACAAGTCCAGTCCTAACACTGCTGACTGTGAGTCCACGGACCACCATGTCTACTTTAATGAGACCTTCCAAGGGATCTACCAAGACATCTACCAGGCCCATAAGCAATGCAACTGCCGCCTGTCGCACGCTCGGAGCAAGTCTCAAGAACTCTTTTTGCCCTTCTTGAACTCATTCGACTGCCTCAAGATCAATGACGGCGATAATGGCACGCGGAAAGTCACGACCAGCAGCTGCGAAGACTGCAACAAGGGGCCGTCAGTACCTTCCGACGTTGATCCAGAGGGAGAGAACAAGCTACGAACTCAGGGGCCAGCCATAGCAGACGACGCTTTGGAAGAGTGGGCGAGTCTTCATTCGCTCCTCATTGTAAGTCAGCGCGACTACTGATTCTTGGAATTGACTGACAGCACGTTTAGCAACTGGAGCATCTAATGACCACAATCAAACGGTCTTACCGCCAGGCTGCCGATGGCTCCATCCCGCTTGCGGTAGCTGCAATGTCCAGTTGCTGTGCGTATGAGTGTAGCAGCTCGCTCACCTGTGCCCTTGAAAGTTACCAAATCCGCAATCCTTCCCAGTTGAAGAAGCGATACGAAGCCCTGGCGCGGGACTTTCATGCAACTTCTGTGCCAGATCGAGCTCCGACGAGCGGCAAAGCTACCTTGGATGGACTGCACCTCGTCTGGGAAGAGTTGCTGGCGTTCAGAGGTGGCTTGAGTTCTCGTCACGATCTCGATTATCGTGTCAAATGCCGCCAATGTCAATGCGCCTCCTGTTCGTTCCCGACTGAGGACGTTACGGACTTCCTCGCAACGGATCCGGCGACGGTATCCAGATCCGAAGATCTCGAAGCCAGTGAGCGACGTGTACTGAGATCCGTCTTACGTGGAGCGTATCAAGATATCCAGATGCGAAAGGAAAGCCAGCATCAGCAGACACCATGCTTTCCCGTCTGGCGTGACCTGGAGCTCTTTCTGGAGGGCGACAACGAGAAAGAGGAAGCTCCACTCAACCATATCAATCTCTGCTTCGGACTGTATCTCTTTATTGAGTCCTACAAGACTTTTCAGAGCCTTGATGCAATTGACAGCGACGCAACGACTATCGAGCGACCACAAAAGCCCGCACAGAAGCGTATCGCTCGCCTACATGCACTGAAGCTGTCACTCAACCTCCTGATCACGGTCAAGTCAACCCTCCACAACAGAGACGTCCCGTGCTCCTGCTTCAGAGCCAACGGTACCACAGTCTTAGCCAGCATTGTAGACTGGCACAACAGCCTCAACCACTTCACCAGGATCAACCGCTTCGATCTGCTCTACCAAGCTCCATGGATGTCCGGCTTCCACGCAATGACGAATCTTGCTCAGACTGCCACGTGCGGCTCGAACCTCTGGCATTACGGATACTACGTCGGCACAACTCTGCACGTCTACAACGCGCTGGTTCAAGCAAGACTGCTGGACGCTTCCCAGCTCCCTGTTCTGGAAGCTGTGTGCGACACATACAAGGACGTTCTTTTCCTGGGCAAGCGATCTACGCACAATGTATTCAGCTGCTGGAAGCGATGGGGAGGCGCCAAGGTCCTGCGGTCCTCACATCACAGCAGATCTGGATCAGGCAAGGGGGACAAGAGGTGGGATCTCTGTTCCGTGCACGATTCGAGCCATGGTAGCACGAACTGGAGACGCAGCTACTGTCCAACGAAAGTCTCGGTCTTCGCTGCTGTGGTGCAAGGGCAGTACAAGCTCGATGAGGACGTGATGCAACGGATCGCTGCGACTGAGAGGCGTGATAGCGCTATATCAGCGCACGTCCAAGCAGAGGGAGTAGAAGGAGCGGACGAACACCGCCTCCAAGCAACCAAGGTCGAAAGAATGCAAGCCGCTGTCCTCTCAGAGTTCAACGACCCTACGATGCCCGTTACGCGGATCAACCACTTCGCCTTCTACCACGCATGCATGCGCTTTATGCGGAAGTTCAGCGATGCGAACCACGAGCAGCCTCTTAGCTACATCTGCAAGTGCGCAGCAGAAGGCTGTTTGGAGGCGTGTGATATGTACTTGAAGCGATGCTTGCTGTCCAGCAGCAGCGTGAGGCCGGAGCTTATTGATTGTAAGATTGCAGACAGTGCTACAGAACACCTTCTTGGAGAGTTCTCGGGCAAAGTCTTGGAGGCGTTTCTTTGGGATGGTTCACTTCCAAGTCGCTGAGTTGGAGGGAGTATGGTTGTGGTTGTTAAGACCCGTAGGCCTGAGGAACGTTCGTTCGATTGCACAGCTACGTAGAAAGTTCTTGAGCTGAAAAGTAATAATGTCCACCTCTTGTCACATCCACTTTCCTCCTCGACGATGAAGCGATCGCTTGGCCGTCAGGTCCTCCACAACACACGCTGGCCGGTTCCCATGTCGTCGGTCGCCCTACAGCTCTCGTGGCCATTATTCAGCGGGCGCGAGCTCGGCGCTGTCAAGGACACTCACCTGCTGTACCCTCACGTTAGTGTGTAGCCACTGAGCACCTGCAACTTCTTCTTGCTTTTTTTGCTTTTCGTTTTTTGAGTAGACCGTGCGACAAGTAGAGCCTCATTTGGCCTTTCAATCGTTGGCCGCGTAGCATAGCGACTGATCAAAGGCGAAGCTTCCTCCGCGCTCCGAATGTCTCATTCTGCAAGGATTAAGGTCCAAATGCTGGAGGTCGTGGAGCAGATCGTCTGATCGTGGTCTGCCGACAGCATCATGGAGCTCAGCCACCCGTATTATTCATGCCGGTCACTCCGTTAGGTCTCGCGGCTGAGCTTGGCCCGTTGGCCGACTGACGGCGCTTAGCTGGATCATGGTTATCCTGTCACGCATCGGTTAGCATGTCAATTCACCTTGGACGGGAGAGACGTTTAGGATTGTGTGAGCGATGCTCATATCTGCTGTCACATACGTCCAAGCCCGTGCTGGAGAAGCTGCGCTTGTTAGCCGCCGCGTCTTCAGGCTTCGGAGCCGCCTTCGCCTTTTTAACGCGTGTCGGCCGCGTTTCGCCGTCTACGAAGACGTCGGCTGGGAGATCGTAGCTGTCGCGTATTAGTGTGGACCTTAAATGGAATTGCGGGTTGGGTGATTGCTTACTTGCGCATGTGCTTGACACGAATCGAATGCAGTTCGGGGTTGTAGTTTGGCCAGTCCATGCAAGTACGCCTGAAATCCTGAATTGGATTTGAGATGTCCAGAGAGGCCGCACCTAATATTTCAGTCAGCGAATTCCCATAGATGGACCCCTAGAGTACTCACCTTTCGTCAACCCAATGCCCATGTAAAATGTAGTGGTCCAGATCATTCGAGTCCCGTTCGTCTCCGCTGGTGCTGCGCCGTTAGTTTCAGGGACGTGCTGACCATCTGCTTCCGTCTGCGCTGCGGACTGAACCACGATATCGTTGGCCTGCTCGGTGGTCTCCGTCTTGATCTCCTTGACTTGGCAGTCCAGACTTCCTTCGAGCGTCTTGTTCATCTCTTCGTCGTTCTTGCATTCGTGAACACGGAGGAAGCCTTTGTTGAAAGGCTGCACAAGCTCAACGCTCTTAGCATCCGACACCTCAATACCAGCGATGAGCCACTTGACCTTCGACTCAACAAGGCCAGACCAGGCTTGTTGCGCTTCCTTCGTCTTGCCCGCGGTGATGACGCAGATGTAGTGCTTGTAGGCATCAGTAAAGAAGTTGTGGCGCTGGAAAAGATCCTTCCATGGGCGATTGTTGTCGTAGATGCTTCTCACAATGGTTTCGGCACGCTCCATCTCTCGCATGAGAACCTTTCTGGTAGATGGGCCGATGGTATGGCAAGCGTTCATGCGAGGGTAAGCTGGGGTGATGACCGGCATGAGATGTCGCTTGTCGCCCGGGTAAACTGCAGGATCCCATTCACGGAGCGTCAGAGGCGCATCCTCATGGTTCTGAAGCAGGACCGGATTGGGCCAGTTCCACTTTCGCATCAAGAAGAAGAACTTGAGGATGATGTTGGGAGCCGCTGCTCTTGGGTAGAGCTGGCAGATGCGAGCAACCATCATGGCATATGCGACACCCCCGGGATAGCCGACGATGTTGCCGTAAAGCGCACGCTGCTTGGCCCACAGCTTCACGGCACGCAGTGCCATCCGGAACACTTTCGTCTGAGGAACCAGGTCCAGGATCCGGCGGGTCACTCGTGTACCGTTCACACACCGCAGATCTGTCTCATTAAGACCACGAAGCAGGTTGAGATCGTTGAGCTCCTGATTCTTAGGCACGGAGGAGAGCTGCAAGCTGCAGAAGATCAGATCCACCGAGACACCGCAAAGGTCCAGCTTAATGATTGGCACACTGATCCCTGGAACTGGTGTGAGCTCGGTCATCTCCTCTGGCTTGAACTCCTTCTTGAGCAGGCCTGGAATGTGCTCAAAGAAGTGGTCTCTGTTGACGTGTTTTGGAGCGAGCATGAGCGTGTCAATATCGGACTTTGGGCCGTATACACCCAGCTCGAAGCTGCCGAAGGTGAAGATCTTCCCGCCGGCTTCGCTGAGGATGCCCTGAGGTAGTCCCCTCTGCTTGCCGACCAGCACAACGAGCCGCTTCAGTACTTTCTCTAGTCTTTCCAGCACGGTCCGTCTGCAATACGTCAGCATCACTGACCTCGCAGCATGTGCAAACCCCACCTACCTTCTCTGCGTCTCCTCTTGCGCCTCAAACTCATTCCGCGACTTCAACTCTTGCAGCAGCGCATCGTCGAGCTTGAGATCTTTGGGTGTCGGCGGATCGTTGGACATGGTGGGCGTCACGCCCAATCTCGGATCGCTCGCCATCGTTAGGTATTGCTGCTTCCTTACCGTGAGTGCGCTCACAGTCGGCTCTTCACTGTCAATGCTCGTCTCGGCCAGGCGGCAGCGTTGGAAGGGTGAGAAGGCGGACTTTGCGTCCTGACATGTGTTAGTAACCTAGGGCTATCTATATGTCAGAACACGATGCGACGGCGGTTTGGGAGCCATCGTGGTGGTGGTGGGAGTTGTTCGGAGAGCTGCTGTGAGCCGTTGATTCTCAAGATGTTAGCGTGTGGGACGGGCCGATCACCGACCTCTAGTTCGGAAGTCTTGCCGAGCGAGTATGCGATTGACATGTGAAAGAGTTCAAGATGTGCCTACAGTGTGGAGAGCATTCGTCGTTGGGTCATGAGATAAAGAACACAGCACGGCATCCGTCACTTGGTCTGAAGCTGTATTCAATTCCAGTGCAGACAGGCCCTGGCGAGAGGGTCGCGACGGCCAAGCGTCGATTAAATAGTCACAACGTCGTGAATATCGTCACCGGCCAGACTCAATCTGCCGCCGCCGTTCCTCCCTCACATCAAACCCAGACATCTGTGCCCGACCAGGTGCTCGCATGGAAGCAGGTACAGGATCACGCCAGACTCCATCCCACGGCTGCATAGTCTGTGTCTGCCATGAAAACTTCCTCGAAATACCGCTTCGTGGGTAACCGGACGACCCGGAGCCGGAGCCTGAGGTCTGTGTTCCTGCTTCGTAGTAACCTGAGACGGGTGTCCTGTCGTCTTGGTCTTGATCCTGGCCCTGCCAGTCGATTCGGAATGTGCTCTGAGAAAGATCTGGTGTCGTGCTTGGAGTCTCCCGGTTCAGAAGCATGAGCATTTGCTGTCGCTGCATCTCCTCCTCGCTGATGGCCTCCGAGGTATGGCCTCCAGGCTGGGGCGAGTGACTCGGCGATCTCGTTGATGTCGGCCACATGTTCTGGACGTAGTTGTCGTAAAACGCTGTATCCTGATATCGAGGCACCAAGGTCTCCGTACTCCTGCTGTCTTCAGGCTGGACAGGGAGCGAGCTAGGTACCATGCTCCGTCGCGGTCTCACGCGTCCTGTCCTGTGGGATTTGTAGAACACCAGCCCGCTGTATGCCAGAATACCAATGACTGCAACGGCTGTGGACAGATATGCTGGGATATTCCAGTAGTAGCGCTTGTTGATAAACAAGCTGTATAGTACGGTCAACAGACCAACCGCACACGATACGAGGCTTTGTAGGTAGACCGTGTTGGCATGGAACTCGGCATCGCGGACAGCGAAGGTCAACAGTCCGGTGAAGGCGAACCCGCCAGCTAGTATGGCGACCGCAAAGATTCCAATGACCTGCTTCGACACTCGAAGCTCGTCGTCGTGTATGAACGTTGCCGGGAGCATGAGGAAGCTTGAGTACCAGTTAGCAACGCGCACCGTTCTTTGATAATAGCACACTACCTACCCTCCCAGTATCATGGTCGTGGCCACAACGGCCAACAACCGCCAGTACCAGGCGACGTCATCCCGACTTGTGCTCAAATCATCGATTGTGGCCCTATAGTTGTGCGCCCGCGGCCTTCTAGGCAGGCGCATGCGCCTTATGGCATCCAGTCTCGCGGGTGGTGACCGCAATGCCTCCTCTTACGTCCTCTGTTCCAATGAATGTTTGTTACTGAAGCAGGCACCTCTTGCAAATGAACAAGTTACTTTCGCTTTTTCGTTCAGCCGGTCGTACAGATGGTCGTTCCTTGAATCGTTCGCGGCGTGCTCGTAGGGGTTCTTGGTGTCGTTGCGCGAGTCTCGATGGTCTGGCGAAAGGCGCGCTTTACTGTAGACAAAAGTACAACAGTATGTATCAGTATCACTGCAGTGTAAAATACAGGAGCAAGGCTCAATGAAGAACGAGTGGCAGTACGGTGGTCGACACCCTGGCAAGACGAGATGGCACAGTTCGCGCTAGGCGAAGACTCTCAGCTCCAACCATGGGACGCGCGCTGAAGGATGACGACGGTGCATTACATAGATGCTGGACAGTACTCGAGCGCACGTCATAATGGAGTTAAGCTCACGGAACAGGTACAGGTGCAAGCATTGATAGTTGGTGCATTCCTCCGAAAAGATGTGAAGTTGCACTCGGATTTGAAGGCTGAGCTGCGCTGACTGGAACACAGCCACAAGGCAAACTCCAATGCGCCGTTAGGTCTAGGGCTGATGTGGGAACACGAGTGGGTGGACTAGGCCAGCCAGCGTGGCATTCAAAGACACTACATCTCCAGCATGTCCCATCAATATTGGCTTACTACTTCCAAAAAGTGTCCGTCCAGACAATCAGAACTCCGCTACAGCCATCAACGTCAGCAAAGACCACATCTTCTTCAAAATCGACAGTCATACCTTCATGCTTCACTCCTTCCCACAGCTCATTCAGCTGCTGGACCACTCCCTCTTCCAGCGGGCCCTTCTTGATCTGAGCCAGGTTGTTCTCCAGCTGCTGGATCCTGCTCGCCCCAAGAATGACCCCATCCTTGTCACTCAGAGCAGAATGATACACAATCCACCGGAGCGCCAGCTCATCCATCCCCACTCCTGCCTCCGCTGCCATCTGCCGCAAGCGCTTGACGGCTTCATGCATGCTCGGTCTATCGTACCAGCCGCGGAAGTTGGCTGCTTGAGCAAAGCGCGAACCAGCCTGGACACCATCCGCGGTGAAATTAGCAAGCAGAAAGCCTCCTGCGAGCGGGCTGAAGGCGTTGAAGATCATGTCGTGCTTGCGAAGCAGTGGGAAGAGAGTCTCTTCGTAGCCGCGGCAGAGTAGGTTGTACTGTCCCTGGAAGACAGAGGGCTTGACGTAGCCTTCTTGCTCGGAAATGGAGAGCCATTCTTCGATCATTGAGGGTGGGAAGTTGGATACGCCGAGCTAAGGGACGTTCAGCGTCGCAGTTGTTCAAGCAGATAGGAAGACGTACGTGTGTGAAGGCTCCCTTGCGATAGTGCTCGTCGAACGCCTTGGCTTGCAAAGCGATAGGCGTGACATAGTCCGGCGCATGGCAGTAGAGGATATTAACGCTCTCTACACCAAGCCCTCGTAGACTACTGGCTAGGCTCTTCTCGATGGCTTTCGGGGCCAGCGAACCTTCTCCGTTGGCTCCAGGATCGATCTTCGTGTCGATATTGAAGTCTTTCGGCAAGTTCGCACTGCCGATCTTCCGTTCGGATTCGCCATTCTTGTAACGGGCAGCTGTGTCGAGCTGGTTGATTCTAGCGTCCTTGAGTGTCGCCTTGAGGTTTCCAGGGTCCAGGTCGTTGATGTTGCCACAGATGAGCCGGGCGGGCATGGTTGTAGTGAGCGGTGGGCCAGGCTCGGAGGAGGGAAAAGGGATATGGAATTGGTAGTGATCTCAGAACATAGAAGCCGAATGTCGGAAGTAGTGCTTACCGTATGCACGAGTGGTTATAGTTATGTCAAGTCTCCTAGTAGCCACCGTTTATATACCTACATGTACCTGAAACTTCTTGGACTGGAGGTTGTGAATGCAATAGTTAGTAAGATAGGAGGCTGGAGTTATGCATGCACAACAGCTGGCTGAACATTCGTCATACAAATAGATCAGTGTACAGCATGGCATTGTTGCTATCTCCTCATGGCAACGTGCTACATCAAATACTTGATATTGATGGTAGATGTGGTGAAGGTGTTGTTGTCCGGAAGGAAGGTGCTGACTCAAGTCTATGACGGCGCGGGCCAGTCTAGGCCGAGGGACTTCCCTTGCAGACACCACCTCGTTCTAGCTAACCAACAAACTAATTCTTTCTCATGCTATCCTCCGAGTTGACGACGGTGATGAAGACACTCTCCAATAGCTGCGGCTGAAGTTGTCGTCAATCCAGGACAGGAACTTAAAAACCATCACCGACAAGCGACTACCTTACACGATACCACTCAGCATCATGGACGCCTCTATCGAGCGCGAAATCGCCAAAACCTCCCCCTCCACCCCTTTCCGCGCCACCCCCAATTACATCCACAAAACCTGGGCCAAAACCTTCCAGTCCCGGCCCGAACTTTACATCCGCCCGCAGTCCCTCGACGAGATCCAGAAAGTCGTCACGCTCGCCCGCCGATGCCGTCGCCGCATCGTCGTCGTGGGATGCGGGCACTCGCCGAGTGATCTGACGTGTACATCGTCTTGGATGGTGAACCTGGACGATTACAGTGGTGTGTTGAAAGTGGATGCGCAGAAGAAGACCCTGACTGTCGCGGCGGGGATACGGATATGGCAGCTCAATGAAGAGGCGGCGAAGTATGGGTTGACAGTGCCGAATCTGGGGAGCATTGACGCGCAGAGCATTGTTGGCGCGATCGCGACGGCGACGCATGGGAGTTCGCTAAGACATGGTATTTTGTCGGAGAATGTGCGGGCGCTGAGGATTGTGCTTGCGAACGGGCAGGCGGTGAGGTGTTCGGCGGAGCAGAATCCGGATTTGTTTCGGGCGGCGTTGATATCGTTGGGTGCGTTGGGGATTATCACGGAGGTGGAGTTTCAGATGGTGGAGTCGTGTAATGTTGAGTGGGAGCAGAAGTTGGTTGGGCTGGATGAGATATTGACGCGGTGGCAGACGGATCTGTGGACGCAGAAGGAGTTTACGCGGGTCTGGTGGATGCCGTACATGAAGCGCGCGATCATTTGGTCGGCCGACAAGACGACTAAAGAGCGACGAGCGCCGGAAGAGACGTGGTATGGCGGGTCGGTGGGGTTCCATACCTACCACAACCTCCTCTGGCTGTCGAACTATATCCCTTGGATCCTGCCGGCTGTAGAGTGGTTCGTCTTCGGCATGCAATACGGCTTCAGCACCGGCAACGCCACCACAGCCGTCGAAGAGATCCGCGACGGCCTCCTGATGAACTGCCTCTACTCGCAATTCGTCAACGAGTGGGCCATCCCGCTCAGCAAAGGACCCGAAGCCATCTCCCGCCTCTCCGCCTGGATCAACGGCGAAGCCGGCAGCGACATCCCCTTCAGCTCCAAAGGCCTGTGGGTGCACTGTCCCATCGAAGTCCGGGTGAGCGACAGCACCTACCGCGCCTCTCCCCGTCCGTTCCTCGACAACACCTGCGCTGATGGTCCAACCTTATACCTTAACGCCACGCTCTACCGCCCTTACCTTCAGGACCCGCCGTGCCGAGACCGGTACTACGAAGCTTTCGAGTATCTCATGCGTGAATTGGGCGGGAAACCGCACTACGCGAAGAACTTCTCCTACACCAACGCCGAATACCTCCAGCAGGCCTTTGGATCGGATCTGGAGAAATGGAAGGGCATCCGCAACGAAGCCGACCCGGAAGGCATGTTCCTGGGCGAATGGCACCATCGCGCGCTCGGCCTAGGCGAAAGATCCGAGTTCTCGCACCAAGAGCGCGAGGTCTCCCGCTCGAAAGCCCCGAACGGAGGACAAGTCTGGATGGGCGAGATCAGCTCCGCGCGGTCCCGGCCGACGGAGACGGAGGCAGAGTTATTCGAGACCAAGGAGAGCAAAGCCGAGTCTCCGAGTGCGAGTTCGAGTGGCGAGAGTTTTGACATGATGCACGGCGCGGAGGCGGAGAAGAGTACGGTGTTTGATGCGTTGGCGAAGGAGGGGGAGGAGGAGGGGTTTAGGTATCATCCGGGGGCGAAGGAGACGGTTACGGGGACGACGGTGTTCCATAAGATGTGAATTGACATTTGGAGGGATGAGGGGAGATGATGTTTGATGTGTTATGCCGTGATGATCTATCTAGCGGGCGAGCTCGCGCTCTACTCAATCTATGGCTTGTTTGCCTGTCCTATCTCCAGCTCCTTGCTAGTCTTCGTCTTCGTTCCGTCGCAACCAGCACCGCCACCCTCACCCCCTCCCCACTCTCCCTTACGAAGAGCTAGCACAACCCATCATCGTAATCCACCCCATCAAACAAGCCCAACACCACATCCAGCATCGCCCCTCTCAGATCCGTCGCGTTCGCGTTCCGCTCATCCTCCGTGCCGCCGAAGATCCTGAGGTCTCGAGTTGATGGGTCTTCCTTCTTGAAGGGGTTGCTGTGAGTACATGTACTTCGCTCCGCCTTGGAGATTTGGTAGGCTGTGGGAGTCGGAGTGGAAGTGGTTGTGGTGGAGGGAGTGAGATAGCTGTAGCCCATCGACATGGCCGTCGGCATCGTCGTGAATGGAAAGGATGGAAACGATGAGAACGACCGCATCGATGGATCCGTCTGTGTGGACTGCACCTGCATCTGCGCCTTCCTTGCAGCACGATGCGGTCGATGTCGCACTCTTTTGCGATTCTGTCGCTGGCCCATGTGGTAGGTCTCATCCATACATGTACCCCCATCTCCGAACGCAAGGGAGTGTGATCGTGCCCGTTCCATCTTAAAGGAGTGTCCTGTCTAACAATAAAAAAAGAAGCAGAATGAGTGACCGACCTTTGACTTTTATACTTGTATGCTCGTGAGAGTCAGAGCAGGCTTCTACCAACCTAACCCATCCCACAAAAACGACTCACCGATGTCGCAAACGCCGCGCCCAACCGCGGACTCATGTGACGAGGGCGCGTGTAGTCACGTTGCCTAGAGGGAAAAATAGGAAAAGTTTGCTAGATGCGTGGAAAGGTGAGGTGATTTTTGGGCAGCAAAGCGGATGAGTCAAGCTGGAAGCGAAGCGTCGGCATGACTCGGCCTGCAGCGAAGCGACGCCCACGCCACGACGGGAGTCTCCTGGACGGTGGAAGACGGGGGAAAATCGGGATATCTCGTGACAGCGAAGATAGCTATGTAGAGATGAGTCGTTGTGGTGTCAACAGGTGTCATCATATGCCTGATGAACAGGCGGGTGTATCTAGTATTACATATTACATGTACCCAGCATCACATGCAATGCACATCGAGTGACATGCGCCTTTTTGACATTAATAGTGGCCTGTCGTCTGCCACAGCATATGCACCGAACATGTCGCCGTCGTGGTCGCACGCTCGCTGCAGCCTCCCAGCGTGGTGGCACCTTCTGGGTGCACGGCAGCGGGTAGATCCTGATTAAAATATCCTCCCCGACACGGACATCAATCATCGAGAACGAAAGTCTACGCCTTCGCGATCGTGCCCCATATAGGTGCTTTAATGACGCTGTTGCTCTTTTGCGCGCACACCTTCTGCCCGTTCTTGGTCTTGCACGGGTGGTTGGCGGGCGTCATGTTCGTCTTGGCAAAGTTGGTGATGCGGTCGTAGGGTCTGTACATATACACATTAGCCTTCATCTTCATACTCCACACGCAAAAAAAGAAGGTGTACTCACGGCTCACCAACACTCGGATCCGTGTACGAGTGCTCCAGCCCCAGCACGAAATCGCCCATGCTCTCGTAGCTCTCCATGTGCCAGCCAAACGTCGTGTTGCCGCAGGCCTGGTACGTGTCTACGGGATACGCTTTGGAGCCCGTCACCCACGAGCCGCTGCAGGATTTGGTCGCTTTGCCGAGGGGGTCGGGGTCGTGGACGGTGAAGGTGAGGGTCACGTTGCCGCCGAGGACGCGGGCGATGCTGAGGTTGGAGATTTGGAAGGGGAGGCCGGCGTTGTTGGCGGCGGCGGTGGTGAGGGTGACGAGGAGGGTGAGGAGGGTGAGGGTGGTGGTGAACATTTTGCTGGTGGTGTGTTGTTGTATGAAGTCTTCGCTTAATGCCTCCGTGTAGTGATGTCGTCGATTGAAGTGAGGTTCTGCGGGTTGTATTAAGTATTGCTCGGTGAGGTAGTGTGACGTGCACCGCCCAGCAATCTAAATCGGTCAAAGAGTTGGTGAAGTCGGGACAAGGAAAGCTGTATTAGTAGTTGAATGCACGAACAACAAGAGAAGAGGACGGCGACAAAGGAAGATTGTGGTGGAAAGCGCGATCCTTTAGACTGACGACAAGGTGAATCGTGAATCCTCTGGCGTGTTTGGGAACCCCGCCCGCCTACCCTACCCACCTGCGAGTCGTTGAAGCCGCTGGCGTGTGAAGACTCACGGTGCACTCGGTGGATGAGATCGACAGGTACACATCTGTGCATATCGCCAAGCTTTGCGAGAAGTAGGAGAGGTCGCACGCAGCTATTGGCTGGGTGCAATCTTTGAAACCAGCCATTGGAAGCGATCAGACGGCCTTGACGTTGACCATGAGCGCAAAGTGTCGTCTTCGTGCGTTGTTTGCTGCGCGGGACGATTGGTGAGGGAGCATTTACCTGTATTCGGCCGCTGTCCTTGGCCCTGAGCAGGATGGATCTGATGGATGCGCAGCAAATCTCTTTGTGCCGTGTTCCTGCAGCGAAAAGACAGGAATAGGGGGGGCTTTCGGGTGGTCGCCCGCCGGATCGTGAACGACGGTGATGGTGTAACAGAACACGTCGAACCGAGAGTCTGCCGCATTCTAGGAGAAGTCGGCCTAATGGAGCGCGATGAGGATAGATTCAGCGCTGGCTCCCTTCAGATAGATGATGCTTCAATCTACTCTCTGCCGTCTCGAAGGCTTCGGCGCTTGCATGGAACATGGTCGCAAGACTGTAGGAGACTGCATCCCCTCTGTGCGACTGCTCGAGAAACGCTGGAGGGCGCCACAGAGTTGAGTCTTGACACGGAGGAGAAGGGGGAGGGGTTATTAATAGAAAGCGTGGAGAAGAAGCGTGGTGGGTGCATTTCGCGGTGCAAGGAAGGAAGCTGTGGAAGGAGGAACAACCCGAACACCTTTCGATATAGATTATATAAGAATTCGAGCTGCTGAAGAAGAGGAAGAAGGACAACGAGATGTATCCTAACGCCATGAATAGCATGTAATACTGCAAAGTCAGCGGAGACAGCTCCCACCTGGGGCAGTCTCTGGAGATCTAGCCTTTTGATTCGCGAGCGGGATGGCTTGCTCGTCCAGCTTATTAGCTGAATAGATACATTGCTGTCTTCACACACCACCTGTCACATCCACCGTTGTCACCGCCAGAGCCACCGTTAGCAGTCATATTGAAGAAGCACTCCTGACAGTTTGATAGTAACAGGCACACGGCCGGGTGGAATGGCGCGTTGAGCAAGAATAGAACAGAGAACCCCCGCGCACCGACCAAGGCCACTGAGACAGGCCCATCGCGTCCACTTGGACATACTGGGCCCTGGTGCGCTGCTCGATGCGGTGGCCCTTGAAGCCGGCGACGCGCAAGATCTCTCACAACCAGCTGTTTCCCGAGACGCAGCACCCTGGTACGATCGAAAGAAACTCTGTCAGAGCACCAGTCCACCACCGCTGACACGCCGACATCAGATCTCCCTCTGTCGCCGCGACCCCAGTCCCGCAGCCCCCGCCCTCAGGGTAGCCCCAACCTCAATCGCAGCGCGACAGTCAGCGAACGGAATTTCAACTCCACATACGCCGGCGGTACGTGGGACCGCAGGAGGGGGTCAGGGACACATTGCTAACCCGCTTGAGCACACAGACAGAAGGTCTATTGCTATCGAGCCGGGCTTCGACCAGAACGTCCCCTTCTCCCCAGACGACTTCCCGCAGGCCTCGCCGCCATTGACCGGAGGGCTTTCCCGGTCGCAGACGGTGTCGAGAAGAGAAGGCGCGCGTAGGAACGAGTACGCGGAGCCGTCGCCAGCACCGCTGTGGTCGCCGGATTTCGTACAGCTGCCGACGCCCAGCGAGCAGCCCGAGGCCCAACCGGAGTATATATACGAGGTCGCGGCGGAGCCCATGAGCGCGCAATATTCGACAGCCCCGGGCAAGACATCGTCCGACAGCGGACACAGTCCCGCCAATCTGGATCGCTGGTCGCAACGCCGGCTGCAGCGGCTGAACACCGAACAAGGCTTCCGGGAGCAGAGGCAAGGCGGCGCGCAGGGGGTCCTGAGCCCTCCGGGGTCGCTGAGCGAGCAGCAGGGCTACAACAACGCACCCTATCCAGCACAACCGCAGGAAGCACAGCCACAAGCAGCCTATCACCAAGCGAGTCAGCCGCAGCCGCAGCATCCTTCAACGCAGCCGTCCACCTATCACAGCTCGCGCACGGTCCCGTCGAGCCACACCAACACTGGGCTCGCTATACATACCCAACCGATCAGCACGTCCTCTCGCGGCCCCAACTACACTTCTCAGGAGTCCTTGCAGCAACAAAACTCCCAATACTCTCCCCCGGACGCCGGCGCATCGTACCTGTCACAGGAAACCTCCCGACCGCAACTGGCGTCATCGCGCAGCTACAGCAACCCACATCAGCAGCAATCGTCCGCAGGCGCCGAGGAGCCGTCCATGTCCTCGAACAACAATGGCAGCTTGCCAGCACCACGAGCGCAGCGTTCGGGCAACTCGAACCGGCAGAGCATGCACAATGGATTAAACTCTCGGGAAGGCTCGGCTCTCGGCGGGCAGAACGGCGGTCAACAGGGCGTACCTGCTTTCAATGCCTCTGTCGTCCCCGCCGCCAGCCAAGGCATGCCCTCGCAGGCCACTTCACAGGGCAAGTCGGGAGACGTCACCGTGGGACGAATAACGCCACAGCCCACGCAATCCAGCGAAGACATGACCGAAGAGGATGTCAACCAGCTGATTAAAGATCACAAGGAGTTGCGTATGTCGAATATTCCCACCAACTTCACTCATATCGATACTGACGCAGGTGACAGGCGAGAAGTATACCAAAGTCAAGAAGTACTACTTTGAAAAGGAAGACCAGGTCAAGCAGCTGCAGAACAGTCTCGCCCACCAACGCCTCTCCCAATCACGAACATCACTCGACGACAGCGAATACAGCACACGCTTCAACCGACTCGACGGGCTGGTTGCGCAATTGGCCTTCAGTATTCGTAAGAGCTGGAAGAGCGTGCCGCAATGGCTGATGGGTTCGGTGAACCGGGATGCGGTTGCGACTGGCAAGCAAGAGATGACAGCGGCTGGCAGAGCCTTCATATCATGCTGGATCGTGTCGGAGGTGTTCGATAAGATCTTCCACCCCGACCTGGAACCCACACTCTCCGCGCAGCTCAAATCGATACAGACCAACATTCGCCGATCGGCACCACCCTCACAAACCTCGGAAGACGACGAGAACCTCACTTCGAAAGTCGTCAGCTGGCGGCTGTCCACTCTTGAAGGTCTGCAAGAGTCACTTCGCTCACCGTCATGCGCCGACAACCGTACCTACCTCACCGAGTCGCTGCAAGAAGGCCTTTGCAGCGCACTCGCAACCCACCTCCACGACCCACCTCCTTCCGACCTCGAGGGCGGTGTGCACATGATCGTCGAGCTCGTCGTCAGCATCGCCATCCACCTCCCCCTCGAGAGCCGCGACGTCAACATCCAGTACTACATGCCCGGCCACAGCATCCTGCAAGACCAGATGAAGCTCGAATCCGGCATCCCACCGCTCCAATACTCCGCGCTAGACGACGCGGCAGAGCGCTCGAGCATGCGCAGCGCGCACAGCGATATGACGGACAACACCGAGGGCGGGGGCGGCAATGGACACGGCGGTGGCGATAAGACTTCTAAGGGGAGGAGTATGTTGAGCGCCATCACCGGCGGGAGCGGTGGCCGCGAGAAAGAGCGCGAGCGCAAGAGCTCCGAGCAGCGGAAGCAGGCGGCGGGCGCGACGGGGAGTTCGAGCAGTTTGAATCGACCCGAGAGCTCGCAGGGGGTGAGGGATATGCCGCGCGTAAGGATGGCGGCCGGGATTGGGGTTGCGGTTCGGGGCAGGAGCGTGTTGGTGAAAGCGCCGGTTTTTGGGACGACGTGATGATGGTTTGACTGTGAGCGTTGGAAAGAGCGCCTGCGGTTCGGTTCTACGAGGTATAGATTGCGCAGCGACGTGTTTCTTCACTTCTTGCGGACCGCGAGAGATGGGTCGCCGCCACTGGATCTGAGCGACCCTTTTTTGGGATGAAGATGATGATGATGGGAGTGGAGCGGGTTGTGTTGGGGCTTCAACTTTAGCGATACCCTTGATTCTTTTTTTTCTACTTGGCCATTGGAGATGTGATGATGGATGCTGGGACGGCTGTGTTTGTGTGTGCAGTTGGGCGTGTCGATGTGCTGCACACGCGTGAGTCACGGGTAGATATATGCACAGGACAGACAGACAGACAGACAGACAGAACGGATGAACGGGTATGAGTGGATACGGATACGCGTATAGACAGACGTTTCTTGTGTGACGTTCAGATCGGCTCTCTCGTCCATCCCCTTGTGCTATCTGATGCCTGTGCGATGCTCAGGGTCAGATGTGTTTCGCCTACTCTGTCTGACTGTCAGAGCAATGCTACCACAATGGCCGAGTCGCTCGATTGATGGTGGCAGCACATGGGAGAGCTCTAGGTACCTCTACCCCTCTATCGCATGCGGTAGCAACACATGTACATGCACATGTACCCCCTTCGCTTGATCGCTGTCGTGTGCTGCGTCGTGCATGCGGTGGTAGCAAGCAAGCAATCAACCTCATCGCTCCCTGCGAGTTCTGCTCGACAGCATGTCCTCCTTTTCACCTTCCTGCAACTCTACATGAACATAGAAACATGTATGTATACGAACCATGTATCGCCGTCCACCAATATTCCAGCAGCTCCCTCCTACCCCTCCTGCTCCCTCAACTTGCACAGGGTCGAATGTTGGACTCGATGCTGAGGAGCTGCAGACGTGTTTCCGCTTCACCCGGGAACGATTTCCGGAACACGTGCTCGAGGAGGCTGCGTGGCAGGGGGGATGCTCCTACACCACCCTCTTACGAGTCAAGGCGAATCCTGTCATGGACAGCAGTCGAGAGCCCGCCGAACCCGAGTTCGTCGTCCAGATCCGCCCCGAACGCCACGCCATCACCCCTTCAATCGGCAGGTATGCCAGGGAGTGGTACGCCGACCTGGCTCCCGAATTCGAAGAACTAGACTGGTTTGTTCCGACGCGGACGATTGCGATGTACCAGGTTTGCCGGATGTCGCTCCTCCCAGGAACAAGGCTGAGCGAGGTACTGCCGAAGACTTCTTCGGTTGATGTCGCGACGAGGGGGAGGTTGAGGAGTGTGCTTGAGGGGCTGGCGGGGTTTCATGCGAGTTCGTGGGAGTGAGGTGTAAGCGAGGGGGAACGGAGAGGGTGTTCTGGCCGTATCGGATCGAGTCTTCTCGAACGGTTAAGGTGGCTGGAAGCTGGTCTGCCGACTGCTGCGCTCCGGGCAATCGCGAAGGGGTGTAGGGCAAAGGTTGAAGCACCGCACTGGACGTCTTGCCGCTGGTGCTCACGCATGGCGACCTCATTCCGGCCAACATCATGGTGCATCCGGAGACTTGGAGGGTGTCCGGATTCGTCGACTGGGCGGAGGCCGAGTACCTACCGTTCGGGCTGAGCTTGTATTGCGCTGAACGTCTGCTTGGACGGAATGCTGGCGGGCGGTTCGTTTGGTACGACTGCGCTCGGGAGCTGAGGGGGGTCTTCTTGAGTGCTTTGATGGATTGTATTCCAAATCCAAACGATGAGACGGTGCGAGAAGCCGTGGTTCTTGCGAGGGATGTTGGGTTCTTGCTGTGGCATGGTATTGCGTGGGATGTTGAACCGTGTCGTTGAGCCTGGGAGGGATGAGGAGGAACTGGCTTACCTTTGTGCGTTCCTTGGTGAACCACCCGGCAGTGCGAAGGCTTTACTTTAGCTCTATCCATTGTGCCTTAAAATGTGAGGCGTGTTCTCATCTCACTGACCGTCCGCCTTCGGCTTCGCCAGTCCAGCAGGCTCTGCATCCTTCTTGAACTCATCCCACTCTGGCCTGGGAATCTCCACACCCTCTGACACTCGAGCGTACGTAATGCCGCCTAACCTGGCCATGGGCCGGAGCACCTACGCATCGTCAGTCCATCCACCACTAATATCATTCTCATATCCAGACTCACATTAGTATCCAACTGATTCTGCTCCTCATTCAACGCATCCTCCCGCGCCCAAAACTTCACCCCTTCAATAATTGCCAACACCCCCGTCCTCTTCCCCGGCGTCGCCCGGCTCTCGTACTCCTTCGTCTCCAACAGCTTGCCCTCGACACTAAACACCGCCTCTCCAACTCTACTGCATTTGACATCCTGACACTCCATCGGCGTCAGACCCGTCAGTGCCCATTCTGAAACCCCGTACGGCGCGTTCACGGAGCTGGCATTGGCTGCTTCAAGGTAGTGCTCGCTGATGATGTTGATGGTGCATTCCCCCGAATCGACTAGATTCCGCAGCGAGTCCTTCGCCTTGTCGAACCCGCCCGCGTAGCCTATGATGAAGATCGGCGGGTCGTGGTTGATGACCTGCGTGTACGAAAACGGGGCCAAATTCGTGCTACTCCCGTCTTTGGACCGCGTGCTCACGAATCCAATGGGTCGGGGGATGATGGCGCTGATCAGGAGCTTGTAGTTGAAGGTCGCGGGTCGGCCGTCCTGGTACGGGTCGATGGGGATGTGTTTGTGGTTCTTCCATTCGCCATCATCGTTCGAGCCTTGGCCGGGTTTCCAGTCCGGGTTCTTGGTTTTGTAGATGGTCCAGGAGCCTTCTTGGCGCCAGTCGACGCGGGAGGACTCGACTTCTTTGAAGTTGCCGTGGGGGTTGCGTTTGACGTGGTGTTCGCTGGGGCTATCAGTGTGGGTTCTTCTGTTATTTGGGGCGGGAAACGTGCGAGTCCATCATCTGCTCGTGAGCATTCTGTTCGTGGGGTTGGGTTGGCGCCATGTTGAGAGTGAATGAGATTTCTTGTAAGGGAGAGTTGGAAGATATCTTGATGGGAAGATGAACAAAACTTCTTTGGGACGATTGAAGCCAAATCTTTGTACGCTTCTACGTCATCACCGTCAGACTGTTAGACAGTACGAACAGCTTCGACACACGCATTGGAAAACGGCTGTTCGAAGAGACAAGTCTTCAGTGGGACTAACACTCAGAAAGTTGAACAACACATTGTGTGATGACTTCGTCTGTGTATTGAATTGATTGCCGTTCGCGAAGCTGAGACTCGCATTGTGTTTCCGTTACCCCTCCCATCTCGTCCCAATGGGCGTGGTGGGGCATCGACAGCCTTATCTCAGCGGGCCCTCTAGGACATGAACTGACAATGTTTCCATAGGAATGGTTTACTGTCGTCTGAAAGCACCGTAATCATGCCTGCCGACTACGAGACGTACGAGCTCGGAGACTGGAAGCTGAAGAACGGCGGCATCATCCCAGACGCTCACATCGCTTACAAGACACTCGGCAACCCGAGTCTCCCTCTCGTCATCTATCCTTCCTGGTACTCCGGCCTCATCTCTGACAATGAATGGTTGATCGGCGACGATAAGACGCTGAACCCGAAGAAGTACTTCATCCTCATCACAGCCTTGTTTGGCAATGGCCAGTCGTCCAGTCCAAGCAACAAACCGGATCTCAAGCCGTTTCCGGAAGTGCTGTTCTACGACAACGTGAGAGCGCAGCATAAGCTCGTCACGGAGAAACTGGGCTTCAACCATGCTTTTGCTGTGCTCGGGTGGTCGATGGGCGCGGGACAGACGTACCAGTGGGCTACGCAGTATCCTGACTTCATGGATGTTGTCGTTCCATTCTGCGGAAGCGCGAAGACCTCGCTGCACAACCAGGTGTTCTTGGAGGGTGTCAAGAGTGCTGTGTTGGGCGGCAAGCAGGCATCATCTGGTGGTGTCTGTAAAGGTGAGGCTATCCAGGGGCAGTACCGGTCGTGGTCGGAGGAGGAGCGGAAGGTCGGGCTGAAGGCTCTCGGTCGTGTGTATGCTGGATGGGGCTTCTCGCAAGCTTTCTACCGAGAGAAGTTGTACGAGACCGTCCTCGGCTTTAAGGGTCTTGAGGACTTTATGGTGAATTTCTGGGAGGCTTGGGCGTTGTCGAAAGGTGAGCCGTCATTTGTGCTCGTCACTCGGACGAGCGCTGACCATGGTAGACCCGGAGAACATGCTGGTGATGTTGTTCACCTGGCAAGCTGGAGACTGCTCAGCCCAAGAGCCTTACAACGGCGATTTCGATGCGGCAATGAAGGGCATCAAAGCCAAGGCGCTGGTGCTGCCGGGCAAGACAGATCTATACTTCCGTGAGCATGTCTGTTAGGTCCATGGGCGGACACAACTGACGTCCAGCAGCTCCAGAAGACTCTGAGAACGAGGTGGCACATATGAGGCCAGGAATCGGAAAGTGCATTCCATTCCCTTCAATATGGGGCCATTGGGCTGGAGGTATGACCGATCGTCCTCAGCCGATCGAGTTCGCCAACTGACATGATCGCACAGGCCCAGGACAGAGTACAGAGGACGTCAAATGGCTTGATCAGAAGCTGCACGACTTCTTCGAGGAGAGCAGTATGGAAGAGACGAAGTCGTCTCTGCCGCAGTCTGGTGGAGAGAAGTCGGTGGGGGTTCCTGGTTGATGCTGCTGTGGTGTAACGAACAACAACAAATCGTGTAATGTACATTCCACGCGCTTGCTTCGCATTTGCGGCTATGTATCATCTCGTTCATTTCACCTACCCGTGTTGTGACATTGGTGATCCTTCGAGGCTGTGCCAGCATCCTGCTCGCGCTCCAATGCGAGCACACCAACAAGGCGGCCTGAAGAACCAACAAGCGGCAAGCTGCATGCCGTGTCCCGGGTGCCTGCAGAATAAGGCCTGCTTATCATCTTACACGGGCGGCGTTCAGGGGTACAGGGACGCCTTGGCTCTCGTACAGGGCTGATACCCTGCCACACTCCACGTCGATTGTTGATGTGCGTTGACGATGACGACTGTCTCTGCCGCATAGTAGTGTTGTAGAACAGTCGGTACATGAGCCGGAGAAATCTACAACGTCTGGATGGTACTTCGAGGGCGTCTCGGTTGTCAAAGGGATCTGCGAAAGCCGTTTGACGAACGGACGGACCCCTGATCGTTTTAGGCACAGGCTAATCCAATACCAACCGAGCCAAGGCAGGCCAGAACCATATCAGGACACGACCTAAGGTCAGCACCAGCCTCAGCCAGCCATGCTGCGGGGATTCAATAAGAATAGATGTAAGAGTGGTCCTCAAGGTCTGGTATTGCCCTTCCCTTTTGCTCCTGCTGTCGTTCGTTGACCTGTTCTGCCTTTCTTGTCCCTCACCACAGTCACTCATTCAGACAAGATGGCCGCTTCCTTCTCGCGCCTGATATTTCTCGCTGTCTTCGCCTTTCTTTTCTGTTCCGACACTGTCCTCGCGCGACGAACACCACATGCTGCAAGAGACGCAGGACCTCGGCGTCCGAAGCACAAGAAACCGGACAAGCCCAAGTACTCCGATGAAGAGACGTACTTCAGCTATGTGTCCAGACCCGACATCCAGCCGATCCGCTGGGAGATCAAGAACTTCGACAAGGAAGCGCTCGCGCCGGGGTATTGGTTTTTGGCGCCGTATGCGGCTCTTGAACAGAGCGAGTACAACAGCTGGAACGGCCCGCATATCTACGATCAAAAGGGAGAGCTCATCTGGAGTGGCTCGCCCATGTTCAACAATCTCAACATCTACGATTTTCGACTTGCGGAGGTGGGAGGGAAGATGATGCCGACAATGATCTTCACGGAACACTCAGACGGCTTGATTCTTGACGAAGGCTACAACATCCACCACACTGTTGATATGTTCGGCATGGAGCTGCCCGATTGGTTGATGGAGCAGATTGGACATCGACACACTACCAACATGCACGACTTCAATGTGATCGACGACGGTAAGCGCGCGGTCATGCTGACGAAGGTTTATGAAAATGCCACGAAAGCAGAGTCGAAAGCTGTCGGCTTTGACGGCGAATGCACAGCGAAATGGCAGGGCTTCAAAGAGGTTGATGTTGCGACTGGCGAGATACTGTTCGAGTGGAATGCACATGGTCACATCCAGCTGGAGGAGAGCACATACCACAAGGGCCCACTCGACGAGATGTGCAACGGCAATGCAGGACCCGGCGGTTGGGACATTCTTCACCTCAACTCCATTGACAAGTTCCCGGATGGTGACTATCTTCTGTCTGCACGCCACACCAACACTTTGTACAAGGTGTCTCACGAGGACGGCTCGATCGTGTGGCGGCTGGAGGCTGACCATGGCGATTTCAAATATCTCGACGACGACGCGAAGTTCCGACGTCAGCATCATGCTCGTGTCGTCAGTGCGAATGAGACGCATTCACTTGTTACTGTCTTCAACAACGCCAGAGGAACCGGCAAGGCGGAGCACCCTCTGGGCGAAGCTTCAACCGGCCTCCTTCTCTCGCTACGCACCGACACCAAGCCTATGACCGTCGACGTGGCCGCAAAGTACGAACGTCCAGGAGGCAAATACACCGCCGCTCGCGGCAGCGTACAAATGCTCGACAACGGCAACGCCTTCGTGGGCTGGGCCAAGCACTCATTGCAGTCCGAGCACGCCCCAGACGGCCGCACGCTTATGCAAGCGCAGTTCAGGCACGAGGGCGCCAACACCTACCGCGCGTACAAGTACGAGTGGGTAGGTCGACCGCAGGCACCTCCCGATGTTCATTCAGCGGCTATCGATGGCGTGAAGGAGGAAGTCAACACTATCGTGCATGTCAGCTGGAATGGGGCTACGGAAGTCCATTCGTGGAATCTTTACAAGACGAATCCGAATGGCGAGGGTAGGGAACTTGTCGGCTCGACGCTGCGCCAGGGGTTCGAGAGTATGATCTCGTATCAAGGCTATGCGAGCTACGTTGTCGTGGAGGCACTTGACGCCGATGGCAATGCGCTTGGGGAATCCAGAACCATCGAAACCCTCCCACCATCAGATTTGATCAGCCACGTCGTAGCAGACGAAGCGCAATGGCTCCAAGCGCACTCCGTAACCTCTCAGTCCGGATCTCGGCTCTCTGTGCTCGAAAGCCCAATCGTCACCTACATCCTTGGTGTCGTGAGCTGCGCAATCACGGTTTTGGTGGCAGCACTGCTGTGGAGGGCCCGACATGGTGGTAGCTCTTGGATGCAGCGGAAGCCTTATGAACCGGTGGGCGAGAAGGAGCTTGATGAGGAGGATTTCAACGAGGATACGATGGTGGAGGAGATGAATGAGCGGATGGAGTTTCAGAAGGGGGAGGTGTGATTGTGCTGGGATGACTATAACGGCCTCCGAATGGATATCGCCGGAACGGTGGCAGAGTTTCAGGGCGCATGGCTGCCCACGCTTCGCTCGACGATCGAATGCGCGGCCGTAGCAGCTCTCTACACTCTGGAGATTGACTATTGGCGCGACCAGAGGTGTATTCCAGCCTCCTGGTGCCGACGTCACTACACCATCACGAGCAGCTTGACCGCCGAGGGGCTCATATCTACAGATACTGCCCACATTGCAGGCTCCACCTGACCACTGGCGGTGAACCCAGCGACCCGGCTCAGGCAGGCGCAGCAGAACGCAATCACGTCGAGCAGGCTTGAACCTCCCATACTTCTGGCCGCCATGGCCGTCATGTAGTCGGCGGCAGGCAAAAGAAGAAGACCAGGCCAGAAGCACAGTCCTGGTGTGAGAGAGCCAGGCAGGAATGTCCCTCTGGACGTTAGCTGTGGTGGACATCATGGAAAGGAGATATTCGACGTGCAACGATGCTGGATCTGTCGGCGCTGAGGCGGACGATTGTGGGTTTGGCGAAGATGGCGAAGAGGGCACAGGAGGATGCTGGTAGGCTTGCGAGAGAGATTGGGGTTGCGCAGGGAGATATTGAGGATTGAAGAGTGAGGTGATGGCGTCAATGTAGGAGGTGTTTGTGAGAGGCTGTTGTCTGAATTGTCGTTAAACCCCAACGATAATGCTTCATGCGTATGCTTCTGGACGGGACGATAGAGATATCCTCACGACACGGAGCAAGTCTGCAGCGGGTGGCTGGTCCCTCGCAAGACAAGTGAGAAGTACAAAACTGGTGGATGTTGCTGAACCAATAGACCGTCCTTCCTCCATTGTGAAAGCTACACCGCAAACTGCTTCATGTACTGATAATCTGGGGTGCTGAGATCAATATGCCTCTTCAACTCCGCGGCGAGGTCCTCGCCATACCGTTCTACCAATGTGTCCAGCACGGTCTCCACATCAACTGGCTTGTTGTTCTGCGCAGGACGTCAACAAGATTCAGATGGAAGGGCAGTCCAACATACCTCATTTGGGAACTCGATGCCGTGTGACTCGTGTATCGTCTTCGTGAACGCCGCGATCATGGGGTGCTGTGGCCGCTGATCCAATGGTGTAGGGTCCCATTGCTCGACCACGCCATCTGGATCGATGCCCAACGCTTCGCAAACACCATCGGTCATCCCCTTCCGCCTCAAAACCACATCCTCGCCGTCAGCTACGATCGGAGTCCGGCCTTGTGATTTGAACAGGTCGAACAGCAACCGACAGAAGTGCAGCGACGTACACATTACAAAGTCCTCGTCAGTTGGCCGCACTTTTTGCACCTGAATCGCCATGTCGTACAGAGAACGCACACTAAGCGCTGGATGCCGTATAACCATCATGGGCGTGCAGGTGTCGAAGAGCCAGTCTGGACAGTAGGTTGGATTCGGGCCCAGATCCTGCGGCGTGTATTGGTGGCCACGAAGGTGAGCAAGTGCGACCTCTTGTCTGATTGCAAGGCAGCTGTGTTCATTGACCCAGATGTTTTTGCCCTGTCGAAGCATTAGTGATGCATACTCACAGAAGTGCGGCGGGAGGGTACTCTTACTTACAGCTGCTTCGACGCGAGCAACGTCGTCCTCAAGCTGTCGTCGACAGGACCCGTGCGTATCAGTCACCCAGAGTGGCTGCCAGTCCTCTGCCAGCTCCTTGCTTCTTGTCTCAGAATGGCGGAGTTTCGGCAGTACTCCCTCTGGCCCAAGGAACCCGGCCATCATGAATGGATGGTAGATCTGCGAGAACCGTGGATGCTCGGAGAAGAGCCTCGCGAACAGATGGCTGCGTACCCGCAGATTGTCAAAGACCACGACTCGTAGAGGAGAATTGCCTGTGGGTGTACTGACAGCCATTGCTGTTGATGTGCTAAGAAAGTGATGGTGCGGAAGCTGAATAGAGAGAACTGGCGATCAGAAGTGTTTCCTACAATGGCGTTGAAGCCTTTATAGTATCAGCTGGGGGCCAGAAAGTGCGTCGTCGGAGACCGCATGAACGATGTCTGCGGCTGAAGATGCTTTGAGGTATTGCTAGAGAGCCGGATCAAACTCTCACAGGAGACGGAGAATGAAGTCAGCGGTATCTGTTGGAGTGCATGGGCCAGCCGCAGACCATATTAGCGGTATCCTGATCTGCGTTTTCGGGTTGTGAACGGATTGACTTCAACGTAATCATTCATATCTGCATAGCGTGCCGCTCATCGTCATCATCGTCCTTGTCGTGGCCTTTGGACTTATATTTTCCATCGCACGTCTGGTTCGTGGCTATTCGATCCAACCTCTCGTTCGAGCTTTCCTACGTCCTTCAGTCGATCTTGGAGTTGGATACCAATCGCTCGTTCAGTGGTCTCGACAATTCGTTTGCTGCGAGATTCAATTTGCTGCTCGAGATGGGCGACTTCTTGAACCTTCTGCTGCACCATGTTCTTCATGTGGTCGAGCTCAGTCGTGATCTGTGATCCAAAATCACGAGCTTCCGCGCCAACCCGGCCAGCAGGCTTTCCAGGACCCTCTTCAAGAGTATGTATCTTGTGCCCGACCTTTTCACTCATGCTTGAGCTACCATGTCTTTGATGAGTTCCAGCAATCGCACGCATTGGCGAGACCGTCGGCCGTCTGCGACTCAAGCTTCCAGTGCTGATGAATCGATTGGGCGTGTTTGCTTCAACGTCTGCTTGCACTTCTTCGAACGTGTGCCTGATGATCGTGACCTCGTCCATAACGCTGGTCGGTGTGATGATGCTAAAGTCGCGCTCACGCTGTTCGATGTACTCCCGCACCTTGGACCATTCTTGCTGAAAGTACTTCAGCCGGTTCGGAAGACCTGAGCCCTTGAGGTATGTCGGGAATCCTGCGATGACAGTATTGATGGCGCCTGCTACGGTAAGCATATCGCTCAACCATGCGAGTTTCATTCACATACCAAAGACTGTCACTGTTGCTCCACTGGACTTTGCAGCTCCTAGAGCAGTCAGGGCGGCAGCAACGATAATCTGAAGTCCAAGACAACTGTTGATGAGTCTCGAACAAAATCTGTAATTCCTTCTGCATTTGATTTCGCTGTCGACCACAGTCGCATAGATGCCTCTGTTGGGAGCCGGTCTACCACGGGTCCTTGCTACTGGTCTTTGATTGCTGTCGAAGCCCTTTGGTGCCTTGAATGAGCCGTGGGTGCTGACTGTTACCACCATTAGCTGGAACGGTCCAACTTCTCCCGAAGCTTTATGGCGGCAGACTTACTACCCACTAACATACGGAACTCCATGAGTTTCACACTTGACTCGTCGACCGGGCAGTGACCGTCTTGAGGACCTGGCAAATGATTGTGCTCTTGTTCGGTATACACGGAGGCGCGTCGACTGGCTTCTTCATCGTTTGGTGCCGCTCGCAGTCTGCCAATCTGTTCTTTGAAGTACTCCATACTTTGCAATGTACGGTGAATGTTGAGGATATCGGGAATTTACTTACTTCTTGCTTCGGCATCAGGGAAGCTGGCCCTTGTGGATATGATCGATGTGTTGAACGTGACCGTCCGACGCGCCATTGTAAACATGGTAAAGGATAGTGGCTAGCTGATGAGCACCATACATCTTGCGCAGTGCACGCTCTCGCTCTGCTTAGCGGGCTTCGACCGCGATGTCCTCTGCGCTGCCGTAGCCATTGGCAGCATTCATACCGCTTCAGGTGGTCTGGCGCACGCATATGATCGCCTCGCTTGTGTCGGAAGATGCAATGGTTGTAGCTGGAGACCTTTCTGGCCCAGGATCCCTGCAGCAGCTGTCGTTTGTCCGAAGCTCTGTATGGACCAGCTAGAAGTGACAGCGGCGCTGCCCGTACTGTGGCGTGACCGATTCGGTCGCATGTGAGCTGATGTGGAACCAAAGTTGACAGCAGGCATCCCAATGTAGAATGTGCAAGGCGGTCGGGCAAAAGGAAAATCACATGTATTTTACCCTATGATGTGCGTGTTCTTCACCGAAGACTGGGTCTGGAGAGTCCCGTGCCTTTCGATTCAGCTCGATCCTCGTGGCTGTTCGCTTCCAGATTATGATCTGATCCTCATCGCAAGCATCACCGTCAGCAACTTAATGCCATCAGTAAGAATGACCAGGCTGTTCTCCCTTCAGGCGCTCGTGAATACTAAGACAGGATACCATACCGTCCAACGACATGCCGCTGGACATTGTGGACGATGAGCTCACGGTGCGAAAGCGACAAGCCATCTCCTTCCCCTATCGAGGTCATCCTAACGACATAATCTCTGGCCAGAGGACACCGAATCTGCACCTCAATCGACCATGGAGCTGTTCTCGTGAGCGACGGGTGGAATGGAGTACAAGCGCAACGGCGACACAGTAGATGACAGCGGCAAGTCGTCGACTCCCACAGCCGTGACGGGACAATCCCAGCTCTCAATCTCAGCATGCGAAGCACGGCTCAGGAGGCGACCAGATGAAACAACGTGTTGGAGAACCGTTACTCCCCAGATCCTGGGCCCCTGGCGCGGGATCGCACGATCGATCGCCGTCGACAAGATGAGTTGATCCATCCCGTTGAACACGTCTTGCGCATGCTGGTGTCCGACTGTGTCCTAACAGCTAGATACACGACCAGCTTGACGACCGCGTCAGCGGCTATGACACTTCGATCCACATGGAAAGAGAGCTTCACGAAAATGCTCTCAACCGAATCTCGCAGCAGCGGACGCATCTCCATCGCAACGCATCTCATGGAGCCGAGATCGAGCGTCAATGCCCCACGCCGAAGCTGTTCCTGCGTCGAGTCGACGAATCACCGTCTCGTCTCGCACAGGCTTGCGCTGTTTTATCTTTGTGGGATCTCAAGTCATGACGTTCGACCGAGATTCGACCCTGGCCTTTGGCTGCTGCACAGATGCGAGATCCTGGTAGATAATGTGGCTACTTGAAGCCTACTCTCGCTTCTCCGCCGGCCTGCGATGCCGTGCCGTGTCGTCGACGAGAGGCGTGAGCTGGGATCTTTAGTGGGAGAAGAGTTGTTGCTTTGCAGTGGACCCCCTTCCTCCCTTCGTGCCTCGAGGTGAGATTTCGTTGTCGTCGTTTCTTCGTTTTCGTTCCCTCATCACGACCGGAGCACCATGGCGACCGTCGAGATGCACTCCCATTACATGGGCCTGGCGGGCACCGCTCTGCAAACCGCCATTGCCGTGGCCGCGGGTCTGAGTTTCGTGGCTTTTGGGTACGGCCAGGGAGACGTCGGAGGGCTGATTGTCGAGTCCACCTTCATGAACTACTTCCCATCTTTCGAGACCCCGATCTACGCCGGCTCCGTCATCGCGACTTGGAACATTGGATGCTTCGTTGGCGCATTCTTCACCATTTTCTTGGGCGACAGGTTGGGAAGGAAGGGCACCGTGGTCACGGGTCTCATCTGCGAGACTATTGGCAAGATCATCCAATGCAGCTCTTTTGGGATCGGACAATACGTTGCGGGCAGGATGATTGCTGGGATCGGGAATGGCTTCGTCGCCAGTGGTGTACCGGCATATCAGGCGGAGTGTTTGAAGACGCATAGGCGTGGCACACTGCTGCTCGTCTCCTTCGGGAGCTGCATTACTCTGGGAAATGCCATCGCCTACTGGATCGTCTACGCCTTTTCATTCACGCAGCCGAGCTCAGCAGCGTGGCGGGTGCCCATCATTTTGGCCGCAATGTTCACCCTACCGGCACTACTGGTCATCGTCTTCATGCCGGAAAGCCCTAGATGGCTGCTTCTCAAGGGCAGAGAGCAGGAGGCGATGAATGTGTTGTCGGCATTGAACGAGCTACCCATCGACCACGAAGACACTCGCCGCGAGATCCTGCAGATCAAGTACGCCGTCAAGCACATGGCCTCCTCAGCTCCGGGACAAGTCTTCACGAATGGCGAATACCGATACCTCCAGCGAACGTTGCTCGCCGTCGGCCTGCAGATCATGCAGCAATTCACCGGCGTCAACATCTTCATCCAGTACCTCGCCGCCATGTTCGTGAACCAGTTGCGCTACGCCAATAGGGTGTCCATGGTGCTGGCCGCCTGCTGCTCGACTGAGTTCTTCCTGGCGTCCGTTGGTGTTGTCTTCGTCATCGATCGATTTTGGGGGAGACGAGATTTGACCATCTTCGGCGCTTCGGGCATGTGCTTCTGCATGGTCATGTTGACCATCTTCAACTGGCTCGGCTTGGAGAACGGCGAGCCGTGGGCCTTCAAGGTCATGACTGCCTTCCTCTTCCTGTACCTGACTTGTGAGTACCCCATCCATGATACACTGGTGATATCGTGCTGACCGTCCAACAGTCTTCGCCATCGGCTGGCAAGGAATGAGCTGGATGTGGGCTGTCGAACTGGTCCCATTGAGCATTCGAGGACCAGCAAATGCCATGTCAACTGCCGCAAATTGGCTCTCCAACTTTGTGGTCGTCCTCGTCACGCCTGTCATGTTTGACGATATCACATGGCGAACCTACGTGGTATTCGCTGTCACCAATTTCTGTTTTATCCCAGTCATCTACATGTAAGTCTGGACAGTCCCTCTCGTTGAATGCACAGCTGACCAGTAAACAGCTTCTACCCAGAAACCGGAGCTCGTTCTCTCGAAGAAGTCGACATTGTTTTCAAGTCCGCTTCGCAACGCGGCAACCCATGGCTCAGCGCAGTCAAGGCCGCCAAGGAGGAGCCGAAATGGTACGACAAGAACGGCGAGCCGACGGACTCTTACGGCGGCTCCGAGAAGGACGACATTGAGAAGGGCATGGCCACTTCTAGCGGCGACAACAGCTCGAGTCCGGAACGCATGTTCAATGCTCAGCCGGTGCAGCCCAGAAGAACGTCGATGGAGCCGCGCTTTTCGGACGAGGGATGGCATGACCATGTGGCTGCTCCTGCGCCGTCGATTCGGAGGACGCACTCGAGTCAGTGATGCTATTGCAACCGGGATCAATGTCAAAACACACTCCTTCGCCGCCTTCGGACGCTCCTTCCACTCCTTTTGTCTAGCGGATGCTCACAATATACAGCCATTATCAAGCACTGGCTCGAATTCGAGGGCGGTACCAAGGACCAAGCAACGATCAAGGGACATGATGTAAGATAGCAGACTCTAAATGAAAATACCCAATGAGGGCCTCAGTCCTATCTTGGTTCCTTCTAAGCTATCATGTCGCTGCTTCTGTACTTACCGTCGACTCGCCTCACACCATCTCACCAAGCCAAGGGGCTCGTATTAGGTACTGGTAAGCCACAGACGATGCAAGGTGCCGTTGACATAGGAGACCTTGTACTACCCATCGTATGAACGTTAATTCATTAAGGCCGGACGAACAGAGATGATATAGTACCGCGGAAGTCCATTGCTGGAGCGATGATGGCAGTACTTCCACTGTCATCTCATCTTCGGCTAGTGACAAGATGATCTGTCTACGCATCGCAGTCCCTTTCGCAGTCTCCCTGGGCCATGCTGCTGCAGCTTTCTGGCCACCCTGGTTCCACCACCTGCCGACCGCTACAATCACAGCAACTTCCACAAGTCAGAATACCAACGCAGACCACCTACTCTCCATTGAAGCTGACCCTACTCCAAGTCACCTCCTCTATCCTATCACCAGCCCGCTGCAACTGCCCCCTCTCAACCCTCATGACCCGCACCCTCACCAAATCCGCCTACTGCAACACCACCTCTTCCCCCTTCGGCTCCGGAACCGGCACAGGCACCTCCCCCATCCGCACCCCCCACCCCTCCACCAGCAACCTGCACCCTCTCCGCCGCACCCTCCTTATTCCACATCTCCAACCCCCACAGCCAAACCCTCAAGGTGGATTCGTACAACAACCTCTCCGGCACGGCGACGTTCGCCCACATTGGCGAAGCCTCCACCTTCTTCATCCTTCCCAACGCTACCTTAGGCAGTATCTCAGGGATACCGCAACTCGCGCTCCTCCTCCCATCCACTACCAACTCCACTGTGCATAGGATGTACGGCGCCTACATCCAAACGTCCGGGATCTCCGACCTAGGCAGCGCGGTGCTGTTTTTCGACGTCAACAGTCCGCCGGAAGAGGGGAGTGGGTCTAGTATTGTGACGGCGGGGTATAGTACGTTTTTGTGCCGGTTGAGTTTGATCACATGGGGGGAGCACGATTTGAGTTATCCCGTGGATTGCGAGAGGCAGTTGTGGTTGGGGGGAGGGTTGTTGTTGGATGAGGGGGGTTGGTGTGCGGGGACGAGGTTGTTGGTTGATGCGGTGGAGGCGTGAGGGATGCTGGACAGGGCTTGGTGGTGGTGGTGTTGTTCGTCTGAATGGGGGGAATCAGAGTTGGGATGGGCCTGCTTGAAATTGGTTCAACGATTTTTGAAGCATTGATCTGATGTTACAAATGCAATTCCACCGGTATCGTAACATCACCCATTGGTATCATTAAAAAGGCGCCAAGCGCACATGCGACCCATATGCAAAGTAGTCCCGCATCCAACATCGAACGTCCCTCAATATGATACAAGCCAATAAGTCCCACCCAGCGTCGCTATCAGCAGCAGCGCCGTCAAAATCCCTGCACCCGCCTTGTCGCCCGTGGTGATCCTCTTGGTCAGCCACTCACTGCCCGAATCGCCACTGGTATCCGTGTCCCCGCCCGTCCCTGCACTCGCGTCGCCTTTGCTCGTAGCACCGGTCTTGAGCGTCAGAGGAGCCTTCAAGTCCTTCACCTGCAGCATGGGCGCCTGGACGGCCGCGAGCGCAGACATCTGCTGGCCGACGCCGGTTGAACCGTCCCAAGTGGTCTCGAGCCAGTGATAGCCGCACTCGTCGTTGGATCCACTGCACTGGCCAGCTGCACCCTGTGCGGATGCGTCGATGTACGGCCAGATCTGCTCGGCGGTCTGCGGGACGAGTTGCGCGCACAGGGCGAGCCAGCGGAGAGTGAAAGATTTGAAGGTCAAGCCATCGGTGTCGCAGGAGTTATGGGGCTCGCAGCCTACTTCCTGGATGACCTGGCTGGAGTCATGGAAGAAGATGTTGAAGGTGCCGTTTACTGTGGCAATGTAAGCGTCTTGCCCGGGGCTTGTGGACTCTTCGGCGTCGACTTACAAATGCCATAGATTGGTTCCAACCACTTGTCCTCCTCGGTGTGGTTGTAGATGTAGGCCAGACCGCCGATCAAGATTCCGTAGTTGTACGAATATTGCGCTGGGTTGGGTTTGCTACATTGTGCCTCGATTTGAGCTCCGTCATAGATTTTCGTGCCTACTGCTGTTCCAGGTTCGTAAAGGGTCGAATTCGAGATCCAATTCCACATCTTCTCCGTCCAGTCAACGTAGGTGGAGTTGTCGGTGTATCGCGCGAGACGTGCAGCAAGCTGGAAGAAGCCGCCATTCGATGCGATGTTCTTGTAGTCATAACTTGGTGGCGTCAGCAATACTCTGAAGGACGGACGGTCTTGGCCTGGTTGGAAACCCACCCAGCGTTCAGCGGTTGAATCTGCCATCTCAACCCGCCGCCACAGTTATCCGGATCCCATCTCTCTGCCTGCAAGTTGAACACCGCCTGTGCCATGGCTGTCCATGATGGGTAGCCTTGGGTTGGTGGAGGGAACTCGAGCTCTGCCGCTGCCATGGCTGCGAATGCCCAAAACACCTGATCATCGTTGCCTTCGTCTTTGGTTTGATTTTGCGGCATAAACTCCCCGGTGTCGCCGGCCTGCCATGTTATGGCTTGGATGGTGGTTGGGTTGTATGTTGGATCGCCGGTGTCTGTAGCACGTGGACCGGTCAGCGCATTCGTTCATAGCGTCGCATTTGTTTCAAGTCCGCTTCACGCCGAGCTCACGTACAGTAATAGTAGTCAACCATGTGCATAAACATGGCGCCGGCCTCCCACCAGTAGTAGGGTTGGGGAAGGTTGCCTGGGTTGTCACCAGTGTTGTTGCCGGTATAAAAGGACATCATGTCGTAGGCAATGGTGCTCGACGCCTCCTTGATCGAATCTGCCGAATCGATGTCCAGCTCGACTGCGCCGACGCCGCCGATAGCCAGCGACGCCAGAGCGGTCCATGATAGCCTCATAGTGGGTGGGATGTTGTGGTAATGAGTGTCGTAGGAACAGAGGCCAAGAGATTGACAAGGGAAACAAGAGAAGACTTGGAGGCTTAGCTCAGGCTTGCGCGTCTCTAGGAATAGAAGGCGCAGCTTGGCAGGTACGCGAGGCCCATCGTCTTCTCATTGGGTGGAACGAAGGGAAGGCACGGATGAATACGACGGGGGTGACGTTGTCGATCATCAAATGTCGTCGAATGCAGCAGCAACAACGACTGACCAGATGCACTACCCTATTAACTATTGAAAAGAATGCAAGCCAGTACTACATTCATCCCCTCCACACACGAACTACAGCCGCCCAAGAAGACCTGCAGCTGCCGTTAGAAGAAGAGCGCGCGATGCAGAAATGGCGTGCTCGAAGGCGAAATCGCGTCTCCTGGGAGCTCTCCTTTTTCGTAATTCAACCTCTCTTCATCTTTTCCACTCTCTCAACTGATTCTTCTACTCTACACATCTTGTTCTTCTTCCGTGGATACACCAAGCGAGTCCGACCGTTTGACCGCTCAACTCTCTATTCTCGCAGAGCGAAGACGCCGCAAAGAGACCTCTTGCACACTGCTGCGATGAGGCCTGCAGCATACAGCCAGACGAAGTGAAGTAGAAGAGAGATGGTAACCTGCTGGCGGCCTACGCTACAAGAAGGCAAAGTTGAGCAAGGTAGGAAGCATGTAGAAAGCGGCCAGATCTGGAGATGAGCCATAGACACCTCTCATGCTCACAACTATTGCTGGCTTTTAACAAGCGGGCAGCATTAATCGCTACTTGACTGCAGCGCAGGTCCATCCTGCCCCTTCCACCTGCCGAGCTTGGTTCTAAGCGGGCTTGAGCCTTACAGGCCATTTGCGGAAATGCTCCATCCTCGAACCAAGAGTCAATCAAACCGGGCCCGAAGATCTCTGGCTACGTGCATCCATCTGTACTAATGCGCCAGCCTCCCATTCTCTTGTTCCCACGAGGATCACACCCGGTTCGAAAAATTGCGAAGATGCGGAGACCTCAGAACGAGACTCGGCGGTGAATTGAGTGGATTCGACCGAGCTTCGAAGACGAGGTCGCTATGCATCTTATGCCGAACCATTTGCATCACGATCATACTTCCTCTGGACGCTACCACTACTATGAGCAGTGCTACTGGGCATTAAGCGTCTGCTGTGCAGAGGATACTCGAGAGCGTACCTGTGATCTCTCGAACAAGACCGATGCGGTCTGAGAGGAAACCTTCATGCGATGGCAACATGCCGATGCCAGACAATGCGAAAATGCAACGACAAGGCGACAACTTCAGCCGAACACTTGCACATGACTATGTACGCGAAGCTTCAAACCAGCAGAAGAGATGACAAACGAAGTCGCGCACGGTCTACAAGAGACACGACCAAGCGACATAGGCGTAGTCTCGATGCGCTTTTCATTACGCTGCCTCGGGGCAAGACATGAGATGCTTCAGGATGCATGTTCTGCTCTGTGCGAGGCTCGATTGGCTACAAGCGATCGCGACCGTCTCGATCCATTTCGCCACCTTTCCCGCTGTTCACAAGAGATGGCTCTATTCACGCGAGAAGGACAAGAGGAGTCTTTGCTTCGACGCTACCGACATTGCGCTCAACTGTAGGCACACACAACTACCGCTCCATCCCGCTGTGAGGATGCGACATTCTGCCGGATACCTTCTGCGCTCCACCTGGACCACTTTGTCTGCAGGTCAGTGCGAACGGAAGTACGGCGCGACTGCATCTCACCCGCCTGAGGCTCTCATCAAAGCGGAGGCTAGTCGTTGGGGCGGAAAGCGCGCCAAGCAACTCAGCATTGCCTAGGACTGCTGGAAGCAATTCAGGCAGTCAGGCGAGTGGCGGGCTGGATCGCAGATTTCGGCAAAAACTCTACGGATGCAGCTGAAGGCAATGAAAATGGCAGCAACGCAATGTCAAGGCATCATGCGATTCGAAGGTGCGCTGAGGTCGTCGCTTCTCCATCGGACGAGTCCGCTCTCCCGAAGCGGTGCCTTTGACCAACATCGGCTTGTTGCACGTGGAGTCTGAAAATGCTGATGTAACCTAACGGCAACGAACCCAGCCTGCATTCCGGAAGCTTACTCCGAGGAACGTTGTCCGTTATCTCTCTCCAAGCGAAGTGTGCGGAGTCATTGGAGTTTGTCGATGACGGCAGCGGGGAGCCTGATGAGATCGCAATCGCAATCCCCACCCTCGCACGGTTGCTGATTGACAGGCTGGATCCTGGTACTGGCCATGTTTTACCTTTGGCGACATCATCAGCAATCAATCGGCGCGAATTGTGCAGCCGGCCGGCTATTTGTCTTTTCGGCTTCAAGCAGTCGAGGTGCGCTTCCAGGAAACGTCCTTCCGGGCAAACAAAGCGTGCGACGTTCGTCCAACCACGGGTGACGGCGAGCGGCCCTGCAGCAGCGTACCTGAGAGGCTTCCTTTCGAACGGCCTGGATGTGGATGCAGAGCTCGAGAAGACTGGACGGAGCGAACGGACTGCTTGCAGGCGTGCGCGGCCACCCCGCATACACACCCTGGTCCAAACCTTGCCCGCTCCCATCTCCACCAATGAATGGCCGCACGGGTAGCAGGGCTTGTTGAAGGAAGCTTAATAGCGAGCACGCTTCGGGTTAGTCCCGCCGTCATGGTGGCGTCCGTTGAGCCGTCTGCTGCTGCAACCCGATGCTTATCACAGCCGGAAGAAGCAGCTGGCTAGAGAGCTGCGCGCCGGTCAGCGTGGACGGCATGCAACGAGGCGACACCACCAAGCCAATATAACCCGCCGCCCTTCTCCGCTTCCTCGACTTTCCTGCAAGGCACCTTCGTTTTTGTCCCTCCGATCACTTTGCACCGCGAACGAGAACCGTTACCTGTCGTTATTCAACGCGCCAACAACTCCTCATCCGCCGGCCTGCATCGATCTGTACACTATCTGTACTATTACCATTACTAGCAAAATGCAGTCCTACGCTCTTCTCGCCTTGGTGGTGTATGTGTCGTTCACCCAACACCCATTCGACTCCGAGCTGACAGTCACGCAGGGCCGCTGCTGCCAACCCCATGCCACAGTACTCCGGTGCGCCCATCCCCGCCTGCGGCTGGACACACACCGTCTTGACCGACGCGGGTGTCACCCAGACCGTGCCCATCCCGCTTGCGTCGGGTGAATGCTTACCGTCAATGACAGTGTCTTCGGCTGCTGCGCCCTCCGCCTCTATGGTCATGGAGTGCTCCGAATACGTCGACGGGTAAGATCGCGATGCCTTCCTTGAGGTTCTACAGTTCGCTGACTGCTTCTATTAGCCAGCCACAGTGCTCCATGGTCCCCGCCCCGGCCCCGTCGTGCACTCAAATTGTAGACGGCCAGCCCCAGTGCCCGGTCTCAAGCGCGGCCCCGGTCTCCAGCGCGGCGCCAGTGTCCTCTGCCGCGCCAGTCTACCCAACTGGCGGGTACAGCACCGGCTACGCTACCGGCTACTACCCAACCGGCACCGGTGTGGCCGCACCCACCGGAACTGGCGTTGGCCCATACTCCTCCGTCGCTCCCGCGACTGGAGCCGCTGCCACCAATGGCCCAGTCGCTGGCCTCGTCGCCGTTGCTGGTCTCGCTGTTGCGCTTTTGTAAATAGCCTGAACCTCACGACCAAAAGGACACGAACACGACAATGTTTCAATGTGCAATGGGGAAGGATCCCGGATGTCGCTCGAGCTGGCGTTGACACGGTCGCGAAGGCTGCTTGCTCCGCGCAATGCATGTCTGCGGGCTGATGTGCAACGCAGTTCGTAGTCCGCGTGGACAATGAGGGATGAAATTTAATGGTAATGGACGGTGGCGTTGACGCTACTTGTAGATATGTGGAAATGAATGGAGTGGACTATATCTTCTTGACCGTCTCTTCCTTTGGTTCCTACCTGTGTACCCGCCGTACTCCATTGTGATTTTAGAGACCGAGGTGTCATGCAAGGTACCGCAGTGCGAGGAGAACAGAGCTCGCTGAACTCACGCCGGCCATTGGGAAGCTCCCTAGGCTCTCGGTCAAACTGCTCGCAGCTCAAACACTTCTCCCATCACGACGGTTTCAACACCCACAACGGTCGAAGAATCGAATAATAAGTGTTCCTATCATCCTTGAGAGTCGGAGAGACCTGCTACGCATGGAACCTGAGCTCAACGTTCGCTCGCCTGCTGGAGATCGAGATGTGAAGCTTTGTTGTTGGGCCGCGAGCAATTTGAGGGACGTCTCCTCTCAGACACCGTGGAGCCAAGAAGAGATGTGTCTCCCGTGGGCCACAAGAGACGCCATTAGTAGTGATCCTATGGTAACGACCAGTATTAGAATGCTGATGCGTTTGGTACGAAACCCTCGCTCCTGTGAAAGGTAGAGCGCTGATGCATTCGCCACAACGTGCTCGCTCCTGTAAAAGGGCTGGCACGGATTCATGGAATGGCTCGAATGGGTAGGCATTTTCACTGCGAGCCGGCGAGCCCATTGATGCCGTCCTGAGGAAAGCACACCCTCCACTTCTCTGTTGGACCCGAGTACTCTCCAACCACGCATGCCCAATTACGCTCCTCTTGTGGCACCCATCGGACCATGTCATCAGGACCTGAGCGTACAGGCAACACTTCAGGTGAGTACAGTCTGCTGCCCTCGATCACTCTGGTCTCCTTGGACTTCACAGCTGCGGCTATCGCGATCGCTGGTACTCGCTGCGCTACGCCGTCGACTACGCATCTGCAGCGCCAAGGGAGCAGTATCAGACCCCTCACCCCGTCCATGCGTATTGCAGGGCCATATTTGTGTCGTACCCAGTCCTCGATCAGTTCCATATCCAGTGGCAGATCAAGCGTCATCTCGATGTCCTTGTTGGTCATTGCATATGGTTGTCGGAAGTCACTGGATGATTCCACTTCGATCGACAGGCCGTTCGCGGACGAGAAGGCAGCCGGCGAGGGCGCGAGAAGTCCATTCCAGATGCCGGCCTGCGAGACGCTCCATGCGAACAAGCTCTCGTCGTCGCTGTACCGCATGAGCTCCAGTTGGAGCCGGAGAAAGGCTCTGGTTCCTCCCTCACCATACAACAAAGGTATGCTGACACCGAACATTCCCAGGAGACAATAGCTCATGTCTTCCTCTCGTGTAGTCTTCCGCCACGAAGCCCACTTCATCCGCTCGCCTACGCTGGCTGTGCCAATCCGCTCGGGGTAGACAATGTACTCGGGCCGGATGTTCACAATGTCGCTAACGATTCCAGCCAGCTGGGCTTTCGAGCCTATGTATTCGTAGGCAGAGTTGAAGAACAGAACGACATCCGGGGCGAGAAGCTCTGCAGCGTCCAGCCACGGGTGAACCACTCACTCGCTCGGAACTCTTCTGTACCGAAGGGGCAGCCGTAGACGTGCGAGCACCTCCGATTTCGGCCTTCGTCGTGTAGCTGAGCGACATCGTGACCGACATTGTGCAAGAAGACGAAGCACCGCCGAGACCAGGCATACCAGTTGTACATCGAGTTGATGGCTTCAGTCAGCTCGGCGCTGGATCTCTGGACGCAGATATCAGCGAGCAGACTCGACCGAACTCATGGACAGTGGGTATACAGACCTTGTCTATGCAGCATGTGTCAACCCACAACCACTCCAATTGCTCGAGCCGGGCGAGCTCGCATGCCTCGCGGATCTTCTTCCAGCCCAAACTGTGCCGTGGAAGTGCTGACTGCTGGTGCAATAAGAAGTCTTCGTACGAGACTTCTTCGTCGGTCCAGCGGTGGGAGAGGATGGCGTGGTGGCATTTTTGGGGGTCGAGGAATTCTTTGAAGGTCAACGTTGTCGTGTTGATTAATCGCATGGTATCGAGTCATCTTGCCGTCTCGATTTGACCAAAAGCTACCTACCCAGATCTGGATGTGCTGAAAGACCACAGTGTGGCTTAGCGATGGCAGAGAGATTTCGAGAACCGACGGCGGCCATGGTCGTCTTTGAAGAAATGCTTTCCTGGAAGGCCAAGACTGTAGCCGCCCGGTGCTGGTTATAAGGCTGAGGACTGGCCGGCTGCGCGCATGTAAACCTGCGTGTAACTTGCCAGGCTTAGAGCTCAGGTGTGGTTGGAAGCCTGGTGGACCAAAAGCACGTGGAAATGTGTCTGTGTACCCTGCAGTACATCATACCCCTCGAGATTTCGAGAGTTTTGAAGCATCTGGACACCGGTTCATTGTTACCGCCTGACAGATATGTCAGGGCATCGGAACTTCGTGTCGCCTCGTCACCGATACATGAAGCCCCAGCCACGCGAATACCTTTCCCAATGCTGCTTTCCCTCAGTACCTCCCTCCTCCGTTAAGACCGGTCTGAGGAAAGTAGATCTTCCACCTCTCGGTCGCGTGACTCGCGCCAAAGGGCTCGCCGATGACGATGGGCTCGGCATTTTCGCATGGCGACCACTCGCTGGATTTCAGACCACGTGATGAAAGCGCGAGCCTTTGTCCTTCCGCGACCCGTTCTTGTACCAATATTGAGGATGCTTTGAATACAATTGCAGAAACATGAAAATCCCCTCCAACGTCAACACGCAGTGTAGCGGAAGCAGAAATGATCGGCAGCGCAGCACACAGACGTCAAGGACGTTGAGGGCCCCTCTTGGAAGATCGAGCGTTAATTCGATCCCTTTGTTAGTGACAGCGTAAGGCATTCGGAAGCCTTCGAGTCTGTCTTACTTGCTAACGTTGCTATTGCCGAAATCTGCAGGCGACTGTGCAAGCAGGCCCTTCCAGCGATATGTTCCGCGGATTTCAAAAGTTGTGGACTGCCTGGCCCAGGAGAAGATGGTCTCGTCATCGCTCTTACGGATGAGTTCGAGCTGCAAGCGCATGAACGCATTGGTCTGGCCTTCTCCGTAAAGTAATGGCATGTTGACATCGAATAGACCTGAAGCACGATATTAGTATCTGAGATGCAGAGAGGAATGCGGCAAGGCTACTACCAAGCAAACAATAGGCCAAATCTTCCTCTCGTGTCGTTTTCCTCGATGAAGCCCAGATCATGCGTGTGCCTATGCTGGCCGAGTGAACATACTGCCTGCGTCCAAGGCAGGCAACGTGGGCTCCAGTCGTCTGTGCGATCAAGTTTTTATGATCATACCGAGACCCAATGTACTCGAAACGCGAGTTGAAGAAGTAGACGCAGGCCGGCGCAAGAAGCTCCTGTAGTGTCCACCCGCGAGTAAACCACTCGCTTTTCTGGAACTCACGCTCTCGGAACCGTTCATGGAGCGTTGTGACATTGCTTTCTGCGCTCCCTGCCGATGGTGGGGAGGAGTAGCGCGTTTCTTTTGATACTTGTGGCATTGTTTCGTCGGCAGGCCACTGATAATGCGCGAGATCTTGCTGTAGAAGACCTTCTGGTGCGATACAGTCATCCTGTTCAGAGGGATGTACGTCGGACAGAAAGACATAAAACACCTCCGAGGATGCATACCACTTGTACATTGATTTGATTGCCTCGCTGAGTTCTGCGCTTGATCGCTTGACAGAAAACAATCATCAGCACGAACGGGTCATTATCATGAACGCTCCTCCGCGGGCTCACCTTGTCAATACAACAGCTGTCGTACCAAACCCAGAGGTAGCCAGCGAAACGTGCGATCCTACATGCTTGCAGTATTTTGGTCCAGCCATCTCCCGAACGAAGCCCTGAAAGGTACTGTGGGTAGTCTTGGTAAGATACCTCGTCATTCGTCCAGCGGTGAGAGATAATCGCATCTTCGACATCCCGAGGATTGAAGAACTCCTTGAACGTCATGTCGGTTGTTGTTGATTAGACGCATCTTGACGGCTCAGTCAAAAGGGTCGAGCGAGCCTGCTTCTCAGGCAGGTCCCGCACGATAATATCGCAAGGTGTCAAGCGGTGCTGTGAAGCAACATTGAACTCGTCGCTGTGGACATGATGGCAACCTCATCAAGGCTGAGGAAGGCTCAGTACAGCCTGATGCGGTTGATGGTGTGACCTTGCTGTATGCACACCCCGCAACCCTACAGCTTCTTGCCCTGGTCCATAGCGACGTCGAGCCGAAAGGCTTTCTGTTGGCCGCCTTGTGTACAAAGAGCTGGAGAGATGTTGTTTAAAGACAGTTTGGCCTACGCTCCAAGACCTCCGAGCTCGAGTTACACGCCCTCCAGCGTTCGCAGAAGACAAGACAAGACGAGATGAGATGGTCATGACCATGAATGCAAGGCTGGGTCCAGAGCAAGGGCGAAAACAGACAGCATCGCACACCTGGACGACTTGTGCTGGAGCGATTCAAATGCATATGACCAAAGCAGTGTTTGAACCATGAACCTTGGTCCCATCTCAACACACGACCTGCTGCCTCCTTCGTACCAGCATCAATACCATGGTCCTGGCAACGCGCCCTCGGTTGCGCCGGAGCAGCCGATATCCTTCTTGCAGCAGCCACAGCCGCACACCAGTCACGACCATGTCGGAACCAGCCCAGTGCTTCCTGGGCGTCTACAAGAGATGGGCAGAATACCGAGGAGGTCATGTATGGGGAAGATATCCGTGTCCCGGACCCCGGGTTTCCCTCCAAGTTCCAAGGCGGATCCGTATATCGGAGACCTGCAAATCCACCGCCACCTTCGCAAGGAGTCTGGCTCGCGGCAGAACAGGCTATTGTCGGCGAGCAAACACGACTAAGCGTTCATCTAGCATTGCCATCTGGTCCTCCTTTGACCTTCCATCCTCAGTATCCTCAACAACCAACGCAACAGAACGGCCATCAGCCAATACCACTTGGTCTGCCTGTACCCTCATATCTTCAGCACCCTCAGCAACCACCGCAACAGAACGGCTATCCGGTGATGCCTCCTGGTCCTCCTGTGTCCTCGCACCCTCAGCAACCACCGCATTCAACGCCAATGCGAATGGCGGGAATGGGCGGTTTGCCTCTGCCGCGGGAGGATGGCCCTTATCGGCCGCCGCCAGGTCTACACCCTCCAACAACCCATCAGCAAACTGCAGGAAGAAACGTTCTGCCACCTATGGCTGGACCCCATATGCCTCCGTCTCATCCACCGCCTGTCTGTCAGGAGAACAGATTGCCGAGTATTACTCGATGTTCGCACTCCATGGGTCAAGAAGGCAGACCGTCCTGGGCAGGTGCGAACGCCGTGGCAACCGCTCAAGTGAATCCGCCAAATGCGTTGCCGCCGATAACAGTGGAGATAAATGCGGTTGATCCGGAGGCAGGTGGGAATACAGGAGAGAAAGACATACATGTTGTGCTGAAAGCGGGAGCTGTCGACTTGATGGTGATCGAGCGGCCATGTGTACATCTGAACTATTATCTACAAAAACGTACTGTCCGTACGACTGCTTACCTTGGTTCTGCCAACATCCAATTGACCTTGCCGTTGTCTTCCGAGCCCCCCCCTGCATCGAAACCTGGTCAGATCGTCGCTTCTCACGTGGCAACCATGAAGTAGCTCGCCCACCATGCTGAATAGTATGTTGCAACAACCCTCCTACACTCGGCATAAATTACCACGACAATGCCGTGGTTAATGCCGTGGCTGAATACCGTCGTTTCCCGACCCCAGTCGTTGGGGCTTCCCCAGCTTTCCCCGCGTCTCGTGCAAGTCCAGACCGCGGGATCTCCGGCTTCTACGTCCGATGGCTTTCTCACCACGCGACCTCCCAAACTCTCCTGCACCGCCAACACTCGCGCATTGGCAGCTTACTTGGCGATCGTGTACCGTGATGCTCGAAATCACGTCTCTTCATCTAGCTGACCGATAGGGCGGCATGGTACCATGCGGAAAATTGGTGCAAAATATGTACCATACCAAGAAGCGCGTCTTACACCCCGACCGATTCCCAGCAGACTAGAGAGAGATCGAGTGCCTCTGGCCTGCAGACTTCAAGCTACCATAGCCAAGTCGCTTAGGATGCGGCCTGTCACCTTGGCTACGAACGCCTCGGGTTAATGACGTCCAGAGGTAGGTCAAGGTATAGTAGTCTCTCTCTGCTCCCGCGTCATTCCCACTTTCAGACGCGCTTCTTCCTCTCAACTCCGTTGCCTTCCACTCTCTGCGAACTTCCACAGCCATGGATTCCAGCGAGAACGACATCGAGAAGCACCACATCGGCCACCGTGATTCTCTCCATGACCATGAGATCATTGGACACAATGAGGCTACCAAAGAGCAGGCTATGCACCATGGGCACCTCTCAGAGCAAGAGTTGATCGATGAGAAGAAGCTCAGGAGGAAGATTGATGGTACCATTATGCCCATGGTAGTGTTGGTACGGGCTCGAGGCAACCATTTCACTACCCAAGCTATGGGCTGATTATGGACAGGTCTACTTGATGAACTACATAGACCGCAACAACTACCCGGCGGCGAAATTATCCGGAGTATGTCACGTTCCAAGAGTGCTGGAACATAGTTGACACATCAATAGCTACAAGATGATCTCGGACTAGATGATAAACAGTTCCAGACTGGTCTGTCCATTTTGTTTGTTGGCTACGTAAGTTCAAAAGCTTCATCCTCGTCGGGGGAAGTCCTGCTGACTGAGCTCTGCAGGTATTGATGCAGGTGCCGTACGTACACTTTTCGGCAGCCTACACGCGGCGATGTTGAGGGCGTTGCTAACGCTGCGGCAGATCCAACATGTTCCTCAACTACTGCGGTATCACAAGCGACGTAGCTCTGCCAGGAATCTGTTCGCTGATTCCTTCGTACAGGTCGTCCTTCGTACTATCTTGGCTTCTGGACCATAGCCTGGTAGGAGCACGCAGGACATGACTTACAGCGCCAAAACTGATAATCACAGGGGACTAGTCTCTCTCTTGACAAGTCAAGTCACCAGCTTCGGCGGAATTATTGCTTGCCGCTTTATTTTGGGTTTTGTGGAAGGTAAGTTCTGGAGAGCTACCCTCGAAGCGGACGTCTGCCTGATTGCGATGCGATTTACTGACGCTCCCAATAGCACCGTTCTTTGCGGGAGTGCTTTTCTACCTTTCGAAGTGGTACACCAAGAGCGAGCTAAACCTGCGCATGTCGATCTTCTACTCCGGGTCATTGCTTGTGGGACTTCTCCATCCCATGCCCAAACTACTGCATAAGCTGACAACATTGTGTGCTTCAGGCCGGCGCGTTTGGCAATCTCATCGCCGGTGGTATCTTGAGTGGGCTGGTGAACATACCTGACCTCTCCTACGGCATCGCAGCCCTTTTCTGACCGATCATTCTCTGCAGGATAACGCGATGGGAATGCGTGCGTGGAAATGGTTCGTACTACGATCAATTTATGTCCAGGGTTGTTACTGATCGTATGAAGGCTGTACATCCTTGAAGGATCGTGAGTATGCGCAACACAGTTCAACTTCAACTCACGCTAACTGAGCTTTGCTCAAGGATCACCATAGCCGTCGGCATCCTCGTCGTTGTCGTACTACCAGACTTCCCAGACACCTGGAAGAAGCTTTCGCCCGAGCTCAAGAGAGTTGCGAACCGCCGCATGGCTATTGATGGCGCAGAAGCCGATGTTGACACCGGAGGCAACATGTCCTACCTCCAGGGCGCCAAATTGGCCTTTGCAGATCCGAAGGTGCGTCGACATCGCCATGATTGGTGTGATGGCCCCCAACTAACTCTGCGTCTAGACCTATCTCCTGGCAATCATGTACCACGCCATTGTCGGCGCCACTGGATTCCAGAACTTCTTCCCGACCTTGACCGACACGCTCGGCTACGACCATGTCATATCCCTGCTCTTGGTCGCGCCCCCGTACATCTTCATCATGGTCTATGCACTCGGCCATTCCATCGCCAGTGACAAGATTGGCAATCGCTTTTGGTTCTTCATCTACCCACTCATTGTCTGCACGATTGGATGCCTGGTGACTCACCCTCTAGCCCCCGAATTCTGTACAAAATGGCTGACTTCCTCCTCACGCAGGTGTTCATGTTCGTGCCACAGGGCAACTTCGGTGGCCGCTACTTCTCCCTCTTCCTGCTGAACTTTGCGTTCGCGAGTTTCGGTACCATCTACGCCTGGATCTCCAACGCCATCCCACGCCCGCCGGCGAAGCGAACTGTCGCGCTCGCCTTTATGAACAGCATTGGCAACATGGCTTCGATCTGGACTCCGTACACTTATATTGATGGAAGCGAGCCGTACTATCGGCCAGCCCTCGGCGTCGTGATTGGACTCCTGGTTGTGAGCGCTACGGGAGCGTGTATCTTGCGCTTCCTCTTGATCAAGATGAATCGCGAGTTGGAGAGACTCGAGAACGAGGACGTGAGGATATTCCTCTTTTTGCCAATTCTTCTTCTTGAGCCCATTCTTTCGGGCTGGGAACGTCAGCACGAGAGAGCAATGCTGACATTCATCACCAGGTCGAACTGGACGAAAAAGAGCTGGCCAAGCTCCGCAAGACCGCCGAGTTTGAGCAAATCGACATGGCCACTGCAAGGCAGCTGCAGAAAGGTATTTGGCGCAAGCTTCCAATCCATGGAATCGTTGTACTGACAGCCCAGGGTACCGCTACATTATATAAGCATGGTGAAGTCTTCTGCCCGCCGCCAGCTTGCCAACCCATGATCACATTGAGTCGTCCGGAGAAGCGGTGCGAAGGAGGGAGAGGAGCAGGGGTCATACGGATCGAGATGTGGAGAATTGCGCACTGAATCATTGGAGAAGACTGGTACAGTGCTACCTTGTTTGAGCGCTGTGTATCCATTTCGCGCGAGCGAAGACTTTTCCGGAAGCCTATTGCTCACAATCGTGTCCTCGTGCACCTCGCATTCCCTCAACAATGCTACTCGCCTAAAAGGCCACCCTCGATCTCATCTCCTGCACCTTCCTCTCCACCTCCCTGACCTCCCTCTCCACCTCTCCAGCAATCTTCTGCTTCGCATCGAAGCCCAGCCGCAAAAACCTCTCGCACAGATCCCCATCCACCACGCCCTTGACCGGGACGTAGTAGCCCCTGTACATCAGGTGATCTCTGCCCGCCAATGGAGGATCTTCCGATCTCAGCAGCCCTTCCAGTTGACTGAAGAACTCGACGTCTTCTCTCGAGACGAAGGGTACCATGATGCCGAGGGTGCCCTCGAGACCGGACCAGAACAGCACTTCTTGCCCGCCGGCCACCAGAGCGGTGCGTTGGATAGAAGTCGGTATATCCTGAGTGAAGGTGTGCGCGCGCAGCTCAAGCCGGTATGGGGCTCCCCCAAGATAACTGCGCTCGTTCACAATGTACCCACCAATACCCTCCTCGTCTGACTCTTTACTCGCTTGCTCCGGACTGCGGACCAGCCAAAGATTCCCAAACTTGTCGCCACCCGCCACCGTCTCGTAATCCAGCATCGTCATGCTCGAGGTCCAGCGCTGCACGGTGTCGTCGGCGAAAGGTATGAGCCGGTTGGCGTCGCCGCCTTTGTAGACGATGTAGGTGACGGATTCCGAGACGTCGGAGGCGATGAGGCGGTTGCCTTGGGAGGTGAGTGAGGTGATTTGGTTGGGCACGGCGGCACCACGGGTCTTGCGGAGAAGATGTTTCATGCCGATGTCGTAGAGGAACAGTTCAGCGCCGATGCCGAGGGCGAGACGGCCGTGGAAGGGGTGGAGGGCGTAGATGGGTGAGGTGAACTCGGTCTATTCGAAATAGTCAGTACGTGAGCGCTCACGAGATGGGTTGGCCAACGTACCCTGTGGACTCTCTCCAACCCTCTCCCTTCGTCCGTTACCCGGAACACATGTACATATCCCTTGCTCTGCACCATTGTATTGCCCGGCTGGAGGTGCTGACCCGTTCCGACGACCACAAACACTTCCCAATTCCGCACCTCGAACGGCACAGCAGCCACGCAAAGCGCAGCCTCATTCTCCTCAAACTCAATCGTAGCAGTGACTGCTTTCGCCTCGTACGGATCAATGGCCGAGATGCAGGAAGCCCAATGTCCGGTGGCCTTGGTGAGTCCGAGGTGTCGCTCGAGCTCATCAGGTGTTAGTTCTTCCGGCGTCAGCTTCTCGCCATCCTCATCAATCTTCACTCCTCCGTCCTCATCGCCATCCTCCATCTTCGCATCTTCACCGTTCACGCCATTCCCCAGCTTCTTGGCTTCTTCGTTCGCGATGTGAGTCGCCTTGGTACGCGGGCTCAATACGTTGCCTTCGCTCTGCGCCACCCACCAGGTGGTCCCGTACGGGTGCCTGCACATTCCCCTGGGTGTGTATTTGAGCGCGATCTCCTCAGTCGCCAGCCGTCCTTCCAATGAGCTTAGCTCGAAAATCAGCAGGTTGGTGCCCTGGATAGCGCACAACCCGTTGATATGCTCGCTCACAAACCCTCGTGCAGCGTCCAATGGTGAAGTGACCAGCGGCGCGAGGGTGTAGAGTTGCGACAAAGGATGGTTGTATCCGAGCCATGGTCGAGAAGAGCAAGCGAGGATGCTGCTCTCTCCTTCTCCGGCAGCACCACCGCTGGCGTTAACGGGAAATAGACGAGTGGCCTTTGCACCTAGGAACTTGGTCCGTACTTCGCCGAGCTCGCCTGTCACTTCGTCGATAACGGCACGGAGGTAGAGGCCGGATTGAAGACCAATATGGACATAAGTCACACCAACGCCGGTAGTGGGATCGACCTGTTCCACGACTTCCAGACTCGTTGGGACGGCACTGAGTGCCTGCACGCTTCGTGGTTCAAGTGGCGAGTCGAGCTCGATGGAAAGAACTCGAATGGTGCAGTCATCGCATCCAACAACAGCGAACTTCGCCTGCATCTGACCCTTCGGAGTCTGGCCGACTGACAATGCCGTCACCTTGCCGCTCATCTCGGGCATCTCCTCCAGCTGGTTAAGGACACCATCATCGCCCATGAAGAAGAAAGCCAATTCAGCAGAGCTCAGGCCCAGCAGCAATTGCCTCTCATTCGCTGACGCAGAGACAATCGTGCGATGTGAAGGGGTAGGCCATTCATTGATTGTCCCAGACTCGAGAATACTCCTCACGCCTCTCGCATGGACTTGCACAAGAGTGGCATCGCCCATCAAGCCGGCTTCCAGAGTCGCGCGGTTTGTGAGGAAGGGTGACTCCTCCATCGTCTCTACCTCGTCTCCGATACCCAGCACGATCGTCTTGTCTGCATAGTCGGAGCTCAGCAGAAGATAGCTGTGATACTGGTCGGAGGCTCGATGTTTGATCGACCAAAGGTTGGAGCAGTCGACGTTGCCGAGGGGAGAAGAAACGATCTCTTGGATGTTGAGGCCGTGGCGGATCGTCTTGAACTTGCTCCGCTTACCTGTCCCTTGGATGCCGTAGATTTGAGGTGCATCCTCGTTGAGCGGGTTGTCGACTGTTGTGCGCATAAGAGGATGTAGTGAAGGGACGTCCACAGCAAGAGATGTGTACATGAGGCCGCGCGGTTTGAAGTAGAGAGGCTTGTAGTCTTGGGCGGGCAGGAGATCGCCATACTCTGCGGAGGAAAAGTTGTTCCATGGCTCGACTGTTGGATCATCGGCAAGATCGGTGACGTGGTAGAGTTTGTTGTTGCCATTTTCAGCTGCGATGTACAGATAGCCCTTTCTGATCAGCAGCATGTGCTTTGCCACGGGGAAGGTGTCGTAGTATTTGAGGTGCAGTGCTTCCGGATCCGCGGTCGGCCTGCCCTGATCATCTTCGGCCATGGACATGGTGAGTTTGAAGACATCGCCATCGTCCGTTTGAAGGAAGAAGAAGAATTCGTGTTTCGTGCGTGCGAGATGCAGACAGCCAGCCACAATGCACCGCTTCCGATGCTGGTCTTCTCCAGCACCTTTCCGTCTCGGAATAGGTATGCAGAGGGAACCTGACTTGTCGTGGCGGTAGTATATCCGGTCTTCGCAGCACACCAGCACACCACTCGGACCGTCTGCACCTCCAGGCACTCCAAAGATCATGTTGGCGGTGTAATCGACCGTGTCGCTCCATGATTTCACCACATGGTTCAGGCCCAGATCCACGGTATAATAGACCAGCTGCTTCTCCCGGTTCTCGTACGTCTCGCCCGTCGGATCGTTCTCGGCATCGTTGTAGTCGACCTCGAGCGTCGCAAAGACCGGATGTTCCCAGCCAGTGTCCAGCGCGCACACGGCAAAGCACAAGCTGGCCCATTGATTCGCCTCGTGCGGACTCGAGATCAAGATGCCTCCTTCTGCATTGCGATTCACAATGTAGACCACTTTATTCTTCTCGACCGAAGCCAACATGCAACACCTGCCCTTTGGATCGCTCGCCAAGTACTGCCCGGGGATTGTGCGTCGAATGCCAGACTTTCCAAAGGTTTCCAGGTGGATGCGTTTGAAGACGTTCTTCTCGGCGTCATAATTCAGCATGACGATACGGCCGGAGTCGGAGGAGACGACGAGTTGGTCTGCGAAGACGTATTAGCAGCAGTTTGAACGGAGCTGATCCCAACACCCACAGACACCGAGTCCCCAGCCACGACCGAAGCGCTCATATCGGAGGAATCGATGCTGCAGACATCACTACCACATTCTCTCGGACTGAACAGCAAGAAGACTTACCAGTGCTCGTGCCGGGAATCCTAAAGGCGCTCACGCCGCGCACGATGCCGAAGACATCCTGATCCAAGAAGGTCGACACCTGCACCTCTGTGCGGTCGCTGTTCTCAATGATGCGGTGGAGGTAGAGTCGCTGGCCTCGCGCCTCGAAGATCTGCTGGTCTTGCAGCTTCAGGCCGGGAATGACGTTACATGTGCAGGCAGCGGTGGGCGCGGAGGAGGCCTCGAGGGTGAGGCTGTAGAAGGCCTGCGAGGATTGTGTGTTGGCCATGTCCGCCGGCGGTGGAGGGGGGTAGGGGTGGTTATGTCGCGCGCATCGTCGAGTGGAAGTTGTTCGAGGTTGATCTTCAAGCCCGCCAAAGATTTAGGCCAAGCTCCGGGGTTAAAGTTTAGCGCCGGATCTGCCCGCGGGCGACATCTCCTTTGGGGCAGGCGTGGTTCTGCCGGCTCAGTGACGAGATGGATTCAAGTCGGAACATTGGTGCAGTGTACAAGAGCAACAACAATGGCTTCCAATTCGATATGTAGCCGCTGCTTACGGCTGGCTTCTCAACTGCCACGCAATGGTAATGCTGGGCGAGAGTCACGACGAGCCTTCACCACCACGGCGAAGCAGCAGCCGTCTCGAAGACGGATACATCAATCGAGCAACCCAAGAGCGCCGGCAGTAGAAGGACAGCGCCAGCAGGACTCCCCAGTACCCCCCTTCTCCGCCACTCGAGGCCGCACAGTGGATCAGCCTGCCACCAATCCCTACGACCGGGCCCTCCTACAGCGGCACAATCTGTTCCACCCCTTCACGAACTCGCCATCTCCTCAAATTCGCAAACGGGCGGCAATCATCCGCCAGAATGCGTACTGTCCCCACCCTTCACACCAGCCGACCCGCAACCCTCAGTCACCTCATGATGCAGAGGGAAGGAAGACGGGCCAAATGCCACCCGCACACGTCCGCTACGAGTGCCCAGACTGCGGCATCCCCGTCTCTTGCTCCGAGGAACACTTTGCGAGCGACTATGAGAGTCATCTGCAGATCTGCGATACTCTGAGACAGATCAACGAGGACGACCATGATTTGGTGTCGGGAAGGTTCTTTCCAGAGTTTCAATATCCGAGCTCACAGATTGAGGAAGCGCAGGTGAACATGACGAATTGGGATACGTTGTTGTACAGCAGAGAGTTCAATGCGATCAACGATGAGAGGAGTATGCGGCAGGCGACGAGGTTGCTGACGTATCCGATGACCGTGGGCAGTGTGCTGCATGAGTTGAGCCCGTACAGCTTGAAGCAGCGGTTGACGCCGGAAGGGCTGCGCTCGTTGTCTGGTATATTACCCTTGTCCTCGGCAGCATCCATGTGATCTGGTTCAGTGCTAATGTCAATGACAGCCCTACGCTACTCACTTCACCCTCCTCGAACTGGCGCCTCCACCACCATGTCCGGCATCCGACCTAATCCTCCTCCGATCCGTCTTTTCATTCTCGGCGCCCGTGCTGAGTCCTCTCTCCCCCGCGAAGTCTGGATTCAGCTCTCCCACCTCTTCCCTCGTGTCTCCTTCCACCTCATCTTCATCGGTCCGGAGAGCATGGCGAACCGAGACGACGAATTCCCCCTACCTTCCCGGACACCTCAGAATCCCTACGGCGCCATTGTTGAAGACCGTCTGGGTGGCGGAATGAAGGTCAGCACCTACGTTGAGTACTTCCACACGCTCTTCGAAGCCCAGCACTTCGCGCCATTCGACCCTTACTTCGACGCCTTCCTGCTCTTCCATCCTGGGCTCGGACATCCTGCTTCTTCACACGAGTGGGCGCCGACTTTACCACAACTTCTATCGACTAAGATCCCCATCCTGTGCACCGGATACACCGATTTCGACATGCAGCGCGATATTGAATGGGTCAAGAAGGAGGCGGGGGGCGAGATGGACGTGCTGATGGAGCCCGGGGAGAATCGGTTTAGGAGTTTGAGGTGGGATTTGAACGATCTAGATCCGGGTGATGTGAGTTGTGGGAACTGGGGCGTGTGGGGGTTTAGGGGGAAGAGGTATGAGGCGGATGAGTATCGGGGTGCTGAGTGAGGGTGAGGGTTGTGACCGGCCCATGTCGTTATGGTGAGCCGTTGCCTATACGTTCGACAGATTTTGAGATGTTTCACCCAACAGCTTTCACATTCTTCACAGTTCCATATTCATCACCATTCACAGCACGTGAATCCGAAAGACTGTTTCAGGTTTTGTCGCCAGTTCAGAGGTGGTCCATGCGTTCAGCGCTGGATATATCTGCCCTCTCTTCCCTCCCTCTTCTCTACTGCACCTTCCAACCCCTGAAGTCTCTGCTTCTTCTCATCCTTCTGTTCTGCCCTGGGGCATTCTTTACTTCGACAGCAGCCACCGGCCTACCATCCACCAACCCACCGACCAACCAAACCTCCACCATGCCGAACCGCTACCTCATTGACGGCGAACTGGAAGTGATGGAGAACCCGCACCTATGCCTCTTCCCACTACGCACCATCGCTCTCGCCAGCTCCCAACGAGCAGCATGCCGGCGATACCGTGTCTGCGACCTCTGACCAAGGAGGACTCAAGGTTCCGACAGTGATCGACCGCAACGATCCCCTCGCTGTGCCTGCCAAGGAGCAAGCCAAGAACACCATCCGGTTACCCACGATGTTCGAGAAGGTCGAGGAAAGCGTCATCGGTCAGGTTGGGCACGGCCAATACTTGTCATCGGAGGTGAAGGAGCTTTAGTGGTTCGCGGACCCGTTGTTGGGGCAAGTTTCAGCCGGCCTCTCTCAAGACGCACAAGCTGGTAGACATCACGAAGGAGTACTCCACCTGGTACATGTACAAGGCCCAGGTTCGTAGCCTCGGCATCCACTACTTCGCGCTCTCGATTGTGCCGGATGGCGAGGACGACAACGACCTGGAGCGTCGCCTGCGAGATCCTCAGATCGTGCTGAACTGCTTCAACCACCACTGCGCCAAGCTCCTTACCTTTTTGCAGGAGCTGCACGATCACACCGCGAGCGGCGACAGGGACCCAACAGGCGCAGAAGAGTTCGACGTAGACAGCCAAACCAACCGCCCGCAAGTCCGCGTAGAATGCGACCGCCTGACCGCTCTCATGGACGGAGTCCGTACCTGGCAGCAGACATTCGACGACGAAAACATTCCCAGGACGTACGCCGAACTACCAGCCTCGCTCGAAGAATACCGCTGGCTAAGCTTCGACGACAAACAATCCGTCTTCAACCCCATGGCTCTGCAGTTCGCGCCGGTGCTGTTCTCGTTCGCCCTGCCCGCCATGCAGTACCAAGCGACGCTCCGGGACAAGAACATGAAGTACTACCTCTGCCTTTGCTTGACGTACACCGCGGCGGCTTTGGTGAACTACCTCATCGTGCCGAGTGAGGAGGCGAAGAGGCTCGAGCTGCGGTTCGGAGTGCAAGGTGGTTCCATTGGCCCTGATGTAAGTTGATGCTCTCGCCTTTGTTGTGGTGTGGTTCGTGCTGACTGTGCGCCAGGCTGAGGGATTTGGGCAGCACGTGAAAGCGTACAGGGCTGAGTACAATCGCCATATCGCGAAGTTGATCGCGGATGATCCTCAGGCCGGGTGGCAGCTCATGCAGGACCACTCGCTCGTTCAGGTGTTGCCGCTCGAGCGGCCGGGGGCCGAATGATACGGCGGGACTGCATGACCGCTCGGTCCTTCCGAGGAAGCATGGAACTGGGTATGAGGAGGCTTGGGCGGCTTAAGAAGTGTCGATGATGCGGTTCCTCCAACCGGCGGGGCGGGCAGCTGCATCTACGGTTGATGAAGCTGGGCAAGGCGTAAAGTGGTGGTCTTTGGTTGTCAGCACAGAGTTGATTGTATGCAGCTGAAGAGAGGGTCCTTGGTCTCGCAGGCAAATGGTGAGTCGAATCGTTCCGTTATGGGACAGCATATTGCTCTCATTTCTATCTCATTGCCTCAAACCATGACAGAAGTTGCGTTCGCAGCGCGGCGACCAAAGCTTCGCTGCAGAAGAGCTTCGGAACCACAGGCTTCACAACTCCTTACATTCCTCATCACTAACCTCCACCTTCAACTTTCTCTGAAACCCATTACCACCATCCTTGCTCTTCACCCACACATCTTCACATTCAACTACCTCAAGCAAGAGCGCAAGACGCCACCGCTGGCCCGTGGTATCAGCTGTACGATCCAACGATCAAGCCCCCATCTTCCAGGCTAGGCCATCCGTCACTGACATTTGAGACGAACAATGCACGCTACTCCAGCTGAAAGGGCAAGCTCGCGGACTCTCATGCGCTTCGAAAGCCTGAATGATGCTTCTCCTGCTACGTCTGTCAGGAGGGAGTGGTTCGACCAACAGCAGCTTCGCAGCATAAGGATGAGGATCATGACCGATGTTCTACCGGCACAGACCTGACAGTATCCGAACCTACTTTCACGGTATGAAGACAAGCCTGAAAGAGTGCGCTCAAGAACCCGGCCGCAGCCTGTCCCGTTCATGCTGCACAACGACAGACACTACGCTGCTTCTGAAGCGGTGATTGTCACTCCACGACGAAGTATGTGGTTGACCGACCTTCATAGGATTAATGGTTTACACCGTTGGCACCATAATCAAGCCGGTTCTAAAGTCTACCATCAGGCACATTGGCCACGGCCAGTATCGAGAAGATGAAGATCAATACCTGAGCACCTTTGCGAATCGCCTCTGGTACCAATTTCAGCCTGCGTCTCTCGACACCCACAAATTGGCCGGTATCACTATGCAGGTTTATACGTAGTACCGATACAAAACGTGCGTATGGGACCTCTGTCGCCATTTCTTCGTGTTGTCGATCCGCCCTGACAACCAAGACCAAGCGGCGCGCGACCTTCGCGAACAATCCCGAACTCGTGCCTGGAACCCACTGCAGCTCCACCTCTAGACGCTCATCGACGAGCTCCAAGATCTCCACGACCCGACAGCAGATGGGCACCGGACCCCGACCGATCGGCTGAGCCCATTCATTACCGGCAATGAGACAAAGCGATCAACCTTTGAACGGTATAGTCCACGTCAGAGCTAGCAAGAAGCGTCGTTCAGAGGCGGTACCAGGTGCTACCCCCGCGTAGGTCTAGCGCTGCTAGTCCTCTATAGGTATGCGACGAAGGCCGTAGTGACGGTCACAATTCAAGAACGCAGGCGGCGGCGTGCTTACATAAATTCAGATCGTTAGGTCGATCTTGTGATTTGCATAACTCAGCCACATCTAGCTGACTTCGCTTTGACATTCACGCAGTTCCAAAATCCCATGGCCGCTGAAGAATCGCCTCAAGCTCACCTGATTATTGGCCACCTGGGCAGTGGACAGTTCAACTCCACCGAAAGAGCAGAGTGGGAGCAGAAGGCGCAAACGGTATGGAAGAAGTTCATGGTCGGAGGGACGGAGAAGTCGCTGGCGGATATTGCTCGTCAGCTGAAGCAAGAGTATACGTATCGCGCGATATTCGAGAATCTCGGCATTCACAAGGCGGCGCTCTCCATCATCCCAGCAGGCGAAGGTCCCGACGCCCAGTAGACACGGCTGGAACACCTAGCTCGTGTCACCGCCCGCCTCGCCGCTTACCGCAGCCAGTACTTGGAGAATACGCAAGAGCTAATCGATGCAACCCGCGACTTCTCGAAACCGGCCAACGACGGTGGTCATTTCCGGCAGCAATCTTCGGCCACACCTACATCGAAGACGAAGTCGACAGAATCACCCAAGCTCATCTCCCGTACGAGACAGGCCCAAAAGCCTTCCCCGAAGGCGGGCAAGGTGCATCAACATACCAGGAGCTGCCATCGCTATGAGTAGAGTACTACGAGCTGTCCGTGGACGCAAGACGAGATGTGTATCGCGACATCGCAACAACCTTCACGGCCACGCTGTTGGCGCCGCTGGTCGGCCCCATGGTGTTCCGTGCAACCTTCAATTCGCCGGAGATGCGTGAGTTCATGCGGCTGCGTGTCATGAGTACCTGCGAGTTACTCGTGTCGTATGTCATCGACCTGAACGAGCAGAGAGCGATCAAGCGTAATGCTAGCTTGTAGTACAAATCAGAGTGTTGTTGGACGGTCAGGTGTAAGAATTCTGTCTGTCCACGCTGTAGCCGTTGCCTTGTCAAGCACTGGCAGTGTCCGTCGTCAACAGTTCATCGACCGGTATACCAGCTCATCCAGGTTTTCACGAGCATGGACGAGGTCGGGTCGGATGATACGACTATCCCTAGTGATGCCGTGGAGCAACAAACAGTGGCAGTCCTGCAGCACGTTAATAGCCAACTGAAGCAGCGTATACAAGGTCTGGAGAGCGACAACGAACGTTTGCAAGCGAACTACGAAACGGCCTGTCAGGCACGAGATGAGGCGCTGGCTTCAAAGGATGACATCAAAACACAACGAGGCGAGCTGTTGAAATTGCACAACGAGCAGCCCAAAAAGATTCAAGCACTGGAAGCGGAACTTGCCACAGTCAAGCAGCAACTGGCAGCTCGGACTACACATGGACCTAGATCTCGGGCTCAGAGTGTGGAACAGCAAACGGAAGTGTTTGAAGCTGAGGAGACAGACGTGCGATCACCAATTGGACCTAGCTTTGCCTTCAATGTCCTGCGAGCCATCGACAGGATCGCGGATGCTGCTGAGGATGAGCCTGCTCCAGTCGAAAATCTACAATCAGAGCTGATGGGAGAGCTTGTGGCGATGGAGCGAGAATGGGAAAAGGCCGCTAACAAATCGAAAAGCTCGCTCAGAGGAGGAGATTGGTTGCAGAAGGCTTTGCAGTCCACAGCCGCTGCGTGCATGCACAATCGGGTGAACAGGCAAGGCAGGAGCTACTGGACTTGTACGGAGCCAGAGCAGTACGCCTGCCAGCACTGCACGTCCGGGAAAAGGTGCTGCCTCAAGGTAGTGAACGGGGGGTTGGTGTTGTTGCCTTTGCACCCGGAGGTACGGGAGACGGATGATGCCAGTGCGGCAGGCTTCTACCGTGTGGATGGAGATGTGCCAGCGAGCAAAGGACGGCTGTGGGAGAAGAAGGTATCTAAGACGGAGGGGACGGAGAAGTAAGGCTGCGATGATACGGCTGAGAGCGAAATGTAGGCAAGTGGTTGTGTGTGCTATCAATCTGTATGCATGAAGAGTCGCCGCGGCACCAGAGCCTCCCTTTCGACTACTGATAACCAAGGTGAGGACTCCAATCGTTGATGCGCCAGCTGGCTTCGTTTCGCCGTCGTGCATTCCTCCTTCGCGCATATCGTATCACTTCCTCTTTTCCATACGCTCCGCGATCTCAGCTCGTCTCCGACCACCCACCCCCACGAAATGCCACCCTCACAAGAACATGCCCGGGGCAAGCTCCCTCAAGCCAACGTCGCCAGCAACCACGAAGTCCCTCAACAACTCCACCCTCTTAGCCTTGTTCACGTTGCGAATGTGAGCCGTCCCCACCGCGACCATCACGTAGCGGTGATCGCGTATATGCAGCAGCTTGTCACCCTCTGCACGAGTGAGGTTCTGGCGGGTGATCTCGATGTTATACCTCTCCAGGAAGCCTTCCTGGCTGGTACGGAAAGCAAGCCCCTGCGAAGGCACTAGCATACGATCATGAATAGGGCTGGGCACACTTACATCAATACCAGGCCATTGAGCTCTGATTAGGGTTTGGAGGTTGGGGTCCTCTCGGAAGCATCTCGCCTGCTCGAGAGGGTTGATGACGAACTTGGCGACATCCATCATAGCATCCCGTGTGCGGATCATCATGAACGGACCTGTAGGATCTATTATCGTGGCGCGAATCTTCATGGGCGGAATGCACTTGAGGAAGAAGGTAGCGACGTCGAGGGGCGCGATTCCAGCGGACACCTCCATCGCCGCTTCCTTCTTGAGCAGGTCGAAGAAAATGTAGTGGTCTGGTAGCTGGGCATAATCCTGTGACGCCTCACGCTTCTCACCTACCGGAAGAAGAGTATGGCAGCTAGGGAGGGGTTGCACAGAATCATGCAACCGGCCCAGCCTGCGACACTCCACCTCGATGTATGCCGTGGCCATGTTTCGATTGATGGCATTGAGGCTGCTGTGGTTGGTTGGGCGCGCGTGCCCGCCTCAGTGGCATCCATGATCCATCAGATCAGTGAGATAGGATTCCAGCTCCTCGCACTGGGAGTCCATGTGAGTGTCAATCACCGGGATCTGGCATAATCTCTCCTGACGATCCTCAACCGTCTCGCCATCCGGTTGAGTGATGCGAAGCCCAAGTGCTTGCTTACCTAGCTTCTGAGTCCATGCCGACGTCGTAGTACTCTAAGACACCCCTCGGCCCGGCCATGGTCGGCCGGATCTTCATCGGTGGAATGCAGCCGATGAACGAAGTGGGGACGTAAACGGGTAGAACTTCACGGAACACCGCCATCGCCGCCTGTTTGTTAAGGAGGCCGAAGCGAATCCAATCGTCCGGCAGGCTGGCGTAGTCTTCGGGAACTTCAGGCTCTTGGCCTTCAGCAAGCTTGGGGTAGCATTGTGGGAGGCAGCGGTTGAAATCGAGAAGCTGACCCAAGCGGTGATGCTCGGCTCTGATGTAGGCCTGAGTCATCCTGCGGTTCACGCCGAAGGGGGTGTTGTTGTTGGTGGCGGGACGCGTGCCGTCAAGAGTTCGACACATCAGGTCGACGAGGAAGGCTACGATCTTCTCCCGCTGCGCATCAATATGTGCGTCGATGACCGCAATATCGTCAAGACGACCCGCTCGCTCGTCGTTGGTCTCTTGTACCGGAGGCACGATTCGAAGCCTAGGCGCTTGCTTGCCTAGCTTCTCGAAGTCCACGGCGAGGTCGTAGTACTCTTTGCCCTAACTGTTTCTACGGTGGTACGATTAAGGAATACCGGCAAAAAAGCTAATCGTACCGGCAAATCCCTAAAAATGTAATTTTTCGGTGGTACGATTAGGAATTATTAAAATCTAAAGCCGAGATCTTCTTTAGAAGGGTCTAAAGTATAGAAAATTACCTTTAAAGTACTATACTACCTAATAAGATTATAGAGATATAGGCCTTTAAAGATAGACTTAGGGTTATACTTAGAAAATCGAAATCTTAACGACTACCTTAGCTAGAGAGTAGTACTATACGCCGATAAGGTTCGATAAGGATTTAGAATAAAACTATCTACTAGAATTTCCTAATTAGGGTTAGGGTTAGGGTTAGGGTTAGGG